GAATTAATTATATAATTTGAATTTTAAATTAAACGAAATGTAAGACGACCCAACATTATTTACAACACTTAAAGGACACAAAGATACTATAACAGCATTGTCATTTCATCCTGGATTGTATATCAATAATTATATAGTAGAAAATCAATAGCTTCAAGTGCTAATGATGGTGTAGTATCTGTATGGCAATTGAAATAACCAAGAAAGATTTATAGATTTATGGGTCATAAAGGATAAGTAAGTGATGTACAATTTTCTCCTAATGGATTATTAATTGCATCTTGTGCAAAAGATGAGACTATAAGACTTTGGAATAATACAGTTGAAGGAAGTTCAGTATCAATAAAGGCACATTCAGCACCTGTCAGAAGTGTTTAATTTTCTTGTGATGGTTAATTATTAGTAAGTTCAAGTGATGATAAATCTGTGAAAGTTTGGAGTGTAAATGATCGTAAATTTCAATATGGATTCCAGCATACAAATTGGGTTAGAAGTGCAGTGTTTTCATAAGATGTTAGATTGATAGCATCAGGTGGTGATGATAGAGCAGTTATTATTTGGGATTGTGATTCAAAAAAAGAAGCTTAAAGATATAATGAACATATTGGAGTAGTCTATAAAGTTCAATTCTCACCAGATTCTACAATATTAGGATCATGTTCTCATGATAAAAAATTAAAATTATTTGATGTAAGATCAAAGAGAGTTATATAACATTATGATGCTCATGCAGATTCAGTATTAGATTTGAAATTTCATCCATCTGGATAATTTGCTATGACATCTGGAGCTGATAGTAAAGTAAAAGTATGGGATCTAAGAATGGGTAAATTAGCATATACACTTTATGGTCATAATGGTTAAGCTACTACATGTGCATTTTCTAATCATGGAGATTATTTTGCTACTGGAGGATCTGATAGTATGATTTTAGTTTGGAATACTAATTGGGTATGCAGTGGTCAAGAATCTTTAGATGAAAAACCTAAATAAGTTAAAACTAAACCTATTCAACATACATAACCATAAACATAATAATAATCATCTTAATAGAAAGAAAATATATAATAAACTAATAGTTAATTACCTAAGTAGAAAGAAACTGTTCTATATTCAAATGCAGATAATAGTCTACATAAAAAGAGTGAATTTAATTAAAGTGTATAATTATAGAAAGAGGATGTACCAGCTGAAGTTATTACTTAATTAGATAATATTAGTGGTTAATTAGAATTAATTACAAGGTTATTACTATTTAATTTATTTTTAGAACTTTATAAGCTCTTGAGTAAAGAGTTTCTAATAATGAATAATAAATTTGTAGACTTAATCTTGCATTAACTAGAGATTTTGAAAGAAGTGAATAAATTTAACATTAAATATATGATTTAAGACCTTTAGATGAATAAGTTTAAGATTAAGAAGAAGAAGATAATATTAATTATATCAAATTTCATCGTGCAGCTAACAATTGATTTAATTTTATTTTAAATATATAATAATTTTATTGTAAAATGTCTATATGGCAAGATAAATGCGTTCTGGATTATCATATTTAAGTATATAATATTTAATGAAGTAATAAATAAAATTAGATGCATTAGAAGAACTATATTAGGAATATAAATAAAATGAAAAGCGTGTTTCAAAATAAAATTAAAAATATGAACAAAGAAAGAAATATAAAAATAAGAAAAAGAAAAGTACCAGTAGTAGTAGTAGTAGTAGTAGTAGTAGTAGTAGCTCATCATCTACTAGTTCAAGTTTTTAAAAAATTACTAGTTCAAGTGAATCTGATAGTTTACCATCTTTACCTTCGAATTCTAAATATAATAAAAAACATGAAAAATTTTAGACTAAAATTTTAGATTTTGTTATTGATATTAATCCTCCTAGAAGAGATTATTTAATAGAATATGAATTGAATGGACAAAAAAAAATGACTTCAATGAAAAATTTAAATGAGAAAATAAATAAACTAAATATTTAGTCAAAATAAATATAAAATGAAGATGAGAAAAATGAACCTATAGATGATAATTTGAAGTAATTATTATTAAATATAATAATTTTAGATAAGACTTAAAAGATTAATTAGAACTTGGAGTGAATAGATACTATTAATATAATCCATTTGAATACTGTTTTAGATGTAAATAATCAGGACATTAAGAAAGATAATGTACTGAATAATAAACAATATAATGTAACTATTGTTTAAGTCAAAAGCATATAGGAGATATTTGTTCTAATGTCTCATGTTTTAGATGCAATTAAATGGGACATAGAAAAAATGATTGTAGGGTAACATCATTTTATTTACATTTAGACATAATTATAATAATAATAATGCATAAATTGTGGTAAAAATAGTCATAAAGAATCAGAATGTGGAATTTTAATTCAATAAATATATAAATTAACAGATTAGATTGAATGCCTAGTTTGTAGATCATATGGACACATAAATTGCTAAAATAATATTATTTGATTTATATTTTTAAAAAGATTTCTATAATTATTTATATCATCCATTTGTTTTCTTAACTTTAATAATTTATTATTAAACTTATTTATTTCTATATTCTAAATCTATAATAATTACATTTTTATGTTTATTTATAAATATTTATAAAATTCAATAAATAAACAAAAAGTTTGTTAAAAACCTTATTTTTTAGAATTACAACCTTCATTTTAATAAGGATATTGTTAATTATTGATTTGAAATATGTCATCGAATATGAGTTTTAAAACCTAAAAAAATAATTTAAATTCTCAATAATAAAATTAAAAAAACAAATTATTTACAAATCTTCTTAAATGGTTCTTTTAACGAAATCAGATATTATTAGAAAATGTATATTATGAGTTTAATAATTTTTTAGAAATCCACAAAAAATCTGACCAGAGGAGTAAGTAGAAGAAAAAGGTTGATGGTAATAACAAATATAAATATAATAAATATGAGAAAATATAGCAATATAAAACCAATCATTCTCCTCATAATACAAATTAATATCTCCTTAGTAAATTTATTGAGCAGCCGTCTACATCTTTGTCTGCTCCTGAAAGTATACTTGATATCTTGTTATTTTCAATGCCTTGAAAAGGAAACCCATGTTTGAGTGGAATTTTTATATATATATTTTTAATAAGTCAGTTCAACCATAACGAGAGGAAGTCGATCTGCTTCTCTTACTCTATCGAAATTTGATATTCATATCTAAAGATTGAAATAAAAATATGAATGCTTTCAATCATCTTAAATTAACAACAATCATAATTTTACATCTTATTTCTAGAATTCTAACTAATATTCTAAAATATGCTTAAGCCTTAATACTAGATATCTTGTTTATGTAATATTGACTTACATAGGAAATTAAAGTATTCATTTGAATTGAAAATCATAATTAAAACAAAACTTTTAGAATTACTCTTTTATTATTTCTTTAACACAAAGATTCTATGAGTTCTTTTAGTTTTATGATTGCATCTATGCAAAAAACTTCAAATAATTATTATAGTCTCTTAATAATACTTTAACTTTGCATTTATAATTCTTAGGGTAATAACATGGTTGTCTATAATAAGTAGCTTAAATTGAAGGGTTAAACTTTTTTGTGTTCGATGTTTTCTATTCTTAAGATTCTTAGAAATGAATTGATTTAAGAATTAATTAATTATGTATTAAATTAGACATCGATTTATTATCTTTAGTTTTCTTTATAATACATAAAAAGCATGAATAATCTATAGAATATGAATTAATCCATTTATTAATGTATATATAATAAGAACTTAATAATTAATAGATTTATTCATTTAGGGATTTATTTATTTTCAATTTTAGGATGATTATGAAAATAGATATATGTATTAGTTGGAGATATTGATAAAAATATTAAGAAGAGTATAATAATAATAAGTTATTAATTAAATATGAATTATAATAATTATCGTACACAATTCGACAATTAGAATGTTATCCATTCGAATTCTTAGTCAGTTGGTAAGTTAAAGAAAGGAATTGTCTTTCAAAATTATCCTTTTAATCCTGTCTAGAGTTATAACTCCAATATGTAAGTTCGTCCATTTACTTCTCAAACTCAGCCTATTAAAAAGCCTTCAACAGCTCAAGTAATTAAATTGAAATAGGAAATAGTCTATTCGACATGTTCCAAGAGCAGCAACTTCATAAACTTAAAGATAACCAAATATGCTATTTTCTGAGTAATTAAATAACACTGAAATGGAGACTAAACAAAGTAAAAGATATATGAAAATCTACTTCCTTAAAAGTAATGCACTCTAATAATAAATTTAGCAAATTATCGTACTATTCTTCATAATGTCATGAATAACAAACTTAAAGCTTTACCACCTGGAGATAGGAGAAGACTGTCAGTTCTTAATATTGTGTAAGATAAATTTAAAGAACTTACAATTTAAGAAATCAATTTGCTTATATGTTAACATGCAGTTTCTGAAAAGTTTTACATTTATTTTTCAGGTTCATAATAAATTTATTAAATTTAGATTCTGAATGGATTCCATGTAGTAAATGTTGTTAAACTCCTATATATTTAGTACTCACTCCATAAGCTTAAAAAACTGATATATTTTGTAGTTAATGTTCTCGAAATCTTTCAAATCCTCCAAGATCTGCTGTTTAAAGTAATACTATTTTACCAAAATATTCTTTTACTTAATATGGACATTCATTACAAGAATAGAAAGAGAGATAAAAAGTGAGTAGGATGATTATATCTGGAAAATATAGAAAAATGAATCTAAAAGATGTTTATAATGAAGTTTAAGAACCAGTTTAACCTGAAGAATCATATAATTTAGAATTTCCTGTAAAAGAAAAATAATAAGAAAGTACAATTTTAGAATTAAAAGACTTAATTAATGAATTATTCTGAAAATAAATAAAATCATTAAAATTATTAAATAGTTCCATTTACTAAATCATCAAAATTGTATTATTCATCCTCTTAATGTATTTTATCTTTTTCTAAAAATCTATATTTAATATCCTCAATAACATTTTAAAATCTAGCTTATAATCTACATTTTAAATAATAAATATATACTTATTTTATTTAATATAAATTTTTGATGCGTTTTGTGACTAAAATATTCTTTCAAGAAGATATACAATCTAATAATCAGATATTAGTATATACTCTTTAAATGTTGTTTGGAATTGTAGAATAAATTTGAATGGCAATTATACTTATGGCCTCTACAAATTAGGATTTATCAAGGAAGATTTAATCTGTATATTCTTATCCTTCTTAATTAAGTGATGCTACAGAATAAAATATTGAAGTCAATTATGTCTAAGATATTAAAATGTTAGATAATTCAAAGTCTTAACAAAATTTCAAAAATTCTGATAAATACAATATTGAATTTTATTATTTTGTATATTCTTAAAAATACCAATCAAAGATTGGTTAAATCATCTCATATAATTAAATCTAATATTATTATATAATTATTATACAATTTATTCATCTTATAATAGATCCACTAAAATTTAAAGAATTTATTCTTTATTATCATCAGACATTTATTTTTCTAAAGGTAAAATATTTTATTAAATTAATTCATTTATATCCATTCCACATTTCTCAGCTATAATACCCAAACTAATTTGAAATTATCCAAAAGTCATTTTGCCATTTGTTAATTATTTATTTTTTTATTAAGTTTTGATAGATTAAACACCACATAATTTTGAATAAATCATATCTGAATCAGTTATAGTAATTAAATTATTTAAAATTCCAGAATGTTATAATAATTTATTAAATTTTGTACTTTTTAAAGATTAAATATTACTAGGTTCTCCATTTTATGCAAAGAACTCAAATAATTTCTTCAATGAAGAAATATAAGATTGATCTATATCTTATAAATATTTTGATTGTTTCATCATAGAAACATTAACCCTACTTTCATCAACTTTCTTATTTGAATTATAAATCTATATATTAGTGTTACTTAGATTATTTTAAGTATTTTAAATCATTTAACTTTATTGTATAAGATTTTCTTATTTATTATATACTCTACTTTTTTCTATATTATAAAATAATCTAACTTTATCACTCTATGTTCTATTTAATTTTCTTAAATATTAACTAAAACCTTCTGATTATTCAATTTTATCAAGCAATAATCTAAATTGTGTAAATTCATCTAAATTTGGTACTGTTTTTGATATTATTATCAAACTTTCAATAAAATTATTCAAACCAAATATATAATTTCCATATTCTTATAAATTTAGTATTGGTTACCTTATTTATATATTATCAAAAATTAATTGAGCTTAAGATTAATTAATATAATTAGGTAATATTTCACATTAAGTTAAAAATTACATAAACTACCATTAAACTTTACTTATATTTGTACTTTAATCTTCAAAAACAAATCTATGTAAATTTGATAATTATTATTAAATTGGTTCTACAAACTCTTTAATTTAATTGCTAATTGGTTATAATAAAAATTAAATTTATTGTCCAAACTCTGTAAATTATAATATTTTCTAAGATAATTAAGATAGATTTTAATTATATAATTTCTGAAATGCTTACTGAACATTAAGTTAAGGATATATAATCTTTGCTAATTTTGGTATAAAGTTCTAAAAATTTTCAAGTGTGAGACTTTCATTATTTTTAGTTTATTAGGCATATAAAATATCACAATCTCTATTTGACAATATATTTGGCATTATTTGAGCATCAGCTAACATTTTAATAAATTTATTAGATTTCAATAACCTAGTATTGTTTCTAGTTCCAAAACTTGCATAAAATTTGAAAATTATTCTGATGTTCAATCTTATATCTTCAATTCCTATAACTTTCTTTTGAGGTGATGCATTTTTACTTTGCTACACTGTTGATTGATGAGTATTACCAAGAGTTTCATTTTGTTATTCTGTTATTACAGGCATTCCAACATTCACTTTAATTTTAGAATAAGAGAGTTATGTGCCTAAATTTAAAGGTTGATTATCTCTTTATAAATATCGATTAAAAGAATCCAATTCATTTTCATCAATATTTTATGTTTTCTTTTAACGATCCATTATCATTTTGCTTATCATAATCGTTAATAAAAATAAATAATAGTAAATAAAATCAATATTTGTTATTCTATACAAATTAATATGAATTTTCATCATTTCACTTGATATATCAATTAAGATTTCTTTATAAGATAATTCTTTTTGATGATGATAAATTTAATAGATTAAGTTAATATAATAAGATGTAATGATTAAATTAAATGCAATTATATTATCTTATATAGATAAATTTTAAATGTATGATTAATCACTTTTTGATTTATTTTACTATCTTAACCTCTTCAACAAGGAATGCTCTAATGATGCGATTTTTTAATGCTCCAGCACTAAGGACACCTCCATATGGTCTAGAGACTGTTCTTTGTCTTCTTGAAAGTTATTTGAGTTTTGTTGGTCTAATTCTTTTAAGACCATTCAAAACAATACTCAAATTAGAATCTGCACATGTTGATGCACTTGTCTTTTTATTTGGATATTAAGTCACAACTCTACCACCTAGAGTAGATGGATTTAAATACCTGGAGTCTTGACCTTTCTGATCTTATTTGATCTTGTGTTATAGCTGGTTCTTCTACGATAAGTGACTCTTACACCCATATATTAAAATCTTAATTAAAAATTTTTTTAATATTTATGGAACAAATTACAGAAGAACAAAAACAAGCAATATCTAAAAAGAACATCTTCATTTTTGAACTCTTAGGGACATTCTTTTTAGTATATATAAGTGTATGCAGTCAGTAATACAATAAAATACAATTAGAAATGAAGCATATTAAGTAGCATTGGGATTATTTGGATGTATGCTTGTATTTGGTAGATTAAGTGGAGGTCATTTCAATCCAGCAATAACATTAGCTATGGCTTTAGGTGGAGGTATACCATATGGCACAATGTTTTTCTACTTCTTACCTCAATTTTTAGGAGCATTTGGTGGAGCTGCATTATCATTTTTATTATTGAATATGGACAAGGCTCCATATATAGAAGAGTAAGAAATTAAAATAAATTAGTGAACCTATTAAAGAATTAGCTGCCTCATTATTTGGAGAAATGATTGGATCCACAATCTTTTTGATATTTGCATTAATTTGCTTTGTTAAAGAGACTTCATTATCTTAAAATAGAATAGCTACATTAGTCATCCTATCATGTATATATTATGCTTGCAGAGAGTAATATTATCAAATATATTTTGATAGATATACAATTACATCTAGTAATAGTTTACTTAATCCAGCTGCTGCTCTAAGTCTGACTGTCTTTGATTGTTTAGCCAAGAATTGGGATTAGATGATTAATATGTGGATTTATGTGGGAGGACCAATAGGAGCTGCAATTTTGGCAACAATGTTTTATTCACAATTATACCACTCAATTACACATAGAAAATGAATTTTATATAATATTATTCATGAACTAAGATGATTTCGAGGTATTATATATCGATGTAGAGATTATTAAAGATCTCAGTTGAAGTCAGCGATCCAAAGGTTTAATCGGGACTTAACAAGTACACAACTTATTCAGTCCGAGGAATGGATAAGAATGGATAATTTGATGTAATACGTAGGTTTAGTGATTTTCGACTTATTCGTCAATTTCTTATAACAAAGTGGCCTGGTTGTTATATTCCACCACTTCCACCAAGAAAGGCAATTGTATATTTAAATATTCTACAATATTTAGGGAAACATGGATTAGAAGTTCATAGATGATAGAATGAATTCATTATAAGAATGGATGAGGATTATGGCTCAAACTAAATACTTCTGGTATTCTGAAGAATTTTAGTTATTTATTAAGTCTAATGGTGATATTGAAAAAGTAAATAAAACACTTATTTTTAGGCTTTGTCATAAGTACCAAAATTGACTTACGATGAAATAATAAACAAATATTAAGATACTTTTACTGATCTTTCAGGAGTAATTATTTTTTTACTTAATGAATTTAGAGAGAAATCAATAGAGAATTAATTCAAAAAATAACAGATTTTCATTAATTTCTAAAAAGAGTGAATCCAATGGTTGAAAATTTTAAATAAATTGCTAAGTATATTATTTCTAAAAATTATAGAAATATAGCTGAAGCAAAATAAAATTTTTAAGAATAAATGGCTAATTTCTTATAAAATTAATTGGGTGCTTATGAATAGCAAGTTTTGTTAGAGTTTAGTGAGAGTTAAGATAAATTAGTAATATAGAACATAAAAAATGATGAGTATCCATCTTAATTGCTAAATAATTACATTAATTTATTACAATAGAATGAATTTTAATCATTATATTAAGAAATTAAGAAGGAATCAAAATAAGTGAGGGCATTTTTAGAAACAATGATATAAAGAGAGAAATATGAATAGTAGAAGGTGTTTTATGAATAGAAATAAAAGGAACTTTAAATTTAATTGTAAGAAGTATTGGCAGGAAAATCATCAATAAAGAACTTATTTAGTACAACAAAGAAGGAAGATTAAATAGCAAAGTTATAAGTTTAGATTGATTAGGTGTGTAAGGATATTGAAAATATGTAATTTATATGTGATATACTTACTGTATTATTGGGATATATAGAGATTGACAAATTCAAGGTAAAAATTAGGTTGAATGGTAGTTGGAGAAGTAGTAGAATTATTATAGATTGGCAAAGAGCTTAATTTAATATGAAATCCAATTAAACCAAGCATCAGAAGAGTTTTGGGAAAGAGTTTAATAAAATTATAATTTATTGTGATAAATAAATATTAAAATAATGTTATTTATTTAATCATTTTTTTGGTAGATAATATGTATTAGGTACATAATATAAAGGCTTATTTAATTAATTAAGATTAAGTCTATGATAATAATCAGTTTATCGATTTGGTTATCGATCTATACTTTATCTACTTGACAATTGAAAATTTTGATTACTAGTTGGAGTGATTATTGAAGTGGAAATTGGTTATTTGATATGATTTAAACTTTAATGAATGCTCATTTTTTGTTATAAGAAACTTTATGTATTTAATGTTTAAGTTGATTATTTGTTAGATGAACTTTAAGGATATGATAAACATACTTTTAGGTTATTTTCTTTTGATCTTTGAATAATATTAGATTTCTTTTGAAAATTTACATTATCAATATAAAATTGATTAATCATAGTGTAATTATGAACACTATTCATTCTAACAGTTCTAATTTATTTATCACTATGTAGAATAAGAGGTATTTATTATTTATTTTTGATTTACATTTTAATAGCTTCCTCTAAACCTTCTCCAAAATAAGTTAATTTAGGTGAAATCTCAAATTCTTAATTGATTTCAAAACCTAATTAAGACATCCATTTTTAATCTCTTTGCATATAAGCTTAACGTGCTGTATGAATGGTGTCTTTACTTTAATTTGATGGATTAAGGATTGGAGCATATTCATCTTCCCTTTTGACTCTAAATAATCCAAATAATTAAATAGGACAATAAGGAATAGCTACATAATATGTCAATTCAAATTTAAGTGCATTAGGTTATGAGATAGATTTGATTGATCTGGAAGTTATGTAATCAAAATATGTACATTTCTTTTATCTAATATGGAAACTAATTTGATTGTAAATCTCTACTTAGACAAAATATATTTTTTATAATTGCAACAAAGTTCAAGTGCATAATCCAATGAACATAAGATTTAACCAATTACTCCATCTGAATTAGATAAACATCCATTTTAATCTCTTTTGAATAAATCATTATATGTAATTTCATCATATTCTATAATATAAAATTCTAAATGATTATACCTTTATATTATAAACCTTAATCAAATTAATTGATTATAATTCCTAGATTTTCATCAAAACTACGTTTCTGTACACATTTAGCACTTAAATATAATTGATTTTTAATGAATGCACCAATCCAAATAGGATCTCCAAATTTACAAAGTACATTTTCTATAGAACATAAATGAAGAATAGTTATTCCCATTAATTTCATTGTATCTAAAACAGATTAATTTAAATAAATATATCCATTTCCAATGCATTCATCAAAAATTTAAAATTAATTACTAAATAGAATTTGTCCTTCCAAATTAAATAATGGTAATTAATCTTATTAAATAACAAATATCTGATCTTCTTATAAACCAAAATGTTTTTTTTCTGAAAAAAAGCTAGTAATCATATCATGATTAATATTTGTAGTCATAATAAATATCAATATTGGTAAACATTTTCCACAATGTTGTTTGATTAAATTCTAAAGACTCCAAATTCTTTCACAATATAATTGTAACAAACACTTATGTGAAGGCAACTGGATGTCTAACAAACTAATGTTTTGCTGAGCACTCAATACGATTGCCACTAAATAGTGAGGATTGCCTTATACGTTTGCCCTCTGCTATTGTTGTATATCCAATCTCTTAATCCTTCTCATCAAACTCTAAACATCTGATTTTCTCATATGGTTTCATCTATACTATCTTTGATTTGTATTATTGATAAGTCTAACTTCTAAACATAATTTTACTTAATACAGTTATTTTATATCATATTTCTGTAATTTTTGAATAATTTTATTCTATTCTTCTTCATTTAATGTCTGAATATATTTAAGTAGATATCCCTGACCTGCAGATTGATAATCCAATAAACTTGGTGATATCTTTTTCATTAAATAAATTTATTATACCAATAAGTTATTTAGAATTAATTAATAAATAAAATATATTTCAAATATAAATTCATAAAAAATAAGGTAGCACTTTTTAATTAATGATGTCTGAAGTTGAATCTTAAGATTCATCAAATACTAAGAAGTTCTGTTCTAAATTTATATCTAAATTCATTATGCATGCTTTATTTCCACATCTATAACAATAATTAGGAGCTGACCATACAGTCACTAATTATTTCTAATTTTTAATCTCTATTTTACATAAAATTCATATCTATATCCATCCATTATCAATTAATGTGATCTTGTAATCAAAATTAATCCATTAATATGATTGAATTATTCTACTACTTTTTTTCCAAAACATTATCCTCCTCCTCTATGATTAGCTATCCATCCATCTAAATCTTATTCAGGATCTGACCATAATATATCTGCCATAGAACCTTCATAATCATTCGCATTTCTTCGATCTATTCAAAATATAATTATATCAAAACCAATTGGTCGTATCTAATCTATTGATTTTATTTATGGAGACAAACCTCCATGTACACAAAAAACCTTTTGATCCACTAATGCACATAAAGGTAAATAATCAAATACTTCACAAAAGTATTACCAAGGGTGAATGTTCCCATATTTTCTATGCACTTCATCATATAATCCATAAACTTAAGTTTAAGATCTTGATTCATGATTTCCTCTCAATAAAGTAATATTTTTTGGATATTTAATCTTTAAACAAAGCAAGTATTGAAAGGTTTCAACAGAATGATGCCTATAAAAATCAATGAATTTAAATTACCCCCGATTAACATAATCTCCACTAAATAAATAATTCTTATCTGGAATTTAACCTCCTATTTTAAATAGTTCTAATAAATCAAAATATTGTCCATGTATATCTCCACATATTATTACTGGAGTATTTACTTAAACTACATTTGCCTCTTCTACTAAAATTTCTTTAACTAATTCACAAATTATATGAGTATCTCGTTCAGTTAAGCATCTTACATTTCTTAAAATCTCTAAATATTTGTCTATATCCATTTTAATATCAATATAATTTCTCTTGTGTTTATCAATTTTTAGTTATTATTTATCATTTATAATTACAATAAATAAAAAAAATGATCAACAAGAATTTTATTGTTGATTATTTATTAGTTATATATATATATATTCAAAGACAATATAAAAATTATTAAAATAAATATGCTCATAGGTTACTAATAAGTTTATATTATTTAGATATCAATTACAATCTCTTAAGCTTTTCTTCAATTGATGAGTCTTATTCTCTATTTGTCAATACATTCAAATGACTCATATTCTAAGGGATTATTGTACAAAGATAACAACTATCCATTGATGAACCTGTTTCATTTGAAATTTCAGTAATTGGAGTTAATTAGTTTAGTTCTGTAATGCAATGTTGTGTAGTCTTGCAATATTTTAGCATAATTGAATTTAACAACTTAATCAAGTATTAATGTTTTGGTTCTTCATTAAATAAATTGATTTATTGAAAGAAAAATCTAAATTCATATGGAAGTCCTTATAATAATTCATTTGATTTTAAACATTCTATTTTCTTTTTCCCCATCAACTATTCAGGCAATTATTCCCATGGTAAAGTTCCTTTAAATATTATAAAATCATACCTTTTCTCAATTTTATTAGAAGATATCCCAAACTTTCTAAATCATCTTTCTTAGATGATACACGATTGTTTTGAATATAGTATGGCAAAGACTTTTAATTCTAAAATCTTTTTGGTTTTTCATATTTTAAATAAGCTTAACCAAATCCAATTAAATGTAATTAAGAATCATGATCTACTCCTTCTTTTGAAAAAACAATATTTTCAGGACAAATGTTACCATATATAATTTCTTATCTATGAATTCCACTTAAAATTCTAAGTATAGATATTCCTATTGATAATACTGATTATAGGGTTAAAGTTCCATATTTATTTAGAATATCAGCAACTGATTTACCATAATAATCAATAGAATAGTAAAACCTGTATTAATGATTTTTTATACTTTTCATTTGCAACGTAACCATAGTTCAGTATTTTTGGTACTCCTGAAACGAATTTCAATTAGTCAAGTATAATATATTAATTGTAGAGGTACTTTTTATTACCAACCTCAACTTTTAAAACTATTATCTTGAATTTATCTTTCAGATTAGAGATGTAAACTTTTTGGTTTTCGTTTTCATAAATTTCTTTAATTATGTTAAACATCTAAAATGTATCAACATTAGAAATCATTATTTTAAATAGAGAAGTTTCTAAATAATTTATTAATATATATATGAATCATCCAATCTATCTAATTTACAATCATTTATTAATTAGAATAATCAATTAGAGATTCTTATTCATTTAATATATGTGAGAAAGAGATCAGTATAACATTTTTAAAGTAAATAATATTGGAATACTAATTAAAGGTTTTTATAATATTTAATTAGAGAGATAAATAAAATTCTTAATTTATTCTTTAAATAATTAAATAAAACACAATGTTTAATTAACTTAAGAATGAAAATATTATAAGATCAAAAATAAACTATACATATAGTAAACAATAGAATTTTTTAAAATAAATCATAGTTTCTAAGATTGAATGATAATTTTATTAAATATTTTACATTGGGATCAATGTATATATTTTTCAGTATTTATCAGGAGAAGTTCAGAAATTTAATAATTAATTAATTAAAATATACTAAACAATGTCTGACGATAAATTAGATTGCATTAAGGTTTCTTAATAAGTTGCAGATAAACTTAAAAGATAAGTATTAGATTTCAAAAAAATGATGGACTCTTTTCAAAAGAGATTTTAATCAGATCAAAGCAATTAATATTATATTATGTGCTTAAAGTATTTAAATATATTATTCAGGTGGCTAAATCAATGGAAGGAATATGTTTCATATGAAGAATTACTGGCTAACAAAAATCCGAGCAAATACTTTGGAAAACTAAATATGGAGCATATAAACATAAATTTAGAGGATAAAGTTCAAAGATGCTTCAAATATTCTCCAATAAAAGATCACCCATGGAATACATTTATGAAAGAGAATCTCTAAGAAAATATTGATTATATTATAGTTGATAAGGAGATTTGGCAATTCTTTACAACATATTATCATGGTACACCAATTATAAGATGGTCTAATGGATAAGGGACAGATAAAACAGTAGCAGTCAATTTATTAAAAGTATTTATAGAATACTATTATTCGAGTTTAAAAGTGCTTTGCTTTATCCAACAGTAATCAAGTAGATTGCAATGGATACTTTTTAGAAATAATCTTTTGATCATGAATATTTATAAGTTGATAGAAGTATGAAATTGAAAGACTATTATATTTTACTTCAAAAGACTATTACAACATTCACTGGGAATTTTGCAAAAGATAACAATATCAGAATTTGGAGATATTAATCAGATTAGAAAGATGTATTTAAAGCATTCTTTACAGAAATTTAAAAATAAGTTGGAGTATTAGAGAATAATGATGAAATGAGTTTTGATTTTTAGGGTGATTATGTTCATTATTCAATATACGAAACTATTGAAGATGTAGGAATTTTAGATAATCATTTGATTATTATAGAAGTAAAAAAAATGTTATTTAAATAGTTTAAAGATGAATATAAGCCTTGGTGTATTCGTAATAAAGCCGTGTAAATCGAAGGAAAGTGTGAAAATTGTTAAGTTGTTAAAGTGCTTAATCATCCATGTGTATGTAGGAAAGTAACCTATTGTTCATAAGAATGTAAATCTAAAGATTACAACTTTCACAGTATGAGATGTGAGAAATTTGGATCTGATGATGATACTATAAGAGATTTGAGTTAATAACCAAATTCTATTGCAGGATTAGCTGGTTTGAGTAATTTAGGAAATACTTGTTTTATGAATAGTGGCACATAATGTATATCAAATACTATGCCATTAACAGAATATTTTTTAAGTAATCAATATTTTGATGAAATAAATATGGATAATCCTATAGGAACTAAAGGTTAATTAGTAAAAAGAGTAGGATCTCTATTAAAAAAGTTATGGTATGGAGAGAAATCTGTTGTAACACCAACTAATTATAAAAAAGCTGTTGGTTAATTTTAACCAATGTTTAAAGGTTATCATTAACATGATTCATCTGAATTAATTACTTTTGTTTTAGATGGAATTCATGAAGATTTGAATAGAGTTAAAAAGAAACCATATGTTGAAACTAAAGATAGTGATGGAAGAACAGATTTTGTTGTAGCTAAAGAAAGTTGGATAAATCATTTAGCTAGAAATTAATCTATTGTTGTTGATTTGATGTATGGATAATATAAATCAACATTAAAATGTCCAAAATGTGAAAGATTTTCTATCACATTTGATCCTTACTTGATGGTATAATTAGGAATACCAAGTTAAAAGAAAAGAACTATGTCTTTTAAATTTTTTGATTCATTCTTTAATTCAACCTCTAAAATTATTCCATTTGATAAAAATAAGAATATATCATTAAAAGAATATTATCAAGTATTGGGCTAGGAATTAAATGTTAAACCATAAAACTTATTTGCTTATTTTGCTAATTAATATACATCATTTGAAATATTAAGGGAAAATCGATCTATTATTGATATAAGAAAAAGTGCTAAAAGATCATAATTATGCTTTAGGGTATTATAAGATGGAGAAGTTTAAATATAAAATAAATTTTTTGTTTAATTTTCTAATAAATATTAGGAATTTTAAAAAATGTAATATTTTTAGAATGGATTCTTTATTTTTGATGGATCAATAACAAGAAAATAACTGCATTTAAATATATTCTACTACTTAAATTAATTTTTCAAAGATTACTAAAACTTGAATTATGAAAAAGATATATTAAATAAAGTATTTTTTTAATTTATTATTAGTATTACAGTCTTTTTTATAGATCAAATAGTAATTATTGGAATCCATGTTCTTATTGTTAATCTAAAAATTGTAATGATTGTGAAGTGAAATTCGATGATGAAACTCTTGAGGAAACAAAAAATAAAGTTGCTACATCTGATTCATAAAGCAATTTTGAAATAATTATTTTATGGAAAGAAAGTCCATTTAAATCTGTAAATCTTAGTGATATTTTTAATCACTATCATAAACTTAATAAAATTGAAAGTAATTTACAATTAAAATTATTTTAGTTGAAGAATCAACATAATCAAGATCTCCATTTCAGAATCATGGCCATTCAAATTAGCATTCTGCCAGCGTAACTTTAGCTGATTGTTTGTAATTCTCTCAATAACCAGAATAATTGAATTCAGAGAATACATGGTATTGTAAAGTTTGTCAAGAACATGTATAAGCTTTTAAAAGCATGTAAATATATAAGGTTAATTAAATATTTTATATAATTATAGGCTCCATAAATATTAATATTCACTTTAAAACGATTTAAAGCTTCCAATAGAATGTTTAAATCAAAGCTTGAAACTTTTGTTGATTTTCCAATTAATGGACTTGATATGACTGATTATCTAATAAATTCTAAAACACCTCAAGAATATGAAAATGAAACTGAAGATGATAATGGAGAAAATAATAAATAAAGAGTTCTTTATGATTTATATGCTGTATCAAATCATTTTGGTGGTCTTGGAGGAGGTCATTATACAGCTTTTGCTAAAAATAAAGTATTTATTTTATATATTCAATAGTTTACAAAAAAATGGTATAATTTTGATGATTCTCATGTTTCAGAAACAAGTGAATCCTAGGTAATTACAAAAGCAGCCTATGTTCTTTGTTATTAATTGAGAACAGATGAATCTATGAATATGCAAGGGCAGCAAACTTAAACCATATAATAAATAAATGAGTAGTATAATAAATGATAAATTCTTAAAGGCTTAACAATATTTTATTCATTCCTTTTTCTATATATTTTAGATTATCATTTTTATATTACATTTTTATTAGAAAAATTAATTAAAAATAAAAATGATTATTGAAAATGAAGATAGTGATTTGGAAATTATTTCAAAGTATTTTAAAAATGAAGCAGACGAATTTGAAGTTTATGAGGTAATCTAAGATTATAATTTAAAGGCAACAAGATTTCTTAGCTATCATCATAGACAAGATGAAATATTAGAATTAATATCAGATCATTATTCATAATATAAAGAAAAGATAGACACATTAATGAAGTAAAATATATTTAATATTTCAAGCATAGAGGAAGATTCTATTCTATTTGATATGACAATTGATTTATGGAATAAATTTAAATAAAAATCATTATGTATTAAAGATGTTTTAAAATATTTGGATATAAAGACTCCTGTATAAAATTATATCACAAATATCCTATTAAAACTAATTAAGGTGGAAGTTGAGAATAGATTATAGATAGTTACTCTATTAGAAATAAAAAGATATAGATAAGTCATTGTTACATTATAAAATTAATAAGCAATTGAAGATCCTCCCTTGTAGCTTTTAGATTTGTTAATTTTATTACCAAATTATTAATAATTTGAAAGAAGATTTTATGAATAGACTCAAATTTATTATAAAGAATTCATTTTAGATACTAATCCATCATAATCTGTTTAGATTGCAAATATCATTTTTTAAGCTGAAAAAAAACTCTCCAGTAAATTCTTAAATGAATTTTAATTAAGACTTAATGAATTATTAAAACAATTAATATTCAATCAAGTTAATATGAATGATTTAGATTCATTGTACTTCAATACTGAGATTATGCTTCATTATGTAAAATTTGCATAAGAAATAAATGCACTACCTAAATTACTATCAGCACTGTATTCTTTATTATGATTTATAGTCGAAAACATATTTATAAAGAAGTAATATTTATTTTACAACAACAACCAACATCAGCTATTGAAAATATGTTAAATTTAGAAAAGACTTGTCAAACACTTTTTGAACAATTACCAATGGAACATACTAATGCAACTATTATAACTCATGCTATTGAAGTAATTTATTATTATTAAAATTAAGGATGCAGTAAATGAAAATTATGAAAAATATTCTTTCACTCTTGCATCTGTAATCAATCTTTAGAATTAACATTCTATAAAGAAATATAAACATTTAATAAAATATTTAACAGATAAAGAGAGTTTTCAAAATTATTATGTTAAATTTCTTATCAAAAGACTTTTAAAAGAATATAATTAAAATGAATTAGAATTATTGAATGAATTACAACCTTATTGTAATTCTGAATGGATTTCTGAATGTTTAGAATTCATTAAAAATTCAAAAGAATCTCAGAATCTCACTAATTAATTTTTACAAAAGCTTCGTTAAAAAAAGAGTCCAATCTAATTTCATTTTCATTTGATTCCCAAATCAATTTGGCCTTATCAAATTGAGAATTTAATATTACCATCACCATTAAATTAATTTGCAGAAAACTTTATTAAGAATTAATCTGAGGATCTATTATTTTAAAAAAAGAAAATAATATTTCAATCTAGACTAAGCAAACTTAATTTATTAGTCAAAATTGATCATTAATTTGAATTAGAATTACCATTGGCTTAAGGATTGGAATTGCTTAGATTTAATGCTCAAAAAAGCATTAATCAAATAAGCAACTATAAATAATATAATGGACTTATTGTTAGATCTGAAAATAACACTTTTAAAATAAATTATCAATATAAAAATACTAATTAAGTAATGATAATAAATGAAGAAATTTAAATTGAGATGGAAAAGAATCAATAAATTATTTCAGATTATTTATATGTTGTAGATGCTGCTATTGTTAAAATAGTTAAATAGAATAAAAAGATTAATTCAGAAAACTTGATTTAAGCTACTTTCGATTTAATAAAAAAGGAATATCCAAGATTTATTGATTTATGTGAATATGATATAATAGAAAAATAAATTGTTAGTTTATTAGAGAAGGAGATGATTAAATAAAAATTTGATGATTTTGAATTATTATGATAAAATTATTATTAATAAATAATCACTTCTAAAAATATAATGTGAATAAAAAAATATTTACATATTTAAATATAGTTATTATAATTTAATTATATATTTTAGTAATGTAAGATATCTAATAGGAAAAGATAATGTCAAATAATTATAATATAGAAACTGTAGTGGAATAAAATTACTTAAAAATATATCTAAATGAAGAATCCTATTAATAACTCTCAATTGAGTATTTATTAGATTGTCTCAATATTTCAGTCAATAGGTATTTTTAAATTCTTATTTAAGAGTAGTCATCATTATTAAGTATTAAGTTTTCTTTTAATTTATTCAATAAAATTTGATATTGGAAATGATTAGAAAGGCTCCTAAATTACATTCAATTTTTATTTTAGGAGATCAATAAATCGATGAATTGAAAGATAAAAATATATTTAGAGTGGATTCTATAAATGAAATAGATAATATCTTAAAAAGTTTAGAGAAGAAAAACAGTTTTGAAAGTGAAAAACTTAACAAATATGGTGTACCAATAATTTTATAAGAATTATTAAAATACTTCAAAAATAATATGAACCATGAAGGATTATTTAGAAAATGTGCAGTAAATAGTGAAATTTAAGAATTAATGGAGGAAATAAGAAATTATGATTTCAAAAGAATTCAATCTGCAAATCCACATTTAGTGGCATGTGCATTAAAATAGTATTTAAATTAATTACAAATTCCTTTAATAAATACAGAATTAATATTTTCAAATGAAATTAATGTTATTGGTGTAATTAATGATCTATCAGAGATAAATGCTAGAGTATTTTTTATGGTTATATCATTTTTTCAAGAAGTAGCTAAGTGTGAAGAGTAAAACAAAATGAATACAAAAACATTAGGAATGTTAATTGCACCTTCAATAATGAAATTATCTAATTAATGTGATAATCCTTTGGAAAAAATTAATAAAACAATTATGTTTTTATAGAAATTTTTAGAAAGTTTTCACAAATTTTTTCCAAATTTTCATTATGAAGAACTTTTAGAATATGAAGAAATAGATATTGGAAATGAAGTAGCAGATATAGATTTGAGGGAAGAATGGGGAAGAATTAATAATGTAAAATAACATATAATATGAATGAAAATTATTAAGAGTAATTTTAATTATATTATTTCATGCCACCTAAAACTAGAAGAAATGAGCTTAGTTCATATCAGCTCAAAGTAATTGATAATACATAAAACTAATAGGAAGAAGGGAACAAGGCTTTTCTGAATAGTGAATATGATAAAGCACTTGCTCTATATACAAAAGCCATTTGTAAGAATTGTCTTTATAGTTTTTAGAGATTGAAGAAAATCCCATCTACTTTAATAATCGTTCCTAAGCATATTTTTATTTAGATGATTTAGAATTAGCCCTCTAAGACTGTAATAGAGCCTTATTGTTAAATCCAAATTATATCAAGGCCTTATTAAATAAAGCTTAAATTCTTTATGAAATGGGTTACATTCAAGTATCTATTTGATCTTAACTAGGATGCTATTTAATGTTTAGAATCTTCAGGCAATCATACATCAGAAATTGAGAAATAATTGAATTATTATAAAACATTAGCTCTCTAAGTAAAACTGATATTTCAATAAGTCTTCGATTGATTCAGGAGAGCTCGATAAATAGAAGAGACTTTTAGAATGGCTTAAGAATGGATAGGCACTTTTCCCTAAAATAAAGATTGAATGTTATGCTGAAGATTATCGAGGAGTCAATGCAAGGAAAGCAATAAGTTCAAAAGAAGTCATCCTTTTCGTTCCTAGATCTCATATGATAACTTTAGAAATGGCAAAAGAAACACCAGTAGCTAAAAAAATAATTCAATATAGACTTGATTTATTATCACCAAAACACTCATTTCTCTCAACTTTTTTATTATAAGAAAAGAAAAAATAGGATTCATTTTGGAAACCATATTTGGATGTTCTTCCAAAATCATACTCTAATTTTCCAATCTTTTTTAATGATAATGATTTGGATTGGTTAAAAGGATCTCCTTTTTTAAGTATTATACATTTTTATTAATATTTATAGAATAAGTCAAAGATAAAATTACAGATTTGAAAAAAGATTATTGTGACATTTGTTAAGTAGCTCCAGAATTCCTTTAAAATTCATTTGATGAATTTTGTTGGGCCAGAATGACTGCAAGTAGCAGAATATTTGGTATTAATATTAAAGGAGTTAAAACTGATGCTTTTGTTCCTCTTGCAGATATGCTTAATCATAAGCGTCCTAAATTAACATCTTGGTGTTATTCTGATGAAAGATAAGGATTTATCATAGAAACAGATGAAAACATTGAAAAAGGTTAAATGATTTTTGATAGCTATGGCAGTAAATGTAATTCAAGATTTTTACTCAATTATGGTTTTGTTGTTGATGATAACAATGCAAATGAAGTAAATGTGATTGTTGAACCAGATGGACCTATTCCATTGATTTAATTAAAAGAAGGACTAATAAGAGATATATTATAATTTCCAAAATCTTTTAGATTAGTTATTGATCCAGATGGTATGTTAATCTTTAGTATTATTTTAGATGTAAATTTTTCTGATTTTATGAGTTTCATTAGATTCATTCTTATTAAAGATGAAAATGAATTCATAAATCTATAAGGAAAAAATTCTTATATAAAACCTACTAAAATCCCCTTTATTGGAATAAAAAATGAATTAGCTATGTGGAATTTCATTGAAAATATATGTATCCATGCTCTTAATCAATATCCAACAAATTTAGATGTAAGATTTTTATTTTATTTTTAAGTAAGACTTAGAAATACTAAAGATATGTGAATTGACAATTAATCAAAGGAATTGTCTAATATTACGAATTGGTGAAAAAAAAATACTTAACTTTTATAAATAATTCAGTGAAAAAATGAAAAAGTTATTTTTAAATTTTGATTTTTTTGTAAGCTATTTTATTTTTATAAATAGGAATTAAAAAAATTCCAATAAATTCAAGAAAATTATCATTACTTCAATTATTTAAACAGGATTAATAATTATCTAAAAATTCAAAACTGAAAAATTATAATTATAAATAAATTTCAATTTATTATAATAAATGAAAAAACAATTATATATATATATATACTAAAAAATAAATTAATATTTATTAGATAATTTATAATCATAAATATTATTTCATAAAATTCTCTATAACAACTCTTAATTCGTTTAAATTTTAATCAATTGTTTTTGGAAATCCTATGGCAGTGCCATTCAATATCAATACATTTTAATTTGGAAAGGATGTATAAAGTGCTGGAATCTAATTTAAACTAGATATTGTGTAAATTTTTAAACTAAATATATTTTATAATAAATACTTTGTTTTTATATCTTTTAAAATAGTTAATAAGGCTTCTGTCATAGCATCATTTTAATAATATAAAATTATTTGCTTATTATTATTTTGATTACTATTAAGGAAATTGAAATAATCTAAATTAATTTCCTAAATCTTATCAAGATCCTAAGATAAGTAATCAATATTATTTATTCTCTCTTAAGAAGTTTATTAAAGTAAATTATTTAATTGTTAATCAATTACTTCAAATCTCTCTACAAATTATGTATCTTTTAAAAAATATTTTTCATAGAGTTTAGCTGTTTATGGAAATAATTATTTTGAATATGATATAGAATTAAAAATATTAAAGAGAACAAACTTGCTTTAAAATTTGTTAAGGTGAGGCAACAATTCTTCTAATTAATTTGTTGCTGATATAACAAATTCTAATTTATCCTTATATTTATCATAAAGTTTAAAAAATAAAGATATTCTTATATGATTCTAATAATTATAATAATAAATTAATATACATCTAATCTATTTTAATGTTTAGGATCTAATTGTAGACTAACAACTAATTTATCATTTTGATTTTTATGATTTTGAATTTTTCTAATAAATGCAGCTATACTACTTTTTCTACTATTCTTCAAATAAAAAACTCTAGGTAAACTAAATTATTAAAGTTCAAATGTAAATTGATTTTTTAATTGTTTTTTATCAAGATCTGTATTTGATTGAAGTTTATTATTTTATTATTTCCATTCATTAAAAGAATCATATTTCAAATTATTAATTTCTTTATAATTTATGAATTGGGGTATAATTTAATTTTTTTCATTGATTATGCAATTTTAATATTTTTATAAGATGTCATTTCTGAATAATAGAATATCATCATCTTTTAAATTTAATTATTAACATAATTCTTTATTTTCTATAATTAAAAATTTAGAGTTTTAATTAATAGTTTTCTTTTCTAAAAACTAAAAGGATATTTTCTTAAATTATTTAACTTTAGCATCATTGCTATTAGATTTAATAAAAACAGGAGAATCTAATTAATAATAACTTTCTAAAATAATAGATTCGAACTATTCCTTTGTTGTAACAGTTTAGTACAAATCAAAAAATCTCGATACTCGTGTTCTATTGTGATTAATAGGTATTACAAAATTTTATCTAAATTATTTTCTTGATAAAAGTTGTGTTTTTTAAAAGGAAAGTAAACATAATCATCTGAATGAGGAGTTTTAAAAAATATTTCAATTTTCTAAAAATCATCTTCCTCATATATCTTTATATTTTTAACACTATTGACTAATTTAGTGATAGATTTTAAAGATGGTCTAGAAACAGTGTAAATATGACCTAAATTATATAAAATATAATACAATTAATTTATAGTTTATCTGATATTTATTACAATTTTTTGGCTACTTCAATGGCTTCTCTTTCACCATATCCTCCATCAATTTCATCTTTATAGATAACCAAAAAGAAATAATCTTATCTATTTCCAAGAACATTTTAAACAAAGATTTATTAATTCATTTATCGTACTTTGAAAGTGATATAGAATATGATTTACTTTCATTAGAACAATGAATAGGTTAATTTCTATATTAATTATAGATTAAATAAGGTAAGGCTAAACAACTGATTCTGGTAAACAATTTAGGTAATGTAAAATTCCTGAGGACTCTAAGTCGATTCATATAAATATTTAATAATTAAATAAAATGCAGAATTATGCACTTTTGGGAATCACTCTTGTTTTAGTGGTTGTATATATGTTAATGACTACTATTGAAAAGACTTCATCATATTTTGGAAAAAGATCATCACTTAATCAAATTGAAGACAAATATGAGTCATTAAGAAAATAGAGAAGAGAAATGCTTGTAAGTTTATAGTTTGATTATAGTAACATTATTACTGGGCTTAATCTAATAATGAAAGAGATAAGGAGAAGAAACTTGAAACTTAAATCTTTAAGATTGATGATGAATTAGAAGAGTTGAGAAATGACTTTGAATCACTTAAAGCTGGTAAGAAAGTTCCTTTGAAGAAAATATGATTTAAATACATTCATAAATCAGACATCATCTCAAAGTTTTTTATATTATTCAAAAAGTCTAATTATCTATTTATTTCAATTAATATATATATACTTTAGTTTTATTGTAATGTCTGGCCATATCTATTGGAGTTATATTTTATTAATCCATTATATAAGGATCAGCTCCATTTTAAAGTAACCTAAAAATAACAATTTAATATTACCATTCCACAAAATCTTAATTTCCTTTTAAAACTGCAATATGAAGTGGAGTAATTCCATCATAATTTTAGGAATTAATATCATTTGCAGAATAAACAAAATGTGATTATTTCATCATCATTATTCTATTCTTTTGAACTGCTTCAAATAGTAAATCTACTTTTATTTTATTTTATTGTAAAGGTAATCTTAAACTTTAAAAAGTTTTAGGAGTTGGTGTAGAAATTCCAGTACTTAGATTAAAACTTTTCTTTTCACTATTCTTTCTACTATTTTCATCAGTTCTAATATTACCAAAGTTTATTTAATCTTTAGCAATTGCTTTACATCTCTCTAATTATTTATTAAGATAAAAAAATGAAACTTATTAATCTTATCCCATTTCTATTTGATGAACCATATTTTCACAATTATCTTTAAATAAATAATATATTTATTTTCTTCTCTCTTCAAGTTTTTGTCTTAGTTTCTTTTCTCTAAATAAAGATCTCAATTTTCTTTAAATAACTATTGCAGCCCTTATTTCTTTTTAAGTAGGTTAATAATTAGGACTCTTCCAATGTTCTAATTCTGGTTAAGTAGGAGGACCTCCTGAATAAAACTTTTTAAAATTCTTCCTTTATCTTAATGCAGGATGACTTTTTAATCCAAGTTTGAATTTTTCCTGTTCATATTTATTATATTAAGCAGATATAGGATTTATATAAGCTAATTCATTTTCTTCAGCTTCTAATTTTTTATCTATTAGTAATTTTGTAGATGGATGAAAAAGATGTCTTTTAATATTTGATGTAAATTATCCTCCTATTGTACTCTTAGGTCTAGCCATGGCTTTTAAGTATTCTTGTCTTTTATTTTTAACAGAAGTTCCCCTTGGACTTTAAGGTTAAGGTTATTTTTATGTTTTCAATTATTATTATGATGAATAATTGTATTAATTATCTTCCTCACTAAAATCTATATATTATTTTCTTCTCTCTTTTTCAAGAACATAATCATATAATTTATTGATGAATTATTTTTCAGTTATTTTGCCCATCAAAAAATCTTTAAGTTAAGTTGCTCCTGGAATTTCACTTGGTATTTTCTCTTCAAATTTACCTGTTCTTTCCATATGTTTAACAACAGTCTTACATACTTTAATATATTTTCTATTTAATTCCATATTATATGCATCTATTGATTATTTTAATAAAAGTTATTCTCTTTTTACTAATTTCTCTTTTGTCTTTTATATTTTCACTCTAATATATTATAATCTTGCCTTCATGGTTGCTGCTTTCATTTCTTCATAATCATTTAATATTTATTCAGCTAAAGATAATTCCATATTAAAAAGGAGATCAGGATTAACTTAATTAGCAGCTTTTTAAAAGAAATCACGATCCAAACAAGCATTTAATAATTCACTTGTGTTAGCTAAAAATTAAAGTTCTTATGCTGTAAGAAATTCACCATCTGTATATTTATTTAAGATATGTTCTCTTTATTATTTCTTTTTCTCATTTAATGTCATTTATTATAAAATAGGTAGAAATCCTAAATCATTCCAATTAGAACAAGCAATTTCATTTCTATATAATATAAATACAAATACGTAAATAATTATTTAGTTTAACTTCTTTATTTTGTAAATATTGATTCTTATTAATTATCCCAAACAACTTCATATAATGAATGTTTAGTATTATCTTATTTATTAGTATCATCATTCTATTAATTTACTTATTTATTTTATTTTTCTTTAATTTATTTCAATCTATCTTAACCTAAAGATTTTAAAAAATGAAATTCATTAGAATGACCATACTTTTCCATATTTTCAAATATATTACGAGTTGTAATTACTTATACATTTTTAAGCATTAAAGGTTAATTCTAAGACTTAATTGCTAATTATTAATTTTCATAATCATTTAATTTATCAACTACAATTTATCGTAACTTATTTTTCAATTATTCATATTTTGTTTTTAATTATAACCATTTGAAATGTCTCTTAGTTTAATTATTTAATTTCTCTTTCTTCATTTATTAATCAACTTCCTTGCATTTCTATTCTTTTAGAAAAATCTTGTCTGACCAATTTTTAAGTAATGTATCAATGGTACTATTCATTTGGTGCTTAATGTATTCGCTTGCTTAATTAGGATTAATTACTGTCTCTCTTGCGCAGTCTTTAACTAGTTTAAGTTTGTAGGATTAATGTCAAATGCCTTCAAAATACTAAAAAACAAAATAATTATAAATAAGAACCTTTAACTCATTCTATTTAATGGTTAACTCTAATGTTATAATATATTAGTCATTTATAATCCTTATACTGCAGTTTATATAAGAATTGATCCAAATAAAGATGTGGGACTATTGAATTCAGGATCACTATTCTCTTCAAATTACTTAAATTTTTGATCTATTTCTTTATAATTATCATATTCATATTTTGGATGTGGTGTCTTAATCTTATTGATTCTTTCCCAAGTTTTTATTGATTTATATTTCTGCATATTAATAATAATTCAATAATTTAACACATAAACTAAATGTTTCTTAGACTAATGTATAGCTATAATATTATTAATTTAATCAATCATATATATTATTCATTAGTTCAATTACATGATATTAATAAATAAATAAATCAATTAGAAATGGATATTACTTTGACTTTTAAAGATCCTCAAGAAGAAATCAATTATGGAATTTATTCACATAAAATAGACTTTAATTTATTTAGAAGACTTCTCTACAGTATGTTGCTTGGGTCTTTTTCAGGGTCTATTTATTTTCTAATTATTGGAAACTATTTATATATTACTTTGGGCAGCTACATGTTTGTTTAGACAATTATTGCTATTTTGCTTTCCAAAAAATCCATATAATATCTTAATATTGTTGCTTTAGTGTATCAGATCGAAATTTAAACACTGTTAGCTACCCTAATTACTTTATTAGACAGCTCTTTGCATCGAGGCACCATAATGATGATCACCACTGCTGCATTTCAAATGTCAGTGTGGTAAATTTGATATATAAAAGTCTTTAGCTTATCCATAGGGACAAAGTGTACTTTGAAACTTCTAGTGAGCCTATATTCAACCATAATTTAATTAGTACTTAGTTTACTTATTGAAACAGTAAGTCTAGTTTGGATAGGATTTGCATTCTTCTCTTTATTGTTTGCCTTTCAAGTGACATATTACTAAGAATTTGAAAAGAGATAAAAGTATACTCTACACTAAAATGCTTAAAAAATAAAAGAGAATTTATTAAATCAAATTGAAATACCCATTCTTAAATGTTTCAGTAATGAAAATGATATTAAATTGATTTATTCAGAATCTAATAAATGTGCCTAGACTACACTTAGAATTACTGATCAAAACAGTTTTATCAAATTCACTAGAGATGTCATCATTTTAGAAGGTAAAACCACATCAATATTAACAAAATAATCATCTACTTTGCAATTTTCAGGAAAATAGAATTTGGAATAATTGATTCATAGATTTTTTAAAAAACAAGTTGGAGAGGATTCAATACTTCATAAAACTTTTTAGGCCTATAGATGTAGAGTTAAACACTTATCTTAAGAATATTTGTGTTAATTAATATTATTACATGAAGATTAACCATTATGTGTAATATATCTATAAAAAACTTATGATGATTTTATTGTAAAAACAAATGAAAAAATGATTGTTTTAAATTAATTATTAAAGAGATGTGTTAAAGAAAATTTTGAGAAAATTAGTACTTAATAAGAATGTATATCTTTATTATATAAAAATTTAAAGTAAAACAATTTAATTGAAATCATTAATAAATTAGCTTAAGAACTCTTTTCATTAAATATCTACTTTGCTAATTGTAAAATATTGTTTAATTCTTAACATTTACACTTTTCAACCAAAAAACAACATAATCTAACAGGTCTTATTTAATCAATAGTATTCCATTTTAAACATTCCTTATAATTTAAATCTATTTCTGTATCTCTTAAAGCAAAATCTGATATTATAGTTGAAGAAAATGAAATTCTTATTAGATAATTACTTTATAACATAATTGAGAATGCTATTCAATTTGCTAAAGATAAGATAAAGATTGAAATCAACTAATTTTTTGATAGCAATATTAAACATTAAATTGTTGAAGTTAAATTTGTTAATTCTATAGATTAAAGTAATCTAAAAAATAATAATGATAATAAATAATTAAGAATGGGACATTTGGTTATAAATAAGATTTTAAAATTAATAAGCCCATACTCTTAATTATAAATCTAATAAGATGAAAGTAATTATAGTGTAAAGTTTTATTTGTTTCAACAATTTTGATTTTTGTTAAATATAAACTTTATATAAAAATAATTTAACATATATTTTAATTTAAATAATAACTGATTCAATCATGATAAAAAGAAATAGTACAAGTAGAGTACCCAAAATAGAAATTTAGACAGAATTATTGTCTATTAAATTAATCTAACATAATCCAAACATTAATTTTGACAAATATGATTGGTGTCAAAAGTTTTCAGAAATTATACATGCTGATAAATTGAAATCTCAAATTGCTGTTTCTAATGACAAAGTATCAATTCTTAAAGGCAAAAATATATATTCTTGGGGAGTTATTGATAAATCATTTACTTTTAAATAAGAAAAATCAGATATCCTAGATACAATTACAATTGATTCAAGATGTTTCATTTTAGATAAAGATAAAAAAGTTTATAAATCTAATGATAAATAAATATTATTTACAAATGTTAAAGCAATTAGAAACTTTTAAAATGCCTTAATACTTCTTACAAGTGATAATCAATTATTGGATGAGAAATAAAATAAACTCAAATAAAATATTGAGGATGTTTAAAGTAGTAATGAATTCTTAGTTATTTAAACAAAAAATAATATCACTATAGCTGGAAAGTTTCCTTTTTAATAAATTTTTGATGTAAAAGCAATGAAAATTTCTTGTGGTTTATAACATGTTATGTGTCTTTCATAGGAAGGCTAACTTTATATTTGGGGAGAAGGTAAATCAGGATAAATTGGAAATGGATCATTAAAATAATAGTAATGGCCATAACTTGTAATGACTAATGTCTAAGATATAGCTGCTGGAACTGAATCTTCCACTTTATTAAAAGCTAATAGAATTTACTATTGTGGAACCAATGAATTAATTAATAAATAACATACATTCATTCCTTATTAATCAGATTATATTTTTATTAGGATTTACTCATGTTGGAGTCAAATAATGGATGTTTAATATGCACATTATGTTGATTTTGATTAAGAATTATATGAAGAGTTGAATAAAATAGTAAAATAAATAGAAGATGATGATTTATTATTACCTGATGAAAATTTAACCAGATAAACAAAAGCTATGAGTACTCATGAATCACAAATGATAAAAAAACCACTTCCACCTTAAATATTTGGATAATAAACAAAAACATCAACTAATTCAAGTATAATAAAAAGCAAAAGTAAGACACCTTAAAAAAAATTAAAATTTTAATTAGATTGAAAAATAATTAATATATGTTTTCCATTTATTTATTAATATATCACATCATTGATTTAAAAATTTTAGATAATAATTTAATTTTCCAATTGATTTTTATTTCAGAATCTGAGAGTATTTCTTCCTTTGTTATTTTTTCAGAATAGTTTAATAATTAACTTTATTCTTTTTTTAAATCCTATTTAAACATAGGACATTGTGTAAAAATATAAGCTTAAATTTCATTATCTCTTTTTTCTGATCTGTAAGCATAATTTGAGCTACCTATAATTGTCATTATAGAACCATCTTAAAGTTCAGCCCAAAACCCTTTAGTATGAAATGTCCAACCATTTCTTTTGTATTCAAATATTGGTTTATCAATAGCCAATTCAAAATAACGATATAAAAAAGGAATAAATGATTTAGCTTTACCAGCCTTATGAAATCCATTTGCTCCTGGACTAGCAGTAATAAATTTAATATCAGTCTTGCAATTATTCACAAAATTAATAATAGTTTTAGTAAAATTCATATATCCAGATGCCCAAGTCACAGCTTTATATAATATAAATTTGATATACATGTAAATTAATCTAAATTTTCTAGAATTTTCATAAAAACTAATTTGTCCTCATCAGTTTATAAATATGGAATATGTAGAGTAATTAGTACAGTACATTCTTCTCCCTCATCTAATTCTCTTTCTTCATCTTTATATAGAGCCTTCTCTAATCTATTAATAATATTTTGAACATCTCCCTTATTGAAACTCTTATTTAATCTTCACTATGATTAATACTTAATATACATTAATTTTGCTTATTCTTTTCTTTCTTATATTTTCTGCTCTACTATTAAATCTCTTTCATAAAATTATAACATTTCTTCTTTAGATAATTCTTCTTCTTATTCTTATTCTTATTTTATATTATTATTATTATCCTCTTCTTGCTTTTATACTTTTTCTTATTATTATTCTTAATATTCTTCATCATCACTTTTAATTTCAGCTGCTTCTTTATAACTAAATTTGAAGATCTTCCAAGTTTAATGGAATTCTTTAAAATATTATTATCTTTTAAAAGGTTGAGCTCTTAAAGGATCAAATTTAGAATTTGAATCAAAATCTACATAATAAGAATGTTATAATAATGCTGATTATGCATCATCTAAATAATCTGCTAATTCATTAGCTTCATGAAATACCATATATCTATCTTATCTATTAATAAAGTACTGTTCTTATAAATTAGCTATATATTAAATTATTAAATTACCTCCGGTTAAAATTACTCGATTATCAAAGATGTACCATTTCATATGATGAACATTGAAAATTTCTCTAGCTGCAGATTCTTCAAGCATATTTACAAATTATGGAAGTAAAGGATGTCTCATTAATCCAAGTTTCATATTATTTGAATATAAATTTTGCATTCTCAAATAAAGATAATGATCTATTGGTGTGGAGTGATTTTTCTTATCTCTTCTTGTCCCTCTATAATAGTCCATTAATAAAGAAATTCTTAACTATTCAAATCTCCTTTATTAATTAGACAGACTCTCTATTAAAAATTCTTCCATATTTCCATTTCCAATATATAAAGTACTCCATACAATTCTCTTTTAAGCATTTTTTATTCCTTTATGTAAATTGACATAAAAGTCTACAGGATCTTTTAGTATTTCAATCTATGCTGTATTTAACTTAAAAAATGGCTTATGAAACTTTAAATTATTTAACAATTAATTCATTAATTATTATTATTTTATTCAAACAATGATCACTTTTAAATAATATTAGCATCAAAACATATTTAAGATCTCCTTATTTGCTCCAAAAAAGATATTCTATTCTTATATCAATGTAAAATTGTAATAATACAAAATAATTTTATATTGATGTAAGGTGCTTGTTAGTTAATATTATATTAATTTTATATTCATTAAAATATTGTATCTACTAACATGAATATTCTTAAAGATTATAAAGAAAAGAATTGATCAATAAATTTATATTAAATTAATTTAACTGAGTACAAGTATGGATAATATCGATGCAAGATAGTACTTTAAAGTAGGAAACAGGAAATCTTAATCAGGATGTCATGAAGATATAGTGATGAGAACTTAATCCTAAGAAGAAGATTTGAAAGATCTTGAATGTTAACTTCAAAAGAAAATGTGCCTAAATGAAAATGAATGTTTTTTCATTGAAGAAATCCTATACACAGATCCATATGAACCAGAAGCATTACTTGATGAGAATATATGTATAAATCAAGATGTCACTTTCAACCCTCAATATTATTTAAACAATGAGAATTCAATAATAGCATGAAATATTTTATTAAAATCAATGAATTAATCTCACCCATTAAAAAAAAGTATATTTCTAAGAGCTATAAAGTTAGTTCCAATCAAAATAATCTTTTTTATATACATGATTTAAATAATTCATTTTTTTCTATTATGTGGAAGAATTTTACATAATAAAATATTAATTACAAAAAGAAAAGAAAACTTAAATATTTTGTTGGAATTCTAAATTTTATTATATTCTCAAATGTAATACATTTTAAATTCTCAAATATTTTAAAGAAACTTATTTAATTATTTTTTTGACTAAGTTTAACAAATATAATCATAAACTTTCAAAAATAGAGAGATATTATAAGATTCAAAACTTTATTTTGGTTATCTTTAAATTTTCAATGACATATTTCATTATTAAATTTCTTTAAATAAATTTTAATTTTTCTTAGTCTTAAATTATAAATTAATGAATTCTTTTTTTATTAATTATGAATAGTTTATAAAAATAATCATTAGAGCCAAAAATATTTAGATAAGAATTATATTAAAACTATAAGATTTTTGTTATCATAAAACAATTCTATATAATTATATAACCAAAGAATACATAAAGAGATTAATAAAATTAACATCAGAAAATATGTAATAAATTTATTATGCATGTATCTTAATCTCATGTTCTTATTTATTTTATTTTAATTTAACAAATCTTTATCATTTATAAATATAAATCATCTTTTTAAAAATAAACCTTAATAAGTGGAAATGATAGTTTTTACAAGTTTATCATTGTAAACACCATTCATTTTAACTTACATCATACTTTTTGTACATGATATCATTATTTCATATTCCTCATCACTATATTGTGCTTAAGCTAAAACACTTATTTCAGTATCAGATTGACTAATAACTTCAAATTCTGATAATAAATTAGGTATAGAATTTTGAAATCCTGTTTAAAATGGTTTACATTAATAAAAAAAGGACTAAGGTATTTGACCACATGATTTAAAAGTTAAATATTTATTGATTGTACAAGGAATACCAAATTTTATACATCTATCCTAAAATCCAATTTAAGCTTCTTATAAAACATAAGGTATTTCTTTAATAGATATTTCTAATCTAATTTATTATATTTCTCCAGGATTTAATTCATTTTTAATTTCATCTAATAGATAAGTAACTAGTTATTTAACTTCTTATAATTAAAATGTTAAACCAGTTATTAAATAATTTGATTTATTTTCAAAAGATAATGTAATAAATAACTTATTATTTTTAAATTATGTATGAGTTGTTATTTATATTAAATCGTCTTAATGTATTATTGATTTAGATGTAAAACATGCTTATCTAAATCTAGTGTTAAAAATAGTTGGATTAACAGCAAATATTGTTGGATCATATTCTAGAATAGGAGGCATGATAATTTTGGATTATCTATGTATTGCCTTTTAATCATTTTATTTTTATGATGATGATGGATTACATTCAACAATATTTCTTTTAGAATTTGAATTAGAGTTCACTCCACCATTTTAATTTGATAAACTATTTTTTTTATCATTAATTTTTAATAATTAATCTTTCAATTAAGTAATTTATCTTTTTTAACAAATCATAATTTATTCATATTAAACTAAATTAGATTTTTATTTATATAATTTAAAATCTTCTTTAGTTTAATTATCCTCTTTTTCTATTTTAGTTCCTTTTGCAATTTTTTGAGATAATTGAGAAATTCTAGCTGATAATAATTTATTTTCAGTCAATAATACATCCTTATCATGTTTAATTTTATCATAAATACTATCAGATTCATCTAATTATTTGTTTAAATATTCATTTTCAGCTCTTAATCTATGACATTCTATTTCAGAGTATGAAAGTCCATATTCTATACGAAATTCAGCTATCTAAACACTATAGCAGTTAATTATTACATTTTTTTCATAAGAAGCAAGAATAAATGGATTTTTTGATAGATGATTTTTTTAATAGTCTTCAAATAATTTTTCATATTTCTTTTGTAATACTTTATAATTTGTTTCATATCGTTCTATTAATAATTACTTCTCTTTTATAGCTGATTTTAATAATGAATTTTAGTTTTAAGTTTCAATTATTTATTTTTATAATTCTTACATTTTTTATTAATGCATATTATTAAGATATGTAAGTTATTAATTTTCAATTTGCAATCTTTGTAATTAAGTCCATTCTTCATGTTCTTCCATTTTCTTTATTTCTTAAAATTTTGGATCACGCTCTAAAAAAATATTGGCTAATTTAGCTTATTTATGTTTTTTAATTATATGTGTTTTGACTATAATTTAAAATAATTCGGCATAAGATGAATATTAAGTCTGATGATATTCCTCAGGAAGATGAGATTCTAAATATCTACAGATCTCTTTTGTACTTGATTTAGCATTTTAACTTAAAAAACTTTTTAATTGCATCATCATAGATAAAGGAGGAAAAGTTGAAGGCAAATTTGTATGAACTTAATTATGATCAAAATATTGAATTTCTGGAAATTACACACCTAAATTGAATAATCTTTCATATGCTACACGATATAGACTTAATCTATGATGAATATTATCTAAAGGAAACCATCTTCCCCAAATCCTAATACATTCTAGAGTTACTCTCAAAAATTGATCACCTATTGTCTGCAACTCTTTGTTACCTTAACTACTTTTGTACTCTACATACCTTAGTGGGGTTTTTGATTTCCTAAAAAATACAGTTTGCCTCTATCAAAGTCTTTAGATTCAATTTAAAATAGAGCTATCTATTCCATTTTAGGGAGAACAATTTTTTACATCAAATGAATGTAATCCTCATTAAATGTCTCAGCCAATTCTTTATTGAACTAAAATAGGGATCACTTAGAATTCTTACTTTGAGTGTTAAGAGACGTAAAATAGGTGATTCATCATTGTCAATTAGGAAATTTGCCAAACATTATTGAACTTGTTTACTATAAAATCTTTTTCATAAACAATTTTTACTTATCACCAAAAAGTACTCTTAATTTGATATCTTTAACATAAGGATAAGTTTCATAGGAGCTTAAGTAAGATCGTAATTAATTTTGTAATTCCATTAAATAAAATATGAATGATGAGAATTTGCCACTTATAGACAAATAAGAAGAAACTCAAGGTTACATTGAATTACTTCAATTACATAAGTCATTTATTGAAGTTGATCAACCTTCATAAACAATAAGAAGTAAATTAATAAACAACCCCTTTATGGTTCCTATCATTTTTTTGATACTTATTTCCTTAATGATGATTGCAATGCAAATGACTGGCTATTTTGATGCAACAATTATATTTAATTGATTCAATGAGTAATTTATCTATATACTCAATTAGACTTTATCTTTTTTAATACTGTTATAATCTATTTGATTTTATTTTATTCTTATTTTTCATACTTTTACATAATTATCTTAAACATTCAATTATAAATCAATATATTTTGTCTTCATCTTCTTTTTATTTAATTATAATAAGTAAAATTTAAAAAAACATCAATCATATCATAAAAGTATATATAAATAATAATTATCTAAAATAGCTAAAAACTTATTTACTGAAATGAATCTATAATGTAAAAATATATAATTTATTATTAATATTTATATATCAAATATCTCTGATTTGTCTACTCTTTCTACTGAATTTCATATATCTACCTAATTTTCTTACTCATCAAATTATTAAACATAGACTTATATTTATTAATAAAATATTTTGGTATGAAAAGATTCATAAAACTATTTAATACTTCTCTAAGTGTTAAATTATTAAACTTAGAATAAAGATTTAATACAATTTTAAATATCCAGTACCTAATCCATAAGTTTTATAATCTCAATTTTGAGATTATAATTTTATTAATTATTGATGTTATCAAAATTAAATATGAAAATACTATATTATTCCTTAGATTTAGAAATTACAAGAATAAATTTTATATGTTTCAATCTCCTTTTTCCATTTTTATTCTACTAAAATCGAAAATTATTTCTATTATCATATTTTTAATTAAATATTTATATATTAGATGATTAAAAAGTGAGAACAAAAATTATATTTGTAATTAAAAGTAAATTATCAATTACCAAAAATTATATTAATTAATTTGATTTTTTAATCTTTTGTTATATCTCATCCATTTTAATGTCCCTTTAGATTTCATAAAAAATGATCTAATCTATAAATTTTGATAATTTTATTAAAATTATCTGAAACTGCTAACATAGTACCATTTGAAGAAATTGCCCCTTCTGTACAATTTACATTACAATCAAGTTCTAATCCATTCAAAAATTAAAAATAGATTTCATCATTACGTTTTTACTAAGTCTATCTTTATTGTCCTTCAACGCTTCTCTATTAATAACAATTCAAAAAGCAAATTTTACTTGCATGTTTAATTACCATTATTTTTTTCTCATCATTGTATAATAATGGAAATTTGTCATTATCGTATTTTTCAATATTATTTTCAATTTATTGCTAATAAAATTGTACTTTTTATAAATTCTCAAGCTTTAAATGCTATGCTACATCTTAACTTTTCATAAAATGCTATTATGAAAGATTTGTTAAAATATTAACATAATTTTACTAAAAAACTTGCCATACTATTTAATCTTATCCAAAATAGGCTACTCTTGCTCCTACACTACTTCTTTTATATTTGTATATTAAATTCCACTTGAAATTATGAGTTTTTCTTTACCAAATAAAAAAATAACCCTCATAACCAGAGGAAATTAAATTCTATGTTTATTATGTTTTTTCTTCTTCACTCAAAGATAACCAAAAAATTGCTTCTTTATGACCATGTTTTTTAAAAGAATTATCTACTTCATATAATTTTTCGATTAACAATGATTCATTATTTGATTCACCTTCACCCTTAGGTAAACTGTCCATTTTAAATTACAAGATTTGACTATCATAACCACTTGTTAATATAACTAATTTATCATTATTCTCATATAATGAACTATTATTAACCACCCCTATTGATAATATGCAGCTTATTTGACCTTAATGAAGTCCATCTTATTTTTTAATTTTATATTCATTTTGATTATATGAATGAATTTGAACACCATGATTTTATTGATTATTATCAAGATTTATATAAGTAGAAAAAAAATGTCCATTTTTAGTGCCTATAACGAATTCAAGTGAATTATTCTGATTTTTTGGAAAATGAATAGCTGTAATTGTGTCATTGTTAAATAAAAGTTAATTTAATTTTTATTTAGTGTCATTATTTTCATATGATGTAAATGGAATAACTTATATATTTTGAATTTTTTACTTTAACAATTATTTTCAATCTCATAAATACTTATTTGCATTTTTCTATTATTTTCTTCAATCTCTACTATTTTTGAAAAAATTTCAATAGTCTTTTGATAAAAGTTTCCTTGATTTACTTATGATATAATTTTTTCAATTTCTTAAATAGAACTGAGTATCGTATTTTTAATCTTATCTATTTTATTCTCTTAATTATTTTCTTAAATATTTCTTTAATCCTATTAAATATAATTTTAAATCTCTTAAATTTATGTTTGAATATTTTAAGTATTTCTTTTTACCTAACTAATATAATTTTAAATCTCTTAAATATTTAAATTATCATTTTAAACCTATTAAATATAATTTACAATCCCTTAATTATTTCTTCTAGTGTATAAAATATATTCGTAAAATTTTTCACTAGATCCTTTAATCTATTCTTTATATGCTTCTTCTTGAATATTATTTTTATTATTTGAAGAACCTTAATTAAACATGACTTCGTGAATTTGAACCTAGTTTTCACCTGTAATCTAGCTTTCACCTGCAATAGCAATTTTATTATTTTTGTTTGGAATGAATGCTATGGCTTTGACTAAGAATGTTGAAGTTTCAATTATTTTTTCATGCTTTTTAGACTTATATATTAGTTAATAGATATATACCTCTTTTTCATCATTGCTTTAAGACACTTAAGAATAATCTTTCATCATAGATTCACACATTTCCTTTATTTTTTAATCAAAAGTACTTCCTGACATTAATTTTTATTTTTAATATAATAAAAAAAATAAATTCTATTGAAGAAGAATAGATATTATTTGTTTATAGATAATCAAAAAAACTTATTTTTGTGTTCTCCCAAAAACATTTTCAATGTCTTTAAATAATTAAGTAATTAATATGTTTGTATGAATTAATTTTCTCTAAAATAATTAATAATTTAATAATATAATTTAATTTAAAATGGGGAATAATTCAAGTTCTAAATAAAATGTTAAGCAAGAACAAGAACCATAAATTAAGAATCAAGTGCCTGTTAGTTCAATTACATATAATTTATTGTATGAGATAGAATAAAAAGAGGATTGTTAAGCTTTATCTTTTAACAAGTAAGGAACTCTTTTGGCTACAACATGTAAATCAGATATTAAGATATGGAAGGTGGATTAAGGAAAATTAATTGATTAGAACATAATTCTAAAAGGACATACATCATTAGTAAGATGTTTAGTGTTTAGTCATAAATAAAATTGGTTGATATCTGGAGGAGATGATTTATAAATTCGATGTTGGAAGGAATAAAAACAAGATAATAATGCAATTAATTGGATATGTTCATAGCCATTTAAAATACATTTAAATTATGTTTACAATATTATTTTGAATTAAAATGAAGATGAATTAATATCGTGTGGAGCTGATCATTCAATTAAAGTATGGAAAGCAAATGCATTAGAGAATTCAATAGAGTTTTGTTATTCATTAGATTAACATTAACATTTTGTTTACTAAATCAGTTTAAATTCTAATGAGACTTAATTAGTATCTTGTAGTATGGATAAACAAATTATCATATGGAAAAAGGATGAAAATAAACACTGGAAATTTAATAATAAAATTGAAAAATCAATAGACGATTATGGCTTTCGAGTAGGATTTCTAACTGATAATTTGATAGCTTGGACATAATATTAATAGGGTTATCTACACATTTTTAAATAAGAAAATGAAAATTTTATAGAAATACCAAAAATGAAGATTTCTCTTAAATCACAAAATTAGTAAGATATATATATTTTGTTTCCCTTAATATTTAACAAAGAAAAATAACTTATGATACTACGTCATAACAGATATGTTACACTTTTTGAATTAGGTTAAAATGAATAGTTAAGTATAGTTGGAGAACCTATTGATTGCTAAAGCAGTGATAATTATGGAACTTTGTCAGATGATGGAAAATATTTGGTAATTTGGAATGATGCCAATAAGTAATTGAAAGTTTATTTAATATAATATCCTTGATAGGAATAAAATTTTATATTAATATAATTTATCTGTTAATTAATTAGTACATAATATATATTATATGTATTTGGTTAAGGATTAAATAGAAGGATGTCTTTTATTTTATATTACATGATTAGATAGATTCAAAGTTTTACAGATATAAAATAGAGATATATAAATCAGAAATTAATGAGTATAATATTTAATAATGAAAGAATAAATAAAATGAAGTATTATTATACATTAATATGCATTATGTTGAGGCATATTTTTAAATAAAATGGAGATTAGGTTTTAATATAATTTTTGAATTTATCAAATAAAAAATAATGTCAAATCGTCCACAAGCTGCTTAATAACCATAATAAGCTCCAGCTCCTTAAGTATAATAGAGACCTGCTGCTCCAGTTTATCCAAATACTTATTTACCTCCTACCTATTATCCAGCTTCTCCTATTAGATAATCTTATGTAGCTCCAGTTGCTCCTGTAGCTCCTATTCAATATGCACCAGTGGCCTAAATGCCTGTTGCACCAATTGCTTCTGTTCCTGTTTAACAATTAGCACCTGTATAAGTTTAGCCTGTAGCAGTTGCCCCAGTAGCCCAAGTAAATTTGAATTAAATTTTAGCACCAAACTATAAAAGGTGAATCAAGAATTGAATATATTCCATATTAAAAAGCTGTTGTTGAATATGAAGAATAAGAAATAGTATCTTATGTTCCAAGAGAAACAAAAGTCACAGATTATTATGCTGTTGAATATTAAACTGAATATATTCCTTAAGTATTCTAAGAGAAATACACAGGTAATAAATGAGTAAATATATTATTCAGAATATGTACCAGTGGATAGATATTAAGAGAGAGTGGAATATTATCCAGTTGAAAGATAAGTTGTTCATTAATAACCAACATAATATGTATAATAAGCTGTTTCAGTTGTATAATAACCGGTTATCTAATAATCAGTTTAATATGTTCAATAACCAGTTTAATATGTTTAATAACCAGTTTAATATGTTTAATAACCATTGATTGCATCTAGAGTTGTTCCTTAATTTGTATAACCATAATATACTGCTGCTCCTGTAACAAGACCATCTTAACCATTATAATAATAATAACATTAACCATAATAAGTGCCATCTTAATAACCAAGATCTTAAGCAGCCCAATAATAGCCATAATAATAATCATGAAATAACATTATATATATATATATAGATATATAAGATATGCAAATTTAAATTGAAAAGACTCATTAATCTAATTCTTAGCTAGCTAGATTAGTAGATGGTGTTTATTATTGTTTATAACTCCTTTCATACTATGATAGTTATGAAATAGGGATATCAATGCTTGAATTATATTTGAATTTCTTTCTCATTATTTTTTTTAATTAATGTTAATGAAATGATTTCTATAATACATTATTTAATTTTTTGTAGCTTGGAGTATGACAAATTTTTGGTGAATAACACATTTCAGTAAATAAAATAATGTCTTCACATTTTTTTTAGTTGTCTTAATATTTCTAACAATATATTGATTTCTTTTTTTCTAATATATCTTTGATATCTAATTAACAAGATGCATTTCTATAAGATTAATGACTTCTGACAGATAAAGGATTGACTTTTATTTTAATAGTCTATTTTGGTGATGTCTTAGGACTTTAAATATCAGCAATTTTGTCAAGTGTTTGTTCAGGAAAGGAAATTCTAAATAGTTTTTTTCTTTAATATTCTTTTTTTATTTATTATTTGCATTCTTCTGGGAATTTTTGAAAGAATTCATTTTTATTCATAATCATAAGAGTAGCTTAATTAGATATTACTCTAGCACTATATTCACAAACACTATCTTGATTAACAACAATCTCTTCAGCAACAAATTATCCTTTAGTTAAAATACAAATCTTAATATTTTTATTCCCAATATATTTCTCTAATAAAATATCACCTGATGCAATCAAATAAAATACTTTTTATTACATACCTTCAACTGCCAGAATAGCATTGTGTTAAAATGATTCAACCTACTTATATAAATTATAATACATCAAAACTATAAGCTAATGAATTAGATAATGCAGTAGAATATGCATCTTTAACTTCAAATTTAGTGTAGATTAAATTCTTTTTCTCTTTGATAGATTAAACAAATTATTGTTTTACAATATCAAAATCTTCTTTTTTTAAGATTAATAAAAAACAATCTTAAGAAACTGCACAAGCAGTGAGTCCTCTTGGAGTACCTTCTATTATTGCTACTTCTCCAAAACCGTCTCCTTAACCTAAAATTCGTACAGTATCTCCATATTTTTCATTTAGAATTGACATTTCCTATTAAGATATTAATAAATCTTCTTTGGTTGTATATTATGTCAAAGTGCTCATTAATTTATTAGCGAATCTTTTTGAATTTGCTAAACTCTTCATAAAGTTAGGTTTTGAAATTGTCTGTTTATTAAGTTCTTTGAGATTGCTGGAAACTTTCTCTAGAAGTTGTTATATTGGTTAAATTGGTTAAGTTTGTTGTGGTGTCTGTTATTGAAAAGTATCAAATTTCTTTGCTCTAAATAGACCAACAGAACCTCTGAATATAATATAAAGTTTATCATTTGATTTATCCCCTTCTTAAAATAACAAAGATGGTCCTTTATGATGCTCCATTTTGAATCTACCACATAACTTAGTATTATTAATAATAAAGTGATACATTGAGTAGACTCTCTTTTTAAGTGCCTTTTAGAAATCTTTCTATAAAATAGTTAAAGAATTTAAGTTCTTATAGTTTCATAAGGATGGCTTGGAGATTGTTCTCTTATTTTGGATTGGTATTTAACAATTTGGTTAAAACTAAACTCTAGAATCATAGTGAGTAGATTTTACCTCATTCATTGTTTTAATTTTAATTTACTTGAATGAGTGAATAATTGGATTTGCTTCTCTTTCCAGTTGAAATTGTGGTATTTTGTGCTTTAGCTTTTGGAATATTCAAGTTAAAGAAGAAATTACCAAATTTATTGTTTCCTTGCTCTGGTGTAACTATGTTTTTACCTCCTGATGGTGAAGATCTTAAAGAAAGCAAAGATAAGAAAATTAAGACATTGGTTTAAATGAAAACAATGCCAAGTTAAGCCTAACACTTTTAATAAGTTCCTTTTGCTAATGACATGGAAATTACAATGTTATTTATCTATATGTTATTTGCATAATTTGTTATAGTAGAGATAATGAAAATGATAGGTTCAGCTTTAGGATATTATGTAATTGACAGTGGAATGCTCTTTTATTTTGATGGCATCATAGTAATAATGATAATAAGTAATTATATTTTATAAGGTATAGGGAATATATATAAAGCTGCTACAATTGGAGGTTATGATTCATAATAAACAAAGATGTCTATTGTAATTTGTATTATTTCTATTTTGATAACAATCTTTATTAATTTGGGATTTAAAGATTTCTTAAATATTAATATGAGACATGAATTTTAAAGAATGGCTGTACATCTTGAAATTGTACTTAGAACTTTTTTATAACCAGGAGTCTGGTCATTTATGGGATAATTTGGAGATTTATTTGTAATTGTATTGGCTATGATGGTTTCAATAATAATATTTTGCATATTACCAATTTTAATTAGATTTGGAAATTGTTTCACAGAATTAAAGAATAGTTTATCTACAGATAAATCATAAGCAAAATTTTTTTATTTGATTGCTGGATAATTAATTGCACATATAATCTATATAGCTTTATATATTAAACCTTTAATTTAAAATATTGATTATGTGTTTCATTTTCAATTTTTAGCAATAATTATAATTGCCATATTATAAATTATGACATATACTATGGAAATGGATAAACATATGGCTAAAGGTTGTGATTGGATTATGATACTTAAAGATTAACCAGAATAATAGGAATATGTTAAAAAAAGAGTTGAAGGTTTATTAAGAGGATTTGTTATTGTAGCTTATCAATTACTATCAAAAATAGCTATTCCAATATTATTATTTATGATTTTGTTATTAAAGAATTCTTAAATACCAGAGAGTAATATTAGATATAATTATCTACCTGCTAATTATGAATAAAATGAAATGTATTGTGTTAAAGAAAATATAATAATGATGGACTATTTATTTGAGAATAAAGATGATCCAATTGAAGATGGTAATTATAATTATTTAATTATTATTTTTAGTTAATTAAGATCCATCAAAAATAATAATGAAAAGAATTACTAAATATGGTATCTTCACAAAATCTTTTGTTTATACATTTATAGAATTCATTCTATTCAATTATTATTTTATTAGTTTAGTGCTATCAATATTTTACATCTTCTTCCTTAATAAGACTTAAGCAGTGAAACAACCTTAAAAGAAGAAAAAATAGTGATTATTGATTTATATTAAAATTTAATTTATTAAGAGTTTATTTAAGTATAATTCATTTACTTTTCAATATATAAGTCAATAATTTAAGTGTTTTTGATTCATTACTTGGTTTTTAATGTTAAGTTAATCTTTCCCATTTAAATTATGTTTTTTGACAACCTAAATTCATTTCTACAGCCATATAAATATTTAAAGCAATAGATGATTTTTTATGATTCAAAAATAATGAAGAAGTTAAACTAGTTTCAGCTAAATTCCTAATAAAATGAGAATTAAACTTACATACATCTTTGCTTTATTTAATCTTAATATTTACTATTGTAACCTAACATTTCTCCTATTATTTATAACCATACTAAAGTATTATCACTAATAACATTGAAATTTAATCTACTAAGTATTTCTTTTTCCATCTCAATAACATCTTTAACTATAATATCAGTAGCTCTTAATAATGCTGCTAATGGAGGTGGATAGATTTCTTCATATTTACATGCTATAAAAAGACATGTTAATGAAATAAGCTCCAATTCTCCAATTTCAGGATTTAGGAGTGGTATTATTTAATCCATCAAATCAACTGTTTAAAATAGTGTTTCAGACTTTAAATTAAAACATCTAACAAGTTTTACTATATATCTAACCTATATTTAATATAATAATATACTGTTGTAGCTCTTACAGTATCATTGATTTTTGTGGAAGACATTTAAAAATTTGGTTCTCCCATACTTTTTTCTTTTTCATATAAAAATTCATATATTTCTTGTTAATATAAGCTAACAACTTAAGGAGAGTCTAATTTATTCAAACCCTCCTTTGTCCAAATTGCATCATTTATTATATTTTCTTTCCCTCCTAATTCATCAAATATTATATCTTTTTTGCCTTTTAGAATCTTGGATGCCTTGTCTACTTGATTTTCAAGATTTTTTCCAAAAACTCTAGATGCTTGATACTCGTTCATTAATTTGAATTCAAAATTATAAATATAGATAAGAATAATGTATAAATCATTTCTTTGTAGGTTTCTTTGTATTCTTTTTTGCCTCTTCTTCTAAACGTATTCTTTCCTCCTCTTCCCTACGTTACTTTTCTAATTTCTATTATACAATTTGTTCTTTTATTTAATCAATTTCTTTTGATAATTCATTATTCTCTATACTGTTATAAAAGATTAAAAACCTTGCTCTAATTATTCAACATCACTTTTCATTTTTTCAAATTCTTCATGAGCTCTTGTATCTTTATGTATACTAAAATAATCTATAAGTGCTTGACTAGGAGAATCTGGTTTATTTGGTGCATTTCTCAAAGCAAGAAGAACTATAAAAATCAATTAATATAATACATACATTTAACAATTGCAAGTGTAACATCTTAATTGACTAAGTATTCTCTAAATTCTCTCTCTTTGTATTCATTCATCTTTGCCTAACTAAGTAAAGGTTCTTCAACTGTTTTCTCTTGATTCATTATAATAAAATTAATAAAAAATGAAAAATAGAGATAATCTCTAATAAATTGATGATGAATTACATGAACTCTATACTTGGGTTGATACTGTTCCATTTTCTAGACCAAAAAAATAGATTGCTAAAGATTTTGAAGATGGAATTCTTATGGCAGAAGTTATTCATCATTTTCTACCAAAAAAAGTCGATTTATAGAATTATAGCTTAGCTAATACATATTAATCTAAATTATAAAATTGGAATACTCTTAATACAAAAGTAATAACCTCTAATTCAATTTAGAAAAGGTTTTTTAGAATCTGGGCTTTTAATTGACATAAAATGATATAGAACAAATTATATAAGCAAAAAATGGAGCCATAGAAAATGTTTTAATGATTTTGAAATCAAAGATAATGAACTATTAAGATAATGAAACTGTTGAACCATAGAAATCATCAGCCACTAACATATCTATAAATAACAATCAATCCACAATTCAAGATTTGGAATAAAAAATAGCAGATTAATAAGATATTATAGCCATTCTAGAACTAAAAATTAACAAACTTTAGTAATTAGTTAAGCTCAAAGATAATAAAATATAGGCATTCTCATCAAAAATTTAATAATTAGGTTTTAAGTTTTGAATTAATTTATATAATAAAATATGAACATAAATTACATATATTAATAAAATTAAAATTAGGATCAATAAATTCTAGAAGACTACTAAAGTTTTACAATAGAAGTAAGCAATAATCCCTAAACAATATTAATAAAAAAAAGATAATTAGATTAGTGTAAGAAAATTAATATTTGATATATATATTATAAAGTAAAATGAGAAAATATAAAATGATTTTACAAATAATACTATTTAACAATAAATTAGGTTTTTTGTAATTTTGGAATATAAGGTGTGAAAACTATAATAATAACTAAAAGTATAACTTAAAAATAACAATAATTCAGTTTAAGATTGAATTGCTAGAGAAGGATAATTATTAACATATTCTTAAGAATAAAATAAACTTTTATTTATAGAGAATTAGTCAATTTCTTTTTTTGAGAATAGAGTTTAATTAAACAAGAATATTTAATAATGATCTGAATTTAATAGATTTTATTATTATCTAGATAATTCTCTAATTAATAAATTCTATCATTAACCTATTTTCAAATAATACTCATAATCCATACTCATAATATATATAGATTATAATAAGTCATATTCATATAATATTTATATACATTAAAAATGATTTATTGATATTGTATAAATTTATTATATATAAATTATTATTGATCTATATAATAAATATAATATCTTTTAATCTTAATTGATATTAGATTATCAACACTCATTATTGTAATAAATTATGTTAAATTTAATATGGAATTCACTTAGAAAATTATGATTTAGATAAAATTAAAAAATATTATTTAGTTAGAACAACTTTTTCAAACTATTAATTTATTATTATGCTTCCAAAAAAGTTTGGTAGAACAATTCATATGGTTGGAGAAAACAATTAAAATTAAGAAAGAATAAAATAATTAATACTTGATAACTTATTTGGAGAATATGCACAAAATGATTAAGTTAATGCAAATGTATAGTTAAAAATTAATTATAGCTAATTACAGCATATATAGAAGACTTTTTTATATAATACAATTCAAAAAATGCCATTAGAATTCTAAGAGAAGAAGTGAAGAAAGCTGTTCTAAGACCAAAAGAGGAAAAACTTATGTTGATATAGAAATTAAATTAAAGAATTAAAAGTAATAAGTTTAATTTTATAACAAGGACAATAAGAATAACAGATAAAGAACAATGTAATATCTAAATAAGAAAATTAAATTTAGGAAAGAAGACAAGAGATTAATTAATTATCATAATAAAAATAATAAGCAACCTAAATAAAATAAAAGACTGATACTCTCATTAATGATGAAAAGAGAAAATCCATTTATAAAGTTGATGGATCATTAGATGAATGGGGAGTTATAATTAAATATAATACTTAATAATTTTAGAAAGAAATAGAGGAAGAAAAAAAGAAAAAAATAATTAATAAATAAAAGATTAAAGAAGATTTAGACAAATAAATAGCTGAAAAAGAAAAAGTAAAATAAAAGGAAAAATAAGATGATATATTATATTATACAACAAGTCTATAATAATTAAAGGATTATGAAAGAGAATAAGAGTAGAAATATAAATCAAAAAAATAAGAAGAACTTTAAGAAAAGATAATTAGAGATCAATAAGTATATTTTAATAAAAAGCAAAAGTAAATATTATAATTTAAGTAGAAAAGAATAAAATGTTTATATAAAATAGTAGGATGAAGAAATGGTTTAAAGAGTTAAAGAAGAGATTAAGGCAGAGGATGAATTAAATAAACGAAAGAAAATGGAATAATTTGAAAAGCTATAAATTATATTAAAATAGAATGAAAATTTAAGAATTAAAGTATTAAAATTTTTATTATTCTTAGGCTAAAGAAGATATAATTAGAAGCAAAGAATAAGAAAGAAATTAATAAGAGTTATTTATTATAAGGGATGAAATTTAAAATTAAAAAAGGGAAAGAATTAGAAGAGAAAAAGAAGATTTAATGAATTTAAAAATTAATAATTATAGTTAATAAGCAATAAGATAGAAGAGGAATAATTATGAATTAAATGAAACATTAGATGATTATTGGCCAAATAATAAAAATGAGTATAAAATGTATTTAATTTAAGTAACAAAATAAGTAAAAGAGAATAATAGTATTAATTATTGAATGATTTAGAAAAATAAGTTTTAGAGAAAAAAAGAAGATATACATAAGAAAAATCAGAAAAGAAAATTATATTTGAAACAGAATTACAAGAATAAAGGGAAGTATAAAAATAAGAATAAGAACGAAAAAATGTATTAAATGTTATAATTATAGAATATTAGATTAATGTACTTAAAGAATGCAGAAGAACTAAAAAAATAAATTGTATATGGATATAATGGTTCACCTTTGAAATGTAAACCAAATTCTTTTTAGAGAATGGGAGAGTAAGAATTATTATAGAATAAGAAAATACTTAAAAAGATTGCAAATGATTCTTTATTAGGTATATAAGTGAAAAAGACAGAAATATCAATTCCTGAATGATAAGTATTCAGTTATTATTATAATAATTTCACCATTACTATATAGCCTTCAAACCAATTTTAGTCATATATTCTTTTGCTTTCTTTTGATGTTCTCCTCTACATTTATAGAATCCTACAAAATTAATTCCTGTCAAACAAAAGGCAGTCATTGCTAAAACAGCCTATTATAAATTTGATAAAATTTTACATTAAACCATCTTAAACCAATTAAATCTAACAATATTAATATTCCCCAAGTTAATACTACTCCAAACTAAGCAAACCAAAATATATTTGAATTAAATGGATTAGGAACAAAATTAGCTACTTAAGATTCATATATCCATTCTTCAGATCCATCTTCTTTTACTTCTGACCACCATCTTAAACCAACCAATTTTCTATTTTATTGTCTATCTATTAATATTACCTTCCTGTGATGTTCTTGACTGTCCAAAAATCAATTGCTGATAATATTACAACTATAATAAAACAATATGTAAGATTTAATAAGCCTTCTGGAATGAAAAATCTATTTATTATACTTATTTTACACAAAGATAGCAAGACCTTTAAATAAACAATGAAATAATTATGAAACAAAAGAGGCATCTTAAGTTTTGGGTGGGAGTGATTGTATTTGAATAGCTACTTGTTCTGGTTATTGTACTTATGAGACAGTATTAGATGAATTTTGATTAACTTTCTTTTGGTCATCTCCTAATTTGATATTCACATTGTCAAGGTCTGGTATAGAATGTTATACATCTTATTGTTCATCTGCAATTTACTATTATGAATGACATAGAATACCATATTGAGTTTATTAAATTTAAATTAATTAAAACCCACAATCTGGCTATTGAATTCGTAATTCTATAAAAAGGAAATAACAAATTTACTTATATGTGATGATCAAGTATTCCGACTTCGTAATATAAAGATGTCGACAATCTTCGCCAGTTCTGATCTAAATATATAATTTTTGTTTTTTGAATATTTTCTTTAATTTTGGATAATAAAATTTCAAAAATAATATATGAATCTCACAGTTTTTGAAATCTTTGCTTAAATCAAAGGATTATATACATGTAAATCATTTTAATTATTGTAGAGTAAAATTTAGAAGAATTTCATCAAAGATTTAAAGGAGATGATGAATTCAAAAAAATTGGAAGATAAACTAAAATTTAAAAAAGTTAGCTAGATAGTTTGGAGGACAAGACAGCTTTGTTAAACAAACTAAAAAAGATAATTACTGATTGTAAAACAGCAAATAAAGAGGCTATGTTATCAGCAAAGAAATTTGAGATAGCTACACAAGAAAAAGAAAAAGGTAATTGTAACAATTTAAATAAAAGTTTTTAATGAAAATTAAAGATTGAAGAATCAAATTAAAACATTAGATGTTTTTAGAAATACTTAAACTAATCAATTAAATGATTATTAAGAAAAATACAACAAAGTAGTTGAGGAAGAAAAATTAAAGAAAACAGAATTAGTTGAAGGATTCTAATAAGAAATTAAAGATATTTCAACTAAAATGGAAGAAGTCTCTAATGCTAAACATAAAAGTTAAGCTGAGAATGAAGCTTTAAAAGAAAAAATGAAAGAAATTTAAGAACATGTTGAAAAAAGAGATAAAATCTTTGATGAAGAATTAAATAAATTAGGTAATATTATACATTAATTTTATTAAAGAATCATAAAGAAAAGAAAGAGAAACTAAAATATTTGAATAAATTACAAATATAAGTTAATCTTTAGGTTCAACTGATAATTCAGAAGATTAATTATAAAAAATAAAAGATGAAGAAGCATTAGTAGATGCTCATTTGAATCCATATCTATAAAAAGCAGAGGAATTCCAATAAATTATTGAAAAAACAAATCAATAATTTAATTTATACAAAGCTGAAACAGAAAAAGTATTCTATTTTCATATATATAGCTTGCATAATCATGTAGAACTTTTGAATAGAAATCTTAAGCTTGTTAAAGAAAATGTGAGAAATCTGATATTTACATTGTAGAATAAGCTAAAGAAGTATATAATATATTTATATTCTTAGCATTTAACACTCTAAAATTAATTCAAACAAAAATAAGAGTAAATCAATTCATTATTAACACTAAAGTAAACATTATAAAGTGGTTTATTATGAGTTATATTTAATGGAAAATTAATTATAAATATTATTATTAAAATATGAATAATTAGTAGAAATAGTAACAACCAGACTAATATTTTTCTCTATTTGCTTATCTTTAGAAAGATAATAGTGATCTTTATGAAGCATTAATTGAAGGACTCACTTAAATTAAACTTCAAAAGTAATATAAATTTAATAAGTTAGACCAAATGAAGAAGTACAATTTCTAGGAAATTTTTTAATTAATAAATCTTAAGAAAAAGGAAAGTGATATATTTTATATATTTATATATAACATCTCTTAGAAATTTACATAATCCTATCTAATAATCTATTAAATTTATATAAATGATAAAATATACATTCTTATTGATTAAATATAAAACAAATAAAGAGCATTTTAGTATGTATATTTATTAAATCAACTAAAATAATATATTTTTAATAAAAAAGAGAAATATATTGGTAATCAATATTCCAAAATTTAACATTAAGAAATATATAATATCAATTAATAATCATAATCATAATTTTGTCCAATCAAATACATTATCATTTGGATATTTCATTCGTGTATAAAGATCTTTAAATAGTTTCTTTAACCAAACATAATCAGGTCTCTCTTCAAATTTTAGGCTTTTACAATAATTAAAATAAATAGAAAACTCTTCAGGCAATCCTTCACATAATTTTTCAATTGAAGTAGCAATCTTAGATTCTGCTATTTTTTCATATTTATCTTTCTTGTTATCTGTTTTTAAACCTTACCAAGGTAATTATCCATTTAAAAAATATACTAAAACATATCCAATTGCTTCTAAATCATCTCTTCTACTTTATTCAACTCCTAAATGTGTATTTACACTAGCATATCTTGCTGTTCCAGTTAAACTTTTACCTTCTCTATATGGAATATGTAGATCTAAAAATATTATAATTAAAATACTAGTTCTTTAATCCCTATATTTCTTAGAAAGACCAAAGTCTATAATATAAATTATATCACTCTTTTAAGTTAATCCAATTAGAAAATTGTCAGGTTTGATATCTCTATGTATTAAATTTTTGCTATGAATAAATTCAATTCTTGAAAGCATCTATTAAGCAATCATTAAGACTGTTTTTAATGAAAAGTGTCTTTTGCATTAATTAAATAGATCTTCTAAATTGGGACCAAGTAGTTCCATAACCAATATATTGTATTCTCCTTCACTTCCAACCCAATAAGCTTATGGAATCCCGACTAAATCTATTTTATCAATTTACTTCCTCCTTGCAATACTTTATATAACTTGCCCTCAAAGATTAATTATGGATGTTTATTTGCAATAGCTTCCTAGATGATTAAAAATTTTCATACTAATTTAATAGCTACATCTTATCCAGTTTATTTATTAGTTCCTTATAGATTATTCAATAAGTTGTACCTAAAAAGATTTAACCAAAAGAACCACTTCCAATTTTTTTATCAAAAGAAAATTCGAATTTATTGAGACCCACTTACATATTAAAATATACTTATAATTTATGTAAATTTAAAAACAATTTTTCATTCATCTAAACAGAAATAGTTACCACTTTATTTCTACTCTCTATCCAAAATAGAATCCATTTTATTGATTCTTGGTCTAAAGTTAGTTGGATCTATAAAATAATAAATTAGATAGTATACCTCTTCTAAATGTTATATTAAGAACATTCAAAAATTTATTCATTCCTGTTAATAAATCTTCAGGTGCATTAGCAACACATGCTTTTCCTGGTACACCATCATAGACTACAACTCTTGTAATATATATAAAGTAATTACTTATCTGCCAAATAAGTTGCCATAATAAAATCATGTTCAACAACAAAACCTGCTCTTTTTGTATTCATTATAAATCTTTTAATTAATTTAGATGTAGCAACTCTTTATTCTGCATCTAAATAAGCAGATGGTTCATCCAATAAATAAACTTCAGCTGGTTTACCTAATGCTAAAATCAAAGCAACTCTTTATAATTCACCTCCTGATAATTTCTTAACTTCATTATCTTCTAAATCTTCAATTCTCAATGGTTTATATACATCAGTTTAAAATTATGGATTTCTATGACTATCTTATAATTTAGATCTAAATAATTCTTAAACTGTTCCATCAAATGTAGGTGCAATCATTTATGGTTTATAACTGACACTTAATTTTGGAATATCAACAACATCTTTATCTTTTCCTGCCAACATTTTAATGAATGTAGTTTTTCCAGTTCCATTTTCTCCTAATAAAACAACAATTTCTGAATTATTAAAACCTCCTGCTTTTACTTATAATGAAAATTCTCCTTATACTTTTTTCATATCAGGATATTGATAATTTTTCTTTTATTTCTAATTCTCTAATAACATATCTAAATTATCTGAAATCTTGAAACTTAATTCATAATCTCTAAATCTCATATTTTCAGTTGGTACAAATCCAGCCAAAAATATATTAATACCTTCTCTAACTGAAAAAGGCATTGTCACTATACCATAAGCTGTTTATTCTCCATATAAACAACAAATAAAATCTGATAAATAATCTAATATGGATAGATCATGCTCTACAACAATAAGATAATTGTTATCTCTTACTTAATTTCTAATGATTCTAGATGCAACCACTCTTTATTTAATATCTAAATAAGATGTTGGTTCATCAAGCATCAAACATTCACTTTCTGAAATACATGCCATTAATATTGCAAATCTTTACAATTCACCTCCAGATAACATACCAATTTCTCTATCTACTAAATGAGACAATTCTAAATCTTTTAATAATTATTCTGCTCTATTCAATTTATCCTTATTTTTAATAACTTCTCNTATAAAGTTATTACTTATCTGCCAAATAAGTTGCCATAATAAAATCATGTTCAACAACAAAACCTGCTCTTTTTGTATTCATTATAAATCTTTTAATTAATTTAGATGTAGCAACTCTTTATTCTGCATCTAAATAAGCAGATGGTTCATCCAATAAATAAACTTCAGCTGGTTTACCTAATGCTAAAATCAAAGCAACTCTTTATAATTCACCTCCTGATAATTTCTTAACTTCATTATCTTCTAAATCTTCAATTCTCAATGGTTTATATACATCAGTTTAAAATTATGGATTTCTATGACTATCTTATAATTTAGATCTAAATAATTCTTAAACTGTTCCATCAAATGTAGGTGCAATCATTTATGGTTTATAACTGACACTTAATTTTGGAATATCAACAACATCTTTATCTTTTCCTGCCAACATTTTAATGAATGTAGTTTTACCAGTTCCATTTTCTCCTAATAAAACAACAATTTCTGAATTATTAAAACCTCCTGCTTTTACTTATAATGAAAATTCTCCTTATACTTTTTTCATATCAGGATATTGATAATTTTTCTTTTATTTCTAATTCTCTAATAACATATCTAAATTATCTGAAATCTTGAAACTTAATTCATAATCTCTAAATCTCATATTTTCAGTTGGTACAAATCCAGCCAAAAATATATTAATACCTTCTCTAACTGAAAAAGGCATTGTCACTATACCATAAGCTGTTTATTCTCCATATAAACAACAAATAAAATCTGATAAATAATCTAATATGGATAGATCATGCTCTACAACAATAAGATAATTGTTATCTCTTACTTAATTTCTAATGATTCTAGATGCAACCACTCTTTATTTAATATCTAAATAAGATGTTGGTTCATCAAGCATCAAACATTCACTTTCTGAAATACATGCCATTAATATTGCAAATCTTTACAATTCACCTCCAGATAACATACCAATTTCTCTATCTACTAAATGAGACAATTCTAAATCTTTTAATAATTATTCTGCTCTATTCAATTTATCCTTATTTTTAATAACTTCTCCAACTTTACCTTTAACTGCCTTACCAATTGAATCAACATATTATGGTTTTATTACAGCTTTAACTTTTCCTTCAAATACTTTTTATAAATAACTTTGTAATTCACTTCCTCTAAAATACTTTAAGATCTATTCGAATGAAGGAGGCTCTTTATATAAACCCAAATTAGGTTGCACTTTTCCACTTAGAATTTATAATGCAGTTGATTTTCCAATACCATTAGTTCCAACTAATCCTAAAACTTATCCTGGTCTAGGTGTTGGTAATCTATGTAATTTGAATGAATTGGCTCCATATTAATGTGTTAATTCTTTAGATAAATCTTTGGGTAAATTGATAATCATGATTGCTTTGAATGGACATTTCTTAACACAAATAGCACATCCAATACACAATGATTCATTGATTGTGCATAATTTACTTTACTTTGTAACTTCGATACATAATTTCTCACTCTTATTAATTGGACAATTCTTTTTGCATTCCAAAGCACAACGTTAAGGTTTACATCTATCTTTATTGATAATAGCAATTCTTAACTTTGATTCTTCCATTAATTAAATTCTTTAATTAATTTATATTTCTTTATTAATACATATATATATTTATGATTAGATTTATAAAAACTATAGACAATTAATAAGCTTATTTATTTCTTTATCATAATCATATATATATATCTATATATGGTATTATTTTCAAAAATAAGCAGAAGGTTTTAGTTTTAGAATCATCTGTATTATCTAAAGTATCTTTTAAATATTCAAGCCATAAATGGATTATGAATTTTCAAGAGAAAACAGAATGGAATTTGAAATAGTAGGAGTAAGACCTTTTAGAGAATCAATAAATGATTCTTTTAAATTACACTTTATGTAAACAGAAAAATTGATTAAAAAATACAAATATTTTCAAAACTCTAGACATGCAACTAATGCATGAAAGTTAGATTACTAACATTTTTGTTCTAATATCATTTTTCTAATTAGTCTTTTTTATATTTTTTCAAATTAGACCACCTGTATAAGGTTGATTTTAGTACTATTTAAGTTCAGACAAAAATAAGGAATATAACGTAAATTATATATAGAGATTATAAATATCTTAAGAATTACTTAGTTTTATTGAAAATCAATAGTAGTAAAGATTTTATATAATAGCATTATGAAATGACTTAAATATATTAAATATAAGAAATGATAAATTCTCAAATATCTTATGAAGATCTTTAGGTTTAGTGAAAAGAATCTCAAATTCTAAGAGTAATAATATAAGATGTAGTAGAGGCTTATTTAAAATAAAAAGATTGTGTTGTTTTATAATTAATTTATGCTTCTTGAATTAACATAAATATTATTTATATCTTATTGATGAGTTTCTTTAGATCAGAGACAATGGCATACTATTAGATAATAGTACCTAAGGAAAGTGCATGGGAAGTGTTTAATGAGATGGGAAAATTGAGTATGGTAGGGAATGGAATATTTATTTAAGGTCTAAGTTGTAGATATGTCGCCAGATGAGCCTCATGTGAATAGACCATTTTATCAATACATAAGGAGGGCAGATGAAGTGATTAGTAAATTGAACGTATTGGAAACTGAAATGTTGAAGTACAAAATAAAGAATCTTAAATGCTCTGATTATTAATAATTCTTAGAAAGAATTACTTTATATACAAAGGATATTAATTAAAGTGAAGATAAATGGTTTGATCTGATTGAAAGTACTTTGGATGAAAAATATTGTAATTGATTGTCTTTATCTAAAAGCTTAATTGATAGAACAGATTCAAAATTTAGAGTAAATATCTGTCCGTAAAAACACTTTATTTGAACACAAGGCTGTTTTGATAAAATCAAAGGAAGTATTAGGTCCAACATATTATACAAAAGGAAGAAATGTGGCTATAAATCCATAAATAGGTGGTGTACCAGATCAACAAAAAGTAACATAACCACGTAAAAATTGTATGTTATAATGAAAATAGTTTACAATTTAAATTATTTAGTGGGAGTAGTTGATAGAGTAGAAGCCAATCGTTTTAAAAGAATGGTATTTAGAGCATCTAAAGGAAATGCATGGATTGTATTGTCTGATATAGAATATTCACGACTTGATTCTTCATTAGAAACAGGGAACTTGGATTCAGATAAATCAGCAGCAAAGAATTTAGATAAGTAAAGAACAGTGTTCTTAATTGTATATACAGGAGGAGGATAAGATTTTTTGAGAGCAAAACTCAACAAAATCTGTGATTCATTTAATTGTGCCAAATTTGTACTTCCAGATGATCCTTAATTATTAGTCTAAAAAACATTAGAGTTGGATAGATCTTTAGATGAATGTGACAATGTAAAATGTCATTTATATTTTAGTTATTAAGATTGACAGCTGGTAAAATAAAAGAATTGTTATTAGAATATGCTTAGATATAGCCATAATTAAAAATATCTTTATTGGAAATGAGTAAATTGTTGATGGTGAAAGAGAAAACATTATATACAAATTTAAATTACCTTTATTAGAAAGAAAGAATTTATATAGGATTCTTTTGGGCACCCAAACATGTAGAAGGTGAATTACATCATATGCTACATTAATTGAGTGTTTCTTAAAGCAATACTTCTGTTGGATAAATTATAGAGTTGGAACCACCTGAAAAAGTACTTACTCCTACTTATTTTAAAATAAATGATTTCAATTATGTATTCCAAGAAATTGTTAATACTTATGGTATTCCTAGATATAAGGAAGTTAACCCAGGAATGTTTGCTGTTATGTTTTTCCCTTTTATGTTTGGTATTATGTTTGGTGATATTGGTCATGGAGGTGTTTTGTTTGTTTTAGCATTCCTTTTAGTCAAAAATGCTGATACTTTAAGAAAACTACCTGATTTTGCTGGTTTAATGTAAGTTAGATATCTATTTCTATTGATGGGTATATGTGCACTCTATTGTGGTATTATTTATAATGATTTCATGTCTTTAACTTGGAATATATTTGGAAGTTGCTTTGAAAATGTACCTGATTCTGAAGAAACTGTTTATATCAAAGGATGTACTTACCCAATTGGATTTGATCCTAAATGGTATATTGCAAGTAATGAATTGAATTTCTTTAATTCCTTTAAAATGAAGTTTGCAATCATTTATGGAGTTACTCAAATGATTTTTGGTATTCTCTTAAAAGGAGTGAATAATATCTACTTTAAGGATTACTTATCATTTGTTTGTGAATTCCTACCATAATTAATATTTATGTGTATTACATTTGGCTATATGGCAATAATGATTATGTTAAAATGGGGATAGAGTTGGGAAGATAGAACTGATAAGGCTCCATCAATCATTAATGCAATGATCAATATTCCCTTGTAAGGAGGTTCCACTGAAGGAAAACCTTTATTTGATTTAGAGTCTTAAGAATCCCTTTAATAATCTATCTTATTTTGGTCATTCTTATGTATACCATGGATGCTTATACCAAAACCAATAATTGAGATTATTCAACATTACAGTGGAAAAAAGCATGATAAAAAGCCTTCAAAGGCACTTGAACCAAAGGATGAAAGTAAGGAAGCCTTGTTGCCTATGCAATCAAGTTAAAAATCAATTAATTAAAGTGCATTAGCTGAGGAACTCAGATTGTAATTAATTTAAAAGGAAAAAGAAAAAGAATTAAAAAGAAAACAATTAGAAGAATAGAGACTCAAAGAATAAGCAGGAGAAGATATTCAACAAAAAGATTAACCATAATAAATATTGCCAAAATAATAAGAATAAAGTGGTGGACATGGACATGGACATGAAGAATTTGATATTGGAGAACTTGCTGTTCATTAAATTATTGAAACTATTGAATTTGTTCTTGGATCTATTAGTAATACTGCATCATATTTACGTTTATGGGCCTTATCTTTAGCACATGGATAATTGGCTAAAGTATTTTTCGAGAAGTGTATTGGTGCTGGTATTGTTGATGGAAATGTAATTGTATTAGTCATAGGTTGGCCCATATTTTTACATTGCACAATAGGAGGTATTTATATATATCTATTGTAGTTTTAATGTGCATGGATCTTATGGAATGTTTCTTACATGCTTTAAGATTGCAATGGGTAGAATTCTAAAGCAAATTCTATAAAGCTGATGGCATTAAATTTATGCCATTTTCATTTAAAGAAGTTCTAACTAATCAGCCAAAAGATTAATGATTTATTCATGAGCATTTATATATCATACAATCATTATATAAAATTGTTTAAAATAAATTAATTTATATACACTCAGGTAGTGAAGACACCTTTCTTTTCTAATCTCTTATTTCTCTTTTTTAATTTGAATCCATGTTTCAACTTCCATATTTTCTTACCACTTATAGGTCTAAGTCGAGATGAATCTACTAATTCAGGATCTTCATCTTCTTAATTGATTGTAACATATTAATTTTCAGGTTTTTTTGCCTTTGGTTTTTCTTCTTACTCAGGTAACATATTATTATTCATTTCATCATTCAACAATCTTCTTTTCTTTATTAATTTATCAGTATTTTAATCATGAACTCTAACAAGAACTTTTACTTTTTATTAATCTCCTTACATTTTTCTTTATTTCTTAATGAATTCTGGTAATAAATATTCAGGTACAGGACCTAAGACATAATAATATATATATATACCTTAAGGCAATTATATTGATGATCTATTTAATTTTTTCTTTAATTATACAATTTAATCTTACAACAATTCTTTTTCTTTCTAATTTTATTAAAAATACTCTACAAGATCAGGTGACTTGACCATCTTTTTTTTGAAATCTATTTACTCTGCCATTTTAACTTAATATTTAGATATATTTTTGGTTGTATCTTCTATACGATATCTAAATGCTTCAATTTCATTTTATTTTATTGGATATTCTTTGCAATTAACATTATTATATTCTGTATTTACAAACTACATTACTGTTTCTACATTTTATTCATTATTTGAAGCTATACAAACAGTGTTAGTGACAGATTTTAAAATTTAATCTGGTAATTCATTTGGTAATAAATTATATAAAATAATATTATCTAACTTCTTTAAAGTGTATGGTTATTTGGATTTTTTAGATACTTATTTAGTTCTTTCAAAGAATTCATTTTCTAGATCTAAAAAAATATTTGCAGTTGCAATAAGTATTTAGATTACTCCAGTATTGAATGTAGATAAAGTATAATATTTAAGTGTTTTTGGATTTTCATGATTATAAATTTAAAATCTTTCAATATTGCATCTCTAAAAAAGTAATTGTAAATAATAAATCTCAAACAAATTTGAAACTATTATAAGTGTTTTCCCTTAAACAAGATTAAGTTTTAAAGTAATATAAAGAACAATCTATTATTACGTTAAGTCTGAATAAAAATAGTAAAATAAATTAGGCAATTAATTTTTAGTTTATTAAATGGTTCTATCTTCTTATTCTTATTCTTATTCTTCTTGATCCTCTTCAATTTTAGCTACTGTAATAGCCTTCCCAAGTATTACTTCAATTAATTTTTCATCACCAACATAGATTGTAAATTGATTCTTGGAAATCCACTTAGAAACTGATTCCAATTAATGTTATCCTCCATAAAGAGTTGCTAGGTTGCAATCATCAAATAAAGCAAATTAGAAACATTTATTTTCAACCCTACCACTTGCCTTTAATTTACTCACAGAATAATATGTGGCAAATAAGATAGATGGTTATGTTACAGGAGGTAATACAATATTGTACTAATCATCTAATATATTGCAGAAATTAATACTTTTTGCATTAAGTGGAAATTGAGAATTTATATCAAGTAAAGCAATTTCTTTAGGATAATTGTCAAGCAATTTTTGAACTATGGCTTTGCAATGTGTTGATTATTCTCTACTTGCTGATGTAATGAGTAGATAATATCCATTCTATAATAAATATGGTTAATTCTTACTTCTTCGTCTGGAGTAAAATGATCTAAAGATTTTAAAAATTAATCCAAAATAATTAATAAACATGACATAGTTCTTCCACTTTATTTTGGTGCTTCAATACATGTTAAATGTTTTTTATGTTGAATAATCTAATAATTGCTATTAAAATTACTTAGAGCAAATTATTCATTATAAAAGTGGGATGCTTGATGACACCGAACTCCCTTTTGAGTTAGGAAAGTAAAGGTGATGTGATTTGATGCTACTTAAAGAATTGTTGGATTGTAAGCTCTTAATCAATATATTACTCCATAATTAAATTTATATATGTCTCATTTTTTTAATAAAGGCAAATATATTGAATTATAGAAAATCGATGCCATATAAGCTCCAAATAATGGAGCAAATAAAAACACCCAAAAATTGGCTAATTTAGTTGTGTCATTCAACCAAAATGCCTCAAATAATTCCAAACCTACTCCCATAGCTGGATTTAAGCAACCTCAAATAGAAGTATAATAAATACCTCCAGAATGCGATGACAACTATCTAGAAAAGAATAGAGCCAATGCAATCCAAGCTATGCCTGCAATATCATTATTTGTCTAACGTGTTTATTCATGAACTTGAATATGTATGAATAACACAAACATAAAGGTTCCAAAAGCCTATATTATATATATATATGTACTTCTCCACATAAATCAGCAAGCATCCATTCTATGTTTGTACTCTTAATACTAGGAGATGTCACTACTCCTAATATTAAATATGCAATCCAAGCTCCTCCAACTGCACCTAATAATTAAGCAGTCCAATAGATTCTTAATGTCCATGAACTAATAGTATCATCACAATAGAAACTAAATGATACTGCTGGATTGACATGGCCACCTGTAAATTTGCATGTTAAAAATATTGCTGCATATAAATAGGCAGCAATCAAAATATCAGATCCATTAGATGCCACTATGCCATATGCAAATAATCCTGTTCCTATTGTCTCAAATATAAAGATGATTGTTAAATCCCCTAATGTTTTTGGAGCTGGTCTTTTTATTGGTGGTTCATTAGTTTCTTCTACATCTAGTTATATAAGATGTGTCTGTGGTTATTGAACTTAATTTTATTGTTCAGATGATTCCATTTTATAAAAAATAAAATATAATAAAAGTTTGAGTTAATATGCTAAATTCAAGGTTAGTTGAATAGATATTTTGAAGAATTAATAGATCGATGACTTGGTAATTTACTAAAGTTAAAGCGATCTTTCTTAGAAGAATTTGAAGAGATGTTAATTAATGAGGGTTGACGAGGAGATCCATATTAAGATTATTATTATTACTCAAATCTAGTAGATGATTATTATTATTATTATTATTATTATTAAGGCGATTGAATTTGTAATTTTAATTAGGAAAGCATAACACTACTTTCTACTCTTTTAAAACTATTATATTCAGATCCTCCACGTTTTCTATCTGGATCATTGATTTCATTTGGTTTAACTATACTTATTGTCATTATTGTATGTCTATCTTATCGAGTTGATTAATTCTCTTATTCAAAAGGAATTGATTTATTATTTTAAGAAATCTTTCCTTTCTATATTTGATATGCTTTTCTTTAATCACTCTATTTAACTTAATCAATAAATCCTCCTTATATATTTAATTTTTAAAGTGATGATTATTATGAACTGGTTGGTAACTCCTCTTTATCTTTGAATATCTTTTCTAATTAAGCTTTACATTTTAAACATCCTCTCCATGATCCTATTCTATTTTCATTTCATTAAAATACCTAAATTATTCGATCGCTTTTTACAAATTCTTATCACTTAATATACCCTTAAAGTAAATCTTACCTCTCATATAATTAATGATAGATTGATCCTTCAAAATATCTTCCAACTAATCCAACAGAGATAGAAAATCATTTATAGAACCTTCTTCTCTCTGTAAACTTTGAAAACGAAGATTAAGTAATTTTTTGGCACATTTAAAATCACCATTAAAAGCACCTTATTCGAAGATTAAGTCAGCCATTATAGGGTTGGCCTATAATTCCTCCCCTAAGCCATTTAACAACACCATTCCAAGATCGTAAAATGCTGGTAAATAGTCTTAATTCTTGGCTTGACTGAGTAATGGAAAAATTAATTATTTTCTATTCTATTTTGTATTAAAATTAACTTATTACTTTATTTAAATTTTATTTGCTCATTTCTTAATATAGTAAAGATAATTTATAAGTAGCTTCAACTGAATTCCTTTTTTAAGCTTATTTATAAAAGTACTCAGCATCTTAGTAGTCTTTCTCCAAAGAGTCTATCATTAATATTTATAATTATTATTTTTACAATTTTATAAATCTAAACCAGAGGTGTACAAATCACCTAAATAAATCATTGAAGGCACATGCTCTAATTCTGCAGCTTTCTTTAATAATTTAATAGCTAAATCACAATCCTTAGTTTTTATTGCTGTAACACTTGATTTTCTACTCTAGTGATCTTCTCTTTCAAAAAATTTGTCAAAGACTTTCTCTTCCTATTAAATTGTTTATATATAATTACTAATATTAATCTAGATGCCCAATAGACACTAAATGTATGTCCTTGGTCAGCACTCAATTTAAAATAGTTAAAAGCCTACCACAAGTGGTGTTAAAATTCATTACCTGATCATAATCTTTTTCTCCAATTTCTCCATCCATCAAAATCTATCCCATTATTGCCTATGCAATTGGATGGTTCTCTTCTGCCAATCTTTTGTATATTTATAAAGCACTATCTCTATTCCTCTCTATTCCCAATCCTGTAAACATTTCATGAGCATTTCTCAATTACGTATCTAAATATCCTTTTTTTGATTTTTTTAAGTGGTCTAAATTCTTTGTTCTGATGTCATTTGTGAATTTCTCAAACCACTCGTTTAAACGTTATTTAAATTCATTTAAAGAAATTGTATTCGTAGTTTTATTTTCCAATAACAACACTTATTCCCAGAAAAAGCACTGCTTTTCCAACGCACGCAACTGTTTATCATACTGCTTATGGGTAGGTCCTTTACATGGCCACTTCATTGATTCTATTAAACTAAATGCATCATGCACTTCTTAAATAGTCCTGATAGTATCTCTTTATAGATTGAACAATGACTGAGTAATCTTAACCTTTATCTAGCTTTCTTATGAACTATAATTCTTAAGAATCAACTATGCTTAACTTAATATTTATGTTGATAACTATCTTTTTCCTTCATCTAGCTTTGAACTAATCTCAACTTAAGATATGAGGTCAGCTAATTAAATGTAAAAGTATACATATTTATTAATGTGCTGCCTGAAACTTGAACCCATCGTAAAATTATTAATCATATTCTGTAGAATTACCATTTGCTTAATCGCAATATTGTTCTATTGTCTAATTTAAATTTTCTTAATGACTCTTATATAAGCTGTTGTTGACATATCGTGAATTCAGTGACATATATATAATTTATTAATAATAATTATTAATTTCTTTTCATCTCTTCTGTCCACTCCAAGATTGAAGTTCCATAAACTTGTTTTGAGATTTACTTAACAAATCTTATGTTTACTAAATAATCTACTCAATAATATACCTTTAAACGAATTTTCAAAGTCTCCTCATCCTTTATTAATTTCTCTCTAGTCTTTTTTAGCTTCTCCTCTATTAATTTCTCATAAGAAACTCTCTCCTTATAAAATTATTAAGATTTAATCTCTTCTTATTTCTTTGCTTCCTCCTTCTTTTTCTTCCTCTCTTTTTCTTCTTAATATAATGCTTCTCTAATCTTTTGGTTCTCTTAAAGTATGCTATCTCTAGTTCTAATTAATGTCATTTTCATAGTACTCTTATATTATTTTACTTAAGATTATTTCATTGAATCTCTAAAATCACTTATTGATTTTACCCTAATTTCTATGCTGTCTTCCTTTTTTGAATAAAATCCTCTTCACTTTTTTTTATATATTCAATTTACTGCTTTCTACTTTTCATCTTTTCATCTTTTATTTATTTAGCCTCATCTGCTAATTACTATAATTCTTTCTTTACTAAGATTCCATTCTCTATATTCTATGCTGCCATCTCATATAATTTAGCCTGCCTACATCAAGTTACATTTTACAAGATGTAAATTTTTCTACTCTGTTTATTTTAACAAAGTAATTTTAGCCATCTATCTTTCATATGCTAGTTTTTCTTGTTTCTTTTAATCAGTAGCTTAAGGCAAAGGAATTGTAGGTCTATCATCATCATTTTAAGTCCTTGACATATCGAGAATTTATATTAAATATAATATCTGTTTAAATATTCCAATCTCTTTAAATTCTTTTTAAGATTTTTTATGAACTCATTTTATTTCCAATTTATTTAAAACACATAGATTTAATATAATTGAATAATGCTTAAACAATATTTAATTTTATTATATTTTACAAAATATTTCTATTAATCAAATTTTAATTTCTCTTTTAAAAACAAATTAAGATATTAATATGATTTAAGAAATTTGAATTAAAAATACTCTTTTACAAATTTTTAGAATTATTAATATCTTTAAGATTTTATTTTCAGTTTACTGATATAGAGAAATTCTATTTACCTCATGAGTATGAGTAATTTAGTGTAATTAACCTTATTTCGGTTAAAAAATTGAAATGATTTGTAAACTCTATGTATTTATCACAATCATCTATATTCTTTTAAAAAAATGCATAACATACTGATTTTGAGCTAAGTCTTCTTTGAAAACAACATTATCAAAAGGGGAATTATTCTAATTATCTAAAATCAAATTTTGATTTTTCCTTTTTATAAAAAGTATCTTTATAAAAATCATATAATATTATTCATAGTTAGAATTTTAAATTCATTCAATGAATTTTTCATTATTTTTTATCACAAAATTATTTTTTTTTATTTATTTTTAATAAATTATATGTAAACATATGTCAAAAATGAATAGTATAGCAAAATATATTAAAAATAAAAATGAATTTTTTGTAATATAACCTCAAAATTTTATTAAAAACATTATTTATGATGAAAGATTTAATTATAAACTTAATTTATCATTATATTAATAAAAGTCATCATTAAAAATTCATATTATCTATTAAGATATTTAAAATCGAACAATTGTTTAAATTAATTTCATCTTAAGAGATCATTTAAAATTTGAATTGTTATAATTAATTCTAGATTTCTTATTATTAACCATTTATAAAACTTCTTTATTAGATAAAAAGAATTAACAACTATAAACTAATTGATTTATTTATTTAAACAGAAAAATAAAATCAAAAATAAGTTAATTAAAAAAATATTTTCCCTTTTCATTTATTTTTCTTTTGTTCATTGAAAAATCTGAATTTAAAAGCAAATTATATTATTGTTATTAATACATGCTCAGTAATTATTTTAATTCAAAGTTTTGACATTTAAAACATAAAAATGAAAAAAAAAATGTATTTAATTGCTTGAGATAATCGATTTGATAAGAATAAAAAGATTTAATGAGATAAGTTAATAATAATGATGAGAATTAAGTAAAATATGATTAACTAAATACCTTATTTATAGGATTAAATACATATTAAATATAATAAATGAAATAAAATTTGGAAGAAATAGCTGCCACAATTCCGAATTTCAAAATGGTTGATGGCAAATATTACATCAAAACAACTAAATTGGGAAAAGGAAATTTTGCAGAAACGTATATATAAAAATATACAAAAGTCATTTGGCTACATTGAAAGACAATGAGAAAATAGTTTATGCATGTAAATTAATAGCAAAACAAAATATCATTGAAAAACTTAAAAAAAGTAATAATCCAGATAGCAGAAAAGAGTATATAATCAACTCGCTAAAAAAAGAGGTATAATCTTTTACCATTTATTTTTTAGGTTTCATTGTGGAAGTAGATGGATCATCCGAATATTGTTAAGTTTATTGATTTCTCTGAAACTCCAAATAATATTTATTTCTTTTTGGAATACTGCAATGGTGGAGATTTAGATATGCTCATCAAAGACAAAGGAAAATTGAATGAATAAGAAGCAGTTGATATATTTCTCTAAATTGCAGAAGGATGTTCATACTTATATGACAAAAGTGTTTTCCATAGAGATCTAAAACCTGAAAATATATTGATACATAATGGTACAGCAAAATTAGCAGATTTTGGTTTTGCTAAAGTAATTGAAGAGGATAAAAAAGATGTGGCTGCACATGGAACATCAGTAGGAACACCTTATTACATGGCCCCATAAATTTTAGCAGGAGAAGAGTATTTATATAGAAATATATATCATTTAGCTATTGCATAAAATGTGATGTCTGGTCTTTGGGTGTAATTCTGTATTAAATGTTATTTGGAGTCCTTCCATGGAAAGATACAAATTCTATTATATAATTGTTGAATGCTATCAATAATTAGAAAATTCAATTTCCAAATACAAACCCAGTTGGTTAAGAGATGAAAGACTTAATTACAGTAATGAATATATTTATGAATAATTAGAAAATGCTTTAAAAAAAAGAAGAAGATCGTATTAATATAAAGGAAGTGTGCGAGAGTTTGAACAAAATAAAAAAGTGATATAAAATATTAAAATATATGCATTATTTTATTTATATTCTAACTCATTAACCAATTAAAGCAGATGCTGTCTTTGAGACACTTTAAGATAGTAAAAATATATATACTATTTCCAATTTGATGGCAATTTTTGGGTTCTTCTGTAATATCTGCTAAGTCTATGGATTCTGCTTTCAACCAAAATCAATCTGAATTTGCTTGTAATATCACCTCTATTCTTCTCCAAATGCTTTCTGATTTAAACAGCCTTTTTAATTAAGGCATATAAATCTTCAGGAATTTTTGGAGCACAACCTAAAATTTTAATTATTGCTATACCTCTTTTCTTTAAGATTCTTAATATCTTTTAACCTGTTAAGAATCTGGTTTAAGGGATACCTTATTAATCTCTTAAATAAACTCCAATTTGAGATCCATTCAAACCTATAAATTTGCAATAATGTTAAATAAAACCTTTCTTTGCTAAATTAACAATTTAGTCAACGATTGATTTAGATGATAAAGTCAACCATTTTGGTGCTTTTCTTTTATATGGGAGGGCTGAACCAGAAATACCCTTTCCCTTTCCCTTAGCTTACATACGACCCATGAATTAATTTAAGATTTAATTTTATTTAAATTTGTTTAGTCATTTCTTTGTTTTCTTGGGTTTCTTTTTTTTGGCACCTAAACCATATAGCTCTTTTCTTTCCATTAATTCGTTTTAAATTAATTTAATAGCATTTTCCATTCTTAATTATTGTAATTCTCTTAATTTTTTAGCTTCTTATTCTTAAATTTCCTAAAATACTTAAATTAATATACTTTTCTTTCACGTTCTTATTTTTCTAATTCTTCTTTTTCAAATCTTCTATTTAATTCATCTAATTCTTTTAACATAATATTTTTTTGTTCAGTTAATTTTTCAATTTTATCTTCTAATTCTTATTTCTTTTCATCCATATATTTATTTTGATCATCTGTTTTTTTTTTTGATTCTTCCTAAATAATATTATAATATTAATTACTTCTTTTCTAATTAAATAATCTTTTAATTATTTATGAACCTTTTCTTCAGTTTCAATTTTTGTATTAAAGTTTAAAATTTATTATTCAATATCCTTTAAGGCAAATTCAAACACTCTCATTTAAGTATTTTCTTTAGATGTACCTACTTTTTCATCATATTTTTTTTTTAAATCAGCTCTATTTGTTTTATATAATAGTTTTTCTTTTAATGATTAAATATTCTTTTATTTTTCAGTTTTCTCGTGTTCATGTTCTTTTATTTCTTAAGTTTTATCATTTTACAATTTTTTAATTTCAGCTGCTAATTCTTTTTCTCTTACTGCAAATTTTCTTAATGAATCTTATTCTTCTAAACTATTCGTAACATTTTGAGCAAATTTATTTAATTAATTATTTTAGATGAATGTTTTGAGATTCTTTCATTAATTTAATATAAATACTTCTAAATCTGAGATCAATCCTGCTCTCTCTTCATAAACTTTTAATGAATCCTAATCTATATTTGGGTTTTCTTTAAATAATCTTTTATTTGAAATGAAACTTATACCTACATAATTTCTTAGTACTTTCTTTAAGTCTTTAAGCTACTTCTTGAATATGCTTTTAAGTTTCTGTTAATTATTTTCTATTAGAAATTCCAACCAAAGTGCTTCTTTTGGCAACTAATTCTGCATATTTAACTTCCAATGTTTATTGATCAGTTAACAATTTACTTTATTCATATCCTGCTAATTCTGAAGATATGTCATTATCTCTTGTAATTTCTCCAATGAACTGTAATTTCAGAATACAATCTTTCAATACAAATTACAATTTGTGTTAATCTATGGGATTCATTTTTTATTAATTTATATATATATATATCTGTTTTAATGCTCATTCAAATTTGTAAAACTATTTAGGCTTGTCAATTTGATTACTAAATAAATTCAATCATGAATACATGCCATGATGCCATAAAGATGGTTCAAAATTATTGTCATCATCAATGAAAAAGAATTTTTTATCTAATTCTGGCACATCAAACTTATTTTCCCAAATAGGAGCCCCATCAAGTAATTTACCTATTTCTGGTTTAATGCTTTTAGCATAATAACTTCCAGATGCAAATCTATTGATAAAATTTATTTTATTGAATTACCTTGTTCCTAAAAACACTGCACCAACAATACCAGCTTTGAAATAAATGGCTAACTTTTTTGCTGGACCTATTCTATTGACTGCCTCCAAACTCAAATAAGTTGTAAGTAATGTTGCCTTATTCTAGAAACTAGATTATCCATTGACTAAATTAAAGACTTAATTTTAAGTTTCTGTTGGGACAAGTGAGGTATGAGTCCACCAAGACTAATTATTTTATGTGAGGTTGATATACATTTAATTATTTAATAAATCTTATATTATCAATGTAAATAAAAGAATTGGTCATTATTATTAACTCTTAATATATAATATATTCATAAAAATCATACTTATTTTAATATCTATAAAACTACTACTATAATAGATATAAACTTTAATTTTAAATACATTTTCTTCTATATTAACTTCATATTATATATAATCTTTTATTATAATATTGTAATTTCATTATAAATAAAATAAATAATAATACATAAATTAAACCTTTATCATTCACAATCAATCATATATAATTTCATAAACTCTAAATTATTTATTGCACCATATTACTAAATATTTACCATTATTTGATAAATTTCCATAATTATATTCATTCTCTAAAGAAATATATTATTCTTAATTTATTAAATTATCATTTTAGTCAATAGTAAATAAATAAACATTTTCAAGATATTTTTAAATTAGAATTTATTTTTATGAATTGAATATTAATGGAAATTAGAATTCTCCATCTTTTTTATCATTCTTTTTTATTTGTATTTTTTATTCAGGTATTTCTTTAAATATTCCATCTTGTTCTTTAAGAATATGAGTTACTCCTTAATTTTATTACCAAACTACAGTTTAATCATTTATAAAACTAATTCTGTATCCTAAATGATTTTCTGAATTTTATATTACTTATTTAAAATTCCATACTTATTAATCATCTAAACTCCAAATAATTATTTATTTATCTAATGAAATAGACGCCATTAAATTATTACTTTAATTTAAATTAACCTATATTACTGGACCAGTATGTTTTTCTAAAGATTGATAAAATTAAATAGAATTTTATTAATAATTTACATCCCAAATAATAATTTTGCAATCATTACTACAAGATATTAATTAATTTTCATTTTCATTTAAAACAAGCTAGACAATTTAACCTCTATGAGCAAATTATTGAATTTTTCTTTTTGTAAAATCAAAATTAAATAAAATTTTTTTTGGTTTCCATAAAATAATCTATTAATCATTTCCTGCTGAGAACAACCAATTTTTCTTTTTACTAAATAATAGTGTAGTAATTTCTGATTTATGTTCATTTAAACTATAAAGTAGGTCACAAATATTTCCATCTTAAAATTTCCATAATTTAATTTCTTTATCACAAGTTGTAGCAAGGATAGAATCATCTTTATTAAATGAAATTGCTAAACATTATGTTGTTTATTAAATTGTTTTATTTTATTTTTTAATAGATATCTTTTAGTCTTTCATTTATTATAAATTATTTAATTGATAGACATTAAGGAGTTCAGAATTTTCTCCTTTGAATAAGATTTCCAAATTTGGTTTTTGTTTAATTTCTATTTTTACATTTTTATTTTATTAATACAATTATTAAGTATTTTTTCTCGGAGATAATTAAGATTTATCCTCTATGTCGAGGAATGAATATAATTTATTTAGATTATAATCAATTGTTATTATAGTTTTTAAATCATGTAGAATTTTTTTAATTGTTTCAGAATAGTTCTATCTTTATGTTTTTATCAATTCAACTAAAATTTAATTATTTGATTATTATTGATTGTTAACTTTCTTTATTTCTTCAATAAAGCTAAATTTAGAAAATTCCTATAACTTACTTTCTAATTTACATTTCCAATCATTAATAGCTTCTATTAAATTTCTTACTAATTAATTAATAATTTCTAATATTTTTGGGACATCTTCTATATAATTACTAAGTATTAAGATTTCTGGTTATAAAATATTTTAACATTCTTAATATTCAGATTATTTCCTTTTTTTAATCTAATTTATAGCTTCCTCAATATTTAAAACTGTTTTTGAGCCTTCCTTTTCCTACAAACATTATTCGCATAAAAGTTTAGATTTTGGATTTTAATTGAACAAAACATATTAAACATTTTTATTGTGTTCATTACATTTTATAGATTCTTATCCTTCAATCATTTAGCATTCATTTATTTCAGAAATCATGCAATGTTTTTAATAATAAATAAATATTATTTAAAATTATTTCTAAATGATATTCTATGTAAATAAAAAGACTTTAACCAAATCCTTTGGTAATTTATAATAAAAATCTCTCATAATTTATAACATAAATTTCTACATCATAGACTTCTTTATACAATTTATTAATTAATTTGATTCACTCTTTCATATCAATTGAATTTTTATCTATAATATATATATTTAAGGTTTTTCATGTAATTTCCAAAAGATTTTTTTAAATAGCTTATTGTATTATATATTTTAATTTATAATAAATCAATTTTGATAAACTTTGATTTCACCAATATTATTAACTCAGAATCAATTTATCAGAGTGTACCAAGGAAATCTAACAAATTATAATTACTTTCTTCTAAGATTTAATTATATGATTAGTTATTTCATTCTTTATCATCATAAATACAAATATTTACTTTTATATTATAATTTTATGTAAAAGAATATAATTTCAATAGTTTATCAAAATAATAGGCCAGATTCTTAAATATTAGTAGCATATGCAATAATATATGATTCAGATATATTAGAATTATGGGATTTCAAATAAAAATTATTAATCAAATTAATATTTTCATAAAAATCCAAATAATTGATATCAAGAAAAATAACAGAGATACATCATAATTTAACTATATACCTTATATATGTAAATGATATAAATTATATTTATGTTAGCCTTGGAAACAATAAATAAATTTATCATCAATTTACTATGAAAAGTAAATGAATTATTTTGTTATTCAAACAGATTATTGTGTTAATTTATTAGAATAGAATTTCTAAAAATAAATTCATAAAAATGAAATAGAAATATTCATTAAATAAAAGAAAATAGTGTAAATTTTAAGCAGAAAAATTGTATAATCATAAAAAAGAATAATATAAACTTATATAATTATAAATTCTAGATAATTCAAACATATTTATTATTACCTATTAAAATTACAAAATTAAATATAATTCATTATAAAAATAAGTAAATTGTTAAAAGTTTATTAAATCGAGTAGTAGAATTAATAAATCTAATTGGAAGAAAACCAATTGAATCATTATTACTTTAACTAGATAAGATATTAGAAATATTAAGTTTAATATCAAGAATTGAATGTAAAATAATATAATTTAGTTTTTAATCGAAAATGATCAAATTTAACGCTAAATAGAAAAATAATAATGTTTATAAAGATAAACTAAAGTTGCAGAGGATGAAACAAGAAATTAATGGTTTTAAATCAAATATTTGAAAATTAATAGCCTAAACAAATGTGTTTGAGTTAAAATAAAATATATTTGTCACATTAATATCTAATAGACTTTTTAATGAGTTATTTTGGCTTTTAAACAAAGTAGAATGAATTAAAAATTTAATTAAGGATGATATAATTGTAAAATAAAATAAATATAATAAAAAATACATAGATTTTATTATTAATAATATATTTGTATCATGGAGATTTTTACATTTGATAATTGCGATCATTCTAAGGAATTCTAACTTCTTGTTTAATATTATTCGGTATTTGATGAAGATTTAGAATCTTCGAACAGGACTAAATCAATTGTTGATTTATTGGATGCAGGTTTAGAAATTTAAGAAAAATTTCGTAAAAAAGCAAAATAAGAGAAATAGAGTAATTGATCTTTGCATTATTTAGCTTAAAAAAATTTTAAGACTCCTTTAGATTTTCTTAGAGATTCATTAAAAAATAAAATTGATAATACTCTATCCTTTTAACAAATATTGATATTTTCAAATCCATAAGTAATTAAGAATTTTGGTAAACCAAAAGTTGTGCATCATAATGGTGAATTTCTTATAGTAGGTGGATCTTTAGGAAATATTCTCTATTACTCTTAATCATAGATGGATATTATTATTTAATAATAGAAAATAGGAGTTGTAACTGCTTTAGATTCATTAAATGAATTAGTGGCTGTAGGTTATGAGAGTGGATGGATTAGTATAATAAATATGAAAAAAAAGAAACATTAGTACACTTGTTAGAATATTACTAAATCTAAAATAATAGTTATTAAATTCATATTTTAATCTAAAAACTTTTTTAATGTTATAACTTCAGATGATATGGGAATTATGAGAATTGTAAATTTTAGGAAAGGAATATTGGGATTCGATTATTAAATACAATTAACAATACCAAGATAATAATATCCAATGCTAAACATAATGGTTTTGTATAAAAATGAAACAAAAGAATTTATGGGTGATTAATATGAAAAATCAAGTAGAATTATTGGATTATGTTCATTACGCAAATTTTATCTTATTATTACTTATAAAGATGATGAAAAGAAGTTGAAATCTATAATAGAGATAGAAAATCCACATTTTTCAGGTCCAGAAAAACCCTTTTATTGTTATCTCTCTTATGGTTATGGTATATTACCTCCTCCAAATTAAGAGTAAGAATAATAATGGAAAGAAAAGAAACTGATAATTTTACTATGTTGGAATTGTCATTTGTTTATATTAGTTAAAGGTAATGATTAAGCAAGATATATGACACTTAAACCATTAATTTTTAAATAATAAATACATGCTGCTTATTTTGTAGAATAATCTATAATAGAAGTTATAACTACAAATCAAAATATATATCTATTTAATACACTTCATTTAGAAATGCATATGGTTCCAAAAGGAATAGAATAAATACCATATTTCATTTAAAAAAAGAATTGGCCTGATTCTCCATTTACTTCCCTTTATTAAGTTGATATTAAGAATAAAGATGATGGGATTGAATTGAAATAATATCCATTATAAAATTAAATATATGCTTTAAATAAATAAACAAGGTAAATTCATATTTTAGTGGAAGGATCAATTGTCACAGGTAGTATAAATAATTTAGAATAATCTATTGATATTTTTATATAGAATAAAGATTGGGCTAAAGGAATGTTATTGATTTTGGCTTTGATGGATGGCAGCATGAAATCTACTCCAATTAAATTCAATTAATAGGTTTTAAAAAATAAAGTATTGGAAATAGCCACTCATTATATTAAAGTTGTTTTAGAGGAAATCAAAACAACTTTAGATAAACATAAAACCTTGATTTATACTCCAACTTCTTTATTAGGTCATTAATAAGATGTTGAAAAAGTAAAGACACTACTATCAATGCTTGTGGATTTTCTTTTGAGAGTTTCAAGTGATATCTTATTTAATTAAATATATTGTATCATAAAGAAATTTTTAAATGGAGATATAAGCATATTATGTAATGAATTAAGTTTGTATCTAAAGAATGGAAAGGTTAAAATGATTGATGCAAATGAATAAACTATAAGTAACTTATAAATTATTAATGAGATTAGATGAAATCTTGTTATATTATATTAAAAAAGGGGAATAATAATGCATTGATGCTTTTATCTAGAAAATTGAATATTCAAAAATTAATACTGAATAATTAATTTAACAATGTCTTATAAATAAATTGACTACTAGTTTGAGTTATGTATGTACAAGGTCTGGAGATTTCTTGACTCCTTTGGCTAAATTATGGGGAATAATTTAATAAGACATAAAAAAGAAAGATCCATAATTAGTGATAGAATAAGGAAAAAATATTATATTATATTTGGAATATACTTTACATATTGAAGAATTAATAAAAGAGAAATCTGATTAGATATCTTTATGGTTATTTGAAATTTAAACATTATTTTTATTAATGAGTATAGATTTTGCTGGTTCTGTCTAATTATGTTACAGATTTTTTATATCTCCATATGATTAATTTTTAGATAAAGAAAGATTAAAGAAATATTATATTAACATGACTTAAGCTTTTTAAAAATTAAAAGTAATAAAAGATTAAAATGATTTAAAATTTTAATTAACCTAATTATAAATAAAAACATTACCAGATGCTATTGCATGGGATAAAATGATCAATTAAGTTGGTAGATCTATATAAGCAAGTATTTTGAGTAAAGGATACACAGAATAATTATAAAATAAATAATTAACTGAATTATTCTTAGATTTAGTAAGTGAACATCGACATTTGATATTTCTACCACTTTAATGTTTACCTTTACCTAATATATTACATAATGATGAACCAACTCTTAAATATTGTTTAATTTATGCATATAATTAATTTATAATCAATTTATTTAAGAAATATCCAGCTGTTGATAAAGAAGATGTTTTAAATTCAATGGCATCAGATGGATAATTTGATTGGGTTAAAATGTATTTAAATGAAGAACTTAAAATTTATAGTAGAACTTTAGATTTCAGAATTAAAATTAAGAATTAATTACAAAATTTTAACATTAAAGTTAAATTTGAAATTTTTACATGGATTTCTAATGTTTTATAAAAAGATCCTCCAATTCCATAAATTGATTCTTTTAAAGATAGAATTCTATATCATATAGGATCTTTAGTATCTTATAGTGCTGTTCACACAAGATCATTGATTTCAAAATATTTTTAAGCCAATGATATAAGTATTCTAAATAAAATGGGGGAATTACCAAAATTATAATTAGAATATCTAGAATAAATTATGTAAGCTGATAGAAAATAATATTAATCCAATACAGAATTGTTAAAATTATATATTAAATTAATTTGTTAAATTAAACCAGAGAAAGTTATAAAAGAACTTTAAGAATAAGAATATCCTTTAGATGAAATGATTGTAGTATTAAAATAATATCCTGTGCCTGATGCTTTAGTATATTTACATGAAAGATCAGGAGCTATTACAGAAGCAATTAGTGTCAAACTAGATGATTTTATTTAAAAAATACAATAGAAAGCATTTTTAAGCAAAGTATGTATATATATAAATTTAATAATTTTAGAGTGAATTTTATTGTTATTTTTTGGAAATTTGTAATATTTGTCTTAGGAATTAGAAATTAGATGAATTAGATGAATCCTGGGATATGGTGACTTAATGCATTTTGGAACTTTCATAAAATAGATATACACCATAACCTTATCCATCTTATTTAGAAGAATATATTCCATTATTATTAAAGAAATGGGCAGAATGTAGTCATTTAGATGCATTTCTTGATAAAATAACAACTAAATATATGAGATTAAGTTCTTCAAAACTTAAAATGACTTTCATGTCTATGTATAAACACTTTAATTTCTCTTCTACAGTTTATACTAAATTAGTAGATATCAATTTTATTAAATGCATTAAAAATATGAGAGCTTTGGTTCATTTATAACTTAAAGGGTAGGGTTATTTACCAGGTTGCTATAAATGTAATAATTATTATGAGTATCATTAATAACTTGAATCAATTATTCTTTTAGCTTGTGGTCATACTTTTCATTATAATTGTCTTAATTTAGATGAGAAGGATTAATATCATTGTCCAGTTTGTTTGAATAGTCCAAAAATTGCTATGGCTCATTAACTTTAATAATTGAAATCCAAAAAATATTTACTTAAGACTGAAAATTAATAATAATAATTATATTAAAAGAATTAAAACCCTTTGATTATTAATATTATTAAATAAGGATAAAAAAAACAATAGGAAATTGAATAGAGTTTAAAATTCATTCAAAATGAAAATGAAGAAGAAAATAGAAGAATGAAATAATTTGAAAAATTAAAATTATTTGAATAATAAAAATTGATTAGATTGGAAAGAGTTTGTTAAGGAGTTATACTATATTGAAATAATAGTATATATATATATATATATATAATTTAAAAATGAATTTAGATTTTTAAATGTATTGAATGTTAGTTATATAATAAATAATGAATTTCATGAATTAAACTTTTAGCAAAATCAGGCCTAAAACAACAGATTCTAAGATTCGAAATTCTTCTCATCATTAATTGATCTCTTAATTGTTTCAATAAATCAATTCTTATTATGAATAAAAAGAGAAACCAAGACCAAAAACTCAATCTAGATAAAGAAAAATGATTCCTTTAAATTATTCACAATCTGATACTTATGACCCTACAGACAATTTAATTGATAGATTATGTCCTACTATATAATAAGATGCAAAATTTATTTTCATCAAAACAAGAGAAAGAGCCTTGCGTTAACCATCTTCAGGTACAAGAAGAAAAAAAATGAATGAAGAACCAAAATTTCAACTAAATCCAATAAAGAAAACCACTATAATTTAAGAAATTACAGAATAGACTGCTCCACCTAAAAGGACGATTGAATAAAAGACTGATCATTCATTTTATCTAGTCAAGTAGTTGCATATTAATATTTAGTTCTATTAATATGCTCAAAACAATGAAAAAAGATAAAATGAAATTATTTAATTGCAGTTTTAATTGACTTTTTATTTTGCTATTAAATATACGTGTTAAATTTTAATGAGCCATCCTTCAACTCTTCTTGAATATCAACCAGCCAAATAACCCCATTCCAACATTATAAAATTGCTCACTCAACATCAAGACTTGTTTCTCATTCAGAATTAAACCCCTTCTACTTTAGGTGCTTAATACCCTTTAAATTTGGATGCAAAGGAAATACTCATAGAAGTTCAACCAGATCAAAAATTCACTCATCCAAAATACTTCTAAAAAGATAATAAAGTTCAAAAAATTACAAAATAACCTAAATAACCTGCATCTACAATTTTTGTAGAAAGTGGCCTTTGTGATCCAAATAAGAAAGCTTGGTATTACTTGGATGAAAATTTAAAGTCATAAGGACCTCACACATCAGCAGAAATTGATTAATTGATCACTAAAGGCACTATAAATATGTAAACTAAAGTTGCTTTAGAAACTTTAGATAAATTGGTTAGAGTTGAAAAGATTATTTAAGCAGTTAATAAAAAAAAAGAAGCTGATTAAAAATTAAAAGAAGCATCAAAATTAAAATAAGAAGAAGAAAATTAATAAAAATCTCTTGATTCACCAACCAAAATTGAAAAATAAGAAGAACCTAAAGTTCAATAATCAAAATAAAAAGAAGAATAAGGGATTGATTTCGAAATAGATTATACAAAGATTAAATAGAATATTGATATGGGATAATGGGCAAAACCATTAATTGCATAACCTATATAAGTCAAAGTTACAAAGGCTTATACAAATAATCCATAATAATCAAAGCAATAATAAAAATAAACTAATAAGCAAACTGAAAGAAAAAGAAGTGACAATAAGAGTATGCATGTAGAAGGAAATAAAGGGAATTTGTATTAAAAAAAAGGATATGAAAAGTAAGATAAATTTTAATCATATTAGATAAGAGGAAGTGATTTTAGAGGCTAAACCAAAAGAAGAATCAGATGCAACTATTAATTAAGAAGTTTAAGATTATTTAAAGAAATTGGAATCTAAAAAAGCAGAGATAGTAAAAGAATAAATTTAGTAATAACCAGAAAAACCAGAAAAATTACCTTAATAATAATAAACTTAAGTTCAAAAAGCACAGAAATTGAAGACTGAACCTCCAAAATAAGAATAAAAATTATAACCTAAATAGTAAGCAGAAACTGTAGAAAGTGGTGATGAAGAGTGGGAAATTGTTGGAGCAAAGAAAAATACATAAACAAAAAAAGAATAATAATAAAAATAAACAACTAAAACTGAATAATCAACAACACAATAAAAAAAATAAGAATAATAATAATAATAGTAATAATAATAATAATAATAATAATAATAATAATAATAATAATAATAATAATAATAACAGGATGAAAATGATGATGAAGATGAAGATGGATGGTAAACTGTTGGTGCATCAAATAAAGATAAAAAAAAACCTGTTAATAAAAAGATCTAACAAAAAAATTCGAATATTCCTGGATTTGCTGCTGAAATCAAAACAGATTCTATAACAATATCATCTGGGTCAGCTAAGAAACCACCCCCTTAAAAATAAAAAAAACCTGAACCAGTATAACAATAATAACCCTAATAATCACAACCTTAAAATTAACAATAAAATATTCAAAATGTTGATGATGATGATGAAGGTTGGATTGAAGTAGAAGTAGGCCAAGCACCTAAAAAGGTTACCTAATCTAAAAAAGGAAAATGATACCTTTAGTATAATATGTTAAATAAATAATAGTAAATATATTCAAGATTTATTGATGATAAATCTAACTATATATTATTCTTTTTATTATATTTATTATAAATAGAATAAGTTTGTTTTCAGTTGACTAGTTTACTTTTTAAGATTATAATGCTATATTATTCTAATAAATTTTCAGTTTTATATTTTTTCTGATAATTCTTTGAAGATAAAAACATTTATTTTTCAAAGATTCAGTATAAAATGGAATTGTTATTATTAAAATGTATTTGAATAAAATACAGAAATCTTGAAATAAATAATTAATTAGATTTATATATTGATAAAAGTTATCAACTCATATTTGCATTTTTATTTTTATACAATAGGTTGATAGTCTAATTTTTAGATTTCATAATAATCTGGAAAAATAATTATATTAGTTAAGCAAAGGTATATCAGAATGATAAATCTTGAGTTTCTTAACTCTTATTTATCTATTTGATCTATCTGACTTCTATACAAATGAACTTTGTTAGCTTTTTGGAAAAAATACAGTCTATTTATTAGAAAAATGCTTCTTAATTATTTATTCAACTGGAGAAGAATCAATGTATTCTTAATTTTATTTAATTTTATTATTGCGAAAGGGATCCTCATTCACTTGCATGGCTCTTTCAGTGTTATACCTTTCCGTTTTTATTTGTTGAACCCGTTTTTATAATTATTAACTTTTTATTCTAACTTAAGGAACTCGTATAGGTAGTAAGGGAGCAACCAATTGTTTCTTTTCTTTCATTTTAAACCATGGCCCTAATCCATTGCAATCATGAGCTTAGAAGTCTAATATGAATTATTTGGTAACCTTCTTATTCATCAAAAAGCATTGATGTTTATAAAGCTAGGCTACACTTGTTCATTAATTATTTTTATAAACTTGAAATTTATTAAAAAAATAAAATTTTACTAAATTTCATTAGAAATGGATCACTTAAATGTTTGGAAGTATTATAAATTATTAATACAGATAGAATTTTCATTTTAAATTAAGGTATTATTATTAGAGAAATTGAATAAGATTATCATTAGAAATTTGATTAAACATACAAAAGAAAGTTAAAGTCTTACTTAAAGTAGTTAGTTATAATTATTAAATTAATTTATATAGAATTTTAATTATATTTTGAAATATTCTTTCAAATAAAATCATATCTCAAAGAAATGAATATATTGAAAATTTAGATTAAATATAATAAGTCTGAATAGAGTAAAAGTAATTAACAATTTGTTATTTGGAAAGATTAATATGAAAAATCACTTTCAAAAATTTAAACAAGAGGATTACAAAATCAAAGTTTTTTTTCCATTGAGTAAAATGTTTAGTAATTCAAACAATCTTATTTCACCATCTAATTTTTATGTTTTAATAACACCTATCAAAATATATAATTATGGGTCTTATATTTCTAAATATACAATTAAATAGTTACTTTAATTCTTTTATTCATAAAATATAAGATGAATTTATTCTCTCAATTCTTTCATAGTCATAAAACAAGATAATTGAGAAAGGTCAAACTTAAATTCAAATTCTGTATCATTATACAATACAATAATATCAATCAAAAAAACTGATTCCTAAATAATAAAGTAATTGTACTAATTATGCATTTGTAAATTTATTTACTGCTTTCCATACTCTAATTTACAAATCATTCATTTTTAAATACTGTGAAGGACTAATAACTTAGTTAATAAATTACTCATTAATAGTTTTGATTTGACTGACAGATTTTGACACATCATTAGATTCAAAAGTGACAAATGAATTTCTTCTTTATTATCTAGGACTTAAATTATTATCTCCTTTTGAAGAAGTGGAAGTTTTACGAAATGAAGAAATATCAATAATTCTGCCCAATTAACTTGATTCAAAACTTGTGGTTCTTTCAACATCTGATGTTTCTGATTCCAAATGAGTATGATTATGATTCATAGACACCTTTTTTAAAATTGGTTACCCAGACATTTTCTTCATATATAGAAATATTAAATTTAATATATATAAATTCAATTACTATTATTGGATGATTACATTTACGTAATTAATTAATTTAAATCTTTTATTCTTTAGAATCTATTTCATAATAATATCAGTATACTATGAATTATATTTATTATATTTCCAGCAACACAATTCTATATATTTACTCTCTTTTAAATTCTAAGTTTAAATATCCTGAAATCTATTATATGATCTTGTTTAAATTTCTTATAAAGATAAAGAATCTGAATTTGAATTTAAAAACTATTATTATTCATTATCCTAACAAACAATTCTTAAATAATTCATAAATAATTATCAAAAATGAAAATGTCACACATATCAAAATTAATTAATCCTAAGTTAACAAATAAATAATCAATTTCAATATAACTTTGAGAACTAATGTTAATAATCTTATAATTAAAATAATTTGCAATCTTTATTGAGGATTTGAAGATCAAAAATATATTGCATTTCTCATAATCTAATTTACATTGATTGAGTATTCTCATTTTTATTTAATAACTTTCTTAAAAGGTTATTCTATTATTATTCTTAATATTTAAATAAAATTTTGAGTTGCTAAGTTTATTTTATCATTTATTATATAAGATAACTAATAAAAATAGTAATAATATTATCTCAATGAGTAAATCATAACCAATATTTATATATGGGATTACAATCAAGGATGATAGGGGAAAGTTGAAGAACTGTTAATTATGTGGAGCAAAATTCACAATGTCAGTTAAAGAACATTAATGTAAGAGGTAAGAATATTTGTTGATCCATAGATGCAAAAGAGCAGTATGTGATAAATGTGCTCCAAATAAAGCTCAAGTATAGAAGGCAGATGGATTATCTAAGAAGTCTCATAGATTATGTAACTTTTGTAAAGACGTAACATTTTTTTTTCGATAATTAGGAAAGTGATTCTCTTAAAAGATTCTTAGAATAATACAAAATATGTTTTAACAAAGATTCATTCTCACAATAATGGTTATAATCATTTGGAACTGATACTACAAAAGCCAAAACTGTAATAATTCAGACTTATGTGAATTTTAGGATTTCTAAAATGCATTAGATGATGCAAAGCTATCTAAAGATACTAATGCTTATGATATCTTCAAAGCTAAATTAGAAGTAGTCATAAATGATATTGATGGATTTGTAAACTATTCCATTAAAGATTTTATGGTAGCTGCATTGAAAAATGTGGAATCATTTCGTCAAAAAGAAGTAGTCAAAACTTCCATTTTGAGAGTTGCTGGAACACTTCTATTATTGTATCCTCAAATAGGATATTCACATGAAATAGTACTCATTACTTATTTTCTTCTTTGTTTTGCATCTGAAGCATCTGTTTATATACTCTTAACTGCTATATATGCTCATATACTTCCATCTCAATTATATCCAAAGACTAACACTAAATATGATTTAGTTAATGAAAATGCCATTGTAGTAGGCATATTAAAAGATGCTCTTTAAGTTGATTCAAATGATATGAGTGTCATTAAGAGTTTCCTCTCATAGAAACTCAGAACCTACTTAATTACATTGAGTATTAATCTCTTTTTATTTGAAACTACCTTTTTTATTATAAGTTCTGTATTAATGTCTGGTTCAAATGGTTATATGGATTTATTGGCTTAGATGGCTGTTTTATGTTAATTATCTAATTAAGAGTTGTAGAAAAACAAATTCAATCATGAAGAAACAGAATTGTTTATGCTTAGATCACTTCGAACTAATTAATTAAGTGTACTTTATAAATAAACTCAAAATTGTGATTTTGAAAGTTATAAGAAGGTATATATTACAACTAGATCAGATTCAATTAAAGTAGATAATTTAAATTTAAGTGCTAGATAATCTATGATTAAACCTGATATGTAGAAAGTAAGTGAAATTAATTAGAAACTTTAAGAATAAGTTGATAGAAGGGATTAAGAAATGAAAAAATTGAATGATGAGATTATTTAATTAAGAGATAAAATCAAATAATTATAAAAAGAGAATTCAATACTATTAAATTAATAATAAAATAATGATTCTGAAATGTATAAAATTAAATTACATGAAATGAGAATTGATAATTCAGAATTGAAATCATAAATTGAATAATTAAAAAATGAAATATCAAAGTATAAATTAGAAAAAGAAGATGATTCAAGATTTAATCCTAAAAAATAAAAAACTGAAACTATAGATAGTGATTATGAAAATGATTTATAAGAAATCTCTTAATTCAAATTAAAATATGAATAATAAATCAAAAATCTTAAGAAACAAGCTGAAGAAAAGAAATAATAATAAAATTAACCTAATCAAATATAAATTGATGAATTGAAAGAAAATTATGAAAATAAAATAAAATTACTTTAAAAATAAATAATATAATTATAATAATAAGATAATTCTGAAGAAATAAGAGATTTAAAAATCTAAAATCAATAATTATTAAAAAAATTAGAAAAAATAAAAGATGATAAGAATAAAAATGAATTAATATAATAAAAAAATGATGAAATTGATTTATTAACTGAATTGAATGAAGAATTAACTAAAGAAAATTAACGATTAATAAAATAATTTAGAGATTTAAAATCACAGAGTGGTGCTTCAAGTGCTTAGTAAATAAAAGTATTAGAAGAATAAAATAAATTATTAGAATCAAAATTAGAATAATATCATTCATTAATATAAGAATTATTTAATATAATTGATAAGGTTAAGATTGAAAAATAGAAATTATTAGAATTCTCGGAAATGAAGTTTAAATAGAAAGAGGATCTTGAAGATGTCAAAATGGTTGCTGAAATCAGAACAATATAAACTTAATTATTGAAAGGAATGTTGAAAGAAAATTAAGCTTAATTAAGTGAATTGATATCTAATATAACGCAAATGCGTCAGGTTCTCTAAAAATCAAAATCATTAAAACTTTGATTTATANAATTAAAGTAGATAATTTAAATTTAAGTGCTAGATAATCTATGATTAAACCTGATATGTAGAAAGTAAGTGAAATTAATTAGAAACTTTAAGAATAAGTTGATAGAAGGGATTAAGAAATGAAAAAATTGAATGATGAGATTATTTAATTAAGAGATAAAATCAAATAATTATAAAAAGAGAATTCAATACTATTAAATTAATAATAAAATAATGATTCTGAAATGTATAAAATTAAATTACATGAAATGAGAATTGATAATTCAGAATTGAAATCATAAATTGAATAATTAAAAAATGAAATATCAAAGTATAAATTAGAAAAAGAAGATGATTCAAGATTTAATCCTAAAAAATAAAAAACTGAAACTATAGATAGTGATTATGAAAATGATTTATAAGAAATCTCTTAATTCAAATTAAAATATGAATAATAAATCAAAAATCTTAAGAAACAAGCTGAAGAAAAGAAATAATAATAAAATTAACCTAATCAAATATAAATTGATGAATTGAAAGAAAATTATGAAAATAAAATAAAATTACTTTAAAAATAAATAATATAATTATAATAATAAGATAATTCTGAAGAAATAAGAGATTTAAAAATCTAAAATCAATAATTATTAAAAAAATTAGAAAAAATAAAAGATGATAAGAATAAAAATGAATTAATATAATAAAAAAATGATGAAATTGATTTATTAACTGAATTGAATGAAGAATTAACTAAAGAAAATTAACGATTAATAAAATAATTTAGAGATTTAAAATCACAGAGTGGTGCTTCAAGTGCTTAGTAAATAAAAGTATTAGAAGAATAAAATAAATTATTAGAATCAAAATTAGAATAATATCATTCATTAATATAAGAATTATTTAATATAATTGATAAGGTTAAGATTGAAAAATAGAAATTATTAGAATTCTCGGAAATGAAGTTTAAATAGAAAGAGGATCTTGAAGATGTCAAAATGGTTGCTGAAATCAGAACAATATAAACTTAATTATTGAAAGGAATGTTGAAAGAAAATTAAGCTTAATTAAGTGAATTGATATCTAATATAACGCAAATGCGTCAGGTTCTCTAAAAATCAAAATCATTAAAACTTTGATTTATATATATATATAACAAATAATAAATATAAAATATAGTTCATTATTATGAAAACACTATTAAATAATAAGAAATAACTTGGATAATAGGAAACATAGACAAAATAATTGTAGAAACATGAATCAGCTGCAACTGTTAATCTAATTTATCCTTAGTTGAAACAATAAAATAGAATTACATCTGCTTATTATTCAGCGAAGTTGATTAAAGGTAACATTACATTGATATAGTATTAGGACTTCCATTAAGTGCACAACCTATTGCTAGGCCTATAAAAAAGGTTCCATAATTATAATATCCTTTTTTTTAAGAAGCTCCACAATTATAAATGCAATCAATTCATGATGAGGATGTATAACAATCAAAGCAAACTCAAGAACCTGAATTTGAAATTAGAGCTACAACAGCTCCTGAGGGGGCTTAAAGGAAACCAAAATAAATTTAAGATTTCAGATAATTGATTTAACGAGTGCCTTAAGTAATTAAGATGGAACCGACAGGAGGACAATATGTCATTTAAAATAAATTTCCAGAATATATTGTAAGATATGGAAAATTAAATATATTAGAATGATTTTGATGAATTTACAGTGAATCCACATGTTCATAAACATATGGAAAGATTAAAATCATCAAATAGATTAGTGCATTATTAATAATTGCCTCGTAATTAATCATCGAAATTAGAAAGATAAAGAGAACTCATTGAGAAAACAATATCAAATAGACCAGTCTAATCATAATAAATAAAGAAAAGAAAATTATTACCTGATAATAGACCTAAGACAACAAATTATAAAAGAGAAAATCCTTTAGGTGATTGTTGGAAAGATTTGGCTTAAAAAGTTATAATATAAGCAAATACAGCAAATAAACCTAGAGAGGAATCAATACATGAATTAGAGAAATCATTAACACATTTGGATTTAGAATCAAATGTATTAACATAGAAAGAAAAAGAATATATAAAGAAAAAAAGAAAACAATTTTTAGATGATTTAAGACCATATTTAGAGATGAAATAAGCATAAGCAGAAAAAAAGAGAGCAATGGCTAAAAGAGAGGTATTATTAGATAAATTTGATTAACATAATTCATTATTAAGTGAATTAGAAGATGATGGTGATTTAGCAAAGGAAGAAAGTATTGAAATGTTAGATGATGAAATTTAAATATTTAATAAACCTTTAGTTGAATAATAAAATTTCTTTGCTAAAGTAGATCCAATAAATAGATCGTTTGAATAGTAATTAAAGGAGACTCAATAAAAATTTGAATAAATGGTTAAAGAAGATAATAAATTATATGAAGATGCTTAGAGAAATAAGATAGATAAACCAGCACCATTTTTAAAGGTTGGAGATCATTTTTCATTAGATGAAATTAATTTAGTATTAAGAGAATTAAAGAAATCAGTAGATGATAGAAATTATGAATGTAATTAATATATAATATAATTTAAGTATTGGATGGTATTTGTAAGAATTTAAAATTCTTTTGGTAATTTAGTAAATAAACAAGAATTTTATTATTAAAATTGAGTTCTCTAGTATTTTATAAGTGTGGTGAATATATCTTTTATGAAGGTGATGTGGGAGAATAAATGTATATAATTTTAAATGGTGGTTGTCATGTAAGAATAAAGAATCCTCATGTGGCTGATTGTAATCCTATTGTAAGTACATTATATACTGGTTAATAATTTGGTGAATTGGCTTTGATTGATCCAAATACTAAAATTAATAGACCTGATCAAAATTAATTACATTCTAATAGCAAATATACATTAAATAAAATAAGAGATGAGATGTAGAGATAAGAATAACAAAAGGAAAAGGCTAAAAATTGGTGGAAGAAAGACTATAATGAGGATGAGAAATAAGAATAAGTTAAAATCTAACCAAAGAGAAGTGCTTCTATTGAATGTGCTGTAGATACATATTTATTAGCAATATCAAGAGATTACTTCAAAAGTATTATTCTGAATGTCATTACTTCAGAACTTGAAGATAAATTAAAGACATTATTAACTATGCCTTGTTTTGATGTATTATTACAATTTATTATAATAGTTTCTATCTTAAATGGAATTAATACCTATAGCTAATCTATTGGAAAGTGAAACTTATAGATTGGGTTAAGTAATTTTAAAGGAAGGTGAGCCATAGAAATATTTTTACATTGTTGCAAGTGGTAGATGTAAATGTGTGAAAGAGGAAGTGTTTATTAGAGATTTGAAAGTAATGAGAGCTGATGATCCAAATAAAAAGAAGCCATTGAAATGTGGTTTAATTGATTGTAATAAAATATCAATATAAGAGATGCTTAAATTAGAGAGGATAAGAAAATGAGAGTGAAGAATACTTCCTTAGATTTAGAGAATGTGCCTGGATTAGGAATACCTTAATCTTTTTAATATTAAGAAATATACAAGAATAAAGAGTATATGGCATTCAAATACCATTTCCTCTATAGAGAATTTGTAAGAGGTGATTTCTTTATGGGAAGAGTGTTATTGAATGAATATAAATTATTTGATGAAGATATAATGGAAATGAAATATGATTTATCAGAAAAAAGTAGATTAACAGTGATTAGTGATGCAGCAAAAACTGAGGTGTATAAATTAGATAAGGGATTATTTCATTTAGTTAGTCAACCATTGAAACAACATTTGATTGATGGAATAAAGAGAAAACCAGAATTCGATCATATATTTGATATGGAAGAAGCAAAAAAGGTTAAAACATGGGATGCATATAAGATGAATCTATTTAAAGCTGTGATGGAGTAAAAGGAATTGAAAAATTGATTTTTTTTTTAATTAATTCATTATTACGATGAAATCTGGATTATGGGATAATATGAGAAAAATGGTCACTCTTATTGATGATCTAAGAGATTGTGGTGTTTAAGATTACATTAAATTACCAAGAATATGTGTTGTTGGAATGTAGAGTGCAGGAAAGAGTAGTTTATTGGAAAATATTTGTGGATTGGATTTCTTACCAAGGGGTGATGTAATTGATTAATTGCTATTCAAAAAAGGGTGTTGTAACTCGTAGACCTTTGGAATTGCGTCTTGTACATATTCAAGAAAGATTATCACCTTGGGCAATCTTCAAAGAAGTACCAGAAAAAAAGTTTACAGATTTTACTAAAGTTCGTGAAGAAATTGATAGATTAACAGATGCAAAGGCTGGATAAAGAAAGAGTATAATCATTTTTAGAGTATAGATATCTTACCTGATCCTATCGAATTGACTATTTGGTCACCTGATTGTCCAGATCTTACAATTATAGATTTACCAGGAATTACTCTAATACCATTAAGAGATTCTGATTAACCTGACAATATAGAAGAGATTACATTAAATATGTGTAAAAGGTATTTATAATTTATGAAACTATAGATATTGTGAAGATGAAAGAACTATCATTCTATGTGTAATGCCTGCAAGTTAAGATATTACGACATAGAGATCTTTGAAATTAGCTCGTCAACTTGATCCAGATGGCATCAGAACTATTGGTGTGATTACCAAAATCGATATTATGGGAGAGGGTTCAGATGCATCCAAAGTTTTGTTGAATGAGGAAGTCAAATTGCGATTAGGTTATATAGGAGTCAAAAATCGAAGCTAATAAGATATCATTAATAAAGTTCCTGTTTAGAAAGCACTTCGTTAAGAGGAAGACTACTTCTAAAATGATCCTAGATATGCAGGAATACCTTAAGATATATTAGGAACTAGGGCATTAATTGAAAAATTAACAACTGTCTTATATCAACATATTAGAAAATGTTTACCAGATATTATCAAAGAAATTGATACTAAAAGTGATGAATGCGAAGATAAACTCAAATTACTTGGTACTGAATTACCAAGAGATTAAAAAGACAAAGTCTAATTAGTTTTTAATTTACTTCAAGATTATACAGATGGATTTAAAAATACAATGGATGGAAAATATGATAAAAATGAAGCTACTATTACTGATGAAGAAAAGAAAATTGAACTTACAGGAGGTGCTAAAATTAAATAAATGTTTAACGAATTATATTAAGAATTTGCAGATGAAAAATATCATGTTACTGATTGTTATTTAGATAAAGATATTGAATTGGCTGATCAATTACATTAAGGTGATAGCATTCCTGGATTTCCATCTTTTGATAGTTTTCTCTATTTAATTGTTCCTTAAGTTTAAGCACTCATTAGACCTGCTTAAGATGTTTTAGATCAGATATTTTAATATATGGATGAAATCAGTTAACAAATATTAAGAAAAGTATACAATTCTATTTTTATATAGGTATTTACTAGATTTCCTTCAGTTCTAGATGAAATCTCTGAAATGAGTAGAAAAGTCATTGAATCTCAAAGAGCCAAAGCTGAATAAGTTGTGATCAATTAAATTGAAGCAGAAATGAATTATATCTATACAAATGATGAAGAATACTTAACAACCAAAGCAGATCTTGTATTTAAATAAAACTCTAAGACTCTTGATCCAAAAAAGATATTAGTCAGAGAACTTAGAAATAGAGTTGATCTCTATTATAAAATCTTAATCAGAAATCTTAGAGATAGCATTCCCAAAGTAATATCTATTTCTAATAATTTTAGTATATTGGGTATTATCTAGTCAAATAAACTTTGGACAAAATGTAATTGGTTTTATATGATCAAATGAATAAAAGTGATAATGTTTTCTAAATGTTAGAAGAAGTAAATGCATTCCTATTTATTAATTTTAGCCAGTTTACATCCTCTAAGAAAGATAACAACTTTAAAAAACGTTGAAAGCATTGAAATAAGCAAAGAAAGTACTTAAATAAGACCCAGAGTATTTATATTATCCATAATGCAAGTCTTTCGAAGGGCCGTGGTTGATTGAACATATTATAACATATTAAAATAATAAGTTAACATATTAAATAAGATTTAAAAATAATTAAAAAAATATTTATTGACCAATGGTGAAAATGAATGTCCTTAATGATTGCCTCCGTTCTATTGTGAACGCTGAAAGGTTGTACTTGTTGTCCTAACTTTTTAAGACAAGGAAGAAAGCAAGTGCTTATTAGACCCACATCCAAATTAGTTGTGAAATTCTTATAAGTTATGCAAAGACATGGCTACATTGGCGAATTTGAAATAGTTGATGATCATAGAAGTGGCAAAATTGTTGTTGAATTATTGGGTATCCAATAATCATTAAATTCTAGGACGCATTAATAAATGTGGTGTAATCTCTCCTAGATATGATGTTACATTAGGAGAATTTGAAAGATGGGCTAACAACATTCTACCTGCTAGACAATTTGGTTGTGTAGTCCTTACAACTAATGTTGGAATCCTTACACATGAAGAAGCCAGATAAAGACATATTGGAGGTAAAATCCTTGGTTTCTTCTATTGATATCATTATAAACACGTAGTACAATAAATATTTATGTATTTATCTACCCAATAGGATATAAATAAATTGTTCATTTATAAATTCTATATTTTTAATCTTATTAAAAATCTCTTTAGTCATTTGCTAAAAATTCTATAATATAATTATTAGTCAATGCAGTTGAAGCAAAAACACAATAACTTATAGAATTCTAATCATTTATTCTTCTGATTTTTAAGATTATTATTTATTTATTATTATTTTGATATTCAATATACTATTATAAATATATAGTTTCTGATCAAAAAATGTATTATATTATAAGATGTATAAAATTCTGAAATAAAATAATTAAAACTATTATGTTAATATTAATTGTAAGAATCTATTAAATAAAAATGTATTTATTCTAATAAATTTAGCTTTATTGAAGAAACTTTTTAAATAATAATAATTTTAATGTTTGTTGGTTTTCATTATTTTCCTTTTCTATTTTGAACTGGAGCTTGATTACTAACTGCATGTTCTTCAATAAGGGAATCACCTACATATTCATTAACTCTCTTTTTCAAATATTCATTAACTGTTGCTATCTTTTCTCTATAAATTAATAGAGATTCCTCTAATAATTAATTCTCTTCATGTCTCTTTTCTTTTTCAGAATTGTACAACTTCTTCTTATAATTGTATTCCTCTATAAAATATATTAATTAATTATTACCTTATGTTAAACTTAAGATTCTCATACTCTATTCTTAGAGTTCCTTCTTTTTAGTTAAAATATCTGAAGCCAATTCCTTATCATTTTAAAGTGAGTTTAAGAATTTAGCTTTGGCATCATATTCTTATTTAAGAGATTCTTATTCAGCAAGTAAATTGGTCTTGAAATCAGCAAAATCATTGGCAGATAAGATTTCTTATTCTTCTAAGCTTTTAATTGTTTCTCTTAATTTTTCAATTAATTATTGAATGATTCCAACAACATCTTTTTCTACTAATGAAGCTAATTATTCTCCATTACCATGCGATCCTTAAATTAATAAATTGAAAATTACTTGTTTATGCAAATGAAGTTTATTCTTCACCTAATTTAACAAAATCTTAAACAGCTTGCTCTTCAAACAAGTTTGCATACTTACTCAATTTTTCTGCATAATCTCCAATGTGATTCTTTTCTACAAAAGTACTTTATTTGCTTTAAGCATCACTTCTAACCCAATCAAGAACTGAAAGAGCATTTTTATATTCTCTAAGAGTATCAATGAAAAGAGCATTGGCTTCACATCTTTATTCAGCCAAATTTTCAAGTTTGACCTCATTTGCCTTATATCGCTTGTTATTCCAATTCAAATAATCAGTTGTTTATTGGATCTTAAGACTTAATTTTTTTAAGATAAATAAATACTCGACAGCTTCTAAGTCTTATTGGGCTGCAGCAGCACTCTTTGAATTAACATTTACAATTCCTGAGAACTCATTGATGTCATTCAAAATGGCTGATTCAAAACGTTAGAAGGTAAGGTCTGCTTTATCTTGGGCTTCAACATTAGCACCTTATAAGTCTTCAAGCAAAGTTAGCACAGATTGAATGGCATCTTGAGAACTTAAGACATTTGTTTTAGAACTAAGTAAATTCAAAAAGTCTGTATTGATCTTCTTGGGGCTACAAAATACACTCTAACTTAATAGGAGAATGACTAACACTCCTGAAATACTCTTCATTCTTTTTCAATAATAATAATATTTATATAAATACCGTTTTTATACATTAATATACTTGATCATTAGAGAACACAATCCAACTTCTACAAAATTTAAATTTTCAATAAATGGAGTTCATAGTGTATAGAAGAGATTCGACTTAGTGATTAAATGTGGAAGATTAAAATTTGAATGTATTCCAGCATATTTTAAATGATAAAATGATAAATTTCTATATTTTTATTAAATTGATTAAGAGAGTATTGCAATGTATTGATTCTAAATATAATTCAATAAGGAAATCTAATAGAAATTAAATTAAAATAAAAGGAATAATGAATTTTATTAAACAAATCTTAATGAAAAATTTAGAGGATTTGTGTTAATATATTTCTAGATAGTAGAAATCTTAACTTAATTTAATAATTCTTTGATAATTTGTTGTTGTATTATTCAAATATCAGGGAGGGGTTGATTACAACCGGACCATTTGTTCATTACCTTCTTACCGTCCTTAATGTCAAACCACAAATCTCCAATAATACCAATATCTCTCAAGAATCTACCTCCTGGAGTGTGATAATCTTAATAAGTATCAGTATCATCAGTATCCTAGATATATATATCATAAGAATTACTTCACTATCAGGGAAATTGAGAGGGGGTGGATGAGTGATTCTCCAGTGATCTTCATCTGGATATCTTTGGTAAAGGAATTCAGCCCCTAAAAAGAATAAGATAGAAAATATTACAGAAATAGACGAATGGCATAGTAGCAATTAAAGCCCATGGCCACATTGGTCCTCTTTTTCTGAAATGCTAAGTTCTGAAGCTCTCAGTTTAGAAATCACAATCTTCAGATTCATAATCAAATTCGTGATTAACATCAGCATCTTAATCTTATTAGGCTGCAGTCAAATGTTAGATTGGTTGTCCTACTTATTTGTTTTCTGGTTTTAATAGAAGTGATGGATTGTATAGATGATCTTAAGGTAAGGCTTCAGATGGATTGAAATGAACAAGTTTTCCTTCAAATGGCCATACGTATGTTTTTGGATCTGGACAACCAACATGTTTAGTTGGAATAATGTAGTCTGGATTGTATTTTGGATCATCTCTCCAATCATAAGGCTTACCATGAGCTTCATTATAATTGACACCTGGATAATACATATAACCAGGACCCTCTAAGATTTAATAATGAATGATTACACTCAAAATAAGTATACAAATTCTTGTGATCCAAATGTTGAGTAATTGTATTGTATTCAACCTTAGGTCTGCCTCTTCCATGAGGTACTCCATGTCCATGATCTCCATGTCCATGACCATGATCTCCATGATCACCATGATCTCCATGATCTCCATGATCATCATGATGTGCAAAAGGATTAGGTACTTTAGTAGAGTTAGCAAATGTTTGAATTGTTACTTATCTAAGTTGATTCTTCAATCCTCTAGATAAATGAATCATTTAATTTTAATTATACAAATTCAGAATATCTTTATTATCTGTTAGATGAATTCAAACAATAGTACGGTTTCGCATTTGTCTGAAAATTACGAAACCAAATATTACATTAACGATTAAGAGAAAGAAAATAAGAATATTTAAATACCAACATTTAAATAATACTATGAACTTAATAATACGACAACTTTGAATACAATCACATAAAAATTAACTAATACCATAAGTGAAATTTAAGAAACTGAAAATTCATTATATGAAACATTATAGAAAACTGAGATCACAGAAGAATAAAAACAACAGATTAAAATAAGAATAATAAAATTATAAATGTTACAAGTCATAGCATAGTTTAAGACAGAAACTAAATCAAATTTATCTAAAATATAAAGAGAATTAAGAGAAATATAAAACTATATTCTACATGAATTACTCCAATTTTGATTACTTCATATTACATATAAAGTTAATAAATTTTCATTTAGTAGTAAATGCATATTTTGATGATCTTAAATCAACTGCTGATAATTTACTAGCACTTAATCTCAATTATTTTTTATACTTTTCCTTACTTTCAACCAATTATTTAGATTATCTATAATATTTCTAATGACTTAAGAATCTTGCTTAATCTATTGGGAAATTACTCAACAAATCTTTCTATTTAATAATCTCATCAGGTTTATGAATAGCTAACATTTCTGAAAACTTTAAATCTGCTTTAGGATTTATTTTTTTAAAGATTTCATCAGTCTTATCAATATCTGGTTGATTTAATAAATCTGATTCACATTTATCAATAGCTTTACTATATTATTCTCTAAAATAACCTACAACATCATCAAAAGCCTATTTTAAATATTTTTACCTTTAATGATTGACTACTACCTCACCTTCTCTTTATAATTTTTCCTTTTCTTCAATTTCTCTTAATACTAATTATTTATAATCTGGATTAATTAAAGATATCTCTTTTAATATCATTTCATCCCATTCAATCTTTCTTACATCTATAAATTATAATTATCCAGCATCTATTATATATAGATTATCAAAATCATCCTTAGCAAAATCCATTCTTAATTTCATTATTTTTCTTTAATGATATGCTTCAAAAAAATGAACAATTTAATACATATGATAACTAAAAATATAATAGATAATTTACTATAAATATTATTACATATTTTTCTTCTTCAATTCCTTTAAATAAATTTCATGTTGTCTGATATGATTACCAGTCTAAAAATTAGGATTATTTATTTAACAAATTTATTCTAAGGCTTTATCAAATTGCTCTTAATATTTAATATCATCTTTAATATATGTGATACGTTGATATCTAGTCTTATTTATTTCATTTAATATTTATTTCTATTCTTCAGTTAATTTCATACTATCATCTGTTATTTTTGTTTTACTTTGCTTAACTTCAGTTGGTTTTTCTTCTTCTTTAACTTTTTTTGTATCTTTTCCTATAGATTATTTTGATAACCTATTATTCTCAAATTTTTCTGTAGGCTCTTTTGCTTTAAAAATAAGTTTTCCATAAAAATCATATGGATATGCTTGAATCATAACTATTGTATCCCATATTGAATCTATTTTTCTCTTTTCAAACAATTACATAGCAGCTAATTATGACATTATCTATTCTCCACCATTTTTAAATTTAACTAAAATAAAATCCTTTTAGATTCCAATATTCTAAACATATTTTTTAATTCCTTATTAAATTTCAGCACTCTTTTAATCAAATTCTAAATTATTAAAATCTTTATTCTCTCTTTTCTCTGTTGCAATCCTTAATTCTATATCATATTCTGTTCTTCTTTTTACTAAAAACTATCCTAATTCTTATAAATTTGTTAATAAATGTCTGTCTCTTATGATTCTAAGACCTTTGTCTTTATCGTGATATATCAAAACACAAGGTTCTCTTTAATAGAAGAATAATGTATCCATAACTCTTAGATTTAATGTTTTACCATTTTTTGTTGGTTACATCATTTTAATTGAGAGACCTAAGAAATCAATAGGATCTTTAATTTATGGTATTAATTGTGATCCTCCATCTTTCTTCATAAATTTTACATGTGTCTAATCATCTGGTAGATATCTATCACTAGGTTAATTATAGAATTCATCTTAAACTAAATCCTTTTTTATTTGATTATCAGTCATTGGTTAATGTTGACATCTTGAACAATCACAATTAAATTTGGAATGAATGTGATAATTCTTATTTATTTTCTCTTCTCGATCAGCATAAAGAGAAAGAATCTATTACATAAGTTCTTAATCTGAATCATTATTATTAATCATATTAATATAAAAAAATGTTATATTTTAGAATATATTAAAATATATAAATACAATCGAATTAACATTAAAAATATTATATAAATTCAATTGCATTATTGAAAACAATTTAACTTGAATATATCTCTATATATTAACAATGATTAATTAATTTAAAATGTTCATAGTATAACAATTTCAATAAATAAAGTTAAATATTAATTAAAATAAAAGAATCTAGATATAGCTAATTTAAAAAAAGAATTTAGATCAGAAATTAAAAGCATTAGGATATTTATAATCAAAAAATGAATTAAAATAATACACATAAAAATATTATAGTTTGATAAACAAAAATGTTAGGTTAAGAATACATTTAAATGTAAAATTTCTTAAAAGAATGTGATGCATTGATAATTACAGCAGGGGCTGGAATGGGAGTTGATTCAGGTTTACCTGATTTTAGAGGAGACTAAGGATTTTGGAAAGCTTATAGACCTTTTTAAAATAAATTTGGATTTTAAGATTGTGCAAATCCTGAATTTTTAAAGTAGCATCCACATTTATTTTGGGGTTTTTATGGACATAGATTAGATTTGTATACTAATACAATTCCACATTAAGGTTTTTAAATATTAAAGTAGTGGTGTGAATAAAAAGATTATTTTATTGTCACTAGCAATGTTGATGGATAATTTTAGAAAGCAGGTTTTAATTAGAATAAAGTGTATGAAATTCATGGTTCAATTCATACATTTTAATGTACTTAATGTAATAAATTATATTTGGCAAATAAATTTCCAAAATTAACAATTGATTTATAAAAATTTGAGGCTGAAGATCCTTTACCTAAATGTGAATTCAATCATACTTTAAGACCAAATATTTTAATGTTTAATGATTGGGATTGGAATTCTATTATTTATACTAAATAAGAAGAAAATTTTGATTAATTTATCAAAAAACACAAGAATAATAAAGTTTGTGTCATTGAAATTGGAGCTGGAACTGCTATTCCAAGTATTAGATTAAAAGGAGATAGAATCTTGTTTGATATTGAGAATTCTATCTTAATCAGAATTAATCCATCTGAAAATGAGCCTGAAGGAAATAAGAAATACTATAATGTAAAGAAAGGAGGGTTAGAGGGAATAAAATTATTGAATTACTAATGAATTATATATTTTAAATTTTTATATGGCTTATTTTGGAAATAATCAATAGCGTGGTGAATTATAAGAGTTGTTTGCTGATTTGAATGACTTAAATTTTGAGAAAAAGAAAGAAGTATAACATTAATAAATATGTTATTAAGGCTATAAAGAAAGTTATTGCATATATGACAGTAGGAAAAGATGTGTCACAATTATTTTAATCTGTAATCAAATGTCTTGAATTTTAAGACATTGAAATGAAAAAGTTGGTAATAATATTGGTTATTATTTTATAGATTTACTTATATATAGTGAATTATTCTCGTTAAAAACCAGATGATGCTATTATGGTGATCTAAAATTTTAGAAAAGATGTTCGTAAATCAGAAAATCCATTAGTAAGAGCATTGGCTATAAGAACATTTGGTTGTTTGAGAGTTCCCAAATTGAATGAATATTTAATTGAACCACTCAAAGATTGTATATAAGATGATGATCCTTATGTACGCAAAACTGCTGTTTTATGTGTTCCTAAAGTAATTTCTTTTCATTTTTATTAGGTATTTGAAGTATCACCTGAATTATGTCCAGCCTTATTAGAATTATTATAGAAACTATTGGAAAAAGAATCAAATGCATTGGTTTTAGCAAATTTAATTTAATCCATGAGAGAAATTGAAGTTGTTAATGGTAAACAATTAATTCTAATGAATCCAAAAATTATATAAAAATTACTATTGGCTATTGATGAATGTATGGAATGGGGATAAATCTTTATACTTGATTATTTGGCTACTTATGATCCAGTTGAATCTAAATAAGCTGAAATTATTATTGAAAGAACATTGCCAAGATTGAGTCACATCAATCCTACTGTAACATTTTGTGCTGTTAAATTAATACTTAAATATTTAGATCATCTTGATAATGGAGATTTAGTCAAAAATCTTTGTAAAAAAATATCACCTTCACTTATTTCATTATTATCTTGGAATTAACCTGAAATTTAGTATACTATTCTTAGAAATATATCATTAATATTGTAAAAATTTCCTATTCTATTTGAAAATGAAGTCAAAGTCTTCTTTTGTTCATTTAATGAACCATATTATATAAAATATGAAAAATTAGATATTATGGTTAGAATTTGTGATTCTAAAAATTTTAATTAAGTTCTTAATGAATTAATGATATATCTTAATGAAGCAGATCCTCATTTTGTAAGAAAAACAATTAAATCAATTGGTAAAATTGCCATAATGTATGATAAAGCACTTTCTGAGTAATAATAATTATTTATTATGTTAGAGCTGTTTAAATCTTAGTAGAATTTGCTAAAAATGTTTAATAAGCAAATGAACCTGTCTAAGAATTATTTATTTAAATGTAGATTCTTTACAGAAAAAATAGAAATTTATATAAGACTAATGATAGTCTTAAAATACTTTTCAATATCCTTGAATATGCTAATGAACCAGAAGCAAAAGTATTATTATATATTATCATAACTAATAGAGTGCATGTGCTTGGATTGTTGGAGAATTTGCAGAATTCATTCCAAAATCTGTTGATAAAATGAAAGAATACATTGATAATTTCTTAATTGAAGATAGATTAGTATAGTTGTAATTGTTAACATCAGGAGTTAAACTTTATATCAAATATCCTTCATTATGTTCAGCATTAATTTAATAACTTATAAATTCTGCTAAAGATTCTTTCAATCCTGATGTAAGAGATAGAACATATATTTATTGGAGACTATTATCTACTGATCCTGAAATTGTAAAGAATTTAGTATGCTCTGTTCCTGCAAATTCATCTCAATTTTAAAAGGATATACGTTTATGGGAGACAAAAGATTTAATTATTGCCTTAGAAAATATGGGAAGTATTAGTAATCTATTTCACAAATTACCAAATTAATTATATAAAAATATTAAAATTAGAAATAAGTAATAATAATTTATATTTAAGTCATTAACAAGAAGCAAAAATATATAAGGCTGATGAAAAGTAAGATATTCCATAAAAAGAATAAGAAATAAAAAAAGAAGATCAAAATCAATAAATATAACAATAACCAAAATAAGATTTTGATTTATTAAATTTTGATGAACCTGTTTCAAAAAGTAACAATAATAAAATAGATGTTTATGATTTAATTTGAATATCAATAAAATTAAATAGCTAATTTTAAGCAATCTTTTACAATAATTATAGTTAATTTAAAACATAAATGAAATTTAATTAATTCAAAACCTAAAATCTCAATGAATTATCTTTTCTCTTAAATCAATTTCAAAATTTCTTATTACACCATCATTTAAATTAAAAGCTTCTTTTTGATATTAATTTATTTATTATTATATTTGATGTGCTTCTTAAAATTACTCTTCCTAAATTTTATTTTTATATTTTACTTATGCATATTTAAATACTTTTTCTTTTAATTTTTAGATTTATTATTAAATTTCAGGATAATACTATTCATGAATTATATCATTATCTAATATTAAATTATTATATCCAACCTAATCCTTTCCAAATATTGGAATATCTTAAGATTAATTTCTTATTGGATTGAGAATATCCTCATTTTTATGATATAATAACTTTAATTCATCCTTAATCTAAAATATAAGTATATATATCATACCTCTAAAATTAAAGCAGATAATCCTTAATACTCTAATTATTAAATTTATTCTAACTTTAATTCTTAAAATTAATATCTTAATATTTCAGTTATTTAATTCAATTATTTGAACTATTATTATTTAAGTAATAAAATATCTTAAATTTCATCTATTTATTATAGGAGTTGTGATTCTTTTGATTAATTTTAAGAAATATTATTTTCAAAAAGAATTATTTATTTTTAAACTTCCTTTATTTATTCATTGATATTGGCTGCTCCCTTAAAATTTTTATTTTAAACAAATTATGCTTTACTATCAATCATTTATGGTAGCTTAATTTGAAGTTCACTTTTTTTGTTTAAAATTTCATGCAATTATTATTAACTAATAAATCTTTATTAATTTAATCTATCAATTGATCTTTAAACTTATTGTAATTCTTATAATATACTGAAACTAATTTGCTTTTATTCTTAATACTTATGAAATACTTTAATTTCTAATTTACATTGATTTGATATCAAATCAGCATTCTCTATAAGATTATATCTCTTTTCTTTTATGATATTTAATAAATCTTATAAATCTTAAAGTTTCTATTTATAATCTTATTATTTAGTAATACATTCAATTTCTAAGTTTTCAATTTATAATTTTTCTACTTATAAAGCTTCTGATTCATCAAATAATTTTGTTCTTTTATTTTAAACTTTTCCTAATTATTATTGGAATTTCTATTAAACTTATTATATTTTATCTTATGTTTAAATTAGTTCTTAATCAGCAAACTATAATTCTAATATTTTCTAATTTAATATTAATTATAATTGTGTTATTTCAGTATTTAAATGTAATTTCTTTTTTTATAGAAGTTCTTATGATATTCTATAATCTTTAGTTTAATTGTCCATTATTTAATTTAAATGTTATTCTTCTTAATCTAAATGTTTTTAATTAATATCTATATGAATTTATTAAATTTTGAGCCTTTCATTCTCCTCATCAAGAAGTTGTAATAATCTTTTAATAGTAGTTGTACTTTCCTATTAATATTATTCAATATATTTCAAATGGATCTTTTCAATTTCATCTAATTATTACTCAATAATTTTATAATATATCTATTCATCTGATTTTATTTTTAGTTTTTCATTTTAGAAATTGTTAAATTCAAATTCATACATTTTATTTTATTTTTCTATTGTCTAAATTTTTTTTTAAATCTCTACATATTCTTCCTATAGAGATGTTTCAAATTATTCTGATGAAGCAAATGCCTACTCCTCTAAAGATAATTTAGTTAGTTAAATATGAAAATCATTTAATTGTTTATAATTCAGAGCTAAGAAATCTTAATTATATGATTACATATCAATTATTCCATTTTTTACTGTTGTAAAAATATTTCACTCTTTTTTTTTTCCTATTCCTATTCATAACCATGTAGCTACTTTATTAATATTTGATATTGTTCAAGATGGGAGCCATCAATTTGAGTATTAATATTTTAAATTAATTTTTTCTAATTTTAAGAATCAATGATATTTTTTATATCTTATTACTTAATAAGAGTATGATTAGTGTAGAATTATGATTATTAATTGCTTTCATTTACTTATTAGTTTGTAGTATCATTATTTAAAAAAGAAAAAACAATTTAATCCTAAGGATATATTTATGTAGAATTTTGTTGATTATTCATTCCACATACAATAAAACTTTCATTTTAATCTTAGGTTGATTCATCTGTTGATTAGGATGTTTCCTATTTAACCCTTTTAAGAAAACTAAAACCAGAGGTAGCCTACTTAAAATGAGCATCATCAATTTTGATTTCTACATTTTAGTCTACATTATGTTAATCCAAAGGATATTCAATTATTTGAGTTTACAAATTATCTGCTGAATTAAAAGTAGAAACAATTGGAGAATTTGTTTACTATTATGTATCTATAGTAATCTATTGTAGATTTGATTGTGATTATGGAAAAGTTTATAATGGAGTTTTGACTTTTAGACTTCCTTTAAACATGGATTCTTTTGGGGTTATTTATTAAGGAACAAATGAGTTTTGCTAAGAATTAGATGATGTTGATTGTTTAGAAGGAGTGGTTGGATTTGATTGTAAATTATGTTAGTGTTCCTTGTTCTTAAATTTAGAAAACATTTATTTAATTAAATTATATATGTCTTGTTAACGAATCACAGTAACTAAGAAGGGAGTTGAATTGTAAGAGTAATTAAGGGAGATTTTGAAGAAGAACTAAAAGATTTTGAAGTTAGAACATAGACAAGGTGTATTAAAATAAATAATATTATATAGATAGTTCTGGTGATCTATTAAAAAGATAGAATATAGGTAAGGAATAATTTGGAGGATATATTGATCTTCTAGAACAAAGGTTGAATTCTCCAGAGAAAATTAAAGTGTTTCTGAATTAGAGATTTAGCAATTAACCTAAATTTATATAAAAGGAAGTTGAGAAAGTTAGTTAGAAAATCTACAATTATGGAAATTCTTAGTTTAGATCACATCATTCATTACCTTCTTTAGATTTTAGATAGGTCTAATAACTAAAGACTAAGTATAGTGATGGATTTTGGAATAGTTAAAATCTCTCAATGACTGGAAATACGTGTAATATATTTGTATTTGAGTAGTCTTCAAGCCTAAAGACGAGGAAATCAAAACGAGGAAGATCAATTATCTAATGTTTTAAGAAGCCAAAATTGAAAGAATGATAACAAAATATGATAAATTTAATGAGAAAGCCTAATTTATTCCAAGTTTTGAAAAAGGAAAATAGAAAAACTTGAATTTAGCCACTGAATTATTGAAAGCTATGGAAATCAAGGACACTGAAACTAGAGTTGAATCTATCCAAGAAATAAATTAGAAACATGCTTAAAATCTAGATTTAATGGAATATAACAGTTAAAGAAGAGAAAGATTTCATTAAACAATGACTGAATTACATAATAAAAAATATAAACGTTATTGGGACAATCTAAGAGTAGGCAAATGATTGATCATAAATATTAAAGTTTAAAATATATATTGTAAATATGGGAAAGTGTTCTTACTAACATAAAGTAATTTTAATAGTATCTTCGAAGTACATTAAAATTAAAGAGTTGAAAATCTTTAATACATAAATCTTGATTATGTGAAATGTGTGTGATTACTGAAATTATTCTTGATTCAATAAAAGGTTCTCTATTGGCCAAAGTTCAATTTAATGATCCTTATAAATACTAAAATTAAACAAACTTTTCATTATTTCTGAAGGTTCTTATACTAGAGTATTCTATAATTTAGATAAATTTCTAGCTTAATTAGGAACAGAAAATATATTATCTATTGGAACTATTCAAGTAAGTACAGTTGTTTTCATTTTGAAAGAAGATCATGGAGATATAGTACAGGATGTTATGCTACTATTATTGGTCATTCAGATGATGGAGCATAAACTAGAGTTAGATTAACATTTAGTATTAAGATCTTTTTATTTTATTTATATTAATCTATTTTCAATTAATAAAGCTTGAATACAAGAATAACTTTAAGTTCACTTTGCAGAACTACTGTTGGTCTTATTTCTAGAGATAGAAAAACTGAAAAAACAATTTTAAAAGGAATAGGGCAATTTCAGGTCTATTACTTTAATTATTTCAATTAACTTTCATTATTCATTAATATAATCATTATTAAGTGTAGCTGCCAGAAGAAAAGGTATTCAACTAAAATAAATAGATGAAGATTTGCCTGAATAATAGGATAAGATATAATATCTTATTTATTATTATACAATATTATAAACTTAAATGATGGAATTATTGTAATAATTTCATTAAATTAAGTTAATTATTAAAATAAAAATAAATGAACAATTATATGAATTAAAAGAAACTTTAAGTTGAATAAAAATCTCCTCGTCTATTGATTTTCCCAAAATAAAAATAGAATTAAGTTAATAGTAGAGCTGCTATGAACTATTTTACAGAAATGAAAAAAGAACACTAACAAATTAATGAAAACAAATAGGTCTTACCTCCAGAATTCTATATATCTTTATTGTCATTAGAACCAAAGTAATCACAATTACATAATCCAAATATCGAATTAATACGAACTTTAATTGATAGCTATCTAATTATCACTGATTAACTTCATGGACAAGATGGATTGATGATTTATTTCAAGGATAAAATTAATAGTTTATTAGAACAACCATAAGTTAGATAATGCATTTAAAATAGTGATGATGCTTAATTATAACAAATGTTAGAGAAAAGTGCTTAATCTTATTGCAAATAATCAAATGTAGAAGAAATGGAAGCATATATGAATATGAATAAACCCTAAGTTAGAAACTCTTTGGCAACCTTTTTAACTATGCATGATAGATTAGAGAAGGAATATGACAAGGCTTAGTAGATTTTATAAGATTATGATGATCATGTTGCTCAGTTTGATGAACTTATGTAAAAAGATCTTGATAATCAAAAGAATGCATTAGAAGATAGATTGAAAAAAAGAAGTAAATTATATATAATATTATATAATAGGTGATATTAAAAAAAGGTATTCAGGTCATGAATAGAGACCCAATCCTAATAATTTTTGATAATTTTTATTTGTATAATTTATTGTTTATTCTGCAATAATTAAATTATTATTACTAAAATTATAAATCAATCTTAATAAAGGATTATATGGGCATAATCATTGCTTATGATATTTTTTAAATGTAATCTCAATTTTTTAATGTACTTAAATGAAACTCTATAATCAATCTTATCAACATCCACATTATAATATTTATATTACATCATAACATTATAAATTGAATACAAAGAACAATCATAAGTATTCTTTTGTTATTCAACTTCAACATATTATAAATTGAGTTAGATAGGAAATATAGAAGCTATTATAGATAATATTTTTTTATCATTTTAATTAACATAGGAGTTAAGCATAAATAAAGATTTATTTTAGTATACTACAACTAAAAAATGTGCTTAATCAGCATTCAAAATAAATATTATCTTGTTATACTTTTAGTATTCATTAATAATATATTCATACTTCGATTATAATTTTACACTTTTATGATCTAATTTACTGATTTAACTTGTAAATAAGTCTTATGATTAAGTTGTATTAAATAGATAAATCTATTCACCAGATATATTTTTATAATAATCAGTCAAGAGATATAAATAATAATCTACTAATAATTAATTTATCCATTTGTCCTCTGTTAATCCAGCAAAAAAATGATTATTAATAGATACATCTTTATGATTAACTAAATATCTTGTAGACATCATATTTTCATCAAATATATAATCATACTTTTTAACTATTTAATCATTTTAAAAATAGGTTTCCTATAATAAAGATCCATTCTACTTTTTGGTTACGAATAATCCTTATTTCATATTATTCTAATAATATCCTATAGTAATAGTTTAATTTGGATTTGTTGTTATTGATTTTCCATGTTTTAGTCCATACTAAAAATTACCTTCAAATTTTTATTTTTACAATTTTAAATCTAAAATACCTTTACCTGTTGCTAATCCATCTATAAATTTACACTTAAATTAAAATGCTCCTTCACAATCTAATATTCCTTATCCATTAGGTAAATAAGTTTATTAATCTATTGATCCTATATATTTAAAAACTTTTTAATCTATTTCACCTTGAACAGGATTACAAAATGGAATTCTAGTGGATATGTAAATATTAGTATGAAAGAAATTGTAAATATCATTATTTATTTTTGGTAATTTAATTCTATTTAATATCAATTAATTACATGTCTCCACTTGGTCTTAAAATGAAAGTGTTTCTAGTTTAAATTCTTAATGCTGTAAATTATTAGTCTGTATTTCCTATTTTTAATTATTTCTATATAACCATAGCAATATTATGATACAACTAATCAATTTCCTTATAAAAATTAGCTGTTGTAATCTATTATTAAACATCTTAAATGTTCAAATTACTTAAACTCAACAATATTCCATAAAATTATTTATATGTATCATCTTAAATTTAATTTTTATATTTTATTTCTGAAGTTAATACTTCATCTATGTAATATACTTCTACTTCTTAATTTTGATTTTTCCATATATAAAAACTGCTTAAATTCTGTTTTATAATTAATTCAGCATCCTATTTCAATTGCAACTTATTCAGAAAATGATTGATGATATTTCTGAATTAATGTTTTAATTAAGTTCTAAATATAGTAAACATATCAGCATGATCTTTATTATTCTATTTTCCAAACAACATATAAGAATTATCCTTTTTATCCTTATAAAATGGAAATAAGTCTGATAACATAATAATGTAATCCTATCTAAAAATATTATATAATTATTATATAAACAAAATGAATTTTCGTTTTTTAATTCTTCTCTTAACTATTACATTTGCTTATGATAAAGTCAAAGCAGAATAATAAATTGAGAAAAGCATAACATTAGAAGAATCTAAGTTAATATAAGAGATTACATTTTCAGAATAATTTTTGGAAACCCCAGTTATCTATATTACCTTAACAAAATTATCATTGATCAGTTAAAAATACGGATTTGAAATTGATGTTACTGAAGTTAATACTAAAGGATTCAAAATAATATATAAAAAATACATTGATGATCCAATAACACTATAAGTATAATGGTTAGCCATTTTTGATCCTAGAGTTGAAGTGGCTTATTATACATCTTTTAAATAATAATTGATTATTCCAGTATTTGAAGATAATTTTGCATATTCAATTATAGGTGTACAAGGAAGTTCTAATTAAGTTGGAATTTAAGTTGAAAAAATTGATAATGGAAATGCTTATTTATAAGTTACAAATTCTGTTAAGATGATAAAATTATGTATAATATCTGGATCTAAACATACTTTATATCCTAAGTTTATTCCATTTTCTGTATCTAATAATCATCCTTGGCTTAAAGAACAAAAGGGAAAAGCATTTATTAGTTTTTCATATGATCTAAATGTTGGTAAACCAATCTTAATTGGTGGTATAACTGAATTTTTATTCAAGAGTCAATCAATCAAAATTCAATTACAAAACATAAAATATGATGACAAAGTATTAGCAGAAATTGGAACTTGTAATTTAATTAAATGATTATTAGGGAACGATGCATAATTAGTGTCAGCCTAAGTCTCAATCTTAGCTTATATTATAGATGAAGATTTGATAATATCAGATAAGAATTGTGTTGAATTATTTGAATAATGCTACTTTTAAGGAAAAACAATAAAGATATGTAAAGAAGGAGATGGATAAAACTTGGGAACAGAATTTAAATTCAAAAGTTTTATTGTACCTAGATTCAAACAGTTTGAACTTATAAATAATAAAGATATTCAATAATTAATGGGAATAGAATCCTGTATAGATGAAATGATATTGTAATGAAAATCAATTTTATTTTTGATTATTATTATTATTATTAGATAAATTAATTAACTATTACTACATCTTCATTATCTTTAACTACATATTATTATTATTTAAAAAATAATATTTCCATCTTAATCATAACTAATTAATTTTGTAAAAATATTAAAATATAGCTATCGCAAAATTTATACTCACTTAATATTCTCCCTTCCATAAAAGTACTATTTCAAATAAGGGGTTTTATTATTCAATTAAAGATTCTTATTCTTCTACTAAATCTAATTATTCTTATTTTTGATAACCTAAAAAAAAACATAAATTTATCCCATTATAATCATCATATGAGACTAATTTTTATAATTAATATAATATAGGATGTAGTAGTTTCTTGTATATTTTATTCATTTGTTAATTATTCATTATTTTATAATAAATTATACAAACACAATTTCTCATTTATAATAAGTAAATTTCTTTAATTTTTGATAAATTACATTCTTTACCATATTAACCACTCAAATTTACATTAACGTTTTCGAATAAGTTAAATTGATTTTCTATTTTACATCAACTAAAAAGGATATTATAAATCAGTTTAAACTTCTTAATTATTATTCTAATCCATTTCTAATCAATATATTTTACAGATTATATATTGTGTTCTATAATTAATCCTAAAAAGAGTTCTATATTATTCATAAACTATATTCCAATAAAAAATCTTTCTTTTTAAATTAAGAAAATAATTTATATTAAATAAAATGATTAGCATTATTTTCTAAAGGTCCTTATATAATTATGAATGTTTGAAATTATTAATACGCCCGGATAGCTCAGCTTGGTAGAGCGAGAGACTCTTAATCTCTAGGTCCAGGGATCGAGACCCTGTTCGGGCGTAAATTTTTTTATTTTTAAATAATTAAATGTCCAGAAATTATAATAAGAATTTTTATTTTATTATTTTTAGATCAAATTAAAAGATAAATATCAGAGAAGAAGAGAATAAATTTAAACCTAATCTTGATTTTTCCTCTTTTATTATTATATTATAATTTTCATTAAAAGGATATTTTATTTCATTGAATTTAAAATAATTCCAATCTATATATCTTATTTAACAAATATTTTAAATTAATTTAGAATAAATATTTAAATTTTATACATATTAATTATATCATTTTTGAAAATCACTCTATCCAATCATTGAATCATCATTCTGTCCTTATTAATTTCCATAAAAGTAATATTTACTATTTTGAAATGATTGTTATGTCAAAGGAGCAGTCTTTTCATAATTTGTTATATCAGCTAAATTATTTTTTCTTAAGACTGATATATTGGCTGAAGAAGTAGAAGTGTTATTAGAATGAGTTGGACTTAATTTTTATAGTCCAATAGCTTAAATTATAAAAAGATTAAATACTTGATATATTATTGATTGGATTTCTGTATGTACTTCCTGTCTTTATATTATTACTTGTCATATTATGGGCAGCAACACTTCTTCTAGTAGCTCTTTATTCATTTTTTAACTTTTCATTTTCTCTTAATAATTATTCTTTTTTGTCTCCTATTTTTTCTAATTAATCTGATAATTCATTTTTAATATTATTTAAATGATCTCTATCCAAATTCCATTTAGCTCTTTCTTTTTCAAATTCAAAAATAAGAGTAGACCTTTTACTTTCAACCTCTTTATATTTTGTTTCTAATTCAACTATTTTAGCTTTTAAGTTTTCCCTTTCTTATTCTAACATTCTTTAATATTCAAAGATCTTATAATCTCTATCTTACTTAATATTTTCAATTTCTTATTATAATCTCTTTTCATTATCTAACATTTCAGCAAACTTTTTTTCTGATAATAATTGATTACCAATTTTTCCATGTTAATCAATTAAAATTTTATCTTTATGTGTTTTAACCTCTTTCTATAATCTTCTAATTTTATCTTCATAATCTTAAACTATTCTTTAATGAGTTTAATTAGCTTCTTCTATTTATGATTAATATTTTCTTTCAACACTTAATAACAATTCATTTAAATTATTTTCTTATTCATCTTTTTCATTTGATCTAGCCCTTTATAAATGCATTAAAGTCATCTCAAATTTTTTTAATGCATCCACTAAATCTTATTTTGCCTATTCCTTTTATTATTCTAAAAATTAAAATTTGCCTTCCCACAAAGCTTTATCTCTTTCATAACTAGTATGAATTTCACTCTTATCTTATTCCAATTAAAGATTAAGTTATCTATATTTTTCTAATTCTTATTATAATGATTTCTTCTCTGCAGCTATTTATTCTCTTAAGGATGCCTATTATTAAGCAACACTAACAGATTCATCCTTTATTTTTGATTCTAATTCATTCTTTCTTTATTCTAAATGTCCTAACTTTTCAGTAAGAATTGCTTTCTCTCTTTCTAATGTTGATGCTTATTTATTATATTGATATTCACTTTCTTTCAATTATTTCTTAATCTTCTCATATTTAGTTTCAATTATTGTTTTATCTTCTTATGCTCTTTCTAATTTTTATTCTAATTCAACAGAATATTCATTCTTTTATTATTTAATTTTCTCATCAAACCTTGATTACTAAGTATCTATTTATTTTTATAAATCTTCTATCTTCTTCTATAAAAATTCATTTTATTATTAAATTAATGCTGTTTCTCTACCATATTCAATTTTTTTCTCTAAAAATTCATCATTCATTTTTTAAAGTCTTGATTTAGTTTCTTCAAATCTATCTATCAATTCTCTCTTTTCTTCTTACCATTCTTTTCTTGTTTATTCAAATTATTATTCTTTCCTTGTTTTCTCATTTTCTAATAGATCTTTTTTTTATTATAATGCCATATATTCCTTCTAAAGATTATTTAATTAACTTGATAGAACATCAATCTTAGAAATTAAACTCTTTCTTTCTGTAGTAAAAGAATTCATTTATTATTCTAATGTTGCATTATTATTATTCTAAAGTGATATTAATTATTCTTTTGTTTCTTTAATATGTTTTTCAAAAATTTCAATAGTTTATTATTTTAAAGCTATTTCATGATCATATTATTAAATTGTATTTGTATATTATTACACTTAATCTCTTAAATCATCCTTTAGAGTTTCAATTTCTTCTTCATAATTTTATTCAGTTTCTCTCAGTTTATGATAGAATTCTTCTTAAGCTGCTTAAAATTTCTTTTCACTTTTTTCTTTTTCTTCACATATTCTTCTTTCTAATCTTTCTCTTTCAATTTCATAGAAGTTTTTCAATTATGTCAAAGATTCCTCTGCTTTCGCTTGAGCTTAGTTAACTTCTCTTGCTGTTTTTGTATCTGCTTCATCCATTGCTTATTCCAATGATTTAATCTTCTTTTAATATCTTAACTCTTATTCTTTTAATATTGATAATTTCTATCCATCTAAAGTTTTGTTTTATTCAAGTAATTTATTTCTGTGTTCTTCTGTGGTTTAGAGTTATTCTTTAAGATTCTCTATTTCTTTAATTAGATCTCCAGTTTCAAACTTAACCTTTAATTCCAATTCACTATTTCTCTCATTTAATTAATCTACTTATTATTATAATCTTTTCTTAACATTTTCATATTCATTTTCTATATTTTTAAGATCTTTTTTATGTTGTTCTCTTAAATCATTTATTTTTGCAGCATCAACCTTATAAGTTGATTCATTACTTGAATTCTCAAAAGCCTTCATAATTGCTTCATGTGATTTTTTATTTTCTTCAATTTATTTTTTGTATTCATCCAATTAAACTTCCATAAATTCCATCTTTTATTACATTAAAGCCTTATCTTTTTCACTATGACTTTTTGTTTATTTCAATTAATCATCCTTAGCTTTTATTAGATCTTCTAATCCTTGAACCTTTTCTAATAATTCATTAACTTAATTATTAGCATCATTCTTTAACATTTATTACATTTATTCCTCATTTCTTCTATATTCTCTAAGTTCTCTTGTTAATCCTTATATTTATTCATTCAATTCGAAATTTTACTTGGTTAAACTTCTTTCTTTATGTTCAAACTTTTTGAAATCATTTTCAAAATTAGATTCCTTTTCAATTAATTCATTTTCCATCTCATTCAATTTCTCCTATAAATCACTTAGTTTCTATTATAATTATCTAACCATTTAATCAGATTTTGTTTATTAATCCTTTGATTATAAACTATGTTCTTTTCTGAGATTTTTAATTTCATTTTAATATTCAACTTCTTTTGCATTCATTTCATTGACTAATTTCTCAAAGAAAGTAATTTTTTATTCCAATAGAGCTCTTTCTTTCTCAAACTCAGAGTTTCCAAAAAGAGTATTTCTTTCCATATCCTTATTGAATTCTTCTGCTTTTATAACCTATCCCTTTAATTCTTAAATTTATCTAGTTAATTCAATCTTTTCATTTTCAGATTCTAATTTTAAATCCCTTTCCACTTAATCCTTTTATATTTTAAGTTCTTCTAAGTTATCTCTGGCAACTTACTCCTTTAATTCTATTTCACTTTTTTCACTTTCTACTTATGCCAATTTCATCAACAAATTATTTTTATCTTTCAAACTATCCTATCTGACTTCTTTCAATTCTTATTCTAATTTTTTTTGGGTCTCAGAAGCAACATTCTTCATCATATCTGTTTCTTGAGCATATTATCTAATAAAGAGATTGGATCCTTCAATTAATGCTCTTTATAGAAATTCTAAAATGATTTAATTTCTTGTTCCTACTCGAGGTCCATTTTCAATAAAAAAGTTGTAAAACATTTTAATATCTTTCTCATATTCCCCAAAAGTTTTATATTCTCCTAGCTTAAGTTTTCTATCGATAGGTTAGAATTCTTATTAAATAAATTAAGAACACATTCTTGAACCTTCTCTATCATTTTCTTATTTCACTACAGCAAATCTTTATTTAATTCTTCTTGATAATTCTAATTTATATTCATCAGCATCCCCAACACATTTCTTTTTAAATAAAGCAAATGCCTATTCCTTTAGACTTTTATTAAAGGCTTTTAAATCTTCATTAGAAATAGGGAATCTATTGTGAAGATTTTCTTTAAGAATTTACTCATAAGTATCAAATGCTTCAGCAACTGCTTTTTAACATTCATTTTTGCAAATATAAGTCCAAGCAGATTCAATAGCAGGTACAGCACCATTATTAATGGCTGTAACATAAGAACGAATTAAATCACAATACATTTAACCTGAAAGGGTCTTTCCATTCAACATCTTTGGTCTGATTCTATTGAGTATTTTTTTTCTTAGATTGATAACCTATTCAAAAAATTCAGGTCTTAATTTATCAAAATCTAAATTCTCTAGATTTTAAAGACTGCTTTCTTCTGTCAAAGGTCTTACTAATGTAATACAATCTCTATCTTTAAAAAATGTTGTCAACAATCTTCTAATTTTATTCTTTTAATCAATTCCATCTGATGATCCCTTCTATACAAGAAGTGCATTTTCTAAATAATCCTTTGATGTGATTTATTCACTATTCTTATCCATTAATTGAAGAGTAAAATCTCTGACAACCCAATAAAATTATGGAAAGTATTATGACAAATCTTCAAGATCTTGAAGGGATTACCCACTAAAATTAATAAATTATTATTTTACCTCTTTAATTAAATATTTTTAGTGAGATTAACTACAAGACTAAGATTTTGGAGGGCATTTTCATCAATACTGCCAACAGAATTGTAGATGAAACATGATGTCAATAGAATAGTTAAAGAGAAGATTCTAATATCATGTGTAGAGTCTTCATCTGGAGCACCAAGTCCTTCACTATCTACAACTAAGATTGAGCAACTTTCTCCATCAATTGTTTAACCTAATAATGGTTTGCCCCACATCCAAAGTCCTTTAGTACATGGTAGTACTGTTGGACCAACACCAAAACCATCAGATCTATTAAGCAGCATTCTATTGAGGAGATATGATTTTCCAGTTCTATACATACCTGCGACTCCAACAATTCCTATAGGTGATGGAATATTTTTTATTATTTCAATCGCATCAGGGTTTACTTGATAAGCTGTTGTGATTTAGCAAATATTTACTTTGAGTTTCTTATTAATAAAAAATAAGAGGCATTGCTTCTTCTTTGAATGATTTCTTCATTTTGTGTAAAATTTGAATTTAAAATTAATGAAATGTATAAATAAATAATTAACTGCTATTAAACATAATTGTTCAAAGTAATTTATCAATATAATAATCCCAATGTTTCATTGATTAAATTGATTTAAAATATAGTAAAAATTAATTGTATTTTATAAATTTGAATTTTATATAAAGTTGGTAGCTATTATGAGTAGTCTAAATTTATTAATTTCAAAAATATATAGTATCATATATTTAAATGATTAATTTAAGATGATAATGTCTAATAAATTGTATTTTAAATTCAAGAAAATAAAGTTAATATCATAAATTTAGTGAATTATTTGATGGATAATGGAGAATCAAGAGATTTATTTGATTTTTGGATCATTAAATTTAATAATAAAATATTAAATAATGCACAATCCTTAAGATCAATTAAGAAAAGCTTTGAAACGATACAACAATAATGGCGATAAGCCTAATAATAATCGTAATTGTAGATCTCAATAACTTTAAATGCCTTAAGTTCCTAAAGGAATGTTGAGTATGAATAGCGCATAAAAATCAGAACGAAATACTAAATTAAGTGATACAGGTAGATAACAAATATATTTTAGATACAACTGATGTGACTCATTATAACCTTAATTTCTCATAACCAATTCAATCCTCATATTAAGTAGAACATTTAGATTTAAGTTTCTTTAAAATTTAACCTTGTAAAATTCCGGGTAATCATAGTCACAAACATTGTCCCTTCTTCCATAATGCTAAAGATAGAAAAAGGTACAAGCATAATAAAAAATTAGAAATAATACATAATATTCAGCAGAGTTATGTGCATATGTTGAAAGTAATTAATAATGTCCATATGGTGATAATTGTAATAAGGCACACAATAGAGTAGAATAACTTTATAGGGCAGACAATTACAAAACAAAATTCTGTTCATATTATCCAAATAATATCTCTTAATGTGATTATGGAAAATTTTGCTCTTTTGCACATTCTGAAGCAGATATAGTTATTGAATTGATTCATAATTTAGAATATGATGATGATTTCTTTATGTTTTATTATAAAACTGTATGGTGTCCTTTTAACCTTACTCAACATGATAAAGCTTTATGTGTTTATGCTCATAATTGGTAAGATTTTCGAAGAAAACCATAAATATATTAATATCATCCAATTCCTTGTCCTAGTTGGAACACTGCAGAATATATTTTAGAATATTATAATGGATGTTAGGAAGGATTTAATTGTGGGAAATGTCATGGTTGGAAGGAACTTGAATATCATCCTATGTTATTTAGAACTAAGTAATGTATAAATTAACATTGTTCAAAGATTGATTGTTCATTTTATCATAATAATTAAGAAAAAAGGTAATAATATAATATATTATAGATGTATTGATTAATTATCTCAATTTAGAGTATTTAAAATAGTTCCTAGAAATAGAATTGTATAGAATATTTTTAAAGTTCGAGATAAGAGTTTATTAAATTCTTAAAGAAATGTGAGTAATAAATCTTAGGATCTAACATTAAGTTATTAGAGACATTGTAGTACTAGTGATCAGCAATGGCTTGGACACAATTTACAAAATAGTTTTTAATATGACTAAGATTCGGATGAAGGTAAACAAAATAGTAAAGGATAACATTATCAAACTACTTTAATTTCTATTTAAGAAAGAACAGGTATATATATTTAATTAGAATATTAAGATTCTGATGAATTAAAAGATTTAAAAGACTTAATGAGAAAGAAATCAAATTCAGTTGTTGAAGATAAATAAAATAATGATGATAATGAACATGTTCGTACAGTTTTGAAAATGATTGACATGGACCAGTGAATAAATATATTTTATATAATTCAAGAACTCTTCCTAAGAAAACAATATACATAATTAAAAATATATTTGAAATCAATGCAAGGCAATTAAGGTTCCTAAAAGAAAGATATTGAATTTGGTTCTTGCCCTTTTTCAGAAGCAATGAAACCACCAAAAGGACATGAATAGTATACAGATAAATCCAAATGTCCTTTCCAATAAATGTAGCAACAACCAGAGATCAAAATTGCAGATGGAAGTGCTGAAAAGAAAAAAGAGAAAAAAGAAAAGTAACCCAAAGGAGGATGTCCATTTATGTCAAGTGAAAAAAAAAGAAATCCGCCACTAGCCCATCTTGAAGAATAATATGACACTTATTATATAAGTCCTTTGAATTATCTACTTGATACTCGTGGATTATGGATGTTGGCATTTGATTCTAAAGAAGTTAAAAAAGGTAAGGCTCTCTATTATTCAATCTTAGGTCCAATTAAGGATAGAAGAAAAGTATTTGATACATATCCAACTTATTTAAAAAGTACATTGTTTCATGATGACGAAAACACAAAAAAACTTAGACAATGTGAAGTGGCCTAACGATTTTTTGTTTATGATAAGTTTAGAGAAAAAGGTATTAATAATATTCATAATCAGGAAATAAATTATTGCAAAAATAAGAATATGATGAAGCTATCAGATATTATGAAAGAGCTTTGGGTTGTTTCCGTTATTTGGAAGTAGTAGAGCCACCTGAAGAAGAATCTGATGAAGAAGAAACTAATCAATAATAAGATACTTCAAATATGACTGAAAAGGAAAGAAAAGAACTTGAAGATATGAAAAAATCAGCAAAATAATATAGAAAAGAATAAAAAGAATTCAAAAAATAATATAAATCATTAATGACTATTTATACAGATGAAAATGTTAAATATAATGGTGTTGAACATATTCAAGTAATTATTTTATACAATTCTTTAAGGATGAAGCTGATAAAGAAATGTGTAATTCCATTATGTATGGTCTATATCTCAATATGTCTGTTTGTTATATGAAGATGTCACATTTTGATTTAGCAAGAAAGATCTTAGATGATGCAGGTGTTATTTAAAAGGAAAATTCATAATATTTATTTAGATATTCTTAAGCAATCTTATATGATAAATGGTCTACTTATAAAGATTTACTAAAAGCAAAAGATTTAATTGAGAAAGCAATAAGTTTATCAAATGTTGAAAATATATTCAAATAGGGTCCTGGAATTTTGAAATTGATGGGTTTAGAAAATGCTAAAGAAATTTATGTTGAACATGCACATAGAGTAATGGAAGCATTGAAAAAAAAGAAATAATAAGTTTAGGAAATTGTTGAACCATTATTCCTTAGAGCAAAAGAAATTGATGAAATTGAATAAGAAATGATTGAAGATGGGAAAGTACCTTATGAAGAAGGTGTTACAGATGTTGTTGATCCAGAAGATTTGATTCAATAACCAAATGAAACAGATAAACAATTTTTATATAGAGTATGCATGCCATAATTGACATAAGAACATTAAGAATATGAAATTGTTAAAGAAATGGTTAACAAATATTATAGAATAATAGAATTTTATGCTGTAATGAAATTATTTAAAATATTTAGGAATAAAAAAAATATGATTAAGTAAAGATTGCCAAATAAGAATTATAAAGACTATTAGAAACAGTATAAACAATGTCATTTTATATGAATTTGGATCTTATTGATTATGAAAATGATGAAATACTTAAAGAACTTGTAATTAAACACCAATTAAACTTTACTAACAAAAAGTATGTCAGAAGATTGATAAGACTTTGTAGAGAAAATGTAACTGAAATCTTTGGATAAGGAAAATTCAATTTCGAAGTATATAATAAATCAATATTTAAGGTGTTTGAATATGCTATGACAGATTACTTTAAGAAAAAGAGAGAATAAGAGGAAAAGGAAAGAGAAGAGTACCTAAAATAACATCCTGAACCTGTAAAACCAAAACAAGAATCTTCATTCTTAAAGAAAACATTATTTTCAACAGAATTTTGGATGCAAGTATTATATTTAATCTATTATAATTAGATGCTAGTTTTATTGTTAGTAATGGGGGGAATGTTTTATTTTAATAGTAACACAGGATTTCTTGGCAAACTCTTCTCCCTCAAAAAATGAGAGCATACTTGAAAATGAAAAAATAGATCATTATATTTATATATTTTATTCTATTCCCTTTTAATTTTATTATTTTATGGATTAATTGATCATATGAAACAATATCTATTAATTATTAATAATTATTATTATCTATCTTTAAAACAAATCATAAATAGAATAAAAATTGTTAATATTTATTTCAACATCTAATATATTCTTAGATTTATGATTTAAATTGCTAGATATTACTATATTGAAAAAGCTTGTGATCTTGAATATGATGTGATTAATTATTCTATTGTTATCATACACAGATATATATATGTTAAATTTCCAAAAGTAATCAAAAACTCTAATTTTATCTTCAATTTTTAATAAGTATATCTAAAGTTAAAGAATGATGATATAATCTAACTAAAATTCGAGATTACTTAGTTGAGTCAGTTAATACAACCAATCTTGCATACTTATATTTCAAATTTCTATAAACAAGCATGTACTATGATATATTCTTAATCTATTAGATAATAAAATTTTGTTAAATAATTATCAGAAGGTAGTGCGTATCAAGTAGGCAAATTTAATTACACTACATTTCCAAAAAAAAATAGACTTTCAAAAAGTTTACTTTAATTTTTTAGTAAAATTATGTATAATTGAAGAAACTAAAGTAAATCATAATATTACAATATGGCAATAATAAAAACCTATGATAAACTACTAAAAATAATTAGAAAAATATTAAACATCATTCAATAATGAATAATGATTATATACTTAATAAAAAGAAATAGAATAAAATAAGAATAATAAAGGAAATTTGAAGATGCTTTTATATTAGAAGCTTTAAAATTCACTTAATGATTATGAGCAGCATTTACATCTTAGATTCAATTTTGAATCAATGTATTATAATATCTATCTATGTTTTATAATTGCATAATTTATTTTAGTTGATATAATAATATGAAAATTATATTATTTTTAATATAATTGTTTTTAAGTGAAAAAGTTTATAAAAAAAATTAAGAATGTTTGAATTTCTTTTTGGAATTTATATTATAATTGAGAATTAAAAGACTTTTAAATTTTGAGATATTATGAATTTTCAACTCTTGATATATCATGAATCATTCTAAATATCATTAATATTTGAAAATGACATTTTTTTATCAAATAGAATTAAACCACTATACCAATCAAGCCTTTTTTAAATATAGTTAAGAAGATTATTATAAATAATTTTTTAATTACTTAATGCTTAAAGACTATTAAGACTATTACTCTCATTTTTCTGATAAAAGAGTTAAGGAAAGAAGTGTTGATGAAGCTTTATATAGAGTAAGAGAATGGAGAAGAATATATGAGTAAGGTATATCGTAAGAGTGTAAAAAGAAATCAAGAATCACACTTTAAGAAGCTGCAAACATAGTTAAAATTCCAAAAAAAACATTAGAAGATTACATTTAGATATTCAATAAAGTAAGTTTGATGGGTCAAAATATTGAAGATTTTTCAAATAAAAAAATGGGATTTCTTAGAGCTTTTATAAGAAAAAATAAAGGTAAGATTAGAAAAGCTGCTCTGGTTAGAAAATAAAATAAAAAAGATTCTATTGATGTTAAAAGTGAGGATTCATTTTCATAAAAGATAAAGATTGAATATTAATATTCAAGAACATATTATACAAAAGAAGAATATCAACCAAACCATTTAAATTAGAATGTCAAGGAAGAAATTAAAGAAGAGTAATCAGAATCATATAGCCAAAACATATTCTCCACAAATATGAAATTTTGAATATCAATTAAATTTCTTTATGTATTTTTTTGATAGTATTCTATTTTATGGATTTCACCAAACTGAAAAAAAGCAACTTCTTTCCAAAAAAAATAAAAATAATTATTAACAATCACTAAATATAGATATAATTAATTAAAAATAATACTACATATGATTTCTAAATTATTTTATAAAATTAATCTCTACATAAGTTAATATATTAATAATATATATATATATGATTTCACCATTCACGTCCATCAAATACACTATCATCTTCATCATCTTCCCTATTACGTCTATTACGAGCATTTGGATCTAAATTTACTCTTGGATCAGCATTCATACTATCACAATCCAAATTTATGGCTGTTAATAATTACTTCTTCAAAATCTATATTTTAATATATAATTTAATTACATCTTTGCTAGAATAATTTGGTAATTCTAAATTAAAGAAACAAGTATCTGCTTTTGGCAAAGCTTTATTAGGTTATTTTGTATGAACAGTTGAAGGTTTTATCATAAATCTAATTTAATTTCTATCAAATTCTTCATCATTTGCAGGTAATCTTTCTTAACCCCAACAAAATTTAATAAATCTCAATTTCTCTTATTCTGATAATTCATAAAGTGCCTCCCAAAAGAATTTGATTCTTTCACTATTTTCATTTAAGTCCCCAGAATATCTTGTATGTCTCTTTAACAGATCTACATCTACAATAGGTCTTCCACAAACCCATAATTCTAAATCTTCTGCTGATACCCCTAATATATGATATAAAAAGAAATATACAATTTAATAAAGGTGAAGGAATTATTTTGATTAATCCTTTGATTAAACTTTCACATTACAACTCACTTTCAGTGCATTTGACTTCTATTAATTTTTTAATGTACTCAAGTCTTTCTTCATATTTAACTGGTATTTTACTGCCATTCTAAAGAAATAGATTAAAATATATAAAATTACTTCTTTTAATTCCTATATACTTTTATCAGTTCTCAAAGTAACCCAATTTTCAAAAATATTCTCTTCAAATGTTGATTCAGGACATTCTTACATAAAATTAATTAAATTGCACATTGTTGCATCTATTTACTCAATGTCTTCAAATGTAATTTTCTCACCTACAATTTATTTCCAAAATATTGATGGTAAATCTAAAGAGAAATGAGTAGCTGTTCTAATTGCAATAGCCATCAAAACTCCAAGGAATTCATATAAATGTAAATAATAATTAGATTTTGCACTAGGATTCAAAACAAATTTATCTTTATGATTTCCTAATTTTGCTTAATTGTTAGTTGAAGGATATAATAATAATGATGATGTTTATAATTCTTTACTAATATCAGCAAAAAATTATCTATATGGTCCACTTTCTCCTTAGACATCCTCACCTTTGAAATTAACTTCAAATGCTAAGAATGGATCAGTTCCTTATGGTTTTATTGGTCTTAATAAAGTAGGAGGTATATTTTTCATTTATTCATATGCCATAGTAAATAAGTAATCTTATTGATTTACTTTTCCATTTCGATTAGCTAAACGTATACGTTCAACATTAATCTTTGGTGGTGAGTCTCTACTAATACTTGTTTTATTTAGAACTCTCTAAACTATATCTACTTTTGTAGGAGTCATACAAATTTATCGTAAGACTTGCATATAATTGCCCATTGACAAAAAGTTTGTATTTTATAGGAATTATTAAGATGTACCAATTGGAACATCCATATTAATAAATTGACCACAAGTCTCTAAATAACGATTAAATAATTTGATGATTGCCCAAGATTACCTAATAACTAATAATGGAGCATTAACAAGATCCTAATATTTAGTTAAACAATTAATAAAATCTTAATAATTAATAGCCTATTCATCAATTTGATTCCTAATATTTTTAGGATTGTAAGTTCTTACAGCTTTAGTTTCTTTGCAAATATCAAATTCAATTAATTTAAGAAGATGTTTCATCTATTAAATTGGTAAAGTTTCAATAGTCTTTGGATTGTTAATTAATTAATAATGGAAATCATAACCTAATGATTCTAAGTATTTCCAACTTTCTATTGCATCCATACAACTCATTTCTTCTAAATATTAAGGATTGATTTATTTTCTAAAATATTCTAATCTGTTTTATAAGAATTCTTGTAAAAAGGATGTAGCTTTTTCAATTATTTATTTGCCTGAATAGATTTAGAAATTGTTTTCAAGTTTAATAGTTTATAATTCTTATAATTCAGATGTTAGTTTTTATAATTTTAATTGACAATCCTAAATTTTTTATTATTATAATTATTATTATTATGGTTATTTAATTTATTTGAACTTAGATTTATATACTTATTATTTTTATTTTTTTTCTTATTATTTATTTAGTTATTTTAATAAATTTTATTAAGCTTCAATTTCTTGATTAATTTACTTCATTTTTTATTCCTTCTCCCTTTATTTTTCAGCATAATACTTTTTAATCTTATCATGAATATTTTCAATTAAATCTTCAAAAAGTTACTATTCTCTTTTATCAGCTTTTTCATCTTCTTCATCAATATTTGTATAATTTTATTATTATTCTTATTATTAAGATTAATCTTCAGCTCCTCCTTTATAAGGAATTTTGTTGGCTGGTGCTGGATTATCACACATAGAACATTATGATGAATCCCACAAATTTTAAGCAAAAGTACATATTTCACATTCCCATAATTTTACAGCTTCTTAGATAGGTTCAGGAGGCAACTCTATTTCAATATTCTCTAAATTTAATTATTAAAATCCATCAATCAAAATAATTGTTTAATTTTAGTTTCTAAATAAATCTATTTAAGGATTTAATATTCTTACTAATTGTTCTTGTAATATATCTTAAATATCACAAGGCAATTCTTACATATAAATTAAATGTTCCCATTAATTAGATTCTAACATTCCATTAATTTATTCAATTTATTCATTGTATAAAGGTTTACCACATTTAATAAATTCTGCAATTTAAATCAAATGTCGATAAGCATTTAACCAATCTGGAATTTATAGTTTAGTCTTATTAGGAATAGCCACTGCTAATAGTTCAGTAATATCTTAGAGATAAGATGAATATAAAACATTTGGTTCTACTTTTTAAATATTATAAATTTTGACAGCATCATTAACTAATTATGATAATAAATCATCTGTTAAGGTTTCATTAGAAATAGTTTACAATTTGCGAATATTTCTAATTAATAATTTTATTATAGATTGATTTAGAATATGTGGTTATTATTCATATACTTTTTCTAAAAGATTATTGATATTCTTCATATTAGGAATGTCTTTGTTTTTAATGAAAATTGTGCTCATTTAATCTATCACATAACAGACAGTATTCCATAAAGTAGGAATTTTATAGACAACACAAGGTAAACGAGATACACATGATTTTTATTAATAGATTGGTAAGGCTTCTCCATTAAAATAATACTCACAATAAACATTCTTTTAATTTAATACTATAGGAGATAATCTACCTCTTGTTTCTTTGCCACTGCTTATAGTATAAAAATCGTTGATACCCAATCTATCTTTATAAAAATTGATGCCAGAACAAGTACATAAAGTTGCATCATTCTTAAATACAATAGCCAAACCAGCAATATCTAAGTCAGAATTGAGTTCTATAGGTTTCTTTTGTGATTTGACTAAATCCAATAATAATTTATTTTGATGAACAAATTATTGAATTTAATCAAAAGATTTAAATAACCAACTAAATATTAATTCAGGATTCTATAAAAATTGATTTAATTTCTAGTTTATTTTTGTATTCTCATCAATTAATTATTCTGTAAGCCAACCATTAATGCATGAACCTTCAAATTGCATAGCCAATTATAAATAGATGATAGGATCAATATTGATAGTTTGACTTAATAAAATATACAATTATCTAGCTTATTTACTTAATTCTAAATCTAATTCTCTATTATATTCTTTTAAGATAGTCTCTTATTAATAAGCATTAGCATTTGGAGGAATATATAATTAAACCTATTTCAATGCACTTACAGGAAACCAAGTAGCATAAAGTTGTGAATTATTAATATCCATATGTGTAATCAATACAGAAGATGATCTTTAATCAACACCTATGATTTGTCCACAAATAAAAGTTTAACCTTACTTTTTATAATGTAAATATTCTTTAGAGTATAATTATTCTGATGTTTTATCAATAAGTCTACAAAGTACATATTGTCCAGCTTATACTTCTTCTATTGTTAATGTACTCCAATCATGATTAGATTCAGGTATTATAACACCATTTGGCATTCTCTGATCACATACAATATAAGCTATTTCTAAAGCTCTACTTTATTCTCCTTTTCTCAATTGTTAACGTATTTATTCAAAGAAATCTTCTATCTCATATGGTCTTAATGAACCTTTGACATAATCATATATTTTAGGTAAGATATTCTTCTCCCAATATTGAACTAATTTCAACTCATTTGAGACAATGCAAGCTTCAGGCAACGATTACATGTAGGTACTGCCAACTATAATTGTATTATCAACATTTTCTACAAAAGGCTCAATCTTACAATCTTCCTATTCAACTTATTATAGTTATTGTAAGAATGTAATAGACTTAGGGATTTCTATGGGGAAGAAATAATTAGGTTATAATTTACTATCAATTAATCGTTCCCAAGCTTAATTGAACTTGTTATCTCCTTAATAAAGTGTAGCCAAATTTAATATTTTATTAATAATTTTTTCTACATTATATCCCTTCCATTCCAATTTACTTGCCATAATGAAGAGATTTCTTAAAATGAATTTATCATTCTCTTTTTCTATCAATTCTAATATCTATTCTTGAGTTATCTATTATGGGATATCTTATTATATTAATTCAATTTCATCTAATTTTACAACTTATAAATTAAGTTTATCATCATTATTTGATAGTAATCTAAGTTCTTTCTATCCACAATAGTCTCCACCAGATACAACATATTATTTATCATATGATTTGTGTTTCTTAATTTATACTGGGATTCCTGGAGCTATTTATATTAATTATTATGATAAAATAGTAGTATATCCTAGTTTGTAATACTTACTTTAATTATTAATATCAATCTATTAATGACATAATAATTGACTAAGTTCATAAATCAATTAACCAATTATTTATCCATTTACTAATTATTATGTGAAGGATGAACTTCTATTGATTTCATTATAAAAGATAACACTTGTATTTCCATATGGTAATAAGGTAATATAATCCATTCTAAATTCAAAAGACTAGAATGTATAAACATCACAAACACTTACAGATATCTATGATTTACCACTTGTTGGTTATGGTGGAATTTAAGTAGGTGCTTTTTATGGTTATGATTTACCTTTTGGAGGTGCAACCTCTTTGATTGCTCCCATAAGAATATATTTATTTGGATCAGCCTTATTTTTGAATTCTTCAGATAAATCATTTATTGGTATATTTGGTAATGTTCCATTTAATGCTGATTATATTAATTCAATTAGAACCTATGCTTTTTGGAGTGTAAATATTTCACTAAAAGGAATACAACCATAAACTGTTAATAAACTTCCATAATTCTTTATTTCCTTTAAATGTGAATGTATTCTTGTTATAAAGTTTCTTTATTTCAAAAATGCTTATTCATCTGGAAATTATTTGATATCTTCATTTTATTTATATAATTCTTCATACAATCTTTCCAATTCTTAGAAATTCAAAGGTCTCCAATATTTCTTTATTTATTTTTTCACTCTTCCAGATGAGTGTTTTTTATTATCTGATGGTCCATTCTTCATATCACTATATAAATTACTATAATTGAATCCCCATCCTAATAAATAATCTTGTTATTAGATTTCTGGCTAAGTCATCAAAACTCTCTCTAATAATTTATATTGCTATTGTTATTGTTGTCTTTAAGATTAAAATTCTGTTTATTATGCAATTACTTCTTATTATTAAGTCTTTTATTCTTCTCTTTTTTTCTCCTTCTCCTTTAAATCCAAATATTCTTAGTATGTTTGAGGTAACTTTAATTTCATACTTGGATACAATTCTTCCCACCAATATAAAATTTTTAGTAAAATAGATATTTCTTCTTCTTAACATAAATGTAATATCACTCTATATTATTAATTATTATTTTAATCATAATTGGTGTTTGATGAATTAATCATCTTTTTTTAGACATTCACTAATTCATTTTATAACAATATATTAATATTTTAATTATCAGTATCTTCACCTTATTATATCATATATCCTACTCTTTCTATTAATACTTCATTAAAATATAATTCTTTATTTTCTTATAAGACTTTAATTTATTACTAATTACAATTCTCATAATATATCCATAAATATTTTGGAGTATATTTGATCTTATTAAGATTGATATTGTTAAAATACTTTGATATTCTAATTGCTAATCTCATTGTTGATGGAGTATTAGTATGGTTTAAGATATAGAAAATCAATTTCACTAAGGATGATGGGACATCTTAATTTTCATGAATTATCAAACAATCCAAAATATTAGTAAGTAAGAAATTCACTCTCTTAACACCTATTAAATCATACAATTTTGTTAGTAATCTGCAATTGATTTCATTTCCTTATAAAGATATTCCCAATTCTTATGACAATATTTATATCAATTATTAAAGAATATCATCAGTCATCAAATTATCAGTTATTATGTATAAAGTCTCTTTAACATTATTTAAAATATTTTAACTCAAAATAGCAACAGATTAATATTATTGATCCAAATTTACAAAAGCTAAACTTAATAATCCAGTTATAATAATATTATTTAAGAATTATTTAAATATAGGATTAAAGTGAGGATTATAATCATGTTCTCTACTTTTCCATAAAATGTTATTATCTACTTAAAATAATTAATTAATTTCACATAAAGTCATACATATGACTTTTAATTATTCAAGTAATGTTCCATCAATTTATTAAGTAATTGCTTAATTTAAATATGTAGCATAATCATTTTTAATAGATTACATTAGATAATTTAATCTTTTAACTACTTCCTACAAAAGTATTTCTTTTATATTTGAACTAGCAAATTCGATTTTATAATTCATAATATCTTCACATAAGATTCCTCCACTTTAACCTTGAAATTCATTTAGAAATTTAAGACAAGCTATTCTTCTTATGCATCTTCTATTATGTAAATCCATAACTTAAATCAAAGATTCATTAACATCCTATTATAGAAATAGAATGACAGATTTAACAGGAGGAATATCTAAAGATTCTGCAGAAATTTAATTTAAATTAACATTATGAAGAACTTTCCATTTTTAATAACTATCTAACCATTATCTAAATTTTAATAATTTCTAACTATCAATATTTTTATCATCTATTTAATGAGATATAGATCTCTCAATACCAAGTGGTTTTAATTATTTAATACTTCCAGAATCAATAGATTATTAGGATTTAATTTAAATGATTTATTATTAACCAACCAATTAAACATTATTAATATTGAATAGAATTAATATTCTTTTTTTTATTACTTAAACAATATGTTAATATGGATTTACTAAATCTAATTTTGATTCTCTAATTTTTTTTAAAATATTATTATGAATTTATCTTAAAGATAGATTTGGATTATTTTCTATAATAGGTAAATTTTATTGAGTGCATATTTTATAAATCATTTCACTATTACCTTCTAATCTCTTTTAAAGCATATCCCAAAGAGTATTTTCTATTTACTCATTTATTTATTTCAATTTCTATTATTCCATCATTTCTGTTGCTTATAATGACATTCCTTCATAATTTTATTAATATTCAATCATTGTTTCTACTTCTTTTAACATATAATTAATAACATCATTTCTAGCTTCTTATAACATGTCTATATGATTTTCTAAATTCAATAAGTTGATTTCATCCAATAATCCACTATGATATAAAGTGACTAAAATAACAAGCATTTCAATTTATTTAAATTCTTCAATATGTGCTTTCATAGCAGATTTTTATTTGGCAGTTCTATATTGAAATGAATCAGTAAATTAACTAACAATATCTGAAATAATTTTATAGAATTCTCCTTTTTTATCGAATATTTATTAAAGATATTTATTTTATTATAATTGTAAAAGATCGATATTTTTTTTTTGAATTTCTCTAGGTTTATAATTAATTTTAATAAAATCTCCTTTCAATTATTAATATTTATTTTTTAATTAAGAATTGGCTCCTGCATTCTCATGTAATAATGTGGCATCATCATAAGACATACTAGAGATTGATAATTATCCTAATACTTTAATAAGATGTTTATCATATTAAAATCCAGCTCTTCCATTTTTTAATATATTCCATTTTAAGAGATGCTAATTATTCTCTTCATATTATGTTCTATTTTCATTGAATCCTAACAAAGCTTAAATGTTCTCCAAAATTACCATATGTAAAACATTACTCACATGATAAGTATCACCATAAACTGGTCGAATAGTAATTTTGAATCCCCATCTATTAAGTGAATGTTCATTTTTAACTTATCCACTTGGACTAAAATCAGCTTAAATTACATTACCAAGCATCAAAATAGGCCTTCTGATACTTAATTTACCTGAAATTCTATATGAAACTCCCATAGGATCCTTTAATTTTGTTTATTATCCAAAAGGTCCACTATTAGGAGAATACCAAGAATTAATTGTTAAGAAATCATGAGCCTAATCACTAGAACATCTTGGATCAAATTCTACAGCCAAAGCTAAAGCACCAGGAAAGTAAGTATCTTCAAAAGTCTACACTTTCTATCTTTCATATGGATGACTAGTTTCAAATACTTTATATCCTATAGGATCTATGCCTTGACTTCGAGATGGAATTGTAGACAATTCAATGTTTTGATTAATCTACATTAAAACTGATAAAAGACTACAATCTATGGGACATTATATCACAGGTGATAGGAATAATTAAAGTAAGAAATGAGTAAGAAAATTATGTTTGATTATTAATTCTTTGACTTCTTTATTGGATATTCCCAATTCAAATACTTATAATATATTGAATGCTAATTTATATTAAACTTCCCATTCATTATTATCATTAAATGCCATAATAAATAGCATATTTAAGAATTACCATTTAATTAAATCACATTGAATTGCCCATTCTTTTGCTAATATCCAAAATTATTGATTTATTTAGAAAATGTCACAAACTTCAAAATACCCATTTTGATAAACCTTTTTGAATAATTTTGTACTCTAAATTGTTTCAACTAATAATCTTGATAATGGTTCTATTAACAAACGCTAAGTCCCTTTTTTATGTATACATGATTTGAAATCCTCATCTAAACTAGCATGTTTGGATTTCAATTTTAATATTGCAGATTCTGTCTCTGATTATATACTTGAATATGTAGATATTATTTGTTATAATAATTGATTATCTCCTAATCTAAGATACTATAACTAAAGTGAATTTGAACACATAAAGAGAGTCCAACCTTTAATAAAGATATTTCTATGCAAATCACTTTACCAATTTTAGATCAAATATTCTCCTATCTCTTTTAATAATTCATATATTCCAACATTCAACAAGATTGATATTTCACTATATTAAACCCAATATTATAAAAGTTAAAGATATTGAATTTTATAAAACTTCTTGAAAAGTGACCAAATCTGTTTCAACTCCTCAAAAGTTCCTTCTACACAAAAAGCATAAACCTTTCTAATCTCAACTTCACTTCTTGAATTATCAATTGTATGAAGTAATTTATTTAAACGATAACTATATTTTGATTTTTCATTCTATATTTTCTTTACTTCTTCTTCTGAGAAATGTTCAGTTATACTTTTTAAATTCTTGAGCATTATTTAATATGCAACATACCAATCATTAAATCTCCATTCCTAATCATACCGTTATTCTTATTATTAAAGTAGGAAGTTAACTACTTCTTCATCAAAAGTAGTTGCTTAATTCAAGTTGAGATTTAAAGGTCTATGAATAAAATCAGATCCTATAGTAACTAAGGCAGGGAATTATAAATCTGTAGAATTCCATTAAACATGCATAACATAGAACCTTTTTGTATTATGTTCATAAGAAACAATATAATTGGGATTCTAATAGAATTCATTATAGTATTTATTGACTGTTGTAATATAAGTACCTTTAAGCGATAGAGTAGAACCTGATGGTTTTTTAGTAGAATAATGATCTCTTAGATTGAATTCATCTTTAACTTAATCAAGTTCTTTTTCATCAGCTGGATCTTTAGAAAAAATCTTAATTCCAAATTCAAAGTAAGCTGTTAAATATTTTTTATCCATAGTCCAAATAATATTACTTATAATTTATGGTTATAATATGGATCCCTCTTTACATCCTATATCAGCACTACTCTTTACTTATTTTGCTGAAATGTCAGTAGTTATTTCAGCTTAACACAATAAAGTTTATTTGGATACAGAAACAGTTGTTTTATTTCTTTCTTTTTCACCTTCTTCAACTAACCATTGTGCAGCATTTTACATATCATTTTTATTCAAATTTAATGCTTTACTAATCTCTGCCTTATTAAAATATCCTTAAAATGATTCATATAATTCAACCAATAATTTCTTATCAGATTCTTCTTCATTTTATATATTTCCTGTTGGTTTATTCAAATCAAATTCAAAAAGAATGAAATCCATAATCTTGATTGTATTATCAGCTGGTTAATTTTCAGTCTCTTTCTTTTTTGATTATCTGGAATTAGAAGCAGCAGGCTCTTTAGTAACTTTAGTTGGAGCTCCTTCTATTTTTGTAATATTTAATTTTCTTCCAATAATAAATAATTTCTCTCCATCTGTAACCAATGGATAATTTTTATTTATTGCTTACATTTAAGGATGTTAAAATAATTCTGGACAATGTAATGTCATTTAACTTAGAGTTTAAAATGTTTCAGGACATATAATATCCAATGTTCCATTCTATTATTTTAGATATAATTTATTCTAAAGGAATACCCATTAAACATCATCTTATTTTTTTATTGGTTAATGTAGATATATCTTACCAGCAATAGTTCCACCCTCTCCTGTTCCAACTTTATACATACCACCTATTGGAGAACTTACTAATATATACAAATAACATTAAGAGGATGTCATTGTCATTTAATGATAATTTAGTTTTGTAAATTACTATAACTATGTAATTGTAAATCCTCCTTAATCACATAATGATCTCATATAATGTAAATGATGACTCTTTTATTGTAATCTTGGTAATTTTATAATTTCTCTTATATTTAAATCACAAAGACTCAACATTTATTTAAACGTTCCTACTCTTAATGCATAATCTATCAATATCTTTGACAATTATTTATGATCAATCTCCTTTATTAATCTTTATAAATTCTTATCTATGCTCTATCTAGAGTAATCTGGTTCATAAAAAAGAGATAATAGTTCTTATTTACATAATGATTTATGAAAATCTTCTAATCCCCAAGGCCATCTTGTTGGATTTGATTGCAAAGAAGAACAACTTATTACTCCTTAACATTATTTAAAAACCTCATATGAACACTCGTGATCTAAAATTACAGATTCTTCTTCTTACATTATGCCATTACAATAGGTCTCTCTATTTTACTCTTATTGATCTTATTCAACATCATACTAGCTCTACTAAAATATTCATTCTTAGAGTTCAAGAGACTCTCAGTCAAATTTCGAGATGAATGCTATATTAAATTAAAATAATCCTATCTGCTCTAATTACAATACTTCACTACCTTAATTTAATATAAGCTTATCTCGTAAAGTCTACTTACTCCAGAAAGGCATCAAACCCAGAAACATCTTCACTCTTAGTTAAAGACTTTTCTGATAATCCATCTGTCTCTTTCATCGACAATAAATATAACCAATCTAAATTCCCAATCAATAAACTTGGATCTAAAAAACTAAGTGATGTGCTTGGAATATGTTGGGGAAAGCTCATTAAATTTATTTTTTTTAAATATAAAAACAACACAATCATTTAAATAAGAATATCAAATATCTTTATTAACTATGATAAATAGGATTATATAAATATCTATATCTAATGATTTAAATAATAACGTGAACTTATAAAAATACCTATAAACATTATTAATTTTTTTATCAAATAATTCTGTCCTATTATTAATAAAATTTCCTTTCAAAAATTACAAAATCAAACCATTCAATAACATACTTCTTTACTGTTTACACATAATCCTATATAAATTGTTGTGAAAATAATCATACTAAAACTCATACTACATATTCTTAAATTATTCTAATTCAATTTTAAAAGACTCATAAAAAATACTATTATATTTATCCATTCACATTGACTTAAGCATACTTATATCAAATATAACTTGAAATCTGAAATGCTATTTAAAAATATGTATATTTCAAGTATTCTTTTATTTTTTCATATTATTTGCTTCATATAAATATTGTAACATTATTCTCTTTCCTTTAAACCTATCATCAATAGAGATCAAGTTACAAATACTTAATAAGAATTAATTCAGAAAATGTAAAATTATTTGTTTTTTTTTGCGCCAAAAGTATAAATTGTGGCAAAGTTGGTACGTAAAGTTTTGTTAATAATAAAATCAATTAAACCAAATGAACCCATAAGATGCGCCATAATAGGATTTAATATACAGAGACTTTCTTGAAAGATTTCTCAGTAACATAGACATTGCTCAAATTGAAGCCATGAGACAATAAAATAAAATTAGATTTCCAATCAATTTAGATCTTTTGAGATAAGAATCAAGATAATAATACCCCAACTTGTAAATACATTATATTTATATATATTTTAGAGTTGATGATTTGATTAGAAATCCAACAGATTTTATTAGAGTTTTCTAACAGAAATTGAGTCAAATATGCAAACAATTACAAGATCAATAGGAAGATGATGATAAAAAGGGAGTATAGACAGATAAAACATATAAAATCTATTTTGAAGGTAAATTAGGAAAGAATTACGTAACTCCAAGAGGTTTGGGAGCAGCATAAATTAATTAATTAGTTTGCACATAAGCTATAGTAACTAAGATGTCCTTGGTTTTATTAAAACTATAGAAATCAGTACACTTTATAGAGAAGAAAAACTAATTCAAATAAGTGGAATATTTTAATAATATGGATCCAAGTGCTAGAACATCATCAAGATAAGTTAGAGTAGTATAAAAGAAAGATGAAGAAGGTAACCCAATGATTTTTGAATTTGGATTAAGTGATCTTAATGACATGTAGACATTAGTGGTATAAGAATTACCAGAAAGAACTCCAACAGGAATGTTACCAAGATCTTTAGAAGTCATTTTAGATTAAGATTTAGTTGATAGAGTGAAACCAGGAGATAGAGTTGAAGTATTTAACATAAAAATAATAATAGATTACTGGTGTATATAAATGTATTTAAAATTCATCAACAAAGGCAAATGGAACATTTAGAACTACTTTAATTGCATAAAATATAAAAGTAATGAATGCTGTACAAGAAACCAAGATAACAGAAGTAGATATCAGACACATCAAAGAAATTGCTAAAAAGCCAAGTATAATAATAAAATATTGAAAGATCTTTTGGAATACATGTCAAAATCTATAGCTCCATCAATATTTGGACATGGAATAGTTAAATAGTCGATTTTGTTACAGTTGTTAGGAGGAACAGAGAAGAATTTAGAAACAGGAACACATTTAAGAGGAGATATAAATATTCTTTTGATAGGAGATCCATCAACTGCTAAATCTTAATTACTTAGATATGTAATGGGAACTGCTCCTTTGGTAGTTACAACAACAGGTAGAGGAACATCAAGTGTTGGTTTAACAGCTGCTGTTAAAAGGGATAATGAAACAGGAGAAAATAGTTTAGAGGCAGGTGCCATGGTTTTAGCAGATGGTGGAGTTATTTTGATAGATGAATTTGATAAGATGAATGAAATAGATAGAGTAGCTATACATGAAGTAATGGAATAACAAACAGTTACAATTGCAAAGGCAGGAATACATTGTTCATTAAATGCAAGATGTTCTGTTTTAGCTGCTGCAAATCCTCTTTATGGTGAATATTAATTAGATATGGCACCAACTAAGAATATTGGATTACCAGATTCTTTATTGAGTAGATTTGATTTATTATTTATTATATTGGATGAAAAAAAGAAGGATATTGATAGAAAGGTAGCTGAAAGAGTTACAAAAAATCACAGATATAAAGGATAATATGATGAAGAAGAAAATATTGGAGATATTATTTAACCTATGGCTTAAATGAGTATTAAATAAGAAATTTCACCTTTTGTTCAATAATCTGCTGTATATCATTCAAATGATCAAAAAGACCTTTTAACATAATCATTCCTTAAGAAATATATAATGTATGCAAAAGAAAATTATGCAAATGTCATCTTAGATGATGAAGCAGCAGAAGAAGTGACTAGATAATGGACTAAAATGAGATAAAATGATTTATTAGAAAAATAAATAAGAACTTAACCTATTACTATTAGATCTTTAGAATCATTAATTAGATTGGCTTCTGCTCATGCTAAATTAAGACTATCCAATATAGTAACTAAGGCAGATGTTAAAATTGGAGCTAAATTAATGAAAATCTCATTGTAAATGGATTAAGAAGAAGAAGTTGAAGAAAATAAGAAACCAAGTGGTAGAAAGTCAAGTTTATAAAAACTTAAAAGTGAATAACCTTTATCTGCTGGAAGATAAAAAATTGAATCTGAATAACCTAAATAGGAAGAATAAGAAAATCAACTTATTGTAAAGAGTGATAAGAAAAAATAGAAATAGGATGATCCAAAAGATAAGGAAGCTGAATTTCATTTATATTTATAATAGGCTCATTCATAAAATATTACAAGAGATTAATTGAAGGCTGTTCATAAGGTTTTGAGAGATTTCAAAGAAAAAGTACTTTATTATCATTTATTATAGCTTCATCAAGATGTTGTTGATATTGATATTATATGGGGAGAACTCTAAAGTTAAAGTAGAATTATTATTGCTGATTATTTATAATTCTTAAAATGCCTTTTAGAATTGGATAAACAAGAAAAGGTCTAATTTGATGACAAAAAAAGAACTGTGTAGTTATTATGATTTTGGATTGTTTTTTTTTTTCAAGCATATTTAATCTAATTATTGTTCAAATTCATTTTCTTTATTATTACATTAAAATTTATATCTTTTTTAAAAAAAATCTATAATGGCAGACCTCTAGACATAAAGAGCATACTAAAAGTAAGAAGGCATCTTCTAAAACTCAAAAAAACTTTTGGCTAAGAAAACATCAAAAGGAGTTAGATATTGGAAAGAAGTTGGACTTGGATTCAAAGTACCAAAGGATGCAGTTGAAGGAAATTATATTGATAAGAAATGTCCATTCACAGGAAATGTTAGTGTAAGAGGAGCCATCTTAAAGTATGATATAAATAAAACTATAAAAACAGAGGAATTGTCATCTCAACCAAAATGACCAGAACAATTATTATTAGAAGAGATTATTTACATTATGTTGCCAAATACAATAGATATGAAAAAAGACACAGAAATGTTCCAGTCCACATTTCACCAGCTTTTGGACCAGTCAATGAAGGTGATATTGTTGTTTGCGGATAATGCAGGTATTTAATTTATTGATTAAAATTCAGACCATTATCAAAAACTGTTAGATTTAATGTTTTAAAGGTCATCCCTAATGAAATTATTGGTAACGTTAGAAAGCAATTTGTTTTGTTTTGATTTAATAAAACAATAGTACATTATATAAAAATTGATAATTTTCTTCAAAATTTATTTTTCAATCCTTGAATAATCTAAACCATTTAGAGTCTTATTAAGTTTAAATATTTTATTCTTATTAAGCAATACCAAATGCCTTAACAACATCATCATGACAATAATCAAAAAATCTTTCTGCCTCATGAGATCTATCTGGATCTAATCCAATTAATAATAAAAAGTCCACAAATTATTCCTTAGTTACTAAAATTTATATTCAATTTTCTTACTATATTTTTCAGGATTAGATTTGAAATTAAATTTCTTATGTTCTGCCCATAAATTAAATAAAGTGTTTAAATCATAATTTTATTGATCTCCTTTATAAATAATTTTATTATATTTTCTGGCCTTTAGAAGATGATTAATTGTCTTAAAAAATTTGAATAGAAATTCTTTCATTTTCTAATATAATATTATACATTCTATTTACTAGATTTTTTAAATAAAATTCTTCTCTCTCTTTTTTATTCAATTTTTCCTTCTATTTATCTTATACTGGGACTTATTGCTATTGAATTACTTTTGCAGATTATGGTCTTTTCTTTCCCTCTTATTTCATAACTTTATTTATTCTCAAAGATTCAACATGAGTACTCTTATCCCATATATCTGGGTGTTTCATCTAAGATTCTACTGAATTTTTTTTGAAAATCTTTTTTATGTAAATATAAGGATTAGCTAAATGATCTTACATTAATGGTTTTTCTTTCTCTAACATAGGAGGAGGTCTTAATTTAAAATAAATACATACTTTAAATCAATTTTATTTGCCTACAAAACTAAATCTGCTTATGGTTCAATTAATGGATCCTCTGGTTTAGGTCTCTACTTTTGTTTCATTCTTTAAGCATACCATTCCTGCTCTTTTTATTTAGCATCATTTTTAATGATTCTAGGATCTTCAAATTAGTGTATTGGATTAATAATTCCCATTTATATTTTTTATCTTTGAGATCCTTGAGTGGCTGTAATCTATTTTGGAGGTACTTTGGCTTCATCTGAAAATACAGGTGGTCGGTTATTAAAAACTTGAAGTAATTTTTCTTTCTATTCTTCAGGCGTAAGCTTTGAATGCTCTATTCTTGCTTCTTTTTATTGTCTTGCATATAGAGATAAATTCTAATTGGAATGAAGTTGGGAATTTATATTAGAATAAATATCAGACATTATTAAAATTAATCAATGAATCAGACATAGTATGATGATATGAGACTCTATCCTTGCAGTAATTGTGGGGATCACTATCCTTATTGTTTCATTTCTGATCATTTAGAAAGTTGTTTATAAGAGAACTTATAGGTTGATTGTAGATATTGTGGGGAGACTATATTGGAGAAATTTATGCAGGATCATCAATAGAGTTGCAAAGCATATGCTTTGTAGGAAACAGAGGATGATGTTTGTGAATTTTGTTAAGAGAAAATATTTAAGAAATTTAAATAGGACCATTATTAGGATTGCCCATTGAAACAAGTAGCTGACGCTTATTAATCATACAAGGCTTAAGAATGTCCAATTTGTTTAATAGAAATTGGTCCTGCTGATTAAAAAGGACTTCTATAATGTTGCCATTTATTTCATTAAGAATGTCTTTAATAATGGCAAAAAAAAAGCCTAGAATGCCCAGTGTGCAGATATAGTTGAAAATTAAAATTTTCTATTGCGAAAATTTTACACTTTGTTAATTTTTAATATTATATGTGAATGCATCAAAAGAAGAAATTTATTGAATTATAACAAATAAGCCTAATTCTGGTTATTTTCTTGCCAATTAATAATAAGTATATATTATAATATTCTAAAAATCTATATTGATCTCCATATAAAAATAAATTATTAGAAAATAGAAAACTATGAATCTAATATTTTAAGATCAATTATATTAAAAGAGAGTCAAATAATTTGATAGAATTTAATTTCTGAATAAATTATAATAACTTTATAATTTATATACATTATTGTCTACCAACTATTTAGTAATAAAAAGATCTCTTTATAGAACTTTGAAATAATAAAAATAAATATGATATTCTTAAAATAAATATTAATAAACTTATATTAGTATATAATATTTTTCTTTTTTCCTTTACTTTAGAATTAAAAGAAAAGTGCAATTTTTGATAACAATTAAAAAATTAATTTATGAATAAAGATCCTTTAATTTATGGTCTTTGTTTTAGTTTGATTCCATGTCTTATTGTATTCACTAAGTGGAAATTGGACTAGAAGAAATTTGCTATGAAGGAGAATTTATACAAAAAAATGTTGTTAAACTCTAATGAATTACAATAAAAAAAATCAGAATAGTAGCAAAAGAATTTAAAAAGTGATGCAGAATTAGGAGAAACTATTGAATATAACCTAATGAATTAATTACTTAAAAACAATCATTCTAGAGTCAGAAAAATTTGCATAACTGGAGGTCCATGTGCAGGTAAAACTACAGGGCTCAATTTTCTTGCAGAAAAACTAAAAGAAAGAGGATTTGCTGTATATATTGTTCCAGAAGCAGCCACAACATTGTTTATGGGTGGAGGAATGTTAGATTTAGATAATTATTCAGCTGAAGATAAAATGACATTTTAAATGAATTTACTTAATTTGTAAGTGAAATTAGAACATACTTTTAATGTACTTGCTATGTTATGTCCAGAAAATAAGACTCCTGTATTATTATGTGATAGAGGATTAATGGATGGTAAAGCTTATATGGATTCATCTGAATGGTATGAAATGATAGGTAAATATAATTTGGATGAATTTTAAATGAGAGATTTGAGATATGATGCTATTGTGCATATGGTGACTGCTGCAGATAGTACTGATTGTTATAGTACTCTGAATAATAAAGCTCGTCATGAAACCTAATAATAAGCATTAGAAATGGATCATAGAACTCAAAAAGCTTGGACTGGACATCCAAATTTAATTAAGATTGACAATCATAGTGTTAAATCTTTTAATGAAAAATTAGATTGGTTACTTGAAGAAGTTTTAAGAATTTTAGGTCATTCTATTAGATAAAGGGAAATTGGAATAACAAGATTATTTTTTTTAGATGAATTAATAGATTTAAATAAAATTGAAGATGTAAATAGAATATTTAAATATAGGAACATTAAATATTTGAAATTAAAAAGACTTATTTGATTCCATAATAAGAAAATTCTACTCTTTTATTAGTGCAAAGAATACATGAAGGAAGATCACAATTATATATTAAAGAAAAGTTTTTTGAAAATGATACTATGGTGAAAGCTAATATAGTTAAACTTCAAAAGAAGGACTATGAAATATTTAAAAGATTAGCCAATCCAGACTATCTTTAATTAAATCTAAAAAAAGCATGTTTTACTTATGAAGGACAATATTTTATTGTAAATGAATATGAAGGTTTTTGTTAATTTTTAAAAATTAAGAATTGTAAAAAAAATACAGATATTAAATTTCCTTCATATATAAATAAGTAATATTTGGATGAAGTATTTGAGGTATACTTATGTATTATAAATTAGAAATATACATCTCGAGTTTTTGCAAAAGAATTTTCATAAGAACCTCGATTAAGAGACAGAAACAATTAAGCTAGAATTAAATTTAGAAAATTGTCTGTTGCTGATGATTCTATTGAAAAACCTCCAAGATCTGATCAAGAACCTACTGATGATTTTTAGTTAGATTAAAAATAAGTATTAAGTGAAAAAAGGATTCCTTAACCAAAATAAAAATGATTAAAAGTATATGTCCATAAAAAAACTAAAGTTTTTCACTTATATTTACCTTTATTACAATAAATTCAATTAGATATTATAACTAATTTATATTAAATAATGAACATGAACTAAACAATTGATTGTTTTGGGTAGAATATATTTTTTCGATAAATAGAGCAGACAATTTAATAATACATGAAAGACCACTAACAATAAGTTACATTGATGAAAATAGTCCCTAAAAATTTTGTAATCTCTCATAATTACTTGCATCTCAAAATACCAAAAGAATTTAAAAGAAATCCAGAAGATCATTATATTAAGTTAACTTAAAAGATTATCATTATTAAACCTATATTCCAACTCGATCTCCACCCAGCTTATAACTATAATTATAAAATTACTAATACAATACATCGAAATCAACGAACTCTAGAAAAAATAAATTTACTAAATAAAAGGAAGCTAAATGTAAGACTCTTCCTTTAAATGATTTCAATTATGATGAAATTTAGAAAAGAATTGAATTGAAAAAAATGATGCTTGAAAAAATGTATCTCATCAAAGATAATTAAAAAACATAAACATTTAAAACAGAGAAAACAGAAGAAATTGTCCACACTTAAAAAATGAAAACAGAATTATCTGTTTAATCTAACAATAAATAAAAGAAAAATTAAGAAATTTAGACATATAGACCTACTTAAACACGAATAGGATCATCTTATTAAAATAATAGAAAAATGAATACATTTTAGGCTATACCTTTATCATTAGGTTTAAGTATTGAGAGATGTAAAATTGTAGAGAGATTGACATAATCACCATTTTATATTAGAACAAGTAAAAAGAAAAGCTAAAAAAATTGTAGTGTTGTAGATAAAGTTTAAAAGTTTAGTATGCCAAAACCAATAATTGAATAATTTTGTTTATAAAAGAAATCATCAATACCTGTTTCAAAGTGGGATCATTCTGATTTAGAAAATGATTGAATATTTGAGTTGAAAAATAATTTTTTTGTATTAATATGAATAATAATTTGTATAATACTTTTTTAGATTATAAGTATATGAATTACAAAACTAAATATTGCATTATTAATTACTATGACTAATAATTCTCTTATAATTTATTCATTTATTTTAATATATAAGTAATTGAAAATAATTATCATATATTACATATATATTTATCAAAGACTCCTTTAAATAAACAATTAAATAGTTAATTAATAGAGATGTTCAATTAGATGATAAATAGAAATATGAAAATCATACAATAAGTACTCTAATAAAATAATGATTAAATTTATATATTGTGGTTACTTTATATTGATTTGAAAATTTTTCATAAATAAAAATCTTTTATCTATTAGAGAATGGGCGCATATAAATATTTACAAGAGCTCTGGAAAAAGAAGCAATCAGATGTGTTGAGCTTCATTATGAGAATCAGAACATGGGAATACAGACAATTACCAGTCATTCATAGAGCAACTAGACCAAGCAGACCTGATAAAGCTAGAAGATTAGGATACAAAGCTAAATAAGGTAAATGAAATAATGTTATTGTTAGGCTATGTTATTTATAGAGTCAGAGTTAGAAGAGGAGGAAGAAAATTGTTAATCAGAAAGGGACTTGTTAAGGGAAAGCCCAAGAGTCAAGGAGTCAATTAATTAAAGCCAACCAGAAACCTTAGATCAGTTGCTGAGGAAAGAGTAGGAAGAAAGATTGGAGCACTTAGAGTTTTAAATTCTTATTGGGTTGCCTAAGATGGAACATACAAATATTATGAAGTCATCACAGTTGATCCATTCCATTCAGCAATTAGAGGAGATCCAAGAATCAATTGGATCACTTAACCAGTTCATAAGCATAGAGAATTGAGAGGTTTGAATGAAAATTAATATTAAAAGGTTTAACATCGGCTGGTAGAAAGAGCAGAGGACTTAGAGTTAAGGGTCATCGTAACAATCAAACTAGACCTTCAAGAAGGGCCAATTATGCCAGAAGAAATAGAATTTCCCTTAGAAGATTTAGATGATGTTTTTTATTTTGCATATACTCAAGTACAAATTAACAAAAACAACACCACATAAAATTATTTATTTATGAACGAGATTGCCTATCCCTAGACCTAATTCCAAAGATACTCATCTCGCCAAATTAACAAGGTTACTTACTATTGTCAATCTCTTAATGCACCAGACAAGGATGGTTTGGAAAAGAAAAACCAAATATATAAATGGTAAGAGAGACAAATTAATCAAGGTTGAGAAATTTGCCAATGTAACAATTAGAGCAAGTATTATCCTTCACCTCTTATTACAGAGTTCATTCCTTTCTAAAAATGTTTAAATAAGATTAAAATTTGCTTCATGAATATTTGGAATTGGAATAAAGTCCTTTTGAAGTTAATGTAAAAATCAAATTAAATCAATATTATTATGTGAGAGAGTGTAATCGAATAGATATGACTAATTAATGGAGATATGCATAATAAGTATTAATTGCACTTAAACAATAGTATATTCTTGATCATACATACATTTCAGATTATGAATGGTTATTTGATACTATTACAATTAAAGGTGATATTGAAGAGATTATTTAATCATTTGAAATTCTATCTAAATAATCATTATTCACAAAAAATTGGAGAATCGAGACCAATGAGGACGAGGAATATTCAGAAATTAATTTTGATTTATAATAAAAGAAAAAAGCATTCAGGACCTTATCAGAACATATTGTAAATGAAATGGAAAAGGCAATCTTAATAAAGTAACATTTTGTAAATACAACTTAAGATTCTAATAATTTGAACAAAAATGCACTTATACTAAATAGGATTAATTATTTAACTTTCATTAAATTGAATTAAATTTCAATAATATTAATTATGAGATTGAAACTCAAGAATTTTAGAAAGTTTTGGAACAATCTTAAGTAGAGATGTAGTTTATAGATGAAAAAGTATTATTATAAAGTTGGTATTAACATATAAAATGGGAAAATATAAATTTGAATAATATTGAACAATAAATCCAACATTTGTTAAATGATAAAGATTTAATCTTTTAATCACCTCTTAAATATACAAGTAAATTATGAAAATTAAATATAATAGTTATGGAATCCTTATTGTTTTGTAAATATTTAATTTGTAAATAATTAAAAATTTTATTTCCATTAAAAAAACCATTAGAAGAGAATCTTAAAGAAAAAAAGAAACCAAAATAAAAGGTTTCTAATTTGAAAATGTTTTAAGGTAAAGTTGATTAATTGAAATAAATCAATACTTATTTTACAAGTTCTGAAAAATCAAAAATATTACCAGAAAATGAATAAAGATTATTTAGTACAAATTTAGAAGAAAAAGAATAATAAATATATGAACATTCTACTTCGTTTATGAAAAAATTGATTGAAACAGTATTGACAGAACTTGAAAATTATAAATAATATAAAAAGAAACTTAAAAAAGTTAAAAATGCTAAAAAATCATAAATTATTGAAACTGTATAACCAGAACCTATAGTATAAGTATCTCAAGATATTATAAAAGATGATGAATGGAATGATAAACCAAAGTCAAAAAAATAAAGAAAAAAGCAGCTTGAAAAATAAAGAAAAAAAGAGTAATTTTATCAAATGATATTTCTAGTAATTTAGAAAGGAAGAAACTTAAATAAATGAATCTATCTCAATAGCAAAGTGTATCACAAGATGAAAAAATAGAAAAATCATCTAAATCTTCTATAAAAGATGATAATGAAGATATTGAAAATTAAATAGATAATTATTATGATAATAATAATGAAGAACTTATATTTGAATAATAATAACAAAATGAGATTATAGAAACAGTTATTCAAGATATACCTATTATTACTAATTCTGTGATTGATGATGAAAGTGATTATATTGAAGTATAGAATAAAAAGCAATAGAAAAAATAAAGTAAGTCAAAATCATCCAGACATAAGAAATAAACAAATAAGAAAGATAAAGAATTTTAAGACAATTAATCTTTACCTGATGAATAATAATATATTCCATCATTAAAGAAATCTACTTCATAATCAGTTTAAAAGAATAATCATCATCAATATGATGAACTTAAATTAGAAAGAATGTAATCTCAATAACAAAATAGAATTATATTATAAAAGAAAGAGAATGCAATTAATAAAATATAAAGATCAGGTTTAGTTAAATCTAAAGCTTAATAAAAAGAATAAAAATTGTATACATATGATTTAGATCAATCCTAATTATAAAAGATTTATAAAACAATATTGGAATAAAAGATTACAAATGATGTTAAATAAATATATCAGAAAGAAATTGATTAATTTAATAAGTATAAAGCTGCAAGAGACATCTCTATTTAAAGAGTTTAACATGTTATTAAATCATATTTTAAGAATTGTGACACTGAAATCTTTGGATCATCTACAACTGGATTAGCATTAAAAGATAGTGATGTTGATATGGTTGTTTATGGTCTATAAGTATATACAAAATAATAATTATTTGAACCTATGAAAAGATTGATTGAAATATTTACTGAATTAAAATGGGCTGTTTAATGCAAGTATAATAGATTTTTTTATAAATTAGACATATATTTTAAGCTTCAGTGCCACTTATTAAAGTCTTAGTAGATCCATCTATAGACTTTCTTTCGTTTAAAGGAGAGCCAAAATATATAATAATGCAATGCAGAAATCTTGATCTCAATTTAAAATATGGAGATCCAAGTAAATTTGAATTTGACTTTAGGTTAAAATATCTTTATTGATATTACATTTGAATTAGCTCCTCCTTATGCAATATATAATCCATATGTCTAAGCATTTAATATTGGTTTTTAATCAACATAATATACAATTGATATATGTGAAAAAATTCAAGGGTTTTCAGAGGTAGCAATATATTTAAAGAAATTACTCAAGATAAAAGATTTGAATGATTCATATACTGGTGGTATTAGTTCATTTTGTTTAACAATAATGTTGGCAGCTATAGGATAAGATCACAGTACTGGTTAAAAACTAATTAATTTCTTACATAAATATGGTTGTAATTTTGATCCTAATAAATGGGCTATTTATTTAGATGAAAAAGGATAAAATAATTTTTATAATATCGAAGATGAATAATCAAATCAACCTCTTACTATTATTTCACCAATCAATTTACAAAAGATTCAAATAAATGTTACTAAGATATAGACTATTTTATAATTGTTTTAATAATTATATGTTGAAATAATGTAAAATATAGATTAGATAGAATCTTGTTTGCAGAAAAGAATTAACCAAAAAGAATTATTAGAGAATTACAATAGTCACTAAATATCAAAATTAGTTGACCTTGTCTCTTGGCAATGTCCTAATCTACTAGAAAGCCAAATTTAATGATTTTATTATTAATATCTATCTGTTTATAAATGACAAATAAACAATCATCATTAAGCTTTAACTAATTAAATAAAAAACCTTTTTTATTAGAAATCTTCCTTTCTCCTTTCAAGTTCTTTGATGAATGGTAACATAGGTGCTTTACTTTTGATTGAATTAAAAGCTATAACTAAATTTTCAATATTTATGTTAATAAATAAATTGATAAGACCTTCAAATTTTTACTTTTTAATACATTCCTTTTATAAATAACTAAAAGAATTATTATCTTTTTTTTTTGGAGTTAAACAAGTAAATTATGAAACACTTCTATTTAAAATGGGTACTCCATTAATATAACTGGATGATTTAAGATTATTAGTATAAATTCTTTTTTTTTGAGTACATTCTTATTAGGACTTTAAAACAAAATTCTTTGATTTTTCTTAGGTTTATAGATTTTCTATGCTTTATCTTCTAATCTTGCTATATAAGTCATGGTCTTTCATAAAATCTGGTTAATGTTTAATAATTGTTTGTTGTCTATTAATTTATTATTTTAATAATGGAGTTAGGCTACCTCATATTATTAATAATTCTATACTTTTTCTTAGACTTAATAATTCTTATAATTTTGCTTAATAAATTTTGTTTTTTTCATTTTATTTCTAATTGATTATGTTTTCATCTTAGACACTATCTTGATGAATAGTTTTCTATTTTTTTGGTTTGAGTTCTGGAGATAAATTCATTTTAACAGTTGCTAAAGATTTAGATTCAGGTTGACTAGGTTAAATAAGTCTAGCTCTTCTTAATCTAGTGATGTCATTATTGCCAACCAAATAGTTAGAGTTTTTCAGTCTTAAATTCATAATTTAAAAATAACGATTACATTCAAATAAAATAAAATAAATAAACATAAAAAATTATATAAAGAGTTATATCAAAATATCATTATATTCTAATGAGTTATTATTGATAAAGTGCTGCTTCTTTTTTTTTATTATTTATTGAAACATTTTTTGGTTATTTATTTTAAATAAAAGAAACTTTTTTTATTAAATTTTATGATTCTTAAAAACTATTTTTTCTTCTCTTTCCATCTTCACTATTGCATAATTTACTCTTTAGAATACCTTTTAATTAGATATTTTATTTAGTATATTTAATTGTACTTGTTTTACTTCTAAATAAACTTAAAGACAATTTACAAAATTTCTCTTTGTTCTCTAATTATACAAGACTCAATTTTTCTTATAAAGGTTATTAATTAGTATTAACTAATTAAGTTACATAAATTTATCTTTATGAAAACCTAGTAATTTTAATAGGTGATGCTTCTAAAGGACAACTTTTAAATGTTTAAGTTAATTATCGTTTATTTTATCTAATTATAGGTTGTTTCTAAAAAGGTTAAATTTATTGAGTTAGCATTCTAATTAAATTCTATTCTTATATGTTTGGTATCTAAGGATTGTTTACATGTTCTACTGAACCTGCAGAACTTTAAGGAATGTTGTCCTTTCTAATCATTTCAAGAGTATTTCTATATTCATATTAAGGTAGAAGATGTTAATTGACTTTTAATTTGTTTGATTCCTCATCTAAATTGAGTAAAGTACATTAAATTAGTTTTTAAGTGGAATTTAAGGAACCTTAAGGACTAACTTAATTGGACTACATAAATCTGAATTCTTATGAATTCGATCTAATTTATTTCACTCTTGCCATGACAGAAGTAGAAGTCTCTGTTTAAAATGTATCATATTCTTCTTTCTTAAACTTTGGTACTATAATTCTGCAATCTAATTCTAAAGAATCATCATCACTAACTATTGCATCTGAATTTTCTAAGATTTGCATAACTAATGCTTATGAAATCGGTTTTATTTAAAAAATGATAAATAATAATAAGTAATTGCAAATAATCAAAAATATTAATGTATCATCATAAATTTTATATATTTAAGATTAAAATGGATGTGACTATAAGAAATAAGTAATTTCTGTTATAATGATTAACTTAATGAAAATATTATTATAACACATCTAAAATATAATTATAACATTGTAATTGATTATTATTTATTAGAGAATATAGAGTTATTATTTACAGAATAAAGTTTGAAATAGTATATTAGATCTTGTTAAACATATTTAAACATTTAAAATTCTAATTTAACATCAAGTGATTTTAATTGATAGATATATTTTCTAAGATTGCTTATAAGAACTGATATTATAAATTTGTTTTTTATCTTTAAAAAATAAAAACTGTATGCATTTCTGAATTACTTGAATTTTAACCTTAGAAAATAAATTAAATAAATAACATAAATAAATACAATTTTAATTATCTTTAATCATATTTATCATCTGTTAAGATTATAATATTTTCTATATTTCTTTTGTTTTAATTATTAAAATTAAAAAATTATCTATATTCACAAAACTCTTAAATTCTTTATGATTTTTAGATGTTTTAATATATGAAATATCATTTCTTATAATAATAATTGAATATTGTATATAAAAAAGAAATTATTAAATAAATTAAAAAAAAGATTTAAAATGGTAATGAGTTTCACTTATGTTTATCTTAGGGAGCACACAAATCATTGAGAATGAAGAAGAGATTGATCAAAGCAAATAAGCAAAATAGACCTCTTCCAAATTGGTTTAGATATAGAACAGATAACACAATCAGGTAATGAATGAATCTTAGTCTCATTCTAGATATAATTCAAAACGTAGACACTGGAGAAGAACTAAGCTTAACATCAATTGATTTGTTTACGATTATAATACCGTACATTTAATAATAAATCTAAAGTAATATGCCACATTCACAATTTATTTAATTATTAAAATAAATTCCGTTCATTATTTTTTTAACTATTCTTTCAAATGTTTAACTCTCTAATACATGATTTCAATTTAATTCTTCATTTCTGGAATATCAGATTTTCTAACATCTCTACTTATACATCTTTAGATATTTAAACATCCTTTGTAATCATCAATTGAACCAATTATTAATTCTCTTTAAATTAGATCAATTAATAATTATTCAATCTCAATTCGTGAATTTATATAACATGCTTATTAAATTTTATCAAAAGTCACACATTTATTTCTATATTATTATTATTATTATTTACCTTTAACACAATTGTAGTATAGTAAGTATAATCATTTTCTTTTATTATTTCTCATTTTTATATTTGATTTATGGATCACAAACTCCATATGCAAATCTATCAAAAAGGTTTTTGTCTTCATCAGTCTAATAGAATGAATTATTAGAATACCTTTATTAGATTCATATACTATGTAAATTAGTATGTTTAATCATCCTCTATATAATCTATTAATGACATTTAAGGTTTATTAATAATTAATAAAATTTATAAAAATGAAAAGAAAATAAACAATAAATGTTGATTACTAAGACATGATACAATAAGCTAAGAGCATGTTTAATTTAAGTTAAGATGAAATAAATGAGATTATAGTAGAGGTCAAAAAATTTGATACTAAAGGAACTGGATATGTAGGGAAACATGAAGTAGATGATGTTTTAAGAGGTAGTTACATTTTTAATTATTAAGATTTAAAACTTTTAGATAATGAAAAGTTGATAGCTAAGTTTAATGAAGAATTAAAAATAATGAATGCCAAGTTTCTTGACTTTAAACAGATTTGTGATTTGTATTGTAAATTAAAACAATACTAGTAATAATTAAATGAAGAAGAAACTATCACTCAAGAATATAGTAATATTTATATATAATCTTTAGTTGATGCATTTTGTGCCTTAGGAGGTTAACTAGATAAATCTGGATTTGTATTAAAATCTACTATAATTGAAACAATAAAAAGAGAATTTGAACTAAATTTAGAATTGGATTCAATCTTAGGAGATTTTCATGGAACCTAACTAGATTTTGATGAGTTTTGTTAATTATTTGAGAATGCTGGAGATGATGGTAAATCATTTATTACTGTATCAATTTGATCTAGCTATAGAGTGTGTCATTATCAAAAAGAAATCAAAATGATTTTGTAGTAAGATACAAGGACTTCGAAAAATGGGAAAAATTAGTTAATTGAATTGACAATTCATTTTTATATTTCTTATAGAATAGAAATATATATATATATATAAAACCTTATAATATTAATAAATATAATTAAATAAGATACCAATTATATTATTCTGTTAAAAATAATTCAAAAAAAATAGAATATTTCATAAATTGGATATCAAAGAAACATAATTATTTATTCAATTTATTTAATTTATTCAAAGCATAATATATTTTATAGATATTCAATTAATTATTTTAGTTAATAAAGAAGATCATCAGGTAATTGAAAATATTAAATATATATTGAGATCAAATTAATTAGAGATAAGAATTATTCTTATATCAATAATAATAATAAAAGATGAATCAACATTAATTTTTTGTCTTATATTATAAATCTAAATAGTTTTGTGTCCATAAAGAATTTATGACCATTTATAATGACATATAATAATGTTCATATGTAAATTATGATTCATAATTTTCCTGAGATCACACGTGTTAATACTCCATTTTCCCAATTCCCACTAAAATCTTCGTGATTTATTCTTCTTATCACACCTTCTCCATTAGGAAGATCCTTATCAAATATGCCTATAAATTCACTGTTATTAGTTAAATACCAAGTTCCTTGACCACATTTTCTAAATTTTATTGAATATATAATACAATCCATTTTAAAATGTTCCCTGATAACGTTTCCAATAACCTTTAATCTGCACTTCTCTTAATAATGAATAATTAATCTAATCCTCAACAATCTGATTTTCATTATATAATGTACCATAACCATCATATTAATCATTCTTAAAATCTCCATTATATTGATCCTTTCCATTCATAAAATATAATATGCCTTTTCCATGTTTCTAACCTTGATGTATTTCTCCTTTATATTTAATTTTAGTTTTTTAATCGTCATAATATAATTACTATAAATTTTCTTCTTTTATGTCAGAGAGGATATTTTGAGTTTATGTATCTCCAAATCCTTCACATTCAAATTATTAACTTCTTTTTGTATCTAATTTACTTAAACCTTCAAATTGTTCATTATTTTTAGAATTTTAAAATGATTAGAGATTTTCAATATTAGATTACAATATTCCTTTTTCCCAGAATCCAGAAAACTTTAATTAATTATTCAATTCAAATCTTCCTTTTCCATTAATAAGGTTATTTAGAAATGTTCCAATGAATACTTCTCCATTAGTTAAAAATAATTTGCCTTCTCCATGTTTTCTATATTAATTATTTATATAATAAATACTTTCCATTTTAAAATTATCCTTCATAAATTGAAGCATATTGATCTATATTTGTGCAATCTTAATAATTGAAATTCCCTTTTAAAATTTGAGTGTTTAAGAAATTTAATTTACCAAAATTATTATATTATCCTTCATAAAAACCTCCCTCATAAAGTAATTAATGATTTTATGTATATAATTTACCTATATTATAATAAAATATATGATTACCTTCTCCATGATAGTTACCATTAAAATAAGGCCCAAAATACTGGAAATTCTCTATTACTTAATTTTATTAATTCTAATATGTTTTACTAATTTTAATTTAATGATCAACTACTTTACTGTTTCCTGGTTATTCAATTTTAGAAATTGCACTAGTAATCTTTACATCTGTTTATTAAAGAAGAGGAGGTTAGAAAAGATTATATAGGATAGATTTATTTTGATCAATTGGTTCAATTTAAGAATCTTTAACTTCAGAATCAATTTTTGATTCAGGTGAATTTAATTTCTTATACAATTAATCATAATTAGGTCTTCTAACTATATCTAAATCTAACATATCAATTGTTAATTCAATAAATTTCCCACTATAATTTTTCTTATGAGTTCTTAGTAAATTTATCCTTTATTAAAAGAGATCTTCATCAATTATAAATTTAGAATATATATCTTTGCTTTTTTTTTCTATACTATATAAATAAATAATACATGTAATCAATTCTAATATTAGCATTCCTAAACCAAAAATTTATACTCTATCTGTATCGCAGTTACTTTAATTTAATTCTTCTGGTGAAGGAAAACCAGACATATCAAAATTCTTTAGATTTTTTGATTTATATTCTTATATCTCTAAATAGAATGATTTTGTCTCAACAAAAGGTTTTATTTTCCAAAATTTACCATCACTTGTATGAATATTGTCAAAGCCGAGATATTACTTCTTTTATCCAAGTAAGTATTATGCATTTACTACAGATAATAAAAGGTCAATAATTTAAGTGGAGTCTAAACATTAATTTTTAGCCTTTTTTAATAAATATTCTCTTAGAGTATATAATGGATGCTCTGTTAAAATGCTCAAGACATAGTACTTTTTAAACAGTTTCTCATAAAGAGTTAACTGAACATTTTCAATTTTAGCAATTCCAATTAAATCTCTTTTTTTTATTTCTTCTGCTATTTTTAATTCCTCTTTAAAAGAGTATTCACTTGATTTTAATGACCAGAAATCATATTTATTATTTTCAGGACTTTCAAAAACTTTATAATGCCCTTTATCTAAGATAAGTTTCATTTTTTTTAATTCTGGGAGGTTCTCCCCTTCAGCACTTTCTATGTTACCCATAATTATTATTAATAATTAATTAATTATAAAAATATATAAATATGTAACAATCAACTTTTGTCAATTATTCTTTAAAAAATATAATAAGAGAGAATAAAAATTGGAACTCATTTGTAAATTCATGAAATATATCATTTATATTAATTCATTATGAAAATTTTTGTAAAAGCTAAATTTTTAGATTACAATGATGTATATCGCATTTTAAAAAAGAATTAGATTTATTTAAAATAAAACTGAAGATACATTCTTCTTTGATAAGAGTAAACCAAAAGTAATATCAATAAAAATATGAAGATAACAAATGCTATTTCGTAATCCACTATTTCAATAAAACCAAAATAATAAAAATGAATAATGGAGTATTCAATTTATAATGAACAATTAACAGATATCCAAATAAATTGATTGAAAATGATCTTTATGATTTAGTATATTAATTTAAACTCAACAATTTAATTTGAAATTTTTATAAAATAGATCTACAATTGTTATAATTTATACTTTTTTTAAGGTTATCATTTTAAGTGGAGACTAGAATAAGTATTTGAATACTTTAAACAAATATATTTATTTTTATATTTTTGAATATTTATATTCCTTTTTTATTAGTTAAAATAAAATATTATTAAAAATAACATAAAAGTTGTGATTAAGTCATATTTATATAATTTTATATCTCAATCACTATAAAATAGACTTTGCTTAATATATAAAATCAAATATTTTTACAATTATACTTCACAATCTTAATCATAATAAATTATAAAAACATATAACTTAATCTATTATATATTTGAATACTATTAAGTATAAGAATCAGATCATGTTATATCAATCTAATAGAGTTTAAAATTGATTAAAATTCATTGTTATTTGAAATGAGTTTAAACATTTATTATTTATTGTTGATATGAATATATTTTTGTTCTTTTTTATAAGTAATAATAATATGATCTAATTTAATTCAAGCACTCTCATAGGACCAGGACCTAAATCTATCTTTATGTAACCTTTAGAATCTTACTAAAATCATGATATTGATGATACTTAATGTGCAGATGACTTTACAAATTAATACTTATCATAAACCAATAATTCTCTATAAGAAACCCCTTAAAATAAGATTGAAGGAGGGAAGAAAAAAATAGAAGGCAAGAAAAAGGTTAAGTTTAATCTAAATATCGTCCATTGTTAATTTAATCAAAAAGAACCTGCAATAGCTATTGGAAAACTAGTTTAAAAGTTGATAAATTAGAAACCTTATCTTGATTGGGTAAATCCATAGATGTAGAAAATCTAATGATTCTAAAATTCATATTTATACTTTTCTTTTTCAATGTTTAATCAATAAACTAGTATCTCATATTAAGAAATAAGAATAAATTGATAACTTTCCTAATTATTATTATGCCGTTTTTAATAATTTTATACAAAAAAGAGACTTAAACTAGACTACTAACTCTTATGTTTAGAAACAATATAAATTAAATCATTCTAAAAATAAATATTTCTTAGAAAATCTTAATCAATGAGATTATTCAAATTTGAAATTTAACAATTTTTAATCTTTCTTTATGATAATAATATGATATTATATAAATACTTATATAATATTAAGAGAAAAAAGATATTATATATTAGTTAATGTATTTGGGAAACTTAATTCACATAAAACTAATTTACTGGACAATAAATCTTAATCTGAGTAATATTATATATATATATATTTTAACAGATTGATTTATATATTCAACATTAGCATTACTAATTCTCTTTTGCTTTTTCTGTGCTTTTATTTGACCATAAATTAACATTTTTTTATTCATCTTCCTATTTTTTATCAAAAGAATTTGATTTATCTTCTGTTATTTAAGATGATGATGATGATTACTAGATATATTAATATAAAAAATAATACTTTTTATTATTTTCTTTTATTCTTTTTCTCTTAAACCTATTAATCTCTTTTAGCCATTAATTTAATAGCAATTTTCTTAAAAGCTTCTTCTACTCCATCAGCTGTCTTAGCACTAGTTTCAAAGAACATCATATTTCTTTTCTAAGCATATTCTTGAACTCTTTCACTCTAAACTTATTTTGTACTTAAATCTGATTTATTTCCCAATAATAAAAGTTCTGCATTTTTCTCTGCATAACTCTCAATTTCATTCAACCAAAACTTTTCAATATCATCAAAGGATTGTTAACATGTTGTATCATAGACTATAACAATTCTAAAATTGATTTATGAATAAATTACGCATCAGCCCCTTTATAATAAGCATTAGTTATTGTCCTAAATCTTTCTTATCCAGCTGTATCCCAAATTTATAATTTTAAGCCTTTATTATCTACTTTTAATGTTTTGAATCTAAAATCAACACCTATTGTTGTTATGTAGTTTTCACTAAAAGTATCATCGGCAAATCTTAATAATAGAGCAGACTTTCCAACTCCACTATTCCCTATTATAACTAATTTAAACAAATAATCATATTCTCTGTTAGCCATTTGAACTTATTTTTAATATAATAATATATCAGAATATTTTTAATTTGAATTTCATAAATTACAATTAGTATAATAATTATGCTATTAATGAATATATCGATAATTATAATAACAATATTTCTTATTTTTATTGATTTCCACTATTAATATTACACAAATTGAGATATAAATTATAGTTATATTAATCAATCTTATTAATGCAAATCTTCTCTCTTTATTTTTTATTCCTCTATTAACTAATCAATTTCATTTTTTTCAAACCATTTCATTCTTTTTCCTTCATTCCATTCACCAACTTTCACTTCTTTATTTTATAAATAATATATTCCAATTCCATGTTATCTCCCTAAAAAATTCATTACTAATCTTACCTTAAATCCAAGTTCCTATATATTTTCTACCATCAGCCCATTCAAAGACACCTTTACCATGTTTTTTATCTTCTTCATATTCCTATTATATACTAAAATCATTACACCAGTGTATTTACGACCATCCTGCCAAATAATCTATCCTTTCCCATGCATTTTATTCTTCTTCCATTATCCTTTATAAACTCTTTTATCTGGCCAAATATAAGTTCCTTCTCCATGAATATCATTTTAAAGAAACTCACCTTAAAAAATATACTAATTCTTTACCATCATATCGTGAACCATCAGCAAAATTCAAAATACCCTTTCCATGTTTCTTTCCTTCATAATATTATCCTTCATATTTAGCTCCATCTGGCCAATTTTCTACTCCTCTACCATGCTATTTATCATTTTCCCACTAAAAATAGAATTTTTTTTTTTACTTCTCCTTCATATTTGGCTCCATTTACATGTACATACGTTCCTTTACCATTTGCTTTATCATTTTTCCATTCTCCATCATAAACATCTCCATCTGCATGAGTCAATTTACCCTAAATATTATTGTTTATTAATACTCTTCCAGAAGACTTATCTTCAACCCATTCTCCCTCATAAATTGAACCATCTGGCCATTTTTATTTTCCATATCCATCTCTCATACCATTTTTCCACTCTCCTTCATATACAGCACCTGACTCTAGTTATATTGGAGGTAACTTCTTTCTTTCAGTACTATTCATTGTGCTTTTAATCAGATCATTTCCTTCTTGATTGCTTGCTACATTCATGCTAACTGAATGGTTGGCAGAAATATTTAACTATTTATCTAATTCTTATGATTTTTTAGAATTCTCATCAGCATTTTTAGGAGGTGCTTCTTTTGCAGATTCTCTTTTTTGTTCCTTTTTTTATTCTTTCTTTTATTTTTATTATTCTTAATCAATCGTAAATCTTTCATGTTCTTTTACTTAAACCTTTTGTTCCTCTTTTTTTTAATCATTTTCTTAATTATCAGGTTTCGGTTTAGTTTTTTCCTTTGGTAATCTAATTTCTGAATTGTCATTGTCTTTGTTTGCACAGCATGATTAACAATTCGCCCCCATAATATATTTTTATTATATTAAATAATATTTAATTTAACAAGTTTTTAATTAACAGTCAAAAAGTCAAACTATGATAATTTTGAAGAACTACCATTGTAATTGTCACTTAGTAAATAAAAATGCTTGGAAAATTAAAATAAACTTAATTATTTAAAAACAATTGTATTTTAAAAATAATACTCTTAAGTATCAATTTTTAGATAAAATAAATTATATTAATCATAAAAATTAGACTGAATGTCCTCCTAGCAATCCTCTTTATTAATTTTGACCGCAAACCTAAATTAACTATTTAAGACAGATTTCTAATGCTGATTCATCCTCATATCCCAACTCAACTTAAATAATTTGATTCCATAATTACTTAACAAACTTCTATTGATATAATCACAAACCCTTTCTCTTTACTACTAACTGATGAGTCCTTTCAAAGCACTAACTCCAATATCATCGTAACATATCAAACCCAAAATACTTTCTATTTTAATTTTGATAGGGTTCAACTTTTCGTCAACGCATTCTACTTGATACTATAAATTCTGGCTCAAATGAATTTATCCCAATACTATAGCCTCTTAGACTTTGTCCTTTTTCACTAATAATATGATTTATAGACTACATAATTCAATAAAGTATTAGGCATATAAGGTTTATTGGATTCCCTCTTTTTATAAAAATCCTGGCATCATATCAAGTAGAATATCAATAACTTCACCAATTTTACCTTCTCGAATAAGTTTTTGAATTTCTGATATAAATAACAAATATACTTATTCTTTCTTAATTAACTAATTGATCTTTTAAGAATGCTTATTCAGCTATTTAATTAAGTTCATTATTATTTTCCTATTCATCTAAATAAAAGCCACTGACTTTTCTTTCGATTGATGATATTTATTAAAAGTTAGGACTTTATAATCCACTTAATTTTCTTTGTAATGCAGACATAGGTGTCATTTATAGACTTTGTTTGCGTTTTAAATCACCATCACATTATTATTCTTCTTCATAATTCATTTCTTCTGGTTTTTTTTCTAATCTCATATTTTCATTTTCTTGAAGAGAACTTTCTCTTTCAAATTATTTCAAAGAATTTAAGTATCCTTAACTCCATAAATACTCTTAAATAATTAGATGTAGACTATAAGGAGAAACATCTTATTTATCAATCTCTTAAATGATTTCATTCTTCTCCTTCTATAACATTTTCTAATAATCAAATATCATTGGACTAGCTCCTAAGTTGAAACGTAAAGCTACAACATCTCCACACACTACTGTTGGATATAATGGTTCTTTAAAATCAATTTTAACTGTTTGTAAACTACGAATTCCATTATGTGTAAAGAAGACTTCTGATTTATGAATTCCACATCCAATAATATCATCTTATTTGTATTGATTCAATTTCAAATCAATTTCTTGTTTTTTAAGAATTACTTTTCCATCAGAATAGTATCCTATACTTCCACCAATAATACCTAAAGGTTTGTTTGTTTGATAATTATCAAAAGCTAAGCCAATAGATATAATACTAAATTTATTAATTATGATTACTTTTTAGCATTTTCTTTTTTTAGGATTTTAACTTCAAAGTAATAAAATGAGGAAGTGATAGCTTTTTCTGTTTAAAAGCATACATATTCATGTGTTTCTGGGTTTGGTGAGTATTTTGCAGTGAGTCCATCATTTTCATATACTATATTCTAATGCTTTCTTCGATTAAGTTTTGCATCAGTTAGAGTACTATTATCTTGTATTTTCAACACTGTATTAATGTAAGGTTCTATTTGCATTATTTTTTAATTTAAATTAATGGAAATATTACATATTATCTAGAATTATAATAATATAATTTATATATATATTTGATAATATTTTCAAAGAGTTAAATATTTAGTCCCTAAATATCCTTATAGAATTTGGATCAGAAATAGAATTAACTTTATTGATGCAAAGAAATAATATTCTGAATCTAAATTTTAGATTGTTATTATTGCAAATTCTATTATGGCAAACAATGATAATATCATATCATTAATAGTGGAACAGAAATTAAATATTAAAAAGTTCTTACCAAAATATTTTTTTTAAGGATTCAATAACTACATATAAATATAATACTCTTACCCAAATCACCAATACTAATTCAGTTATAAGCTATGAGAATGGAAATAAAGATATTTAAACTATAGTCTCAACAACTTATAAATGATATATGTATTTTTATTCTAAAATAGCTTTATCTAAAACATCAACTATTAATTCTAATAAGTATATAACATAAAGAGGAATTTAAATTATGCATAAAATGACCAAAACTGAAGTTAACATTCTTTCATTTTTAAAATCTCGATAACGTAAAAAGTAAGCAAATGTTATTGTGATAGCTCTTTTAATTCTAAGCCACCACATATTACATTTATTAATTTTTTATAAATTATTATCCTCTTCTTCTTCTAAATCCAATTTTTAAGTTATTAATGGTGTAAGTATTCCATCAGCTTCTATTTTTCTTTACATTTACATTTTTAAATTATTTAATTCTTCTTTGTCTTCTTCATATCTTTAATATGTTGTTATTTATTTATTTATATCATTTATTGTATTTATTATTATTTAATTATCATAATATCTCTTTACATTAAAATCTTATTTTTCAAAGTTGACTGATACTTTAATCTAGTATTCTGATTTATAATTTACAATATAATGAAGTTCTCTTAAAGTTTATTAAAAATCAAGAAGTTTTTATGTAGTCAATATAATTAAAGATGATTATTGAATTCCTAAAATATGAAAACATATATCTAATAATATTTATTTTTTGTTAAAAATCTCACTATTACTTTCATCTATAAATTCAAATAAAGAAAAACAATTCTTAATAAATTCAGCATTTCCCTTTCTTGTATCTATCTATAACATTAATAAGTTAAATTTTGATATAAATTCATCAAATGTACGTATTTCCTCTTCATCATTTTCAGATATTAATTCATTTGAATCTTCATCATCTATTGGCATAAAAATCTTCTATTTCTCAAATGACATCTTCATTGATTTTACTAAAGGATCTTTTAAATTGATTTACCAAGGAAATAAGAAATCACCATCACCTTATAAAACTAAAGATATTGGAAATTAAGTTGATTTATTCCAATCTAATATATTATTATTATAATTTAAAACATCAATATATGCTAAAGTGTAATCTGAACTATAAGATATTTTGAGACAATAAATATTAAATTTATTATTTTTTTACATAAAACTTAATATTTGCTAAGATTTCTTCTTTTAATAGTACTTTAATAATATAAAGTAAAAAGGAAAATACCATATTTTTAATAACAATAAAGAAACTTTTTAAATATTTGAATATTTCCCAATAGAGTTAATATTTTCAACTATATTATTTATATAATATTAATCTAATTAGGTATGAGGAGGTAAATGCCAAGGAGTATTTGGAGTATTATTACCTTAAACATAAAGTCTTTTAACATAGTACGGAAGATCTTCAGGTAAAAATTGGGGATCTTCAGATGCTGCTTCATATAGATTTGGATTCTCTTGAATTTCTGTTAATGATAATATTGTAGAGTTATTCACTTTGTTATTAGAAGTTCTCTATTGTAAACAAAGGAATACAATGAAATTAATGACCAATAAACCAATAAAGAAAATAATACTAAAAAGTACAACTTCACCTCCAGATTATCTTACAAAATTATAAACAACACATTATTATTTATCTAGGATTTTTCCTGGTTTGCAAGATTAAATTTTACATATAGGACTAATAGATAATTCATACTTATTAACATCTTCATCATAATTAATGCATCTTTTACATTCTCCAACACTAGATAAATAAGTATAAAATCCTGAAGGACATTAAGTACATTTTGAATTTCTTTTATCTATTCCATAACCTTAAGGACATTCATTATAATATATTGTTCCTTATAAAGATTTTATCCCTGCTCTAATTTATAAATTATGATTCATGGGATCCTCTAGAAATATTCTACCTCCACTTCCTGCTCCACTAATTTTAGAACCTTAACCCCCTTCAGCTGACACAATTCCTCTTCCATACAATTTTCCTCTTAATTAAATTGATCCACCTGAACCTCCACCATAAATAATAGAATCATCTCTCTAAGATGATCCACCATCAGCTTATATAACTCCATCTATTATAATGTTAACACTTTAAAAGTAGATAACACCTCCTCCATATCCTCCAAAGTAATTGCCTCCTCCACCAGAACCTTCAAATAAGGGATTGAAAGGATTTCCATAAACTTATCTTGGTATTAGTTTTTGACATTATTCATTAAAATCATTCACTTCTGATGTTGGTCTTCCACCAAAACCACCATAGCTTCCTCCAGATGATCCACATTTAAGAGTATATGAAAGCATCCAATCATAGAAACCACAACCATATCCTTATTATTCTTTACATCCTAAACCAGTTGTATAAACTAAAGACTTTGAATCTATTGTTATATTAGATTAATTGGCATAAATACCAATACTACTTCCATATAATGATGTATTCTATAGATATACTTCATTTGAAGCAATTCCAAGAGTGAAATTATCATCTAAATCAATAGGAATTCTCTAAAAAGATTTAATATCTTTAATTGAACTTGAATTACAATAGCCTTGATTACATAAGCAATCTTCTCCAAGACATTTTTATATATGACATTATATTATAGAATGTTCCAATTCAACATAATTAGAATAAATCATTAGAAGATTTGTATTCATTCTGACATCCTACAATAATAAGTTTTCTGCTTTAAATTAAACTTTTTCAAAATATACAAATACTACATCTTAGAATACTATTTATTATCCTTGAAATGCTAAATCTACTAAATTCTCACCGATATTTTATTAAAATGTTGAAGATTATATAGTCATAATTTAGCTTATTAATGAATATTTTTCAACTGAAGATTAATGATTTACAATGCTAAAGACAACATTTGTCATAGTAATATTTTCAAAGTTCCAGGCAGTTTATACAAATAACAATGCTTCACAGTCTTTTATAATACAATTTACCTGATTAAAACAATCTAAATATTATTATTAGCAATCTTAAAGGGCAAATGCATTATAAATATAAATGAGCAAGAACATATTTATAATTTATTAAATTATTATATGAGTCTTGTATTACAATAGTGTTAATTATTGAGTATTTATCTAAAGCACTTTCAGAAAGTCTCACTTTTTTCTGATTACTTAGTTTCATATAAAAGCTAAATTAATCTGATCCATAGTTAAAATTTTTTTTAAAGAATTAACCTTCTTTCATTTATGGGAGATTACATTAAAGCCTTAATTGAAACCTAAGTAATCGGAGCATTTAGAGTTGCATTAACAATGCCTTTAGAACATGTACTTGATAGAATAAAGACCTATAAACAATCTAAACAAGGAATAACTTATATATAAGTATAATAATAGATTGAGACTTTAGAGTTACTTAGATATCAAAGGAGCAAGAGGATTGATAGGATTATATGATGGCTTTTATCCTAGCTTTTTGAGAAACATGGTTAAGCAATACTATAGATGGCCTATGATGATATTCATTCCTTCCATGCTGAATGATCATATCCATAATTAATCAATAAATAAAATAATCACAGGAGCTTCAATTGGATTATTTGAAAGTTGTATAATTACACCTTTTGAAAGATTGAAAACTTTGAAGATGACTTCTATGGCTACAGGGTTTGGTTATCTTAAATACATTACATTTGAATCTATTTATGTAGGTTTTAGAATTCAAACAACAAGATAAGTTGTTTCATGGACAAACTATTTATATTGGGATCATAAAGTCCGTTATGCATTAAAAGCAGACCCTGGACAACCATTATCAATAGTTAATTCATTGATTGCTTCAACATTGAGTAGTATTCTGAACATTTTAGCAGGTATGATTAATAATTTAAATCAGTGCATCCCTTTGATACAATCAAAACTTTAGTTTAAATGGAAGAAAACTAAAATTATAGAAAAATCTCTTTGTATTAGTCTTTTAAGATTGTCTATTAAAATTATGGTCTTGCAGGTTTATATGCAGGATGGTAAGCAAGAATTATAGCTTACTTTTGTTAAGCTCTTCTTACCACTCCCACTATAGATTATTTAGAAAGAAATTATGGTATTTCTAAAAGTAAAAAATAATAATGATGAGATTATTCTCATATCAAATTCTATATGTAGGTTGTATAATTTTTATTTATTTTTCAAATTATCAACCTCTATAAATCATAAATACTAATTTAAGTAAATAATCTAATTAATTAATCATTTCCCCCAAAAATTTGATTCATTAGACTTAGGCATTTTTGAATATTCAAATTTATTCAATTTCTCATCTTCTTTTTAAGCAACCCACAATGTTTTTTTTTAAACAACATCATTTAATTTTTTAGGTTCTCCTGGATACTCTCTAATAGCATTATTCTACCAAAAATCAAAAGGATCATCTTTAGCGTTAACATCCACAAATTTAGATTCATCAAATAATTTATTTTCTCTTGGTTTCCTTAATTATTCTTAAACCACTTTTATTCTATATTCATCTTCTACTTTATTTTATAATCTAAATTTAATTATGATAATATACTATCTTAATGTTTGACCTTATTATTAAACTTATTATTCTAATCTTTTAATTTATTCATCTTTCTATTTTAATTATTGATCTTAATCTTTAACTTTTATTACTAACATCCTAAGTTAAGCATTTCTTTATCTTACTAAATCTCTTAATTTATCATTTTCATCTTCAGTCTTTCTTTTTGTTGTAGCCAAATTTAATAAAGCATTATCTATTGCAAATCTTATATCATCCTCTTTATCACTCTCTTCTTTCAACATTTCTATAACATTTTATACAGTATTAATATCCTTTTAAGCTAATTCAATTTATTCATTCTCAAATTTATTTTCATCTTATAATCCTTCAGCTAGTAATTATGCCTCTTAGATTTCTCCATAAAGGTCATTTAAAAATTTAACTTCATGTTAATTTAAATCCCATGACTTTGCTGAAATAGTATAATTCTTATTCTATTAAGATTAATTTAATTTATCTTCATGATTCTCTTATTAAACTTATTCATTAGTTTTTGATTTATTAAGTTCATCTTTAAGAGACTAATTCAAAACAGATTAATTATTAATTGAAGATTAAGATTTCGATTAATTAAGTTATGCTTAAGAACCATTTTTTGAGATGTTAGCTTAGGAGTTATTAACTTATTCTTTACTTTTATTTTTACTCATTTAATTATTTTTATTATTTTTATATAATTATATTAATAATTAACATTAGCCTTATTTTCTAATCTTTTATTTCAAATTTATGTTTATTTAATATCTATTATTTATATTACCAAATTTAAATAATAGTTATCAAATTTATATCCAATTATTAAAAAAAGGATATCTTATATATAACACTACATTAAATAAGTATAAAAATATCCTCCTTTATGAGATTCATAATAGTGTTTATTCTTCTCTTGCAATTTTCAATGGTGTTTTATAGACAGAAATCTAAGAAATTGTTATTTATAATAGTTTTATTGCTTTTAATAGTATTTAAAAAGTAAATTCTCAAATCAATTTCCTTTAACTTTTAATTACTTTAGCTAAAAAATTATTAAGAGTAAAAATGAAGAATGTTCCAAATGATACAGAAATTCAGAAGTTTTACAAATAATTTTATATGAATAGAAAGAACAGATTCTTACATTATTATTATTTTTATATAATAGTCCATTCAATTATAATTTGTAATCCTAATCCCTTTCTCTAAGATTATTTTAATTTCATTCTTTATTTAAATTGTTTAATCCATTACCTACTATATTTTTTTTTAAGTTACTAAATTAAATATTTCCATTATTCATCATATTCAATAGTATGATTAATTTGATTATAATTTCTATTCAATTTTAATTAGATCTATTACTTTAATCTATAAATTAATTAAATAAAAAATTAATTAATTAATTATTAAAAATAAAAAAATTTACGCCCGAACAGGGTCTCGATCCCTGGACCTAGAGATTAAGAGTCTCTCGCTCTACCAAGCTGAGCTATCCGGGCGTATTGAACATATTATCATGTATTTTCTTATGAACGGAAAGATCATTTTACTTTTTAATATTATTTTATAAAATATAATATTCATTATAATAGCTACAAAAACAATTGAAATAGATCTTAAAATTTGGGATCTTTGTTTTCATTATATATTAATTCTAATTTTGGTTTAATCTTCTTAATATCCTCAATAATTTTATTCTATTAAACTTCTTTTGCATAATTCAAAAATCTACAAAGAGTATCTACAAAGATCTTTAATATTACTGTATCAACCTCATCTATAAAGTTTCCTATAATTTCAATTGTTCCTAATTCTATCAATGTCTAAAAGACTGCATTATCTCCAGTCTTTTGAAGATTTTAAATGACTTGGATGCAATTTTATTTTTCCTACAAAACTGAAGCAATTAATCCATTAATAATTCTATTTATTATTTTATGTTTAACAATTTTATTTGAAATTTAACTATCATTATAAGCTAGGTTGATAACAATTAAGAAAGACAATTTTCTTATTTATTTTTTTCTATTGTTACTATATTCTAAAGCAACATCTAAAATATCTTATTCAATCAGAAACTTTATAAAATATAATCATATAATTACATTAGAAAAACTTTTAGATTCTGTTAATGAAAACTATTTCAAAACTTACAAAGTTGTTTCTTCAAATTCTCCTTTTAAAGTTGAAAATACATATTATACTATTTTTGAACTTATCAAGTACTTATCAATTTCTTCATCTTATGCATATAATACAGTTAATGGATGCAATATTTCATTTTATAACATATCACAATCATTTCTGTTAACTCCTTAATCTAAAATTTTTAAACATATAATTCTCTAATTTAAATATAATAATATTAATTACATCTTTGCTGTTTAAATTATGATTATCCATAATATAACATATATTATGCATACAAAAACAAATATTTCTATATAGATTACTATCAGCTGATACACTTAATTCTAATAATCGATCAAAAGATTTAACTAAATATTAACAGATTTCAGGCCATTTATTTGCAATGTTTCCTAAGTATATAAGAATCTATAAAATTATTATAATCAATACATCACTTATATCTTAGGATTCTGTTAATGTTAACAATAGTTGATATGAAATTTCTAAAGATTGGATTAAATATTAAGGTTATTATTATAAAAACATTTTATGATTACAAGAATTAGCTAAAGTTCTAATAACATCACATTGAACTTCTTTTATCATTAAACTTGGAATGCTGTGTTATAAATAATTATTTGTAATTAAGAATTCCTGATTCTATGTAATTTAATTAGTATTATTGCCAGATACACAATTAAATGCAAAAAGATGAAGTTATTTTAATTCTTAAATATTCTAATTCAATTATGATTATTAAATTAATGGTATTAAGTTTGTTAATTCTAAATCATCTTTTTCTGTCATTTCATTTTGTTAACTAATTAAAATCCTTTTTTAATTAAATATTCTTTCTCTATCCATTCTACGGATTTCAGATCGAAAGGCTTCTTTTTTTTATGCGGCATATTCTTAAGGATTATTAAACATAATAATATAATCAATTAAATTATTTAAAATATTTTTTCTATTTTTTCTTATTTTTTCTTTATTTATTATTTTACATCCTTTTAGCATTTGGAGATTCTTCAGACCAAATTGAATATTTTGATGGTGAATCTTATTAATGATATTTTTATATTGTTTTTTTGGTTATATGTGGTAGATTTTAGATTTATTCTTTCTAATGTTTTTATTTATATTAATGTTCATATTAATTTTCATTATGATGTTAATGTTAATGATTATTTTAATGTTAATTTTAATGATGATGTTGATGTTAATGATTATTTTAATGATGATGATGTTAATGTACATGATGATGTTAATGTTAATGTTCATGATTATGTTTATTTTTTTAAGAATAATCCATTCTATTCATTTTTTCTCTTTCTCTTTACTCCTTCCCTTCGCAATATAATAGATCATATTTTTTATATCCTTTTGAAAAACAATTCAAATGTCCTCTCTCTTTGCAATTTAGACATAAAAGATCCTTTAGTCTTTGCTTATCCTTTTCAAATACATTCTCATCATCTATAATGATAACATTACAATCTTTAGATTTATGTCCCTTTTTATTGCATCTATGACATTTGTAGCCCTCAACATCACAATCCTTTGCCATGTGTCCAGCTTGGTTGCACTTGAAACACAAACTATTAGGGCATTTTAAATAATAATGATCTCCCAAACAAAATCGACAAGTCACTTTAGATTCAGCAATGTCTTCAACACACCATTTTTCAAAATGGCCAGGCTTTGGTTATCACTACCAATTACTTTTTTGCATCTTCTACATACTCCTTTTGAGAGTACATCAATACTATCGAGATTAAAGTATCTAGTCTACACTTCAGCTGATTGATCTGGATCTTCTTCTTTCTCTTCATCTTCTTTAACGAATCTGGCAATCTTATCTACTAAATTGGTTTATTAAGTGATTCTATCTTTGCTTTGATTGTACACAGTATAAATCCTTGGATCTTAGTCTCCAACTTTCTCAGATCTAACTTAATTTTCTATAATGGAACACAATGGTGCAGCTTCCACTACATAAACTGCTGGCAAGAAGTTATTGAGATCAAACTAATTGTAAAGACCACTCATTAATTTATTTATATTGAGAATTAATATAATTTATTCATTTAAAATAATCACTATCTCTAATTTATTGATATATCTGCATATAATAGGATTTTCAAACATATTTTACTGTTTAACTCTTCAATTTAATTTTAATTTCCCTTAAATAATATATATCAATATTTATAAATCCAAAATAAAGCTCTCAATTATTTTCATCAACATCATAGCCTACTTCAAGATCAATTCAATTTTATAATCTCTTTTGATAGTATAATTTATTATTCAAAAGAGAAGGCTATTTAATTTTTTAGATCTTTGATAAGCCTTTTTCTTACTATTTACTCTATATATATTAAAAATTAATTATTTTCAAAATTATATATGTCATTTAAATGTCAGTAATCATTCGTCTACTTTGATTATCTTATCTTTTTAATTCAAAATTAGATTTGATTGAAAGATATATTAAAATGTTTTGTAATTCCAACATAGACATTACATGTTTTTAGAATAGTTTAAATAATAGAAACTAGAAGAAATACTCTTAATTCTAAATTTCTAAATATTAATTACTTGATTTTTCTATCGATCTAATCAAGGTTTATATTTTGTTAATTAATTATTTATAATATTATATTTGTGTTAAATGATTATCTAAAACTTGTAATTCGAAGAAATAATAATTAAACCAAAGAGTATCAAAAACAAAAATGCTATTAAAGAGAAGCTTTAATCAGATAAAGTAGAAGAGATTGATATAAATGAAATAACACCTTATTAAATACTTGAATTATTTCCAAATCATGTTACTTTATCAAGTTCAAACATTCTGAGTGAATTATTGAATTAAAATTTGTCAGATGATTGCTTATATAAAATCTTAGGTATTTTAATTTAATGGGACAACTAAAACAATGTGGATTTTACAAAATTATATAAACAATTATTTTATTCACCCATGTAATTAAATTTATTTAATTTATAGTTGTAAGAGTATCGTATCAACCCATTTAAATTATAGTAGTGAGACACTCATAATAATTGTTAATTAATTGATTTCTGTGTTTTAAACAGCCATTAATGATGAACCTTCCAAAATTGAAAATGTATTATTTATAATTTAATTTATATAGATAACATCATGGATATCTATTCTTATAGAAAATAATAAATTAACAATGCCAAAAAAAGAGACATTAAAATTATTAGAGTTATTGAAACAATATTAAAAATATTAAGAATCAATAAGAAATATCAAGCGACTTATTAATTTTAGTCCAGTCTAATAAAAGAAAGAGAATAAAGTAACCCAAGTGTATTTTTGAATTGTTTATAATTGTATCATTGGATATTAGATATATACTATCATAAAAATGTTTAATAAATATTAATAAATTGTTTATACATTTGATTTTATCAACGATGAACTTATTAGAAATTGGCAAATGTCTTGGCTTTAAGTTTTGTAAGCTCATCTCTTAATATCTCAATTTCTTCAGCCTATTCTTTGGCCTTCTTAAAAAGTCTATAATTACGAGCAATTTAACTGAAATATATAGAATTTATAATTACGTAAATTTATCTTCTTATGGTTCTTATTATTCTTCTCCTTATCTAACATTCTTTTTATTCTACATATCTGATATATCTTATAATTATTTAACATTTCCCTAAAATAATATATATAAATACAGATAAAACTCCTCCTTAAGCAATCAATTATTAATTCTCCTTTTTAATGAAATCAATATCTTTTTCAATCTTTTCTCTCTTTTTGTTAATAATTTACAATCTCTTATCAGTTGCACTCTTTAAAAGATCTATTTAATCTTTTAAATTAGCTAATTCTCTCTCATTCAATCTAGTATCATCTTTTGTTAAAGCAATTTGCATTTCTTTTTTAACTTTCAATAATTAAACTTCTCTAGTTTTACATTCTAAATCTTAAATAATAAGATCTCTCTTTTTTAAATCATATTCATTTTTTTCAACTTGATATTTACTTTTAATAATATCTTTCATTAATTCAATTTTAGTATCTCCTTCCTTTTTGATTTCATCATTCTTTTTTTCAATTGTTTCTCTTGGAATAAGTGCAGCATCTTGTAAATTAGGTACTGGTTTATCTTAACTGATTTCAACATATCCTTATTTGAATCTAAACATTACTTCAATATTAGATCTACTTTTTTCTAACATGTTATGTAGACTTTAAATGTCTTCTTCACTATTAGTTAGTTAAGAAGATAATTAATTAAAATCTTATTCAAACTTTTTATTGAAATTTTCAAGATCATTAAAATCCTTTTCAACTTTTTCAGATTCTAATTTCATTTTAAATCTTTAACCTAATACTTACAATAATTAATCACGAACATGTTCAAAATCTATTCCTTATAGATTACTAGCTTTTTCTTAGATATCAAATAAATAAGTTTCAAATTATTCATCTAATTATGCAGAAATTATTTTCTTTTAATTTTCAAATAATGGATCAATTTATATAAGTATATCTTTATATTTTTGAATTTTGAGTAATTTTTCATCAGATTCCTATTTAGCTCTTTCATTAGTCTTTTAATCTTCAAAAGCATATTGCCAAAGGATTTTAACTTTATTAGCATCCATACCAGCAGTTTAACCTCTATTAAAGTAATTGACAATTTAATCATTCAAAGTTTTTCTTTGTTATTAAGTTAAATCTCTAGTTTAATCTAGATTAGTTTTCATTTATTATAATTGATTTAATTATGTAGTCATCTCATCATGTAATTTCTCTAATTCTGAAACTCTTAATTATGCTTATTATGATATAATAATTGATAATGCCAATCTAACTATTGATAATTCTTATTCAAGTATTCTATAATCATATTCTAATTTTCTTCTAAATAAAATTAACAATTTATCATCAAATCTTTAACAAATATCAGTAATTTCATTATTTAATTTTTTAAGTTCTGCTTCTAAATTTTTACGAATCTTTTCTTTTTCTTCTTCTAATTTTTATTTTCTAACTTCAAATTCTTTTAATTTCATTCTTTCTTCCTCTGTCATATCATCTGGACTCTTTTTCATCCATTCTTCTACTTCTAATTTTTCATCTAATGGAGTTTCTTTCTTTTCTTCCAAAGTACCTCCCATCATATCTTTAACTGCTCTAATACCTGAATCATCTGCCATTAATGCTTTCATACGTGCTTCTTCTTTCAATCTTTCTTATTCTTTCTTTTCTCTCATTTCTCTTGTTTCATATTATGAGAATCCTATTTCTTCTGGTTTAACAGTCAATATTTTTTCTGGATCTTCTAAAATATTCTTTTTCATTTATTATAATTAAGGATCTCTCTTTAATTCTCCATTAATTTCAATAATTCTTTTATTTCTTTCATTAATGTTATCTAATTATTATTATCTCTATTTCTAAATCAATTCAAATTCAGCATTAAATTATCTTTTCATTGAAAATATCACATCATTAATTAATATCATTTAATTTCTTTTTCTATTTAATGTAAATAATTCACTTATCCCATACAAATAATCCCATTCTGTCAAATCTTCACTTCCTTCCTTCTTCTCTTCTGTAGCCTTTTGTTATTATTATTATTTCTCCAACTCTTTCTATTTTTCCTCTTCTTATCTCTTCTCTTCCTCTTATTATTATTGTTATTATTATTATTATTATCTAGCTTTGATACTAGCAGCGCCTGCTTATGCTCTTCCAGGTGGTTATTTTTATTAAACACCACCAACACCAGGTTTAGCTGCAGCCTTAGTAGGAGCAACTTCTTCCTTTTTTTCATAATCATTTAAAACCATAGTTTAAATACCAGGTTTAGAATTAATAATATATTTAGGATCTTATATATGTTCTTCAATACTCCAAACTTCTTTGATTGCTTATTATTTTCTAATTTTTAATTCTCTAATTTCTTATTTTCTTAATTCTCTAATTAATTTTAATTTTCTCATTTCCTCTGGTTGTCTAACTCTAATATGATAATTAGTCACAATAATATGTTAAATTAATCCATTAACTCCCTTTAATGGTATTTCCATTTAATCCCATGTTCTCTCTTTAATCAATTAATATAGAATCTCTTGTCTAACATTTTCTTTTTTAACCAAATCTCTTAATGCTTATTATTATTTCTTTCCATCCTCCAATATAGCATCTCTAGCATATAGATCAATAACAAATTCATCTCTTGATAATCTTTCTAATTCATCAGCTTCTGCATTTTCTTATAAAAGTGCATTTAATTTAGATTAAATTTATTTGAGTAAATCTTTTGTTTATCTTTTTTATTGTTCTCTAATAGGAGCCTATTATTCAAGAAATTCAATTTCCAAAACCTATTAATAATATCTAACTTCTTAATCTGGCATATCCTAAATTTCCATAGGAGCATTGTAATTATTTTTCATCAATTATGCTGCATCAGAATCTCCTCTTATTTTCTCTCCTGTCCACCAAAATAAATCTCCTTCAAAACCACCAGAATAAATCATTTTATATTTTTATGATACAAATATTGTTGAAACACCACCAGATTTCAAATTATGTCCTCTTAATAATCTAACATCTTAATTTAATTGTTGATAACTTCTAAACATTATTGTTCCATCTTTAGCAGAAGAATATAAAAAGTCTTTTATTGCTAAACATGTTGCTGGTAATTGATGGCCATCTTATTCATCAACTGGAGGTTAATTTGCAACTCTCATTTTTAAATCCATTTTTGATAATAATTCTTCAGGAAATTTATATTTTTTAAATATTTTATCCTTTCCTGTTGTTATTACTTCTTATTAAGGTGTAACTATTAATAAAGTTTAATCTGGATCAATCTTTCTTCCCATAATTTAGACTTCTAATTTCAAAGATTATGATTATTTTGGTTGAGGTATACTCAATAATAAAAATGAACATATACAAAATAATTAACCTTTTCCATAAGCAATTGCTTAACAATTAAATGGAAGATCTACAAAACCAATCAAATTTTCATTTTAAAAGAAAAATATTGTTGGAGAATCAATACTACAAACAGCCAAATTGTTATCGTTAATACTTATACTTGTAATAGGTTTATCAATATAGAGTTTTATCATCTTGAAGAGTACTGGCTAACGTATGTCAGCAACATTATAAAATCTTAATACTCCTGCTGATGTACCTATTATTAAATTTGGTTCAATCAATTCCCCTGAATATATTTTGCCTTCCATATTAAAGCTACTCAGTGGTTATTCTAGAAATAAAATTATATTGTACTTGTTATCACATCCATAAATAAGACTATTCCTTAATCTGATCCACATACAATTACATTATGTTATTTATATTCTCTAATAAATGTTATGACTCCTTTTTAAAAAGGTCCTAATTTAACAGGTTCAATTTCATGAGTCAAATCTATGATTTTATCCTCTTCTTATTAATCAACTTATGCTTCGTCTTCACCCAATTAACCTTCTGCAGGTACAGGGATTATAAAGAGAGTAGCATTGTCTTATGAACAAATAAGTTTAGTGCATTATTGATTATACATTATTTTTTTGACTTCTATTCGATCATGAAAATTATATTTCTTATTTACTTTAAATGGTACAGCAACTTTATCATGCAAATTGTTAGTTATATATTTGTACAACCATTCAATTTTGGAATGGGCATATACAACAATTAAATGAACTTAGGTTGGAATTAAGTGTTTAATTTCTGAATGACATTCATGTCTTACAATTTCAGTTAAATTTGTTCCATCTAAATAAATCAATACATTTCCTTATATCAAATATATATTATTTTATTCAAATTGGTTTTTTGAATCATCTATTAGATTATAATCTTAAACCATTATTGTTGGAGCTGATAATTCTATTGATGCTACTAATTCTAATTAGACCTACTTTTAAATTTGATTATCATAATGAGGTGTTATTTAATATAATTACAATTCATTTGCATATCTTATTAGAATTCTTTCATTTAAGATTGTAAATTTTGCCTCTATAAAATTCAACTTTAATGGTAATTAACTAAATTTTCCTTTGACTCTGCATTTTTCTCTTAAATCCCATAAACATATTTCAAATTTTGGCACTCCCAAAATGACCAATAAATAACGTCCACAATAAGAGACTTCCATTTAAAGTATTTCTAATGGACTCACTCCTACTAAATCATATTCATTTTCATTATCATAAACATGAACTATTGGATTAAGCCCATATTCTGCTACAACCAATATGTTTTTCCTATAATGAACTGTAAAACATTAGAATCCTTATCTTTAAGAATGCACAAAGGTCTTGCTATTGTTTTCTAGATTCCACTTACATAAAGTATCTAAAAAATTAATTAATTTGATTACTTCCTGCCAAAAAGCCAATTGTGTCTTATTCTAGCAACTCCCATTTGTCTCCAGTAAAAGCTATACAATCGCTAAATAAATTAAACCACTTCTTACTAAACATTCATCGGTTATCTTTTTTAGAAATATTAATTAATATAATTTATTTGCACAAAAATAAGTAATAAATAATGAGCACATAATAAGATTAATGGTCATGTTATAAATGTTACAATTTGATGTTAGATAATTACTAATAAGCAAGAGAATAGATAGATTAAGAAATTAAATAATTATTGAAAGTCATTTAAAATTTTATATCATCAATTCTACAAATATCAACCCCTGATTTCAAAGTTGATGATTAGGATTATGATTTTATAGTTAATAAACAAGCAGGTAAGAAGGATTTTTATTATAAATATTGTTTGTATTTTGAAATATGGTAAAATTATATAAATAGAGAAACTAAATAATTAATAGAGTGTTTGAATATGTTTTTAATAGAAGTATAAAAAATTCATCCGCATAATTTTATTCAAGAAAATTCAAATTAAGAAGAAAAAAGAGCTTAAAAAAATAATTGGTAAATGGTTGATAAAAAAGATTAAAAGGAACTTTGTTGCTGTTTAGCTTTTAATAGTAATAGTACTATTTTAATTGCTGGAGCCTAATCATAAATTATATTATGGAAGTTTTCTTAAGGATAATTAATTGAAGAATCTTAAATTTTATATGGTCATGAAAAACCTGTAACTTGTTTAGTTTTTCATAAAAATTAGGATTTTTTTATTTCTGGAAGTGAAGATTGTACTCTTAGAGTTTGGAGAAAGTAATGGGTGTAAAATTGGATCTCAAAAAGTTACAAAATATATAAATAAGAAGTTCTTGGGGTATTATTAGATGATTAATCAAATTAAGTAATAAGTTGGAGCAAAGAAAATATTATAAAGATTTATTTATTATTTAATAAAGATGAATTAAAGTAAATTCAAATTTTGAAAAAACACAACAGTAATATAGATTGTGTTTGTATGGATTAAAAATCAAAAATACTTTGTTCATCTGGAAGTGACAAATAATTAATTATTTGGAAAAAAAATTAAAAAATGGAATGGTAATTTTAATATGTAATAAGTAAGACTAACAATGATAATATTTGCAGAATGACCTTTCTTAATGAAACACTAGTATGTGTATATTGGACTGAAGGTATTGTTCAACCTTTTTAATTAAAAGATGATAAGTATGTTGAAAAATTAGAATTATAAATTAATTTAAATTCATAATGTGATGGAGAAATTCTATTTCCTTGTATTTATAATAAGTAATAAGATATACTTATTATGAAACATTACAAATATATTTATATTTTTAATAGCAATTTAGTTTAATGTTCTATACCTATAGAATGCTAAGATTATTATTGTTATGGTGCTTTATCAAATGATGGAAAATATTTAGCTATTTGGGATGATTCATCAAAAATGATAAGAATTTATTAAAATCCTTAATTATGAATAAGAAAATCAAATTTAATATTGTTTATAAACAAATTTCAATTAGATCTCTCTGTTGATCCAAATAATTCCTTTTCTAATTATTATCTCTTTATTTAATAACTCTTTTCATTCTCTTTTTCCTTCTATTTATTCATTTATATTTCATTTCTGATCTTCTCAATTTAATATTTACATTTCAACAATAATTAACCAACATTTTAACCATGTTTAGCACTTATCATCATGTAATCAAAATCTTCTTTTATTAGATCAGCCTTATTAACGCAAACTATATAAGGCTTTTATAAAATCTTCTCATTATACTCTTTTATTTCGTTCTTTAGTATTTATAATTATTCTTCAATATTACCTGCTTATCCATCTAATACATACAATAATAACTAAATAATTTCATAAAATTAAATACTCGACATCTTTCAATATGTCTTAAAAATTCATGTCCCAATCCCTTATCATTATGAGCTTCTTCTATTAATCCTGGAATATCTGCTATTGTCATTTCCATATTATCAACAAACCTAACTTTGCCAACCATAGGATTCAAAGTAGTAAATGGATAATCTGCTATCTTAGGTAAAGCTCTTGATGCTGCAGCTAAAAATGTAGATTTTCCTGCATTAGGAAATCCTACTAATCCTATATCTGCTAAAGTTTTCACTTCTAAAAATATATCCTTTTCTTATCCTTATTATCCCAATTGAACTTCTCTAATTCCAATATTTCTTGCATTTCCTTTTCCTCCAGAACCACCTTTAGCAACCAAACATTCTTTATTATGTTAATCAAGATCAGCTATTAATTCTTTTGTATCATCAGATTTTATCTCAAAAACCAAAGTTCCCAAAGGAACACTTACTTTTATATCTGAACCTGTTTTTCCATTACATTTCAATTTCATTCCTTATTTACCATTATTCCCAATTACATGTGGCTTTCTTAGAATACTTAAATCATATATTTATTCTGAAGCCTTCAAATAAATATCTCCTCCTTTTCCTCCATCTCCTCCATCAGGGGCTCCTGTAACTACAATACGATCTCTATTTCATAAATTTAGAACTCACCTATAATAGCACACACATCCTTTACCACCATCACCTGCTTTTACTTTTATTTTCATCTTATCAACAAAGTGTCTCTCATTAAAACTAGCTGTCGATTTTAGTATTGTGCAAAATTTGCTGTAAATTTTCATGAATTAATTATATTATTATTGTAATTTCTTTATATTTTTACTTTTTAATTTTAATTCAAACTAATAATCTTTATGAATTTCTTACATGATAATCTCATAAATAGATTTAAATAACTAAAATCAATAATTTATTTTAATAACAATTATTCTCAAATTTTAAAAGATGTTAAAATAGATAATATTATGAAAAGGGAATTATATTTGAAATCATATTTAAAGTATAATGATAGACTTATAAATTTATATATGAATATATAATTTGTAATATTAAGCAATAAATAACTCAAATTTATGATGGATTTTTTAGATTAATTGTAGATAAAGAAATTTCATTATTGATTACTTTGCTAAACTATTTATTTTTTATTTAATGTTTTCTATAATAAAAATAAATGGTTGCCAAAACTATTATTAAAATCATGATAAAGATAAATAAACTTAATTAAGAAAATTCTTTTTAAACAATATCTTATTAATTTACTTAAATTTATAGGCTCACTTTATCTAAGAAATAATTTAAATATAAATTACCTATCTTTATTTAATCATTACTATGAGCTGAAAATTCAAGAGTTATCGGATATGTCATATCTTATTTTAATTTTTATAATACATAACCTCCTCTTTTCCCTGCATATAATACAATAGATTAATTGTGTTAAAAATGTTTATAGAACAAATAATGTGTACTATTTAATAACTCCATGTTTAAAAGCTTTTCCGTTGAATGAATAGGATCAAAAAGGTAATCAGAATCTTTCATGTCATAATAATATCTCGTAATTCCACACTAAAAGATAATTTCTTCTTCTGCTATCAAAATATATTTACAAGATTAAAAATTTTCAGGATATCTTAGAATTTTATTATTAATTAATTCATATCTTTTTTCTTTTAGATAGAGTCTAATTTTAAACTGTACAGAAAATTTTTAATTGCTGATTATTAATAAAATCAAATCTATTTATTAATAAACTTAACTAAAATTCTATTTTATTAATTTTATGAAATTTGATTATATTTATGACATTTATCCATTAAATAATTCTTTTAGTTAATAATTCATTATAGATATTTCAAATTCTGATTAGAATTCAATCTTATAATTTATGATTTTAAATAGATTAATTATAATCATTTTTTTGATGTTATTTAAAAATACTTCTATAAATTATTCAGTACTTATAGAACAAATTAAACTCTATTAATCCAAAATAGGAAAATTGACTTAGCTAATATCATTTTCATCTATTAAGAATCTATTTTGAACTTGATAAAATTAAATTATTAAAATATACTACACTAATACTATTTCTTCTACATCATTGTTGAAAAGAGTATCAATCTATTTTTAAAGTTTAAAGATTTGATCTTCTAGTAACATTAATGATATTTAAAGAATCCCATTATTTATTTAATTTATAAATATGAATTAATTATCTTTTATCACTTCTATGAATAAAATATTTTAAAGGTAATCTTATATACCATAAATCATATAAGTTTTATTGGATTATCCAACTTTAAAAAATATTCCAGATTCAGAATTAGTTAATTAAAAACAAAACTTATTACAGTAATATGAACACTACATAATAAATTAATTTTCAAATGGATATTTTAATTTAAAGTTATTATTAACTTTCAAATATATATTATCGATTTTTCCAAGAATATAATGTCTAAAATTCATTTCTTGATTCTCATGTTTAATCAATAAATTTGAATTATTTTAGATTGACTTTAATATGCTTGGATTTAAGAGTTTTATCATAATATCCTGTTTCATTGGAGGAATTTCACTATCTTCCATTTGAACTTGAAATTACAATATCACTTCTTAGCTACTTTTATTATTAAACTCTAATTGCTCTATTTCAATAGTTATATGTAATAAATCTTAAACAGATAATTAATTTTTATCATTAAAATAATATAAAAAGTACTTATCAACAAAAAAAAAAGGATTTTTTGTTTCTATAACTTATTATAGTGAATGAAAAGAGATTTGAGACTCACTCTTGAAAATTAAAAGAAATAATTTGTTATTAATTTTATGTTAACAAGAAATTATTATTATTTATTCTTAGACTATAAATTAAAGAGGTTAAATAGGAACATAATTCTCTAAATTATAACTTCTTATTAATTGAAACTCAGTTATTGATAATCTATAAAATTGCAGTTCATTTTTTATTATATCTAAGAAAATTAAATGGATAAGTAAGGTACTTTGAGATTTAGCTTTAAATCCAAGTACTCTAGCATTAATTTTGATTACTATATTATAAATAAAATATATACTTTAAACAGTTACTTCTTTGTATATTATTTATAAGTCATCTGTGTACACAACAACATAAAAATCATTCAATAATTAATAGATTTCTAAACAATTTAGATTAATTTATTTAGGTAACTAAGCTTATTCTAATTAAGCTTATGTTTATTTTAAATTGTAGAGTACAAATTAATCCTTTAATTTTAAGATAATTTTATAATTAATATTAAAAATCTTTTCAATTTATGACTCTAAACAAGTAATCTTGATTGGCATCTATTATAAATTTTCATCTTGTAATATTAACTTATATAGACATCGTTTTTATTAATCTAAGAGTAAAAGAGTATTTAAATAATCAAGATTAAGTATTGTTTATTCATTTAACGGTAATAAACTTTCATACATATGATTATTTTGATTATCACAACTATATTCAACAATATTATTTCCATAACTTTAGACAATTATCGAATAAATTTAATCATTTTTAGTTTTAATNAAGAGTTTTATCATAATATCCTGTTTCATTGGAGGAATTTCACTATCTTCCATTTGAACTTGAAATTACAATATCACTTCTTAGCTACTTTTATTATTAAACTCTAATTGCTCTATTTCAATAGTTATATGTAATAAATCTTAAACAGATAATTAATTTTTATCATTAAAATAATATAAAAAGTACTTATCAACAAAAAAAAAAGGATTTTTTGTTTCTATAACTTATTATAGTGAATGAAAAGAGATTTGAGACTCACTCTTGAAAATTAAAAGAAATAATTTGTTATTAATTTTATGTTAACAAGAAATTATTATTATTTATTCTTAGACTATAAATTAAAGAGGTTAAATAGGAACATAATTCTCTAAATTATAACTTCTTATTAATTGAAACTCAGTTATTGATAATCTATAAAATTGCAGTTCATTTTTTATTATATCTAAGAAAATTAAATGGATAAGTAAGGTACTTTGAGATTTAGCTTTAAATCCAAGTACTCTAGCATTAATTTTGATTACTATATTATAAATAAAATATATACTTTAAACAGTTACTTCTTTGTATATTATTTATAAGTCATCTGTGTACACAACAACATAAAAATCATTCAATAATTAATAGATTTCTAAACAATTTAGATTAATTTATTTAGGTAACTAAGCTTATTCTAATTAAGCTTATGTTTATTTTAAATTGTAGAGTACAAATTAATCCTTTAATTTTAAGATAATTTTATAATTAATATTAAAAATCTTTTCAATTTATGACTCTAAACAAGTAATCTTGATTGGCATCTATTATAAATTTTCATCTTGTAATATTAACTTATATAGACATCGTTTTTATTAATCTAAGAGTAAAAGAGTATTTAAATAATCAAGATTAAGTATTGTTTATTCATTTAACGGTAATAAACTTTCATACATATGATTATTTTGATTATCACAACTATATTCAACAATATTATTTCCATAACTTTAGACAATTATCGAATAAATTTAATCATTTTTAGTTTTAATAAAAAATTTTCCTTTATAATTTTTTAAATAATGATTAAATTAACATTTTACTTAATTGATTTGTAATTAAAAATTAATTTAGTTTGATGAAGATGAGAACGTTATTCTATGAGGTTGAATTGAAGAAAATGATGATCTAATAATAGTTATTTAAAACTTATCTTCATAATTGGTTCTCTCGATATAATAATTTTTATTTTTTAAATTAATGCTTATAGCATATTACTTTTTCTATTCATCATTATCAATTATAATCAGTTTATAACAATCCCAATTATGATTCTAAATAAATGCTGAATCTTTGACTTATTCCAATCTAAAGTAGTATTTTGAGATTTCGTTATTGATATTATAAGATGGTAAGCATTATTTTGAATACTTGATCAGAATTAATATTATTTAATTTCCTTCTCCTATTCCCATATATATTCTTTAATTAGAAAGTTATAATAAATTCTAAATTTTTAATCTTATAGTTTAATAAAGGAAGTCATTTATATAAAAAGTGAAATAATCTTCATATTTGAGAAATAAACTAAATGGAAATTTAATTACAAAGATTTATTTTGGAAAATCCTTTGTATTAAAAATTAAATCTGAATACTTTTAGGGAAGGGAAGACAAAAAATATTTATTGGTTTAAGCTTTTACTGCAAAATTTATTTGACAATTATTATTAAATTCAATCAGAATTTCATTTAATTTTAGTCCCTATGTAATAAATATTTACTTAAAATTTTCATTATTCATTAAATATCCACCAGATGAAAGCAAAATTAAAAAATTAGATTAACATGGTATAACGTCAAGTAAGTTTCCTTCAATATTATATTTCTCTTTTAAATAATTTTGATCAATTTCTAATTTAACAGTATTGTTTTCATAAATTTAAATCTTCCATTCTAAACATTAAAAGTATATTATAAGAAAAGAATTGGAATATGAGTGAAACTTTAAAAGACATTATAAATTATGATTTTCTGATTGAAATATAACAGTTTAATTTAATTTATGTTATTCTATAGATAATTAATAAAGTTTAATTTAATGAATGGAATAACATAATAAAATGTAGCCTTCTGTATTATAATCCAATTATGAACAGTTAAAACTTTATACTTTTTATATTTCTAAATTAAATTAAGTATTAATGAGTAACTAAAACTTGTTATCAATAATAAAGGTTGGTTATGTTGAAATACAATTTAAGGAATATGTATTTATTTTAGTATTATAAATTAATGAACAAATCTCATTTTCATTGAGAAGTTCTCTAAATTTTATACTTATGACTATATTATCCTTTGAAAACAATAATGGTCCACTTGAAACTTAAATTAAATCTTCAGATAACTACAATGTATCTGTATTAGATAAATTATCACTATTTTAACCTATAAAAAAGTAATTTAAATCTCTAAATTCACAGTATAATTCATTTTTTTGTAAAATCAAATTTTCACATGAATTTGTATCTTGATTTGCTTCAACATTCTGAATTAAACTTTAAATGAGGATAATAGTTTATAAAAGTAAGGATTTTGTAGGAATCATTTGAAATAAAATAAATAAATATTTTAATCCAATATGGAATACTCAAATAGAAATATTAATTAAAAAAATAAAATGATATCAATGAAATGAATATTTATGTTATAAATATATAAATATTAAATCAATGATAAGAATATACAATAAAATATAAAATCAATATGGAGAATTATTTGTTACTTATTTAAAAATAATCTTATTCTACTCTTTTTTTTTAAGTTTTACTTTTTAAATAACATAATTATGAATAATCAATTATTCTTCAATTTAAATATTATTGTATACATATTATTTAACTTGCGAATATTTAAGATATAAAATAAGAAAAGATTTTCTTTAACTTATAAATTCTCTTAAAATCATTTTATTTTACTAGATTTTAAACTGAAAAATATTTTTGAATTTAAATAAGAAGATGACTAAATTTAGAATGTGATAAGATATATTCTATGATATCGATTAAAAGATGTGATTACTTAATAAAAGCATCTTTTGTATATTTTAGTGATATAGTTAATGAGAGCAGTAAAATAGTATTCTATATTCGCTTAATTTTTATTTGAATTATTTATTATAAATCTAAAAAAAATAATTTGCTAAAAAGCTACTATTTAGATTATTATTGACTTATTAATTCATAAATTGATAATTTTTAATTGTTTGCAATATGAAATTGATTTATAAGTATGATATAGTAATAAATATGAGAAAATTGTTTTGATAAACAATTATAAAATTTTCAAGGAGATTTTTAATGTTAAGTAGATATATTAGATATTATGCTTGATCTCTGTCTACTAAATATATTAATTTTGAGAATAGAAAATTAATTATAAAATATAATATATATAAAAATTTGATGATGCAATCCATTATATTCAGTTTATACTTAGTAGAAATAATAAAAGCAGTTACCTACTTGTAGTTCATTTTCTAATGCAACTCTTTTTATGATGTCAGGAAATTGCAAAGTTAGTAGTTATAGTTCAACAATTACTATTACAGATTGTTATAGAGTTAATGAAGTTTAAACTTGCTTATTAAATTAAATATCTGGTTGTACAGCTTTGAACATAGACTATAAATATGATAATGTATGTCTAACGAAAACTTATGAAATTGAATTAACTTGGTCAACTTATGCTAACAATGGATATATATATGTAATGACATTAGCTCCAGAATAATTTGGAATAATAAGTATCAAACAATTATCTGATTTAATTTGGATTAAAATAGTCAAAAATGATGGTACAATTCAAAGTACAACAGATGTTCTTGTATAAATTAAATACAAATGGGTCAATACAGCAACTTATGCAGCTGTCTATTTTTAAACATTTAATAAACTATTTTCAGCTACTTATTCACCAGCTGTAAATACAGCAGTTTCTGTAACCTCTACATATGATGTAATTTTAACAACTTCATGTCCTGTTTTTCTGTTCCAGCTGCATCAATAGATTAATTAATGATATTTCATCATCATCATATTAAAGATTGCACAGCCATTACATCATCTAATTAACCATATTATAGATTAGAAAAATGTTGATTAAGATTAAATATATAATTAATATTAGACATAATATGATAATATATTTATGATATTATCTATTTTATTAATAGTAAATTTGATTACATCATCTGCTGCTTAAACTTATGTTGGTGAAACACCTTGTACAGGATTGTCAAGTGGAAGTTGTACTGCAAGTGCAATATCTGGAATTGGATATTGTTATTGGGAATCGTAATTTATAACATAATTCCTCATTATAGAACTTGTCAAACACTTCCATGTTATATGATTGATGAGGTAGCTGCATGTAGAGCAGGTTCTGGATTAATAACTGGAGGTGCATCTACTCTATGTGATTCATTGGAAACTTTCAGTTTATAATATGATAATGTTTGTTGTGAAAAAACAGAAGGGAAACTAAATTATGCTTTTGTGAGATTTGTTAAAACTACAGATGGCTATGTTGATAAGGCTAGTGATGGAACAACTACATTGACATCTTTAACTTCATAAACTTCAGCAAATATATTTTAATTATATACTGTAAATCCATGGAAGATCATGCCATCATTTACAACTTTGCCTACAGTTGCCAATTTTTAATCATAATTAGGAGCCATTTTAAATTAATATAAGACTTTGGCAACTGCATTACAAGATTAACCAGATTCACATCCATTTTATTTAGAAAGAACTGTTTACTAATCATTATAATTATTAAGAGTATATGAATAAATCAATCTTAGGATTTCATTGTTTTATAAACCACTTCTTAAAATACTATGAGAGATAACATATTATAATAAATATGGTCAGTTGCCCTTATTGCATTATTTAGAATGACCAAATTCTAACCTAATTATTATTAAACAAATTACTATTTTATTAACTTTGCCATCATACCTTATTCAAGAAATTCAATCATAATTAATGGTCAATAACATAGTACTAAAATTGATTGGTCAAGCTATGCTTATAGTTCAAATGGTTATTTAATGGTCTATTCATTTCCTCCTGAAATGTTTGGAATTAAAAATGCTTATTCTGATGTCATCTGTTTAAGACCTATAATTGGAAGTTCACCAGTTTATAATGCTGCTGAAAATACTTTCGATACTGGATTTAAACCATTAACAATAACATGGTCATGGACTGATACTTCATTAACTGTTGTTGCTGCCAATCTAAAATTATATAAATTTCCTATTAATAATGCTTTAGAAAGTGGTATTACTTAAGAAGCTGGTGTCACCTTTACTTGTAATTTAGGTGGTAAATACTGTGTTTCAACTACTATAACAGCAACACCAGCTAATACAGGAGTTAATTATTTTATATCAGCAGGATTAGGAGTTGCTGCCGACAAAAATAAAGTTTAATGTAGATTGTAAGGGAGAACATGGTCAGGTTCAAGTTGTTCTTGAATATCATATTATTAATAAAATTAAAATTAATTAAATTATAAATTAAATTAAATTAAAAAGTCTCAGCCATTTAACAAATAAGATGGCTTTTCATTAATTTTAATAAATTATTAATGATTTGTCTTTCTGAAAGGAAAATCTCTATTCATTAGAACAAAGGTTTAGTTTAATTACCTGAAATATCCAAATCTTCAGAACTTCTAGTATCATTATTATCATCAATATAGAGATTGAACAATAGAGCATTGTAATCTACAAAAACTAATAAGAAAACAAAACTCTAATCTCCAGATAAGGATACTTATTATATAAAATTACCTTAAATAAATTAGAAGGCTTAGGATAAAACAGACAACTTTTTCAAATTATCTAAATCGCAAGTATAAACATAAAAAATGTAATATATTATTACTTATAATAGACTTTATGGAGATACTTCACTTGAAAATATCAGCAAATATAATAAAAAAATACAAGATATCTCAAATAAACATAATCATTATATTAATAAAATTGAAGAACTATATATGATTACTAAATATCATTCATGAAATCATGCTTTAAGCTATTATCCTTGATTAATTATTTTAAGTTCTTATAATTAATAATTATCTTCTAAGAGTCTAATCTTTGAGATCTTTTAATTATTACTAATATTTTCTTTTTATCCTATCTGGTATCTCTATTTCATCAAATAATTAACCCTTTAACTTTATAAGTTACTCTTAACGATCACTTTATCCTTACTGTTTATGTTAACATCTAACAACTGTACCTTCATTATACAAAGTAGCACAACGTACTCTTATTTTTTTTCTATTTGAATTACTATAAATAGGAGTGAATCGTTAAGTTATTTTGGCAGGTGATGAATTATGATAAAACTTTTTCTCTTATTATTTATTTTATTTCTATATCTCTTCCACTCCAAATATTAAATTCCTATTTCCTGATAATACTGCTGATGCTGTTTATAATCTCTCTTATCTACTCAATGTTTATGTTCTCATAACACTATTTATGTAATTTTCTATCCCACAATGAGGATTCTTTTAAATAATTGCATAAAAGTTCTAAATTATTCATATTCTTACTAAATTTGAAATCTTATAACAATATGCTTGTTCTTTACATTTTGCAGTATATTATCTACTAGTATTCATCAAACAATCCAAATCTCCAAATAATTCTGGTTTTCCTATTGTTGTAATTGGTAATGATTTATGTTTATTCTAAATATCAAACTATTTACTCAATTCGAATTCTCCCTCCTAAAAATAATATTACTATCAATTACTCTTATCATATAAACATAATCTGCCTATTCACCTTCTCTATAAATTATCTAATTCTTTCGGAAATAAACCAAGGTAAAAAAATTTATAAATGATGCTATTGTTCTTTTAGACATCCTATAAAAAATTTAGGATTCCTTCATAAATTCTATAAGATTATTTCTCTCCTTGAATTTTGCCTTATATAAAGCTTCTTAAAAGTTAGATCTACTTATTATTAGAAATTTAGATTTCTCAACTGTTTTGACATCTTAAACGTAAGGAATTTAAGTTAAAGCTTCAATTCCAAAACATAATTCATTGATATTGATTTTACCTTATATTAAACCATAAAATAGATCACCATATTCTCCATTCTAAATTACAATAGTATTTTAATCTATTTCAACATATTTAATATATGGAATGTATTCTGTTAATAAATTTGTTTCTGCACATTAGTTGAGACTAGTAATAAATGGATGTTTTTAATAAAAATGCGAGAATAACTAATTATCATCCATTGATATTTAACCTGATCGTTATTTTTCCAATATTTATTGAGTTAACTTGATTTTATTATATAAATTACGAATAATATATTGAAATCCTTATTAGATTGAGACTTATTCCTATTAGTACTATGTTGGTATTCGGATTACTAATTTTACATATTTTATAATATAAACTATATAATTGGCAATCTAAAATGATAAATAATAAACTATATTGAGAAATAACTAATGATTAAATTGAGAGTTCTAAAAGAATAAAATAAAGAGTTAGAATCAAAAGATTTTACAATCAATAACATTTATGTATTATAAATAAGAGTATTGAAATGATTTAAAGTTTAATGTTTTCATTACTTAATTTCACTTGATTAATAATATATATTTGTATAATTAAGATTCACTATATTATCTTTTTATGAATTTCATTAATTATAGGTTAAATATTTTAAATAAAGTATATGGATTATAATATAAATATAATATTACTTATTTATTCTTTAGATAAATTAACTAATGATGATATGATTAATTGATTTGTTAAACATTCTTTAATTTAATTTATTTATATCAAATATCTTAATATTATGGGAAGTAATAATTTATTTATAAGGAATCTAGATTCATGTTTTGAAAAAAGACCTGTAATACCTAAAGAAAAGAGAACTTATAAAGAATTAGTAATTGAGGCATTATAAAGTGGACCTTTAATTTTAGCATAAACAGAATGCATAAGTAATTCATATAATTATATGATGTTAGTAAATATTGATATCGATCCATAACATTCAAAATTAAATGAGATGATTAAATTAGTGTAATATTAATTGTAATTGTTAGATTATAAGAAGAAAAAGAAAAAGAATCAAATTGTGATGATTTAAGTGAAATGAGTGAAAGAGGCGAAGAAAACCTTGATTTAGAACTTGGAGTATGGAAGGTATAAAAGCTTAGAAAGAGACTTTTCAGACACACAAATTATATAGCTCATCTAAAAATAGACACAGATGTAACAATTATTATTCTAAAATAGATTACTCAAGAGAATATGATTAAAATATATTAAGAATTGTAATATATTAATTTTCAATATTTTTAGATTTTCTATCCTTGCATAAAAAAATATTTAATATGTTGTTATGCCATAAATGTGGATGGATGATCATTAATATAAAGTAACTATGAGAGAGAATTCAGATGCCTTATTCGATTAATTGTTTACATGGAGAAATTAAGACTAAAAATATAGAGCCACTTTTATAGTATTTCACACAGAAACAGCTTAAGTAATATGAAATTTACAAAAGGCAATTTAAATAGTGGATTCGTTTTTAATGACATATAACTAATATAATCCAGTCATTCTAGAAGATCAATCAGCCTAATCAAATCATCTAAATGATGAAGATGTTGAAGAAGATTAAAAAATGCTTCTATGAAATTGAATTTATCAGTAAATAATAATCAATTTATTAAAACATTTCTTTTTATTTAAAATCAAACACTTTTTTAGACTCTAAACTAGATTATTATTATATTATTTAAATTAACTAAACTTTTTGAATAATCAAATAAATTTATATAATATAAATACTTATAAATGTCTGAAATAATATGATAAAACATAGAGAAAAGAAGTATATTAGATAAAATTAATTCTATATTTTTGATTAATTAAAAGTAATTAGATTATATTGTTTATATTAAATTCTATAAAATAGATGAGTAATTTAGAATATGTCTATAATTATTAATAATTTTTAATTTAGTAATTTAGAAATAAATAGATTTCTTATACCAAAACGACTTTTTTTTAGTTTATTAAAATATAAACATTTTTAATATTATAAAATGTATAATATTAATAAGTATGAGACCTTAAGTAGGTTTAAAAATATAAGGTAAATTAAAGCCATCAGATAAACAACTAATAGAAATTGTGAATTTACATGGAGGTATCAATTGTACATGTTGGAGTTAAGTGGCTAGAATTTATGAAAGTTAAGTGGGAGTAAGAGTGAGAAAAGCATATGAATTAAAGAGACTTTATATATCATTTACTTAATATGATGAATAATTTACAAAAGATTAATTAGTGGAATTATTTGAATCTGCAATATAGAGTAGAGGAAATTCAAGGGCAGGTAGTAAATAATTTGAATAAAGAACAGGGATTCATATATATATTTCAAGATATACATCATATATTAAAGGATGGTTAAGATAAGGTTTGAAATATATGAGAGATGTATTTTTACCATCAAGAAATAAATCTTGGGCTTAAACTGAATTTTATTCAAAATGTTAATATATTCCACCAAGATCTGCCTTTTATATGTTAAAGATTTTGGATTGTGATTTAAAAGACTACTAAGATGATTTTTTAATAATGGATTTTTATAAATGTGCTAGTGTATTCTAGTAATTATTATACTTATATGCTTTGAATTTTAATGTAAAAAGTAGAGCAGAAGTTTATGGTTTATTTAGTTAAATGATTACAAGAAGAATGTATAAAAAGATTCATTGTTATGCACATTATTTTGAAGAACTTAGAAAAATAAATGTGACTAAGATTTGTAAAGATGAATAACTTACTTAACATCCTATGTTGGCTAGAACAATTAAATTAAATTAAGAATCCTCCTTATATAAATTATTATTTTAAGAGCATGATTATACTGTTAAATTTAAATTGTTTAATGAATCAAATGATTTAGAGTAGAATCTATTTAGTGTATTATTAAAACCTCAAAAAGTTAAAGAATAATAATCTAATGAATAAGAAACCTATGTAATGAATCTAGTAGAATTGAAGGAGGAACATAAATTAAAGAGTTAGAAAGTACCTAAAGAATTTATAGAAACAAAAAAGAAAGTAAAGTAAAAGAAATATTTTCGTGGACATTTTATACGTGATGGAACATATTCTTGTTGTAATTAAACAACTAAATAATTTGATTATGATTATGATATTTGATAAAGATATTTCTTATATATATAATTGTATAAATNATAAAATGTATAATATTAATAAGTATGAGACCTTAAGTAGGTTTAAAAATATAAGGTAAATTAAAGCCATCAGATAAACAACTAATAGAAATTGTGAATTTACATGGAGGTATCAATTGTACATGTTGGAGTTAAGTGGCTAGAATTTATGAAAGTTAAGTGGGAGTAAGAGTGAGAAAAGCATATGAATTAAAGAGACTTTATATATCATTTACTTAATATGATGAATAATTTACAAAAGATTAATTAGTGGAATTATTTGAATCTGCAATATAGAGTAGAGGAAATTCAAGGGCAGGTAGTAAATAATTTGAATAAAGAACAGGGATTCATATATATATTTCAAGATATACATCATATATTAAAGGATGGTTAAGATAAGGTTTGAAATATATGAGAGATGTATTTTTACCATCAAGAAATAAATCTTGGGCTTAAACTGAATTTTATTCAAAATGTTAATATATTCCACCAAGATCTGCCTTTTATATGTTAAAGATTTTGGATTGTGATTTAAAAGACTACTAAGATGATTTTTTAATAATGGATTTTTATAAATGTGCTAGTGTATTCTAGTAATTATTATACTTATATGCTTTGAATTTTAATGTAAAAAGTAGAGCAGAAGTTTATGGTTTATTTAGTTAAATGATTACAAGAAGAATGTATAAAAAGATTCATTGTTATGCACATTATTTTGAAGAACTTAGAAAAATAAATGTGACTAAGATTTGTAAAGATGAATAACTTACTTAACATCCTATGTTGGCTAGAACAATTAAATTAAATTAAGAATCCTCCTTATATAAATTATTATTTTAAGAGCATGATTATACTGTTAAATTTAAATTGTTTAATGAATCAAATGATTTAGAGTAGAATCTATTTAGTGTATTATTAAAACCTCAAAAAGTTAAAGAATAATAATCTAATGAATAAGAAACCTATGTAATGAATCTAGTAGAATTGAAGGAGGAACATAAATTAAAGAGTTAGAAAGTACCTAAAGAATTTATAGAAACAAAAAAGAAAGTAAAGTAAAAGAAATATTTTCGTGGACATTTTATACGTGATGGAACATATTCTTGTTGTAATTAAACAACTAAATAATTTGATTATGATTATGATATTTGATAAAGATATTTCTTATATATATAATTGTATAAATCATTATTAGAGTATCTATTAAATAGTTAATAATTATTTCTATATTAGCATAATCATAATAATTAAAGACGACGGTGTATTTTTAATTAATTAACTCCAATTTTTTGTTAGAATGTAAATAACTTTATATGAAAAATATTACGTATGATTTGATAAATTAAAGCAATTGCTCAAATCAAGATTCAAAAATAAATTTAATAGCTATGAATTCTTTACAATAGCTTTACCTCTAAGCTATAATTAAACATTAGGAATAAGAGAAGGTGAAGTAAGAAGAACAAGTCTCGAAATAAAGTCAAGAGGTATCATCTTATATATTATAATTAGATTCTTAAATAGCAACAACTCCTTTCATTAATATCATGCTCTCCTAACAATCTTATGGAAAAGTAATAATTTATATTTATATTTCAGAAAAGCTTAGTCTCTAATTGATATTCAAAATAGAGTTACCTAATACTTTTAATAATAAGTTCTGAGAAAATAAGTTGTAACCATTCAAAACTGTATTGAATACCATTTACCCTATTTTCTAAATGTATTGGGCAATTTGATCATTCATGGATTGGATTAAATATAAGGAGAAACAGAACAAATCTCTTTACTTAAGGCTCAATACATTACACAACCAATCAGAATTACTATGAGTAGTTCTTTATTTTAAACACTTTCTCTAATGTTGAGATCTTAACTTGTATAATATGATAAAGGTAAATCTAATTATTTCTATCAATTTAGGTACATAATACCTTTCCAAATTCTTAATATTTAGAGATGACTTTTGTGATATTTTCTTTAATACTCTATATTAATATTAGATAACATCAAACTAATAAGTGAGTTAATAATTGAGTTTTACTTAACTTAATTCTATGATTAAGAAAATCCCTGAAGATATTTGGGGAACCTTCATATTTAAAATGCTTAGCCAATAATAATAAAAATTGAACAAGGATTAATTCTTGGTTTAATTTAATCAATACACAGTTAATATGAACAATTTCTTTAAAAAATCCAATTTGATTTTTGATGTTGTAGAAAATACAGTTAAATAAACTGCTTAAATGCACAATGATTCAATATTTTAAGAAGTATTCAATATATTATATAATAGTATCTCTTAATTATGGGAAGTTTCAAAGCAACTACATAAGACTTTCTAAAAAAAGCTACTAGTGTATATTTTGAAGAACAGAATGATGAGATTGATATAAATGAATTCAACATAAGAACATAAAGAATACACAAATAAATGAATTGTTCTATCCTATACTTACTACCAATGTTATTGTAAATAGAGAGTCATATGATTGATATGATACAATAGGATAGATATAATGAGAATACTTAAGTCAAGAATAGTTGCAATTATTATTTGAAAATGATAGAGAAATTGAAAAATAAATGTGTATATAATGGAGAAGAAGAATGTAATTGCAAAAAATGTCAATGTGTTAGAAGAAATAGGAATTCAGCTAAAGAATCTTAAAAGAAGAAAAGAGAAGCTCTAGAAAAGATAGGACCATTATAGGATGCCTATGAATAATTACAAAAGAAAGTATTAATTAATTGTTACAATTAGGTTAAAGGTATTGAAAATGAAAATGAGACTCTAAGATAATTATTGACAGAGGTGTTTAAACATCCAACTGTTTCAATTTTATCACCAGAATTCATTGAACCATTGACAAAGGTTATTTAAGATACAGATCCTGTATAACATTCAAGTTCATTTGAATGTTGATTAAATAACATTGTCACCATTAAGTAACAAATTTGAATATCTATATATATAATATATATAGATACAATATATTTAAAAATCATAAGATATAAGTTAAATATCAAATATTTATGTTTAATAAAATAAATCAACTACCAGAAGTCTTCCTACAAATTATACAGATATTTACTTCTCTAACCGTATAGTTAAACTCTTGAAAGTAGTATAAATTTACTCAAATTTATCTGATACTAAATCTAATTACCTAACCAATTCTTCAGGTTTTGGACACTCTCTAAATTTGATAGTTTTTATTAATGCAACAGTGAATTCCCTAAGATATTATAGATTTTAACTTGGCTAATACATGGGCAGCATCAATTTCAATATTTGAATCCCCCAAACAAATTAGATTGGTGAATACATCATTTTCATACTTAGATCTTATATCTTTAAAGGCTTCTATCTTCCATTTACCACAATCACCTGGGAACATTTCTTCATAACCATGTCTAGCAGAGATAACAACAATTTTTTTATCAAAGATGACTTAAAACACCTTATTCATATATCTACTTAAATTTAAATATCTACAATTTGCTGCTGTATTCAACCCAACCCTAAGCAGCATTTGTAATTATAAATACATCCCCTACTTAAGAAGCTTTTTCTAACAATCTACTCTTGATATATTTATTCAAATTACAGCACTTTCATTCAATGCAGTCAACTATTCTAAAACATCTATTGGTAAATCAACGAATCCATATCCTCCCAAAAATGTTGTACATAATAATGTATCATCCCAATCAAATATTGTCACTAAATCATAAAAAAGTATTACAAGTTTAATGTTTCTTTTATTATTACATCAATTTATTACTCATAAGTTTCTAAATGTAATTATTACGAACATCATCATTAGTTCTAATTACATAATTTAATTGAAATTCTTTAGATGAATTCTCCTTCTCTTAAACTTATTTTATTCCCAATTTTTGTAAGTAATTTTATCTCCATTGTTTTCCAGAAAGTGAATTTATTATGTTATTTTGAATCCAAGCTTAAGGATTTTCCATCTTATCTTGCTCAACCTTTTCCATTACTGTCAAACTCTAATTCATTTTTAAGATTATTATTAATTAATAAAATAAGTAATAGACATGAATAGTTAAAATATCATTATAAATGAAAATGTCACTAGACAATTGATGGAAGCTGGTTATACTTATGAATAGAGTATTTTAGCAATTTAAGCAACTAATTTATTTGGTGATAATAAAAATCTAAATCAATACTTAGCCTTTGCCAAAAATAATTACAATGATTTATATTAAATAGTTCATTCTGAGATTTAGAACAATTAAAACTAAAATAATTTATAATAACAATAGAATACAAATTAATATTATGATGTAATAATTTTTAATATAGTCAGATATAAAATTCTACTAAAAGAAGAAGCAAATTTACATTTATTCCAGTTGGTTTAGTCAATATTGGTAATATTTGCTATTTTAATTCACTATTATAATTGATGTTAAATAATCCTATATTTGTTAAGACAATATTTAATTATAAAGTACAATATTGCAATGATGTAAACTTTATTTCTCATTTAGAAATATGATAATTTTTTGAATTCACTTTAGAAGTTGTTTGCAAATTTACTTATTTCAAATTAAAATTATTATGATGCCAGCGAAGTACTTTAATTTATGTGTTGGGATTCACAAGATATTAAATTAGTAGGAAATTAGTAAGATTTCACAGAACTATGTGAATTATTCTTATAAAAAGTAGATTAATCTTTATAAGAGAAATAACATTAATCATCTTAAAATCAATCTAATTTAAATGTTAAAGATTTCTTTACAAATCAAATGTTAAACTAATAATTTGTTTTAAGATATTAAACAAAATAACATTAAATTTTTATACCTGCAAATCTAAATTATAGTAATATATACAATACATTATATAATGAATTTTAATAATAAAAATTAACAAATATTCCAGAAAATCTTTTTTTTTAAATTTCAAGATATTAATATAATAGAAATATTTAAAATATGGTCAAATTAACTTAAGATTTTACTTTGCATTAAGAAATCTATATTGATTTTATACTAAAAGATATCTATTAGGTAAATAATTTATTTCAACGTTTTAATGGTAATATAAATGATAATCAATAGATAAAAACAAATTTAGATCCTTAAAAAGGTATAATTATTTATAATATAATTTCATAGTTTAAAAATAGATTTCATCATTTCAAGAAATCATTGATTATTATAGAGTCCTTTAAAATGATATCATGGTTTAATAATTATCATTAGATTTAGATTTATTAAAAGTATAATAATCAGTTTAAAACGACAATAAGAAAGGAGAATATAGATGGTTAAATCAATAATTATCATAATTCTGCTTTAAAAAATACTATCTACATAGCATTGTTATTCATTTAGGAAATGCAAATTAAGGTCATTATTTTATTTATATTTATAACTTTTCAAAATAACAATGGTTTTAATATAATGATTCTATTGTAGAGTAGATATCTGAAAGTGAGGTTATGAGATTATCCAAAAATAATGCTTACATAGTAACTTATGTAAGTGACTAATAAAGATAATAAATAAAATAATAAGAGGAAATAGCAGAAATCATTTTGTAAAATGATTTATCATAGGAATTATATGAAAATTTAGGACTCTTATAAATGATACCAATTAATTTATTTTAGGAGATATACTAACAAAATTTGAATAACATAACTTGAATAAATATTTTATTTTATTAATATTTAACAGAAATACTAAAGAACTCATTATCCTTCTATATGTTCAAGAGTTTCATCTTGGTCATTTTGTTAATGTTACGACTTTTTATGATTTTATTTTTTTTAATTTTCTTTCTTTTCAATTTATTTAACATCACTAAAATCAACTTAAGTAGGATCAACAGTAATTTAAATTCCTAAAATTAAATAAATTAAATACCTTAATTTTATAAATATTTAACTTTATCCTCATAATTAGTTATATCAAACAATTCTTTAAAATTGATTGAGCATACTTATTTAGAAACAAGGGATAATAATTTCTTTTATAGAATGCCTTGTCCATTCAATGAAATTTTGTCATAATTTAAGTTATATCCAGTTAAAATTAGAATAGATTATTGACTAATATTAAATAGATATAATACGTTTAAGGTAGATAAATTTCAATTTGAACTTTATCTATTGAATGATTAATTTCTGTTTATACTCCTACAGCTTGTAAAAGTTTTTAAATATATTCAACTGAATATTGATTTTTCCTTTAAATAATTGTGTTTTTCTCTTCTTTGATTAAGGCTTCATGAATTTAAGTTGCTTTTGATTCTGGATATACTCGTTTTAATATCTCATAGATAAAGCCAATTCTGTATGTCTCTTTAGTTTTAAAGGTTTCCAATGATTTTGCTGCTTTCTCTATTTCTTCAAGTGGTTGATTAGTTAAAACATAATAATGAATTAATTTCAAAGTAGAATAATTACTTAGATTTTATTTTTCAACCATAGACTTAATTAATTATACAATTTCAGGTTCAGTAATACCTAATTATATCAAAGCTTCTAAAATATCACCAAAGAAAGTCTTATAAAATTAAGGAGATCTATTAATTTTTTCAAGTGTTTTTAAAAATACATCAACTTATTTAAGTTTACCATTTGCCAAAAGAGTGAGAATTTGGCATCTCAATTCATTAAAAGTAGAATTGAATTAAAATCCATATTATTCTAATAAAATATTATAGATCATCTAATTTGCAGCTTGATTTTTTTAAAACTTTTCAACAACTTTAATTAATTTAACAATTCCTAATTTAATACCAATTTATGGAAAGATATAGGCTAATTCCTTAATGATCATAATTTCTTTGGAATTCATAACCAAATCAAAATATTATCTTGGTGATAATTTTGATGCTTATAATCTAATTTGATTTTTAATTTTATCAATTTCATTAGGTGATAATTTTACTAAAGTAGATGCTTCTTAAATTTATCTAATTTTCATTTCTTCTGCATCAAATTAACAATCAGCTTTAATTTTATCTCTTAATTATATAACATTTTCTGGTGGATTATCTAATTGTAATGCAATACCACATAATTAAACTTTGAGATATTAATAAGATCTTTCATTATTCAATTAAATAACAGCATCTTCAGGTGTCATTAGATTAAAACTAATCATTATTTAAACAAAAGATGAATCTGGATATGGACTTGTAGGATTAGCTTCTCTAAATATTTCAGCTACTTTTTTAACTAATTAAGAAACTGATCTACTAGTGTAACCTGCACTTTCAAATCTTTCAACAAAATTGACTAATGCATTTAATCTTGCTTATGGTTAATTTTGATAAGCAATTAATAATACTTAACAAACCCATTATATTTGATCACTTCTTACTAATCCATATAAATTTTACACATTCTATGTTAAATAATCAACAAGTTTGAAAATTGGAATATTCTTTGGATCCTTTTATATCAATTATAAAATTATTGATAATTTATCAGAATCAAATTATTCCTAATCACCAATCACTTTACTTAATATTAATTTAGCTTATATTTTATTTTCTGATTATTCACTTAATTGTAATAAAGCTTATTTACATTTATGATTAATGCATGAATTGAGCAATTCCTTTAAAACTTTAAAGATTTCAACTTTTTTTGATTTCACATCTTCAATAACTTACATAAATGCATCCTCTTATATTTAATATTTAATTTAAGTATTGATTTTAATATCAAGTATAGTTTTTAAAAGTGAATGTGGATTTGATTAAATAACTGATTTACAAATTGTCATGAATTTTTCAACATGTTCTTATGCATCTCTTTGAGCATAAATTAAATAATGTAAAGCATTATAAGTATTTATTCTCTTTGATTCTTAATTTTAAACAAATTATTCAATATAATCTTTCATATTAACTCCACTTAAATACAAATAATTAAGGATTTTAACATTAGTTTCTCCACTTTCTTTTAAAGCTGTTGTTAATTCATCAAATTTTTTATATGACAAAACACTATTACTTAATTAACCTAATAATGATGTTTCTATTTCCTTCTTCACTATTCTCTATGTCAATTCCCCAATAATTTTCTTCATTAAATCTTAAGGGAATTTTTAATTATTATTATTTGTAATTCTTTCAACTAAAAGTACTAAGAATTTTGATGATAAATTATTTGGATTCTATTCAATAGTTGTTACTATCATGTCTCTTAATTCTTTTACAAGATCCTAATCAAAATATCTTGGTAAACTTTAATAAGCCTTAAATATATTAAGTACAGAGTCTTCCTATAATAATTCTATTTTTTATAATAATAATTCCTTAACTTATTTTACTAAATTAGGAAGTGAATATTTTGGTCCTATATTTTAAAATTGTATTTCAGCTAGACTTTTGAAAAGTAAAGATTTCTAAATAAATATTATATATTACTTATTCAATATCTAATTCTTCTAAAAGACCTTCAACTGCTTTAACTGCATTGTTAAGTATTTAAATATCATTCTTTGAAAGTGCACAATTATTTACTCTAACTACAAGGGAACTGAATAATTAAATGACTAAAAATGGCGAAAGCTACTTTGTAGTAAGAAGTTATTCAGCAATTGATTTTGCTAATTAGTCATTAGAATGATTAAGAAGTGATAAATCAAAATAAACATTACACATATTTCTAAATGAGAACATTTAACTCTCTGACATCTATTATATTCTTTAAAATAGTTTTATTTAAGCTGATTATTGGAAATTGGTAGGTATTTTATTTTATCTAAATTTTCTCAACCAAAACAATACATCAATTACATCTTAATATATCATATACAATATGTACCATATTCTGTTAATTAATCTACAATATCATTCAACTTTCCAGTTAATTCTGAATAATTGTTATCATGACCCAATTATCTACTATATCTACCTAACATTCTTAATGATAACACCACATGCTCTTGTTTAAATAAATCTTTATTTTGTTAGAATATTTGTAAGATAGATGAAGGACTATCAGCACTGCTTAATTTCTATATTAATGACTCATAAGTAGCAAATCCAAATCTAATGACTCTATTCATCCAGAATTAAAAAATTAATTTTTTTAAATCAAATATCAAATTTGGATTATTATAAATAACTCATATTCTTTTGATATAATCTAAGGTTTCTATTCTTTTAATGGAATATTAGATAATTCACATTTCTAAAAGAATGTAAATAAATTATTATTTATTTCTCCATATCCTTTAATTTCAAATATCTTATTATTCCATTTATATTATAATTATAAATTATCTATTGTTTAATACCAACTTAAACGAATCATTTCTTACCTTATATTTTAAGATATATTTGTTTTACACTAAAACTATCTTATTTAATTCTTACTTCTATATCAAAAATTTATCTATTTTATTTCAACTAATCTAATTACTTTAATAATTTTTGATTAGTCACTTGTACTTCTATTAAATTATTCTTTAAATCAGATTAGTCTAATGAAAAAATTCTTTAATTTTCAAGTATTTTTCTATTACAAAATTTTAAATTAAAATAACTACCTTAAAGTATTGGATTCTTAATCTTTTTGATAGAGTTATTATTTTAAAATAGAGACTTATGTATCAAGCTCCTCATTTTTATATTAAAGTTCCTTATTGCTTTCTATAGCCTAATCAAATTATTCCTATAATGTTAGAATCTCTTCCTGCAATATGTTACTTTCAGATAATTATTTATTTTAATATGGAGGCATAGAATCTTTGAATGGAAAATAACAGTTTTATTGATTATTCATTTTATTTATTAATTATAAATGGAAGATAATACATTTAATAAACTAGTGGAAGTAATACAATATAAAATATTAGTAAGTTTAATCTCAATTGACTGAATTACATGATAATATTGATCAATTTGATTAAGATAATAAAGACGTCTCAAATTCAAGTGTTGGTTAAGATATCGTTGATTTACAAGATCAGATATAAAATCTTTTTAAATAAATCTAAAACAATATCCAAAGACTTGATAATAATACTGGACATCTTACAGGTCGATAACAAAGGTATTACCCAAATAAAGCTATTAAAGAATGAAATAAATTAAGTAATTCTATAAAAAAGAAATCGAAAAATTTACTCAGATTTGTAAATTATTGGAACAAAAATTACAAGAAAAACGAAAGACATTAGCAACAAATTAATAAGGTAGATGGAATGACCCTAAACCAAAACCTATAGATGAATTGTAAGAGTAATTAATGCATAATTAATATGATATTGAGAATTAAGTAATAAGAGAAAGATAGGAAGATATTCAAAAAATTGTATTCATTATTTTTATTTTAAAAAGGATCATGAAGCTTAAATGTTAAATAAATTAGTTGGAGAATTAGCATTAGAAGTTCATAAAGCAGATGAAGTTCTTGATCTAATTGATACAAATCAATAAACTACAAACAAAAACTTAATTAAAGTTAATGTAGAATTAGTTGAAGCCCAAGACTCTTAAAAGTCGGCAAATAAGAAATGGTTAATAATAGGACTTTTGACAATTATACTTGTAGGAGTATTAGTCACAATTTTAGTTTTAAAATTGAAGTGATATTAATAAAAAACACATCAATTACGATATCTAATAGTTTGTACATACTTAATTTTAGTATATGGTTTATTAGTGTTGATTTTCATAGCTGGCTTATTAGGCAATTAAATTTATAATTATTGCTATTCCTCTGTAATCTTTCTATCTTTTTATCTAGAAGATTCTTGGATTATCTAAAATGCTTCTTCAATAGTTTTCAAGTTTTTTTTATCTCTACTAGGAATTGGTATTTCAAATTTATTTTTTGGTTATATTGTATTTATATTGACTTCCAATTCATTCATTATAGATTCTCTTTTTAATGTATGTCCTCTAGGTCTATTCTAAATTTCTTATATTGGATGAATATATTCAACAGTTTCTTCTTCCTAATGTTGTGATTAAATAAAGGATGCTTATTAATTTTAGTTATATAAATTTTCTTAATCTTCAACAGGCTATTCAATTTATTCAATTGACAACTCATTACTATTCTATTATTCATCATCATTTAAAAAGAATCGATGATTTTTTATCTACTCTATATTGATTCTTTAATCATCTTTAGCTAGAATTTTGCTAATAAGATCCCTAGCATCTTCATGCAATGAATTAGGAATAGTATATTAACATAATTTAATCTTCTCATATAAATCCTGAAATATAATGTCTAAAATATTACTTATGTATTTTCCTCATCAAAAGGCAAATAACCACATAGCATAGCATAAAGAATTACCCCACAACTCCAAATGTCAGTTTTTGTACCATCATAATTTTTGCCTTCTAACATTTCAGGAGCAGCATAACAAGGACTTCCACAAGCTGTTACTAATAACTATCCTTTTGTGACTTCCATTGAAAGACCAAAATCTATTAAACAAATATCTCCATTATCTCTCATTAGAATATTTTCTGGCTTAAGGTCCCTATGAATAATGCCTAAACTATGCAAATATTCAATTGCATTTATCAATTATCTAATTATATGTCTAGCTTCCCCATTTGTAAGTCTACAATATTATTATTGTATTTACCTCTGTTATTCTACAATATAATCAAACAATTCTCCTCCAGAAACATACTCAGTTATCAAATATATCTACTCTTCATCCTCCACAATCTATACTCTAAGTATGATTACATTACTTCCTTCATCTTAACAATGTTTGGATGATTGACCTTATTTAGTAATTCAATCTCCTTATTTACTCTAAATTTGTCCCGATCAGTCTTTAGAGACTCTTTCTGAAGTACTTTAATGGCCACCTTAAGCTATATTGTTACTAATATACTTATTCATTATTGCAAGCCCCAATATAGACCTATGCAAAAGTGCCTTCTCCAATTTTCTAACCAAATTGATATTTTAACATGCTATCAAGAATCAGGCCTTAATACTATTAATGTTCAGTTCTGAGTACCCTTACAGCTCGTAAACTGCTATATTAAGCAACAGCCCCTAGCATACCTATATCAGGGAGTGTCTATTGTGGATTTGACCCTACAGCACACTCATTGCATTTGGGCAACTTTGTTTCGATCCTCAATTTGGCAAGGCTTGCTTAAATAGGCTTCAAACCAATAGCAATTGTAGGAGGAGCAACTGTATAATTGGGGGACCCAAGTTTTAAGATGGAAGAACGAAAGGAGCCAGATTTGGTTGTGATCTAAGAGAATTTATAGAAAATAAGGAATTAATTAGAAAGTGTGTATGGGAATATTGCAAATCATGGAAAGATAGGGCAACCCCTATAAATATTAGATAATATGGATTTTTATAGAGAGACAAAGTTAATTGATTTTGTTTCTAAAGTAGGAAGATAATTTAGAATGAATAGTCTATTAAATAAAGATCATATAAATAAGAGATTAAATAGTGGTGATGATGGTTTATCTTTGACTGAGTTCTTTTATACAATTTTATAAAGTTATGACTTTGCATATTTGAATGAGAAATATAATTGTACCTTGCAAATAGGAGGAAGTGATTAATGGGGTAATATTACAAATGGTTGTGATTTCGTAAAGAAACAATATAAGAAGTAAGTGTATGGGATAACTACTCCTTTATTAATTGATAAGAATGGATAGAAATTTGGGAAGAGTGAAGGAAATGCATTATTTTTGGATGTGAGTTCAAAACACAATATGAAATAATATTTGTTGAATTTAGCAGATGATTCAATAAAAGATTTCTTATTAATGTTAACATTCTTATAAGAGGATTAAATTAATAGTATTATGGAATAACATAAGTAGAATCCTGAGAAGAGGATTGCTTAGAAATGTTTAAACGATGAATTAATGAAGATGATCTATAGAGAAGAGAATTCTGCTGAAAAAAATTAAATACTTTATGGATTAAGAAGAGATAGATTGTTGAATATGAGTGCAGCAGAATTTGAGAAGTTAGCTGAGGAAATAGATAAGGATGTAGTAATAAGAGTATCAAAGTAGACAGCATTGATAGAAGTGTTATTGAAAATAAGATCATCGAAGTCAGAGATTAGAAGATTATTACAATAAGGAGGAATATTAATTAATGATTAAAAAGTGGATTAGTTAGATTAAACTTAATTGTTGCATAATAAATATATGTTATTACGGATTGGTAAAAGAGATGTGAGATTATTAATATTTATTTGAGTTATATATAATATANTAGCATACCTATATCAGGGAGTGTCTATTGTGGATTTGACCCTACAGCACACTCATTGCATTTGGGCAACTTTGTTTCGATCCTCAATTTGGCAAGGCTTGCTTAAATAGGCTTCAAACCAATAGCAATTGTAGGAGGAGCAACTGTATAATTGGGGGACCCAAGTTTTAAGATGGAAGAACGAAAGGAGCCAGATTTGGTTGTGATCTAAGAGAATTTATAGAAAATAAGGAATTAATTAGAAAGTGTGTATGGGAATATTGCAAATCATGGAAAGATAGGGCAACCCCTATAAATATTAGATAATATGGATTTTTATAGAGAGACAAAGTTAATTGATTTTGTTTCTAAAGTAGGAAGATAATTTAGAATGAATAGTCTATTAAATAAAGATCATATAAATAAGAGATTAAATAGTGGTGATGATGGTTTATCTTTGACTGAGTTCTTTTATACAATTTTATAAAGTTATGACTTTGCATATTTGAATGAGAAATATAATTGTACCTTGCAAATAGGAGGAAGTGATTAATGGGGTAATATTACAAATGGTTGTGATTTCGTAAAGAAACAATATAAGAAGTAAGTGTATGGGATAACTACTCCTTTATTAATTGATAAGAATGGATAGAAATTTGGGAAGAGTGAAGGAAATGCATTATTTTTGGATGTGAGTTCAAAACACAATATGAAATAATATTTGTTGAATTTAGCAGATGATTCAATAAAAGATTTCTTATTAATGTTAACATTCTTATAAGAGGATTAAATTAATAGTATTATGGAATAACATAAGTAGAATCCTGAGAAGAGGATTGCTTAGAAATGTTTAAACGATGAATTAATGAAGATGATCTATAGAGAAGAGAATTCTGCTGAAAAAAATTAAATACTTTATGGATTAAGAAGAGATAGATTGTTGAATATGAGTGCAGCAGAATTTGAGAAGTTAGCTGAGGAAATAGATAAGGATGTAGTAATAAGAGTATCAAAGTAGACAGCATTGATAGAAGTGTTATTGAAAATAAGATCATCGAAGTCAGAGATTAGAAGATTATTACAATAAGGAGGAATATTAATTAATGATTAAAAAGTGGATTAGTTAGATTAAACTTAATTGTTGCATAATAAATATATGTTATTACGGATTGGTAAAAGAGATGTGAGATTATTAATATTTATTTGAGTTATATATAATATAGGATATTTGATAATTGATATATATATAAAATAAAATAATATAAACCTTTAAATATTGAGACTTCATAAATTTTAAATACTTTGTAAATTAATTAATTTAATTAATGAGTGCAAAAAATGATGATTATCGAAGTGATTAAGATGACAAAAGTTAGTCATCTATAGATTCAATTGAAGACATCCAAGATTCTTCAGAATCAAATCAATTCAAAAAATCAAAGAATAAGAAATTGCTTAAAAAATAAAAGAATTAAAAGAAGAAAAGATTGAATAAACAAAAATTTATTGACACAGAAGCCTCAGAAACATCTGAAAATGAATCAGATGATGATGTTAAAGGAGAAATTAGCAAAGGATAATAGGAAAAGTATTATAAACATGATGAACTAAAACGAAAACATCATAAAGATATTGTTAGAGATATAGAAGAGAGATATGAAAATGGAGATGTTTTAAATGTAGAAGAGATAGAAAAATCAGAAGATGAAATTGAGAAACCAGGACTAAGAGATCCTAAAGTATTCAATAATTAATATAATAGTTCTGGCGTGTTTCATGTAATAAGGGTAAAGAGTAGGAAGCTGTGACTTCAATCATGTTTAAACATAATCACTTAATAGATACTAATCCACTTGAAATAGTTTCAGTCTTTTCACTCAAGAAATTCCCAGCAGCAATATTCATTGAAGCCTATTTTGAATAACATGTTATGAGAGCAATCGAAGGTCTAGTTATTGTAAGATAATCCCCACCTGAATTGGTTGAATCTGAACAATGTCCAAATATGTTTCAGCCTCCTGAAGTTGAATAAATAGATATTGAAGAAGGACAATGGGTAAGAGTTAGACAACACAATATTTACTCTGGAGATTTAGCTAGAGTTATGTAAGTAGATTAAGAAAGAAAACTAATCAAACTCAAAGTTGTACCTAGATAAAAATTATTAATGAAATCTATTGAAGAAGATGAAGAAAATAAAAAAAAGAATTCTAAAAAGAATAATTCAAATGCAGATTAATCCCGCTTCCAAATGAAAGAAGAAGAAGGTGAACCACCAATTGAAGATAATGAACCATTTTAAAGAGGAAGCAAATTTAAGTTTTTAAAAAGAGTAAAATATCTTTAAGAATAAAAAAAATTTATTCGAGGACCTAAAATTCCTATTTAAATGAGTAAGAAATCAAATCATGATGATAATGATGAACCTACATCATAATTCTTTTATATTTCTATTAGAGATGAATGGACTTCTGCAAAAAAAGATGGATTTGAAATTATTACTCTTCCTGTTCATCAAGTTCTTACTGGAAATATTAAACCTACTGTTGAAGATTTATAATACTTTTATCCAGATGTCTAAGATTATCGATTGATATTATAGAAATTACACTCCAGTTTAAAATAAGTAGTAGAATAAAAGTCTAAAATCCAAGTTGGAGATTATGTTACTCTTAATTAAAATCAAGATTAAACTAAAGCTTCAAGATATAAAGTTGTATAAATACTAGAAGATCAAAATATACTGATTGTCATTAAAACTATTAAAAATAAAACTACTTTTGAAACAAAGTAAACTGAATATAGACTATCAATAAATGATGCTAAATTAGCATTTAAACTTTATTAATAAGTCTCTATTGTTTCAGGACCTAATATTGGATTAAGTGGTACTATTATTAAAATGGATGATTTGACTGCCTAAATATCAACTGAAGCTGGTAGAATTGTTGATGCCTTGATCTCAGATCTCTAATCTTAAAAAAATGTCATTAAAAAAATGGATATAGAAGAGAATCCTGATAATGGAGCAGAATAATAGAAAACAGGATTCAGAAGAAATGATTTAGTAAAGTTTGGATTGATTGATAATGATATTGGATGCATACTCAACATTTCCAATAATGAAGTCAGTATACTTGATTTAACTAATCAAATCAAAACTATCAATAAATTAGCTATCAGAAATTCTATCAACACTAGAAATAATGTAGTCAAAAATATGTATTGTAATGATATTAGATAATAAGATCTAGTAGTAATTCTGGATGGTTTCTATAAAAGTATTTTATTTTATATATATTCATTTAGATAATAAAGCAACTGTTTTACATGTATATAGAGATTATTTATTCTTATTTAATGGTAAATTCGACAATACTTAAGGTGTAATCATAGAAAAAGCCAATAATTGTGGTTTAGTGTCTTCATCTAAAAAGCCAGAACCTGTTGTAGTAAATACTTAATCCCAAATACCAAATGAAGATTGGAAAAATCTAAGAGGATAGATGGTTACCATTCGTAAAGGATAATGGTAATCTTATAGAGGAATGGTATAAGAAGTTACAAGTAGAGTTGCAACAATCTAATTATCAGCTAAAAATTTAGTTGTTAAAGTTCCATTAGAATGTATTAAATCTGAATCTTCTAATTCACATCTTCAAGTTGGAAAAACACCATAGCATCATCCAGGTATGTCAACTAGAGTTTGGGACGATCTTGAAGGAGTCTAATAATCAGTCATGAGAGGATATCAATCTCCTTATATCACTTATCAAACCCCTATGCGTAATGATTGATAATATATACAATAATATCATATTATAAAATCTTTAATTTTATTATTTTTGATACTATCTCATCTAAAATCATTATTCCTATTTTTATTCTAAGTAATTAGAAAAAAATACATCTAAATGTGAAATAAAAATTCATAACATTTTTAGTATTTATTAAAAAAATGCAAACTTAATAAAAATACAAAATATGCCCCATTTGTGGCAGATTGGCAATATCTCAATGCTAACGTTGTGCATTATGGTCTATAGTATGGTTAATGTTTGCTATTTCAGATATAGTATCAACATAAGTATGGGAATTAGGAATTTATGGAATTATAGGAGCTGTATTTTGGTTTCTAATTATGATTGTGTACTTTGTTGGATCATAGAATTTAAGAGAATTACCTTAAGGAATTGAATAAATAGAGATTATAAGATGAAAATGATGCAACTTTTAGTGATTTTTTGTTTAGATATTTATAATTCAAATATTTCTATAAGAATTCTATAACTCAAATTAATTGAAAATTAATATTATAAAAATGTATGCTATTTAGTTTATTATTAAAGATTCATTTTTTAAATAAAATATTCATAATTAATATAGATAATTCAATTAAAAAGGAAATCTATATAAAATAATTGTTAATTTTATAATATATAATTAATAATCTTAGGAAATATTAAGAAATATAAATGAATATCGATATTAGGGTTATTGGTGATTATGAAGTGAATTTTGGTGCATTTATTGGAAAAGGAAGTTATGGGAAAGTATATGAAGGAAGAATAGTAAGTTAAAATAGAAAAATATGTGTTAAGGTTTTAATAATGATAAAAATAGGTTTTATAATTGACAGAAGAAAAAAGACCAATGTTTCAAAGAGAAGTAGAGATCTTAGAGGAAATAAAGAAAATTACACATCCTAATATTCTCAAAATTTATCATATAGTAGAGTAGAATTAAATTATATATATTTTCATGGAGAAATGTATAGAAAACCTTGAACAAAAATTATAAAAGATGAAAAAGGAAAATTAAATATTTTCAATTTATTAGGTTCTCCATATCTCAAAATAAGTTTGCAAAGGATATAAAGAAATTATGAAGAAAAATATAATTCACAGAGATATGAAGCCTGAAAATATCTTAATAGGAGAGGATGGATATTATAAAGTATTTTATTATTAAATTTAGATTAGCGATTATGGTTTAAGTAAAACTTTAAATGATGTTGAATCTTTATTAAAACAAACTTAATTAGGAACACCTTTATTTGTATCACCATAAGTAATTTCAGGAAATTATTCTAATAAAGCAGATCTTTTTAGTGTAATTTTAATATCTAAATTAGTTTGGATTAACAATTTATTATATTACATTTTAATAGCCTATCTTTTAAATAAAATCAATAGGGGATTTAGAAAAAGAATTCAATAGGATTAAAAATGGAATTAAATTACCTATAATCAAAAATGAAGGTGATCAAAATTCAAAAAACAATTTAGAATATTTATTAAAAATGACAATCTAATATGAAGAAGATGATAGAATGAGTTGGGATTAGTTCTATAAGTATTTAGATGGAATAAATATAAATTCATCAATACTTACCGAACCTAATCTATAAGATGATAAAAAAAAGTAATTTGTTTATTATATTAAAGGGCTAATGATGATCTAATGCATATTAATTTACAAAAAATAAAATAAATAGATGTTGATCATTTTAATTTTATTATTAAACCTGCCTAATAGGAAACAGTTTAAACTCAAAAATAATCAAAATTAGAAGATTAAACATCTATTGAAAATACGAATTAGGATTATCAAAATACTAATTAAGCTTATCAAAATAATAATTAGGTTAATCAAAATAATAATTAAATAATATAATAGAAACATTAAATTAGTAACAATTAAGGGTAAAATAACAATTAAATCCCAAATAATTAAAAAATATTAAAATAATAATTAGATTCTTAAGACAATTATTAACAAATTCCAAAAGATTTTACTAATTAAAACAATTTTGATTCTAAGTTTGTTTAATCTTAATAGGAGGATTATTAAAATCCAACTATGAATCCTAATATTATCAAACAAAATACAAATAGTTCATAATTGGGTTATTAAATATAATTTCATAATGATTTTCAAGAAGAATAAGATTCTAAGGTTTATAATCAAATTCATGAAGATAAAAAATTAAATTTAGATTCTAATAATAAATAGGATTATAAAGTAGTTGAAGTAAAATAATAAAATCTTTTAATAAGTCCAAATTAATAAAGAAATAACACACCTCAATAATTTAAATAAGAGAATTAAATAAATTATTAGAATTTTGTTGCAAATAATTAAGCAAATGCTGATGAATCTATAGTCGACTTTAACAAGTCAAATTTAAATTAAGATTCATAATTAATTATAATTAATAATCAATAACTTGAATAGCAATTTGGGTCATAAAATTAAAATCCAATTAAAAATCAAAAAGATAATCAAATATTTATTCCCAGTCATAATTAATCATCTTCAAATAGATAATAATAAATAAATTAAATAATTCCTAATGATAAAGTTTCCACTTAATCATTAAATGAAATAGATGCTTAAAGTGAAATACTATCTAATGATACTTTTAAATTATCATTTTCAACCTAAAAAGAAGATTTTAATTAGCAAGGTGTTTAAAATAGCTTTAAATAAACTTCAAAGTAATCTTAAGATTTAGATTAAGGTAATTTTGATTAAGGCATCATGCCAAATTATATGAAATCTCAACCCTAATAAAAAAACTAAATCAATTAATTTAAGGATTCTAATAAAAATAAAATAATTACTATATCAGAGATAATACCTTAAAACAAAGATAATAATCAAATAATTAATTAATAATAATAAACTTATTAAACATAATAAAAATAATATGCATATAAAGCATAATAATAAACATAAGAACCATATTAAGCATAATAACCATAATAAGAAGTAATTAATAAAAAATAAGAAATTCAGTCTTAAGATGTATAAAAATAAAGTTTCATTTAAAAATAAATTCAATATTCAAATGAATATGTAAATAATAATTCATATTAATACTAATAATAAAAATTACAATAAGTTTAGAATTAAAATTAAAATAAAAAAATGGAAAATACAGATAGCTATTAAGAATTTGGTGTTTCTAATGATAAATAACCAAATAACTAATAATTAATTAAGTAATAGGTTTATTCTAATTATAATAACAATTTTTAAAATAGTGTAGCATAGGATACTTAATAATAAGGATAAATTACTACAAAACTAAAAGGAAGACTTATAAAAAAAGCAGATGCTAATCAGCCAGCATAATCATTAAAATAAGTTTTTTAGATTATTTTGTAAAAGATTAAATTGGCTGAAAATGTATTTAATTCTTATCAAAAGTTAAAGTATTAAATAATTATCATAACATAGAACACATTAGAAATTATAAAAGTTTATCAAATAGTTTGAAATTTTTAATTACCTTTTACGCCATTATTAATATTCATTAATTACTAATGTAAAATTATTTTGCAAAAATGATAGAAATGTAGAGTAATGTTATTTAAAAAAAGATTTGGATTAATTTATTGCTGAAAATACAATTTTAGATTATTAAAAATATCATTAATAATAAATAAATGAAATAACCGAAATCTATTAATAAAAACTTGCAATTTCAACAGTAATTAATTATTTCAATTATTAGGAAGCATCAAAAGATATACAAGATTTTCTTGATAGTAGAAATAACAATGGTGATGTGATAGATTTAATTAGATTTTTAGAATAGGGGGATTTCTATAAGTTTAATAGCTATATAGAATTATATGAAAAGTATTTTAAATAGATCTTTGATTAACTAAATTGCAATTTGAATTCTAAAGAATTATTAATGTAAATAGAATGATTTAAATTTAGATTTTTTGGATATTCGATTAAATTTATAAGGATTGAAAAAGAATTTCCATTAAAAAATTATAAGATTATTAATTCTAATTAGATTGATTATTTAAGTGATGATGAAGAATGTTTAAAAGAGTTTATTATAGGTTATATGAATGTAAAATGAGAATTTAATGATTAATTTATATATTTTATATAATTCTTAATATTTTTGTGTCTTCATATATAAGATGAGTTGAGATTGAAGAATATAATGAAATTAATTAAAGAAATAAAGAATTTAAGATATAAATATACATTGAATGATGTAAAATTTGAGATTGAGATAATATTCGTTTTTCTGTTTTTTGTGAATAGTTTATTAATATTATATGAAATCAGCTTTGTTGGTTGTTGTTTTGATTGCCTGCATTTAGGCAACAACAGTATCTGAATTGAAAGAAAGACTTTCAGGATATGGAGATCATCCTTTTGGTTCATCTATGATTAACTTAGTGAGTGTTAATATGAAAACAGGAGGATCATTGAATGAATTAAAATAGCTCTTATAATAAATAAAGGATGAATTGATTGCCTTAACATAATTGTAAGATTAAGAAAATGCAACATTCACAAGAAGAAGTTAAGTTGATTTGGCAAAACTCTAAGCTACACTTGAATAAGGTTAATAAGATCTTGACAATTAAAGATAAGAATAATAAAGTTTAAGTAATGAATTGAGTACATTATAAACAAGAGTAAAAGAAGGTAATATTTATAGAATATAATTGTATAGATTAAGCTGCATTAGATAGAAATAGTAGAGGAAGTGGAGATGCTTAAAGTAGATTAGATGCTGAAAATACAGATTTTACAGCTAAATTTTAAGATTATAGTGATGCAATTCTTGCTTGTAAAGAAGCTTAAAGATTATTATTAAATTTAAGAGGTGAAGGAGCATCATTAATTCAATTAACGTATTAGATTTATTTAAATATTTAGATAAGACACAAAGAGTAATTTGATTTAAACAAAAGAAAACTTTTAAAAGATTAAAGAAATCTTAGAAGCCCATACTAAGAAAAGTTCTTTAACTTTATTCTAACCAATAATTGAAGGATTAGCTGAAATGACAACAAAAGTCAATCCAGAAACATTGAATAATGTTTTGAGTTTAGTTGCTAGATTAATTACTGCATTATAAGAAGGTTAAGATTAATTAGAATCAAATCACAAAACTTAAGTTGAGAATTTAACAAGATTAGGTGATGATTTGAGAAATGAAAAATAAACCTTATAAGTTTCATTGGCAACTGCTAATAATAGACTTAAAGAAATCTAATCAAGATTAAATGAATTAGATGGATTAATAAACATATCTAATGCTATTGTTGAAGTCACTTAATTAAATATTTAAGATGCCACTAGAATCAATGAATTAGAAGATTAAGAATACAGTAATTAAAAAGTTAGTAGGTAATCAATATCATTTAATTTAGATAAACTGAAATAGATATCGTTGATAGATTAATTGAATACATCAATCAAAAGTTGTCAGAATGAAATCATCATATTCATATAAAAATATTCATATTTATCTAGAATCTGTTTCAATCATTCTATGAAATTGATCAAAATTTAAATTCCAAGATTCTGCAATTTTTGCTACTTCCAAAATACGTGTATCATTAGTTGATTCTGCAGATTTCACTCTTACATTCATTGCTATTGTATCCTATATAATTTTATAAATTATTACTATTGCATAAGCTAAGAAGATATCTTTTATAGAAATTCCTCCAATATCATGAGTGTTCAGATTAATCTTAACTAAATTATATACATTTTCCCAATCAGGATGATCTAAGATTAATATATCATAATACGATCGATTTATTCTGAAAAAATAGCCACTTAATTCATAAAAGAAAAGGCTTCCTTAAAATTATTGAACTTAATTTCTCTATATAATTTTTATGGAGTCTATTATAATTCAATAATTTACTATCTTCCATGTTGAATTTAATGAATGCATCTTACATAATGTTTATATATCTGAGTCAGAAATAAGTGTTGGATTTCTTTCCTTCATTGTTTGAAAATCTAACACTTTAAATGAAAGTTTAGGGAAATTTGTTTAAATTGTGCCAAAGGGAAATTTGAAAATTGAAAATATCATAAATTTTAATAATATTGGTAATGATGATTAAGTATTTAGAATTTATTTTAAATATTATTACACTATAAAATTATATTTAATGTATTCTATACAAAGATTATATTCAATAATTTAAATTTATTATTATTATTACTATTTATAATAAATGAGTATTTAAATAAAAGTCATTTAAATAGAACATTATTTATCTATTCGTTTGATAATAAATAATATAATTAGATAATTAAATGATTTAAATATTAAAGATTTATAATATGAATCAATTTTAATCATTAAAAATCTCTGATTTTGAATTTAACAAACTTTTAACAAACGAAAAAGCAATCAATTAAATTTAATTGCTTAAATAATAATTAAGATCTTCCTTATTTATATTTTATTATTTATCTTTCAAATTCAAACAAAATTAATGTAGAAACTTTATTTTATTTCTAATATTAGAATTTTATTAATTTCTATTCAAAGAATAATCATCAAATTCAGTATTAAAGTTTTATAATTTTATTGATTTTTAATTTATTTATAACATTTATTATACTCTATTTTTAAAATATTCTTTTTTAGGAAATTTAAATTTTTGCATTAAGAAATAAGAACTATTGTTTTATTTTGTTTTTTAAAAATTAAAATTATTTAAATAATAGACAGCATCTTATAAATTTCTTAAAGCAGGACTAATGTAAAATTTCTTTTTTATTTTAAATCTCCATCTAAGTAAATCTTCATATTTTTCCTTCAAAGTTTTTGGTCTCTTAACTTTTATACATTAAATTATCTCTTACAATGGAGATATAATAAGTTTTGAAATCATAAAATAAGCACAAAAAAACAATGAAAAATAAGCTGTGAATAAAAGTATTATTGTTTAATGTAATGCATCATCGATTTTTGTTTATAATATACTTTTACATTCAGTTAGATAATTTTAATATCTAGCATTATCAATAATACTAATCTAATTTAATTTTAATAATTACAATAAGAAATATAATTATTATTTAGTGAGATAAAATTTAATAACACTTTATTAAGAATTAGTTCTCTAATTCATAAATTTAAAGTATTTTTCATCATTTCTCTACAATTAATCCCAATCATTTTTATTAAATCCAGTAATGTTTTCATCATAAAAATATGCTTAATCGTTATCTGGTTAATTTATTAGAATGCCATCCTTTGTTAATATGATTATGTAAACATCTTTGAATTTATCTAACATCTTTTAAGTTTTTTGAATTAAATAATCTGAAAAAATATCTAAACACCAAGCACCTTTGAAATGAAAAAACTTATCAATCAAAGGTAAAGTTATTGTTATTCCTACCTTTTAATCCTAATTGACTAAATAATTATATTCAATTAATTACATAAATATGGATCAGATATACTGTAGAGATACTCTTTGTTAATTATGCTTTATTATGAGATATTTTAGGCTAAAAGATACCATGGTCTAGTTTCAGGTTAATAATGTTTAATTTCCTATCCTATAGCATAACATGGGTAGGAATACAAAGGTTTAGGTTATTCAATAACATAGCCATATAAAAAAGCTTAATTACTATCAAAATGTGGATGTATTATTTATCCAATAGAACCTATAAAATTACCAAAACTGACTTATTATATTTGATTTCGTTCAGCATAATTAAATTCATCTTTAAAAGTGTAACAAAATACAGAGTCAGAAAATTTGGAATTATTTTTGTTTGCAATTATGGATGGATAAGATTCTATACCACCAAAATTATTTTAATTCAAAGAGCTATTCCAATATATTTTTGTTAAATAAATTAAATACAGTTAGTTTAATGTGATTAGTGGATTAGCATCTAATTTAAATGATATAAAATAACTTATTTAAAAGTAAGAATTCAAATATTTGTAATAATGAGTAGCATAACTAAATTTATTTGCATTATCTCTCTCATATATTATATTTGATTAAACCAAAAATTCATCAATAATTACTCTTCCTCCAAAATATCCTGTGATATATGAAAGTGATGAAAATAAAGCTGAAAATATAGCAGAGTATGTTAGTAATAGTGTTTTCATTGAATAATTCTGAAAAAATGACATAAAATTAATATTTAAATTGAAATAAATCCTTTAATCAATATAATTATTGGTATCACTAAATTTATTCAAAGTAATTTTAAAGCATCTTACTTATTAAGATAACAATAATTATTTATTTAAAATATACTTATTAAAAACAATATTTTACGATTAGTATTAATATAAATATAATACTGAAAAAATAATATAAACAGTGAAGAACGAAAAGACTTTAAACATAAATGGATGAGAAACATTTTCGTAGAATAAAAATTATTTTCAAAATTATATCATTATTAAAGAAAGATACTTAAAAAGAGTATTATAAAAAATTTTATAAGGTTATGATAATATTTCTAATATAAATTAATATAATAATAAAATAATAAACTTTATAAAAAATAAAAATAAATAAATTATTATTCAAACTACACATATCTAAATAAAGATGAACATCTTAATTCAAATAAATAATTTAATATTGTTCATTAATTAATAGATGTTTGGAATATTAGTAACTTATAGAGACAGATTTACGAATAAGAGTGATAATCTATTCAATGTCATATCTATCAATGTATTTGAGTATGAGTATATTTAAATTGGTGATCTATTTTCATATTATTCTTGTGTCTTACATATCGATTACATTTGACTTGTTTTTCTCTTTTAAGAAATAATTTTGATTGAATAGATTCTTTGAAGTTCATTAGAATAACTTTAAAAACACTTTCTTTAATCTCTTTACAAAATACAAACTTATTATAAATAATCTTAATAATATTTTGTATCGAAATTTATAGCGACAGTTATAAGAAACTAACTTAAATTGTTATTCAACTTTCAATTAAAATTGAATTAAATATGATGATTTCTAAATTAGATCTTTTGTTATCTAATTATTGAATAGGAATCATCATATTTTTTCTTATTTTTTAAAAAAAATACTAAACCCATTTTATTTTATATATTATTTTTTTGGAGTGAAAAAGAGACTAAAAATTTAGTAACATTTTTAATTCCCTATAAATGGATTCTGAACTCAATTTCAAGTTCATTAATTATGTCAAGTTAAAAAGAAATAGAAGAATCTTTTGATTATCCAGATACTCCATATCGTTAGAATCTGTGTTAATAGGTTACTCCAAATGGAATATACAGTTCATCTTAATTCATTCAGTTTAGTATAAAATCAAAATCAATTTTTCCTTAAAAACACTAGAATAACTCTACTAAAAAAGCAAAAATAAATAAAAGTTATATCCATGATTTTGATGAATAGATTCAAATTAATTAGTATAGTTTCAACAACAGTAATAAAATCAAACCAATACATACATCTTTATGTTCATTATTTAGAGAAGTATCTTTTTAATTTGATTCAAATAGAATAATATTGAAGTTAAATAAGAAGAACTTAAATAAGAGCACTCATTGATAAAATATTTAGAGACCATTTAATAATAAATGTAGTAATTAGAATCTAGTGTAGTAGCCTTAGAAAGGAAAATATATGTGAATCATGAGAAAATAAATAAACCTATCAAAGAAACAAATGATCATTAGTTAGTTTATATAAATTAGAATGTTTAAGGATTAGTTGGAAGACTATAGGATATTTTAATGGAAAAGAATTTATTAACTGTTTAAACATAAGCAAATCATGATGAAGATGAGAAATAGACAATTTATACATTCAATAAAAATTTAAATAAATTCTCCAAAGGATATAAGTGTCGTTACTGTAATTGCAAATTTGTTAAAGCATGTTCTTTAGGGTATTAATTTATATATATATTTAAAGAGGTCATATCTCTAGAACCCATAAAGAGGAATCCAAATAATTAAAATAAAGTATTCCTATAAAGAAAAATAAACATATAAAAAAAGAGAAAATTAATTCAGCAAAAATGAAATGATTAAACTTAATGATTGTTAATTTATATATAATTTAAATTTAAATTTAATGGATTATCAGAAATTATTTAGTGTCATTCCTAAAGAACCAAGAAGATGGACTTAATGTGATGTTGAATGCTGGTTGGAATTTATAGGATTATAAGATTTATCTAATGTTTTTTGTATAGATTGATAATTTAATTTTATAGAAAGAAATGCTATTGATGGAGCTTGTTTAGAAGTATTAAATGATGATGATTTGAATGAATTAGGCATAAATTCTAATGTTAAAAAGAAGAAGATTTTATAGTGGATTCAAAATGGATTCATAGAATATAAATAATTTGTAAGAAACAATGTTGGTTAAAGTGAATGGTCTATTGCAAGCAAATAAATTATAAACAAAGAAAATCTTGATTATACTCCTATATAAAGATTGAATGATTTTAAACCAAAAAGAGATAACTTTTAAGATAATCATAAAGTTGAATTAGTGTAATCTATGAAAGTAGTTGATGCACCTCAAATCTTAAGATAACCAAAATAAAATTTAGAAGCCACTAAAATTCCATCATATCCAAATTCAATTAAATAGATGGAATCTATAAATACTATTGAAATAATTTGCATAGGTGATAATTAGAAAATAAGTGTCACAGAAAAAGGACTGAGTATAGGGAGAAATCCTGAGAATACTTTAATATTAAGTGAAGATTATGTAAGTAGAAATCATTGTGTAATTGAATTTGATTAGAAAACAAAGAATTATTATTTAAAAGATACTGGAAGTACTTCTGGGACTTTTGTATTATTAATGCAACCATCATTAATGAGAATAGGTTTGATTTTACATATGGGAAGCATGTAATATAAAATAGAATAAATGAATTGTAATAATTAATAATGTGATGTGGTATTGAGAGTAGTAGAAGGATTATAAAAGAATTAAAAGTTTTAATTTTAATTAGTTAAGAATTAGAATTGTCTTAAATTTGGTAGATAATTAGAATAATTTAAAATGGATACAGTAATATAATATATTTATATAGTTAGCATTTATCTGGTATTCATTCCCAATTTAGTTATACAGATGATGGATTGATATTGGAAGATATGGGTAGTAGAAATGGAGTTTGGGTTAGATTAAGTGAATAAGGATAATGTAGTGAGAGAGTAAAGTTAACTTAAGATAGATAATTTAGACTTGGTTATGAGAAAATATATTTGTGTAATATAAATAATATTAAATGAATAATAATTAAACCAATTAAGCAATTTCTATTAAATTAGTGATTGTTGGTGATGGTAGTGTTGGAAAAACATGTATTTTGATTAGGTAAGTATAATAACATTAATAATAGATATACATAAGATAAATTTCCAACAGATTATGTACCAACTGTATTTGAGAATTATTGTACATAAATTGCGTATGAGAACAAAATGGTAAATCTTAATTTATGGTATTTAAAAATCATTATTACTAAAAAAGGGATACAGCAGGATAAGAAGAATATAAATAATTGAGATGTATTAGTTATCCATAAAGTGATGTCTTTGTAATTACATTTTCTGTAGATGAACCAAGTTCATTTTAAAATGCAGTAAAAAAGGTATCTAATTAAACATAATAACATAGTGGTATCCTGAATTATAAGCTGATTAACCAAATGTTCCTATTATTTTTGTTGGAAATAAAATTGATATTAGACCTATGGAAAATGCTGATGAGAATAAATTTGTTACTTTCAATATAGCATAAAAGGTTGTATCAGATTTAGGATGTAAATATATTGAATGTAGTGCACTTAATGGAACTAATTTAAAATAAATTTTCTAAGAAGGAATTAAATAAGCCATTAAAAAGAAATTCCCACCTTAATAATCTCAAACTTCAGTACCAGCAAAGAATTAAGCTGGAACTCAAAGAAAGAATAATTCTAATGAAAATGATGATGCAAGTGGTAAATGCTAAATTCAATGATTTAATCAAATAATACATAATATATATATATAAATTAGATTATTTTATTTTATTTATTTTTTAATATATAATTCAATCTATCTTTATTTTCTTAGATATTAAGTCTACTTCTTCCTCTTAATCTATTTATTTCTTTTATTATTTAACAATATGAGTATTATTACTATGTCCTTAAACTGATTTAAATAAATCCATTTCATCATCTACTACATTGTATCTAGATTACATTTGGCTCTAAGATTATGTTTATGAACTGAATTATTATTTCATACAATTATTTTTTAGATTCTTAAAAATATCATGAATTCTTTGATAATTTGTTTAATTTTCTCTTTTCTTCAATTCATCTTCCTATTATATATTAATTAATTTTTACTAATGATTAAATTAATTTTTAACTTATTCCTTCATAAATAATTTTTATTATTTCTAATTATTATGAAAATATTAAATTCTCTCTTAATCCTTTATAAGATAAAATAACATTTATTAAATTAGGAATTATCATAATAATTTCATTATTAATATCATCATCTCTTGATAAACAAATTAACTTTATTATTTATAAACATTTAGTTTATAATAACTTTTAATTTTCTTATAAAATAAATCCTATTTTCAATATAACTTAATTTATAATAATAGCTTCTTTCACTTAAGGTTTCATAGCTCTAACCAAACCTAAAGATATCTCTAAAAATTGTTATTTATATTCTTTTGTTGATAGATGTGAAATTTAATTTGTAATTTTTGGATAGAATTATATTAAGAATAAATCCATAGTTTCATTTTATTCTTCTGAATTATTATCAATTAATAATTTTAATGCTTCCATATATAATTCATTTTAAAAAGCATTTTCAACAATTATATTGAATAATGGATATTTCAGTACTTATTGATGTTCGCTAATAACATATTATCTGAAATTAGTAGGACAATGTTATAAACATACAATTAATAATTCTAATATCATATTTGGTATCTTAATGAATATATCATCCTTTAATGAATATAATAAATATATATTACAGATATCTTTAATTTAAGTTTCTTTAATTTAGCTTTATATTTCTCAAATCCTTTAAGTGAATCATTTATATAATCTTCTATTATTTCATATAATCCATACTCACTTAATTTCTAATATATTACTACTTTATTCAACTAATTATAATAATTATATTATTATACATCTGGAAATTCTTTAAAAACTGAACATATCTCACTTAGAAATCTTAATGCTAAAAAATTGAAATTTCTTAATTGGTCAATCACTTCTATCAAATAATCCTTCGAATTTTCTATGTACTTAAAGAGGTCAACATAACAACTCTTTATAATCTATCATGATTTTGATTACGTTAAAACTATCTTTATGAACATCAACTGGCACTCGTCGATGTAGTAGGCCAAACCACAATCGCGCAAGTACTGCAGCCGATATATGAAATGAATGGTTTTAAGTCTCTCTTTACTCTTTATTTGGACTACTTGTAAGAATTATGCATGTTTCTCTAAATACTAACGGTGGGGTACAAAATTCTTCTTGTTCATCTCATAATCATCTAAAATAATATTAATACTACTATATACATTCTAATGCACCAAATATAAATAAATAATTTTAATCGTTCAATATCATTTAAAATAATTCATGTTCTGCCACTGTTACAATCTAATCATTTATAAATAGATAGATTTATACATTCTTTACAATCTAACACATTGTTTATAATAAATTCATATTATTGTCCTTCTCCAATTATTAAAACAATTTAATAAGCTTATCAAAATAGTCCTTATCAAATTAAATATTATCTTACTTTCTTATTTATAAGATAATTCTATAACATCTATTTAGATTAAGAACCATATGCTATCATATTATTCATTGTTTCCAATATTGATTCCAAATTACTTTCAGATACTGGTGTCAATGCTATAGAATCTTAATCTTCAGCCTCATTTTCCACTAAAATATTTTGAATACGAGCCCAAACTCCCAATGCTCCTTCTCTACTCTAAAAACTTAATGCATATTCCTTATTAAAATGGAATTAAATTGCTTCCTCTAATATTATATATATTATATCATTACCCTAATCAAAACAAAACTCATTCTCTTACTTTATTGGTACAACAATCACTTCCTAACTTGTGTCTTTCTATAGTAAAATCAATTCATTCTATTTATCTCATTTCTAAACTCATTACCTTCGAATTGATATGTGTATATCCAATATCTACATAATTCCATTTATCTCCTGCTAGCTAATACATTTAACATAAAAGAATCTCAGAATTAGGTTTCATTTTAATATTTTAAATATTAAATCTTATTTTTATGCAAAATAAAGGAATGAATATTTATTTGCACTATTTATTATTATTTTTATCATTCTACGAATTAAATACTTTAATATTTACTTCATTTTCTCCTTTTTATTACTTTATATCTATGTTTTATATAAATATATATATATAGATATTTATATATCAAAAATCAATCATTTTTTCTATTGTATGACATTGTACTACTAACAATGCCATCAAATCATTATGTTAATTGGATTATTATTAACATCTAATTGGTATTACATCATTTTCCAAATTTTCTAATAAATCTATATCAGAATTTGTTTTTATTGAACTATTATGTGAAATACATTATTTTATTTTCATATTATTTCCAAATTACTATAAAATTTTCATTTTCTACTGAATTGTTGCTTTTTTATTATTTAAGTCTTTTTATAATACTTTTATTGACATAGGTATATCACCCTATTATTTCTATAATAAATCATTAGTATATAAGGTCATTTATCCTAAATACAATGCTTCATCTGTGATTAAACTCTAATTTATTATAAATTATAATTACAATAATTTTATTTTATTCTTATTATTATTATAATAATTCATTAATTTATTATTATAAAAATTTGGAATCATTTTAATCTTATAAAGATGCTTATAATACTTCACATTTTTCCTATAATTTTAAAATTTATTATTAATAACCTTTACATTCTGCTTCATATTATTATTAAATTTTCTTAGATTAACAATTATCATTTATAATAGAATTTAGTTATTAACATTATTTATTATTATCTTAAAGCAAATCAAAGTATTTTTATTCTATTTATTTCATTTAATCAATTTTACTTTTTAGTGTTTCATTTTCTTAAAGTAATAAGGAATTTTATTGAATTACATTGTCTAAATTTTTACTTATTTCTAAAATTCTTTAATTCAATTCAGAATAATATTCTTAATTTTTTAAATTCTTTTAAAGTTCATTAATTTATTTATTTTTTTCATTTAATTAATCTTAAAATTCTTATAATACATAGTTTTATTAATCTGAAGATTATAATTCAAATATTTTCTCCATTAATTACTTGTTAATAATTGTTTATTCTTCCAATAATCTCAGATTATTTTATGAATCATAATCTATCTATGTTTTTCTAATATTTCTACAATAAGGAGACTTTGATTTAGAACTCATTTAAGTCATGAATCTATCTTCATTTGTCTTATAATTAGATTAATTAATAATTGAACTATTATTTTCATTTGTTTCATAATTAGATAAATTAACACCAAAAGAACTTTTTAAAAATTGTTATTAATTCATATTATCTTTTAATGTTTTTATTTACTTATTCAACAAATCAACTTAATTTGTTAATACATTTTAATTATTTTAAGATTTTAATTGTTTAATTATTTCTTATACTAGATTTTATGTGTCATATACCATTTTTTATAACTAAATTTAACCTTTAAAAGTCATTTAATCAATATTTTAATTATCCAATTAGGATTTCAAAAATTCAATTTATTATTCATAATGTTAATTATCATTAGCTCTAAATGTATCTTAATTATTATTTAATTCTTATAAAAGTAAATAAATAAAATATTTTAAGGTAATTAAATCAGTACATCTATAGAAATCGAAACATTCATTTGAGAATTCTTAACAAAAACATTTAATTTTTGCTAAAGATGGAGCACATTCATCTTGATTTTGATCTTTAACTAATTTAAATTATCTTAATCTTTTAGTTAATGTTTATATTTTCTAAATACAATTATAATTTAATCTTGTTTAATGATTAACAACACTATGAACAGAATATTTATCTTAATTAATAGATTATTCTGTTTTTATTGGTGATTATTCAATTTTACTAATATTTTCTAATCTTTTATTGATAATTGTCTCATAATAACTTTGAGTGTCAATTTATTTATTAGATCCATATTTATTATATTATTTATGAGTATTAAAAGGAGATAGATTTGATGTAGTTTTAGAAGCTGTAGTTGATCTGTTATCACTTACATGATGACTATTAAGATTTTTCACTCTCATTTCTAATCCTTGTACTTTACTTTATAAATAATTGGCACATTATTAAAATTCTGGACAATTACTAATAATTGCAAATGGTTATCTATTAACTTTAGCACTTCCCTTTCTTGAATGACATGAATTTGGTGTTTAAAAAGGTTTCATAGATTTTTGATTTTAAATTATTTGTTTTTTTATTTTAACAGAATATAATTGTGAAAAATTAATTAAAATTATTGTATTTTTAAAAAAACCCAAAAATAATTAGATAATTCATTTATTATAAATAATCCTTTAGTCATAAACAAAGTTAAACCAAAAATTCTATATTATCAACATTATATTGAAATATAATATATATATTATAATTATAATAACAATATTATTTTTTAGTAATAGTAATCTTAAGAATAAAATAATTACCATATATAGTATTAAAATAAAGGAATATATATTTGTATATTAGTATTCTTAATATATTTAATTCATTTCTAAATATGATATCAAGTGTTATAGGATGTTGATATTTTAATACCTTACCTTTTGTATATTATTTGACAATAAAGAAATGAAAAGTTTATATATAGATAAATTCTATGATGATGTAAAGTTAGCTTATCAATCTTCTATAATAAATTGAATAATTACAAATAAAATGATAATCTCTTTGATCTTAAAAATAAAGAGTATACCTAAATTGTGTTAATTAATAGGCGGTAAATCGATGCGCCACTAATTTATAAATTGTTATTTTTTATAATTCTTCTTAATAATTAAAATAAATGAATAATTGTTTGTCAACACCAAAAACAAAACAATAGAAATGCCCTTAAGCTCCTAAAAAATAGTTAAACTTAACAAGAATTGATGATTAATCAATTAGATCTGTTTGCAGAATACTTTTTGTAGAAGAAACAAAACCAGAAATAACTCTAACCTAAACTGCTTGATTTTTGTATTTTTGTGTATATTTACATTATTATAATACATTTAAAATTAAGATCTCTATTAATCATATTAAATTTAGTAATAAAAATTAACAATAAAATTGTATTAATGGATTTAAGAAATAGAAACACAAGAATAGTACTTATTTAGATGTTAGACAAATAATTGAAATAAATTATGACTGAAAATACTACAAAAGTTAAATATTAGGAATAATTAACAAAATTTTAAATCTATGAAGATTAAAAAAAAACAAGATAAAAATAACATAGTCCATCACCTAAATTAATGAGAATACATAGTTAATCAGATCATATTTAATTTTATGAGAGACAATAATCATAATTAAAAATTAAAAATGAAAGATTATAACAATCAAAAGAAAAGTCTATATAAAAAAAGTTATAAGAAGAAATTCAAGAAACTACATTTAATCCAAAAATCCTTAATCTTAAAAGTTAGAATACTTAAAAAAATAACTTATATTAAAAAGGAATTAAATGGATGTAATAAAAAGTATTATATTATTAATAGACAAGGCTGAACATATTGATAAATTAAAGGAGTCTTCTATGATATAAATAAGTTAAGAGAATTTATTTAAGCCAATGGTTAATAAAGTATCAGAAAAAATAATCAAAACAACTAATTAAACAGATTTCTTTTAGAGAATGAATAAAAATGAGGATAAAAAAAAAGAGAAAATCAAGAGACTTAAAACTGATGCTACTCCATCTTTTAAACCAAAAATTAATGGTATTTAAATCTAATATATCATATAGATCGTTCTAAAAGAGTATAAAGTTCTCTAAATAAAGATATTTTATAAGTTTCTTATAATTTAGAATTAATGGAGAAGATTAGAAATTATAATTAAAGAGATTTAAATCAATCTTGTCATGAATATTCTAAATAAAGAAATTGTTCATCAGTATTATCATAATCAATTGAAATTGATAAATAGACAAATGATTATCCAAGTTTTAGAAATTCAAATACAATTAAGAAATAACCAAAATTATAAATTGATTGTAATACTCCCTCTTAGAATAAAACAGAAATGTTATATGAATCATTAGGTAATTAAAATTATGATTATTTTTGAATTTAATACTTTCATATATATTTAAATATATTAATATATATATATATATATAAATGCCTAAAATTAAAACTATACGAACAAAAAAAGCACCTGAGGGTTGGGAATTAATTGAACCAACAATAACAGAAATTGGAAATTAAATAAGAGATGTAGAGAATCAAACATATAGTGATAAAAAGAAACCAGAATAATTTTGGGAAATTTATAAATTACATCATTAAAGGTATTAACAATATTATATAAATATATAGATCTCGTTATATTTATGAAATGTACTATTATAAAAAAGAGATAACAAGAGAATTATATGAATTTTGTTTATAAGAATAATATGGAGATGCATCATTAATAGCAAAATGGAAAAAGACTGGATATGAAAAGTTGTGTTGTTTACATTGTATATCTAAATCTCAGCATAATTTTGGAGGATCATGTATATGTAGAGTTCCTAAAGCTAAATTAGAAGAAGGTAAATTAGTACAATGTAAATAATGTGGATGTAGAGGTTGTGCTAGTGGAGATTGATATAGTTATCTATAAAATAATACGATAAGTTTTAATCATCCATATTTTAACATATAATCTAAATGTTTAAATAACATTCATTCTCTAAGATAATCCCATTACTTGATAAAACACGTCATAAAGGTTAAAATGGTAAGATAGCAAGTATAGGTGGAGCATTTGAATATACAGGAGCTCCATATTATGCAGCCATATCCTCATTGAAAGGAGGAGGAGATTTAGCATATATCTTTTGTACTAAATCAGCTGCAATTCCTATAAAGAGTTATAGTCCTGAATGCATAGTCTATCCTTATCTATTAGAGGAAGGAGAAGAATAATAATTAGAGACTGCCATTAATAAATTATTGTCTTCTACTTAGATAATGCATTCATTAGTCATTGGTCCTGGATTAGGCAGGGAACAAATAACCAGCAAAGTGTTAGAAGAACTATTCAAATAAAATAATAGTATCAAAATATTGGATGCTGATGCATTATGGCATATCTCTTAGAAAAAGAATAAATTAATTAATATTATCAAAGATAAGAGTGATTAATTTATATTAACTCCAAATGCAATGGAAATAAAGAGATTATTAGAATATTTTGAGATTGAATATATTAAACCTGATTATAATTTCATTAATGTTTTGAATGATTAAGATGTAAATTATAAATAAATTGGTATTGAAAATGGATATCCAGGATTAATGGCTGAATTGAGTAGGAAATTAAATAATGTAATAATTGTATCTAAGGGATAAAATGATATTATAACAAATGGAAAAGTGGGATATGCAATTAATATAGAAGGTTCTAAAAAGAGATGTGGAGGTTAAGGTGATATTTTAAGTGGTTTAATTGGACTCTATTCTTATTGGTCTTAAGATTATAAAATAGACAAGATTGAGGGATGTATTTTAGGAAGTGTAGTAACAAGAAGAGCAGCCTAAATGGCATCAATTAAAGAGCATTATTCATTGACAACTCCTAAGATTATTGATCATATTGGAGATGCTCTTTATTCAATTGTTTAAGACTAATGATTAATAATGTGTTTGATTATATATTATTTACAAAAATGTAGAATTTATTATGATATATTATTGATCTAGAATTATAGGTTAATTTTTAATTATGGATGTTCATTAAAATATTTATCAATGAATTTATTAGAATATCACTGAGACAAATATACCTAAAATATTTTGAAAAGCTGATATAAAGTGTATTAAATAACTGGATTTAAGATTAAATGTCAGAAATATCGATTAAATTATTTGAGAGCAATTAAACTAAATTAAAATTACTTACAAAGCTATTTTAACTACTAGTGGTTTGAAATATCTTATTATTAAATGTTGTCTTTTTAAGACTGTTATATATAGTTGGAATCATGAAGGGGAATTAGAATTAGAAGATTAGTAGGATAGATTAAAGATAATTTAATTGATACATTAGACATAATTAATTTATTATAGCAGTTAGTTCATGTTGATTTCCTATTAAAATAAATTAATTCATTATTTTATTATCAATTAGAGTTGAAAATACTAAAATTCAATTCATACAAATGGCCAAGAAAATATGAATTTAATTATAATTAAAAGGATTAATAATTTTTTAAAATTGAATCCAGTATAATCTTATTCTTAAGTTTTTTAACAACATTAATATATTATTTATGTTTAATAAATTATTCAATTAATAAGAGTATCTTAATGGATTCTTGATAATTTTATGATCAAAAAGAGTTGTAAGTGATTAAATATAATAATTCTAAATGATTTAAATTGTCAATAATTATTTGATATATGATAATATAAAAAAGGCCAGTCTTTAATAATTCTTAATTTTTTTAGAAATGATTATAAATGTATCTTTATGTATATTTAATATTCTTGAGATTATTGAAAATCATTTATTTTTTTCTTTTAAAGTAATTCTGAAATCTTTTGAATTGATGTTGACAAATTTTTGTTATCCTTAAGGTAAATTTTGATTTTATTAGATTGAATAATCACTTTACAATGTGTATAATTCTTATATACAATATCTAATTCTTTAGAACTTACATTATCAACCCATAATGACAAATTCACCTAATTCAATAAAAATAGAGGAAGGTTTAGAGTTAAACATACATACAAATCCTAGGGAATAATAAATAGAATCTAAATCAACGATTGAGTCTGTAAAATAGTTCACTGATGATTTAAAGTAATAGATTAAGATCAAGAAAACAAGACGTAAGAATATAAGAAAGACATATAATAATGGTATATAGATAATTATATAGAAAAGGTCACTGGACCCAAAAGGAACATAATTTATATTTAAAATTTATAGAAACAAACAAGGCTATAATGATTTAATCAGATTTAAAGAAACAAGAGAAGATCTTTAAGTAAATGTCTCTTGTGATTAAAACACGATAACCATCGTAATGTAGATCTCATCATCAAAAGTTTAATCCTTTCTGAAAATATCATTTATTATTCATTAATCATTATAAATAGTTGCGATGGAAAGAAATGATTCAAACTATTTTCTACTACAATCTGAATCTTTAGAACTTGATCTAAATTACATCATAGGCAAAGCTTATTATTATGACATCATTTTTTTAAGTCTCAATATCATAATTGCGTTGTAACTATATGCAATAGAATTACACAACCCAAGACAATCTGCCATAATAAATCTGATTCCTCTCAAAATTTAGATTTCTTGATCACATAATTTAGCTATTGCATATACAGTCATTCCACTATAGCATATTAACATTATTATTGGATATAATAACATATTTTAAGTTATTCTTTAAGATAGTTAAAGTTCATATTCTTATTGTGTAAATAATTATAATTCTTATTAATCAGAATTTCTTGATCTTTAATTTTAATCTGATTAAGATCTTAATTTTGTCATAAATAGACTTACTCTTATAATAAATGTCATTCCAACAATATTTAGAAACCATAAAGGTAAATAGAATAAAGAAATTGATTCAATTTATACAAAGAGAGCTGAATTATTTTAATACAAATCAGTATCATCATTTGCTATTCCACATACATATATTTGAGTATTATATGAATTTGTTATTATAGGTATTAATGCAAATAAGATTGGAATACAAAAACCTATTAATTAAAATGTCATTTAATGTTCACTTAAATTAACTCTATTTTTTATTACTGTCCAAAAAATGCATAAACATAATAAGAAGCAAAAAATGAAACATGCTATAGATGAATATTAAATTAAGAACCCTTAAATTATACAAAGAATTTTATACTATGGTTTAGGTCCTAATAGTATATTACATTTACCTGGATAAATGTACATCAAATTGGATAAAGAAAATATAATATCACTTATTGTCAAACACATTATTAATTTGAGTGCAAAATTTCTTCTCATTCCCATTTTAAAATATACTACAATTATAAAGAGAGATCCTAATAAGGATAATGAACATGTAGAAATTTTAAGTATTTTAATTTTTTAATCTTAATTATTCATTATTAATAATAATATATTTAATTTCAAAATATATTGCAAGAAACATAATCACTATCTAATAAATCTACTTATTCATCATCTTCTCTTTCAGGTCTTCTGTAAATATCACTAATTTAACAATCTTCTTTTATTTATTCATAATCTACTTCATATACCTATTATTTGGCTTCAATATTTAAATTAAATTACTTTAAATAGTATTATAATTTAATGTCATCTATTTCTCTTATGAATAATCCTACTCCTCAACATATCTACTATTTCTTCCTTCAAAAACTGTCTCCTTCTATTGTAATTATTCATATTATGGTTATGGAATAGCTGAATACTTTACTTCTGTTGTTTATAATTAAGATGTTGTTGTTCCTATATAAATTATATATTTATTACCTCTGCCTCTCCTGTATTTATCCATAACTTCCTTCACACTTTATCTATTCACTTCAAAATGACTATTCTAATTATTCCCTTAATATTTCTCCACTACTCTTTAAGATGATCTTGAAGCTTCTAAGTCATAATTACTATTTCTTCCCTCATTTTCCATTTAAACATATTTAGAAGTAATTACTGTAGTTTATTGATTATTTTATGTTTATCTAGGTCTAGATGATCTACGTAATTCATATCTTTAAACAGCATCCTAGAATTCTCCATTACTTGTCCTTTAAACATTCTAACTTGTTGTAACAGTCCTAACTTAATATGTTTGCCCTTCTGCTGAAAAGCTATTATTCATTAAAACGATATTTTATTATAATATAAAATATACAATATCTTCAAATTGATACCCTTAGAAAAATAAAATAAATAACTATCTTATTCCTCTTTATATAGATATTATATACAATAATTAGATAATATTAGTTAATTAACTTAAATGAAATATTTATAATTTTACATATTAGAATCAAATATGATTTCTATTATATATTTTATGAATCATATTAAGTTTATCTATATATATTATATATTTGTTAATATAATTACTATGATATGGAAAATAATAAGAAATATACATGTTTTTAATAATATACTGAATCAATTAGTATTCTATAATAACTATTATTTGTATTGTCTTATTATTGAAGATTAAATTCTTTTTTTTTTAAAATACAGAATTTTAAAGATTATCGGCATTGAGAACTAAAAAAGTATTTTATTAAATTTAAGTATATTCATATAATTGATTGACTTATGCAATAATCCATTTTTGATTTTGGTAAAAAATCTTCTACTTTTTGGCATCTCTGCGATAAATGTTTACTTGATGTATTACATGTTATAGCATATGAAGGAATAATCTAATCTAATAGAGTAAGAGTTTCTAGTAGGCTCTAAATAAAGAATCAAAAAAAAACTTCTTTTGATGAGTGATAGTATGTTATTCAAAGTGTCTGTAATGTAACTAAAAAGAGCTCCCCTTTTAACAATGCATGTTTAATTTATAGATTCCTCATCTGATCATTTTGTCTAACTAAATTCAGATGAGACTTTATAAGGCTTTAGACTTTCTTACTAAGGGAAAAGTCTTGAAATCTTCACTTCAGATAAAGTGAATTATGAGGTTTGGAAGTCTCACTTTCGATTGAATTGTATTATGAACAATTTTCATGATGCTTTTTCAGTATCAAAGATGATTGGTAAAGGCAGTTTTGCAAAAGTGTATTCAGCAATAAAAAAAGAAAATAATAATTAATATGCTATTAAGGCATTCAGTAAAAGCTATATGTCTCAGTAATCAAAGGGGATTGAAAGTCTATTAAATGAGATAAAAGTAATGAGAAGATTAAATCATCCAAATATTGTAAAATTACATGAAGTACATGAAACAACTAATTCAATTTACTTTGTTTTAGATATGATTTAAGGAGGTGAACTATTATAAAGAGTACGTGAAACAGGTATTATTTATATAATTTACTTTAATAAGGATTCCTACCTGCTGAGACAATGTAAAAACTTGCTTTCAATTTGATAAGTGCACTTAGACATATGCATATCAATAATTTAATTCATAGAGATTTGAAACCAGAAAATTTATTATTGAAATCAACAGAAAATAATTATGAAATAGTTTTAGCTGATTTTGGTTTAGCCACTAGTCTTAATGAAGACCCTTTATTTAAAAGATGTGGTACACCAGGATTTGTTGCACCTGAAATACTTGAATATGTAGATGGAATGGATTTCTATTCTGATAAATGTGATGTTTTTAGTGCAGGTGTAATCTTGTATCTTTTAATTGTATTCTTATATTATTTAAATAGACTGGTAATGCTCCATTTGCAGGTGTGGATTAGAAATCTATACTTAAGAGTAATAAATAATGTGAAGTTGATTTTAAAGATTAATAATTTAAATTGGCTCCAATCTAAATGTAAGATTTAATCTAATCAATGCTTATTAAGAAATCTTCCTTTAGATTAAGCTCAGAAGAAGTATTATATATTAATATATTATATTAAGTGTTTAAAACATCCTTATTTTAAAGAATTAGCTAAAGAATACAATAGACAAATAGACAAATTTAAAAATAATCTATAAGGATATACTGAATTAAAAAATGCTATTAAAATAGGAACTTAAGAGATTGAATAGAGATCTCCATTAAATTTTAATTCATCTGAATCAATATCCTCAAATATCTCACTTACAAGATAAGACTAAAGAAAATCCTCAATAGTTGTTGGAGCCTCCAAATTTAGTTAATATAGTGCTAAACTATCAAAATAAAATTCAAGAGAGATCACTGGTAAATTATCATCTTATTTAGATATACCATAAAAATAAGAGCCAAAAAAATAACAAGATTTGCATAGACTTGCTCTTACTAATAGTTAAATGAAACATATGGCTAATTGTAAATAAGATAATTATGATGATCCAACTGCTGAAAATTGTAATATTGGGGCTATGGTGAGATAATACAACTCTACTAGACAAATAAGAATCCCTGATTGTACATTAAAAATAAAAGAATGCAATACCCCTACACTGTAGAAGCAATGAGTTAATTTAATTCTTTATATATAATTACATTTTATTATGTATTTTAATATATATTGATATCTTTAAATTTAAAGCAAATAAATAATTAATTCAGTATAATTTTAGTAATCTATCTAGATTATCCTTTTTTTAAATTCTATTTAAGAATATTTGTTATGATTTTAATCTAAAATAAGTTTATATTAAAAACTTATTATAGATGATTTAAGAATTGTATTCCTGATTTTTTTTAATTTTAATATTTGGTATGCTTTAAAAAACATTATTCAAATTATCATTAACATTCAATATTCTAATGAATTATTAAATAAAAAAGAAGCAACTAAAATTATATATATGTATTCAATAGTTAAGCAGTTAAATCATTTTCTCACTAAAGAAGGAAATTAAATGGAAATTTAAGGAACAGTTGTTTTAATCTATTGAACTTCGGATGGTTTATTTAATTATTTAATTGATATTTTATTTGTTTACTTTACATTTCTAATTTGTTAATATTATTTAATAGCTTTAACTGGTATTTCTATTTATTTATTTTTAATATCTAATGTATTTTTGGTTTCCTTATTTCTTTAAGGTTTATTCATGATTGGCTAAATTTTATAACAAATTATACTTATATTTTCTTATTTACTTTTTATCTTTTTTATTCATATTCTTTCTCGTCTTCATATTCATATTCTTCCTCCTCATCATCTTCTTCTTCACTTTAATAATTTACAAAAATTAGATAAATATATTACAATCTTGGAGATTATTTTATAAAAATATCATGAATCTCTTAATACTTTATTCATTAGGGTTCTTATTCAAAATTTGTGATCCTATTTTATAAGCTTTGTTATACTATTTTTCTTAAATAGCTTATAAGAATATAATATTATTTTCTTTATTTAACATCTAATTTATTAATTAACTAAAAATAAAATATAGAAATTTAAATCTTGCTCTTTATAAAGATAAATATTTATAAATATAGATTAAATACATTATTTTTATTATTTCTTAATCAATATGAAGGCAAGTTTTAAAATTTATTATAATTTAAAAAAATAAGTATAAATTATATTAGTATTAGATAATAAGTATTTAATAATATCATTAAAACATTCTTGTTTATTAATCTATATTTAATTAGATAAATTTAATTATTTATTATTTTCCTTATCCTAGAACTTAAATTCAAAAGAATATTATAATAATTTATAACTTAAATCTTTATAATAACTGCCAATAAAGAAACAATCTCATATGATTTAATAAAATTGAATAATAATTTTATAAAATAAAAAGAATATTGATCATTATTAACAATAAAACTTAAATATAATTTTATTTAAAAATTTAATCATATAAAATGAATATATGTTAAAATAAATAATTATATAAATATTAATATCTGAATTTTATCATAAATTAGCTGCAATACTTAATTTATTGCAGGTATCCTCTAATAAACTTAAAAGATGCTCTTCTGATTATTCTCTAATTTGATTTATATATAATTATAATACCTAGTCTTTTTTTCTTAATCTAATTCTACTTTTACTCTATTAACAATATCTTTAAGCATTTCAAATATGGATTGTTCACTTTCATCTCTATTTCTCTTTTCTACATTAATGAGATTGCTGAGTTTAACAAGTTCGTCAGTAATTGATTTCATAACCTGAAGATATATAAAGAGACTACATTTTAATCAGATTCATCTCTCTCATTGGCTTCAGTTCTAATAGCTTCTTAAATTTTAGGTAGATCATTTTATAGTCCTTAATGAATTCCTTCTATAGAATCTACTCTTGCAGCAGTTTCCTTTTAAATTTCAGTTCTTAACAAAGCAGTTTTATCTTCTAGAAGTCTAAGTACTTTAGATTCTCCTTCTTTTCTAACTTGAGTTTCATTTTAAATAGCATTTTCAAATTTCTTTTCTAAAGCTAAGACTTCCCTATTCTTAGTTTCATTTGCCTATTCTTTAGCTAATTTATCTTCTTCCACTTATTTTTATAATTTTCCTAACTATAATGATAATGTATAAATAAATACTTAATCTCTAAGTCCATTTAATTTAGTGAATATTTATTCTTAAAATTCATTAAAAGCATCTTCTGCTTATTGAATTCTTTATTCAGCTTATTCTAGTTTTTGAAATCTTTCGTTTTCTACTCCAATTTAAATGGTTGATAATTTTTCAGAGATCTTTTATATACGTCCACTACTTGGTGATACTTATTGATCTAAAGGTATTATAAATAGTACTTACATAAAGATTTTGAATTATACATTGTGAATAAATTTTATTTATGATTAAACTAAATAAATGTGTAGAAATAAAAATAATCAATCAAATAAAAATTTTTAATTTCTTTTGATTAAAGTTTGACCAAAATCTAATTATGAGATATCTGCAAAATCAGAATGCGAACTATCAACAAATTCATTTTGTGTTTCATCTTTAGTAATTCTACTATTTCTACTTGATATTTGATTGATGTTTTTATAAATATGTTCAACATCAATCCCTCTAGATTTAACTGCTTTTACTAATTGTATTAATTTCTTTTCTTTTTCTGATAAACTTTGTATTTTTTATTACATAAGTTTAATTTGATTTTTCAATTCAATTTTTTAAGGAGAATTGCATTAAGGTTTATATACTTCATCATTTTATTTTTTTTACTTTTTGATTTGTTCTAATTTCTCTTAATATTACTTAATTTTCTGATTAGCCTCATAATCTCTAATTTTCATTTCTAAAATAATATCTATTTATTATTATTACCGAATTGCCATTAAGTTTATTTGGCTTATAATTCTAATTCATGAATTCTTTTAATTAGTAATGCTTTATCATTTTCATTCTCAATTTCTTTTTAAAATTAATAATGATTAGTAATTTCTCTAATGATTTGAATTAATTAAATAATATAACTTGATACTTCTTATTAATTAATACATGTTCTCAATCCTATTATTAATTTAGATAGTTATTCATTTAATTCTTTAATATTACTATTCTTTTCAAGACTATCAATTACTAATTTAATAAGTCTAATAATTTCTTTTTTAGAAGCTTCTTCTTTGAGATGAGCTTATTCATATAAATAACTTTAAACGGACATCATTTCACCACTTAACTTCATAGTAGACTGTGTATTTTATCTACTCTTATATAACTTGAGATCATACCTTATTTAGTTTTTTGTCAGGTGTAGTAAAGCTAGTATTGTTATGATTGTATTTTGAAGCAGATAATGATTTCATTTACAAATTTTAATTTTTATATTAATTTTTATTTAACAGATGAAATAGACATACAATCCAAATAGAGAATACTTGTCAATTTATAAATAAATTTGTTAAGAATAACATGTTCATTTAAGCAAAACAATAAGTATATTTTTGGATAATATTATATAGCATAGGGTTTAAAGGATCAATCATTAAGATTGAATGCTATTTTAATAAGAATAGAGGATATAATTCCATTATAATTATTATTAAGTTTGTGTCATTTTGATTCAATAATTGTATATGGTAGATTAAGAAAGAAAATGAATAAAAGTATTAATAAGCTTAAATTTATAATAGATGATTTAGTAAGTTTAGAAGAACTATAATAGATAATAAATGGAATATTAACAGCAATAAATTTAAATTTGACATAAAGTTAATTCAATTTAATGCAAATACATATTACTGATTTGATTTTGAGTCCAAAAGATTGTGAATCTATATCATTTGGATTAAAGAGTACAAAAACATTAAAAGAACTTAAGATTACAAATTGTAGTTTAACAAGTTAACATTTATAAATATTATCTGAACCAATCTAATAATGTGTTTCATTAAATTTATTAGATTTATCCAATAATTTATTAAAAGAAAATGCTGGAATGATAATTGGTAAAATAATAAGTTCACATGCAGGTAGAAGAGATGAAATGAAATGGGCAGAAGAAATAAGAGGAGATGGTAATATAATAAATAATAAATTATTAGAACCTCCATAATAATTGGCATTGTAAGGATTGTGTGAAATATTTTTACATTAAAATATGTTTGATGATAGATGTGTAAAAGATTTGTGTAATTTTTTAATGTATGATTCATGGACAAAGAATATTGGTTTAAGAGAAAATCAAATAGGAGAAGAAGGTGTTAAATTATTTAGTTAGATTTTGGATACAAATGAATCCTTAATCTCATTAGATCTTAGAGAAAATCCAGGATTTGTTGAACCATATTCTAAAGATATATTTGATAAGTTGGTTCGAAATATCAAAATATTTAAGGAATAAAAGAATTATTATGAAGATGTTGAAGAGAATTAATAAGATGAATATCCTATCATTTAAGAATAATAATAAGAGGAATCTGAAGAATTAGGTTAGTAATTTATTTTAATTAGAATGTCCTAATTGTAAAAATTTATTGAGATAAAATAAACAATTATAAAGAAGAATATAATAATTACAATAGAGACCAAGACATGATTCATAATTAATGAACTCTGATATGAATAAGGAAGAATAATAATCTGGGGATCTATTAATTTAGATTGAGAATAAGATGAATGAATTGACTACTTTAATGGATATGTTAGAATAATAAAAATAATATTAATAATAATAGTAATCTGGAAACAAAGGAAAAAAAAAGAAAAAGAAGATACTTAAATAACCTATTTGATATTTAATTTATTTTATTATTATGAGATTAGAATAGAGCATTATATAGATAATAATAATTATTAATATAATTTAATTTGTGAGAAATGAAGTTAATAAATAATATTTAAATAATTTAAATATCCAATTAGGATGGCCTCAGAAATCTATGACTAATTAGTAACAGTATTTACAAATACAGATAATAAAATCAGAAATGAAACAGAGAAACAATTAGTGACTAATATGATAGATAATATTTAGAATTTTTAATAAATAGCTTAAGTTGCTATGTAATAAGACATAAGTATAATATTATTTAATATTTCTATAGTGTAAGAATAAGCAGCCAGTTTATTGAATTCAGTTATATTAAAGATGCTTACAAATAGCAGTATTTTTATATCTTACTAAATAAGTTTAATTATCAATTCATCATGCAAATTCCATTCTAGCAGTTCTTATGTCTTAATATACACCTTTAAAATGTAAATAATCATTAGTAAAATGTATGAGTTTAATAGTTAGAAAAGATAAAAGTATTAAAAAAAATTTAATTTAGGTGTCAAGACTGAAATTGAAAATAAAATGAAAGAATTTTTACGTCAAGATCAACATTGGCAATTTTAAACAGGAATTATATTTTTTAAGATTTTATAAGACTCTTTGGAATTATAAACTTATAGTTCAATAGTATAAACTGGTTATGAATGGATAAGTGAGTTTTTCAATTAAACTGCATATATCATGACTAAATTAACAGAATAACCAAAAGATCTATCAGATGATTTCATAACAACTATAAGAATATATACATAAGTTGTATCAGATCTATGTGAAAAAGTGTTTGATAAAAATAATAGTTAAAAAGAACAAACATAACCAATACAAAATATTTTGTTTTAATTGAATTCATTCTCAGGAGTTCTAATGATTTTATTATCTTATTCTCCATAAATAGGAAAATAAATATAAAATTGTTCTATTATCAATACAGGAAATGATCATTTTGATACTCAATTAAATGAAATTAAATGTTAAGTTTTTAAAATCTATTTTTTATGTCTATAAGTATTATTGAATAGTCGTAATAAAAATGAAGTAAAAAAAGGTGCTTTTGGACCTTATTTAACAACTATAACATAATTGTTAATCTATAGTTTATTAGCTTATACTAACAGTGAATCTATTCATTAAATATACAAGTATTAATTCAATTTATTAAAATTAAAGTAAACCATATTAGGCAAATATTATGACTTATATAATGAAAATATTGGCTAATTTAGGTTCTTAAACAGAATAATATTAAATATTTTCTGATTCTAAAATAGCCTTAATAACAGATGCAATATACCCATTTTTAATAACATCTTAAAAAGAATATTCATAAATGAAAGAATAACCAGAAGAATTTGTTAATTTAGCTTTGGATTCAGTAGATAAATAAGAATCAGATGTTCCAAAAACAGCAGCAGCATCTTTATTAGAGACCTTATGTGATCATATTGATGGATCTACTACATTTTTGGCAAATTTGGCAGTCATAATATCATAACATTCTATCAATATGATATCTAATAACCCAGTTTAATTGAAAGAATAATAATTAACTTTTGTTTAGGCATTGCAAGATAAGTAAAAATAAAATTCATATTAGGAAATTATTCAAAGAATATAGTCCAGTAGATAGAATAGAAAGTAGTTTAGTAATATTAACAGTTATGAGTTATTTAATATAAAAAAGATAGGATATAGTATTATTGATGGAATAATTATTGACTGATAATTTATTATTCTTTTAGAATGTTTAAGAATAAATAATTAAATTAAGACTTTCTTTATTTTTTGGATATTATTGTGACAATTTATTTAAAAAAGAGACTTAATCTTAAAATATGAATGCTTATTTATAAATAATGATTAGTTTTGTTTAACCATAAGAACCTGTAGTATTATATTAATCAATTGATGCATTAAAAGACATATTTGAAGATGATGATCTTAAAATAAAAACAAAAGATTTAGTAATAATATTATTTCCATAATTATGTAATGGACTTTAATATAGTACATATGAGAGACACTTTGAAACAATAACAAATTTATTAAAAAGATATCCATAATAATTTTTGTAAAATGATAATCTATTAGTTGGTTTGATTTAAGTATTAACTCAAAGAGTTATAATTGAATAGTAGAAAATTAATTCTGGTGATCAATAAAGACAAATATATTTAAATAGATGTTGGAATGTTCTTAGATAATTGGCTGAATAAGATGAATATAGTTCTATCTTAAGCAAATTAGAATAACATTTAACATAATTATATTCAATGTTAGCTAATTGTGATAAAATAGATTTTGATGAAGATTTAGTCTTATTTATATCTGGATGTATCTCTAAATTATCAATTGTAACAGAATTATAGATGTAAATCTTACCATATTTTTCAAATATCATCAAAAAGTAATAAGGAAGATTATGTAATCTTTTTGAAACACTAAATTAATATATGCATTTTGGAAAAAGCTATTTTATCAATGAAGCATAATAATCTATATACTTTTAATTAGCATTTTAGAATCTTTAAAATGAAGATAATTATGGTGATATTGAATAAGGAGAAGGAGCCTTATTAATTTAATTAGGAATATAAGAACTACATGTAGATATTAAGATTAATATACTATCTCAAATCCTTTCCTAAACTATTTCAATCTTATAAAAATAAGATATTAATGAACACTTAAAATCTAGAATTAATGGTATTATTTTGAGTTCTCTATATAAAATACCTGAAAAAACTTATGAAGTTTTATCTGAGGTATTCCCAGCTGTTTACAATAGCATCATAGAAACTCATTATTCTCCAGGTTATGATATAAAATTATTTATAATTACTATGTCATCTTTGATTATGAAATAACCAAATCTTTTAACACCAAGTTTACTAACTATAATGGTCAATAATTTAATTGCTTAAGAGAAATATGAAAAAGATTAAAAATATAAATAAAATGAGTAATTTATCATTCTTAAATTATAGTTATATGGATGATGAATTAGATGATGATGATGACAGTGATTTTAATGATGAAGAAGAAATTTAACAAGTTTAATAATAAACTGAATAATTCTTAAGTTCTATTGTCAAATTGGATGAATATTCTATATTCAAATAGACCCTCCTTAACTTCAAAAATTAGTATATTTATTATAATATTTCATTAGATTCCCAATAGCAATTGATTAATTGAAAAATGGGTTGGAATAATAGATTATAAACAAAATTAATGAATAATTATAATATGTAAGAATTGAAACATTAGATGGAGAAGAGCTTAGAAAATTTCGAAATCTTAAAAATTGCAATCGCAAAAAGTAATTTAATAATTGATTTGTTATTATAATAATATTATTTACACATTTACAATATCTTTTTCAAAGTATTTTTAATAATTGATTTATAGATTTATCAAATTCTCTTGGCAATCCTAAATTATTCAATATTGTTATTTTCTATTAAAAATTAAAAAAACAATCATTTACAATAAACAATTTTTAATGTTATTTATCTCATTTGCTAATTCATTATAATAACATTCATTTTTTATTTCACATCTGAAGAACTTTTAATTTTTAATATTCATTATTATAATATTATTCAATAGTTTAACATTAAACTAAAACATATTAATACTCATCTTGTATTTTTCTTTTAATTCTATATTTCTCATTTTCAAACAGGAAACTCAAAAATGACTTAGACTATTATTGAATTATTCTTATTAGTTATATATTTTAGAAAAAAAATTGAAGTGAATTCTGTTAAACGCGAAATTTATGTGAAATTTTGTTATTTCAAATTAAATAATAATAATTCATAATAATTAAATTTGAATTCAAAAATGAACTCAAAATAGTTAAAATTTGAAGAGGAATATGAAAACCCTAATAAAGAGAATGAAGGCCCTTAGGAGATTATCCAACATAACCTCTTACATTCAAACAGACCTCCGTTAACAGATATTACGGAAGTTTTATATCCTAAAAAAAAATCAAAAAAACCATAATAGCAATAACAATAATAAAATGTATTTATGTCTACAGTCTCTTTAAGATGATATTATAACATATCCTGAATTTATATATATATATATACAAATAATTTTCTAACAACACATCATTTAAACTTTCCTTCATAATTATCATTCTCATATAAAACATAACAGTAGTTGAACATCTTTTTAATCTATAGGTATATTATCTCTATTAAGAATTTAAATGGTATTTAAGAATAATACAATAATAAAATGTGAATATTTAAATTATTAACTTCCAAAAGAATTAAAAAATTAATTGATAAGATTGTTTATTCCCTACTTTTTGATGATTATAATAATCATTTAGAGTAGTTTAGGTATATTTTTAGTTATTATACAGATTTAAACTGATGAAATTATCATTCATTCAAACTTATAGAAACTACTAAAAATAAATCTTATCTTTTCTATATAGCCTTATCTGTATTTTAACTTTAAAAACTTAAACAATCTCATCCCTTGTTGATAATAATCATTGTGTTACTCAAAAATCATTTAAAAAAATTAATTACATATATTTTAGCAAGAGGAATGTTACAATTTAGTTATATCTAAATCATTAAATTTCATTTTTTAGCATTTGAAGTATCTAAAAGAATCTTCCTCTAAGAGATTTTTGAGCTTTCATCAACAATAATTATTTTTATTTCTAAAACAAGTCATCTTAATTGTATTCAATAAATTTTTTACAATTTCTATTTCAATTAATAAATTTTATTTTATGAATATTGAGTTTCTAAAGCAACTATTATTAAGTAGATATAATATATTCTGATACTCATAATATACAATTAAGGAGTTATGAATTCAAATTTTAATTATTAATCAATGATATCTTATTTTTTTATCAATTATAAAAATTAGGCATAGAATAATAAAAAATACTACATCTATGTTGATTACTATGGTAGGTTGCTGTTCTTAAATGTACTACTTAATTAAATTTAAATAACAAAGAAGACTAGGAACTATATCTTCATGAGTATTTTTCATTTCATCTATTTGTAGAAATAATTTACAGAAAAACTTAAGTATAAATTCAATGAGATTACAATCTGGACCAATCAGTTTGAATTTTAATTAAGCATTATTTAGTTTTATAATTATTGATTTTATTCATTGATAACATCAAATAAGAGAGATCTTATAAAAATTCTAATTTAATCTTATTTTTTAATTCTAATATGGAACAAGAATTATTCTAATTTGAAATCAATATAGAATTCAAAAATATGAATATAAACCAAATTCTTTTAAAAAAGTAAAATCATAAATTTTATAGAATTTTTATGGATATTCTGGTTGGTAAATCAAAACTAATAAAAATCGGTGCAATGTTGCTTGTTGCAGTCTTTATCATTATCTGTTATGAATTAGATGTTGGAGCTGCAAAAGCAAATACAGATATGTTATCACTATATTTTACATACAGCGGCAAATTAAGAATCGACTTTTTAGGAAACACAGAGACAGGTAAAATAGAAGATTGTCATGGTGTATATTTTTGCTAAGTTGTTAAATAAGCTCCAATTTATGGAGGAATAGATTTAGCATTAGCAATAATAATAATAGTGATTGAGATAATTGAAAAACCATTTTTAAAAGATAAAATTAAGCCAGACCTATTAAAAAACATTGTTTTTTTAACACTCCTTTTAGGATTATTATTTGCCTTATTAACAATGTTCTAATTTTGGTTTGCAGCTGGAAGTGACGACTGGAAACTCTGTGCAGGTAGTCAAATTTTAATTGTGCTCTACAATCTAATTTTTGGAATAAGCTGCTTTGTTTAATTCAAAGTTAGATCATCCCAAGGACAAGAAACTTTATTAAGTTGATGAAAAATATCTAATTCACATTAAATATTAAAATTTTATTTTCTCAAATTTGTTTTAGATCAGAATTTCATAATATAAAGTATTTTATTTAAGTTCATAATCAATAATTAAAATTAAATATAAATATAAACTAATTATGGTACTTTTATGATGAATTTTCATGCACCCCTCTTATTAGGATGATGATATCATTAAATATACCCATTTCTGATTATCCATAATTTATTATTAATAAAATTGAAAAATAACAAGATTAATTTTCAATTTGCTAGAGTTTTAGGTATTTTATTCCAAAAATGCTAGTATTTTATTTATTAGTATTTTGCCAATAAATCAGGATTATAGATTTTACTACTTTTTATATAAGAATCACTTTCTGTAACTAATGTCTCCATTGTTTTTGGCATATAAGAATTTAACTATTCGTTCTGAGCTTCATATTTTTTCTAAATTATAATTACTCTATCATACATGAATATCATCAACTATCCGTTACATCTATTAGATTTGCTGATTATGTTTCACTGCCAATCTTCCTAATCTTATTGCATAAGTTTCTCTTTATTCATCAGAAAATTTCAGATTAAAAAAGTTTTTTTTAAGTTTATTGTTAACATAAGGGTTATCTTGCAATATATCTTTATATTAATATTTAAAGCTAGCAAGTTCTTCATTCAACTTTTTTTATTTTTCTTTCATTTTTTCTTTCATTGACTGTTTCACATAATAATCCAATTCTTTAGTTAATGAAATTTATCTGCTTCTTTAAGGTATTTTTATAGCCTATAAATTGATTTTAGGATTATCTTAAGATAATTATCTTGGTTTCAATTATTTTTTTTGTTTTAATTCTTGTAAAATAATGGCTGATTCAGGTGTGAAGTAAATCTTGTTATCTTGCATATAAAGAAAAATATGACAATATATATATATATATTTGATATAATAAATTTGTATTTAACAAATAACCTATTCAATCATTTTGAGTTCTAAGCTTTGGCTTTGCTAATCTCTATATTAATGATTTCTGTTTATCAGATTGAATAGATAATTAAGCCTACTTTAAAGGAGGTAATTTATAAGGGTATTGAGGACTCAAAACCTGTGAATCATATTTTCTTAATTGAAATGAAAAATCAGGAGAAAAAAATGCTTTATCTTTAACATTTCTAATGACATATGTATCTCTTCCAGTTCCATCACTAATATAAAATTATCTTTTTTCAGGTTTAAAATGAGTTTTTTAAGGAGAGTATGTACCATAAGCCCCTTATAAATTTAGAATAACAATTACAGTTTTAATGTTATGGCGTTTTTTATAATTTGAAATTACCTGGATAAAAGCCTCCATTATCATAAAAGATGTAAGAATCTCTTCCTGTTCCATCTTGAGAATATAATTTAGCCATAGATTGATTCATAATGACTAATTTTATTGGACTTTATAAAATAATTAATAAATATTGATTTTTTTAATATTTTTCATACTCTAACTTATTAAGCTACTATAGTATAGGCTTGAGTTATGATTTTAACTTCATTTTCTCTTTTTGCAGATCTAAGATTATAATTGGATTAAACAATTTCTCTTTCGTTTCTGTATTATTAAAGTAAATCTTAAGCAATAGGTAAGTCTTTTTATATTTAATTTCTAGATTTTGTTGAGAGAGCCTAAAAATTAAAAAATAATAATAATACATTTTCTTCATTTCTTCTTTTAAGAGTTACTAAAGTTCTTGAATAATCAGCACTTAATCTTTCTCTGACTTCTGTGACTTCTTTTAGAGTGACTTAATAAGCTTAAGTAACTTTTGCTTCGTATTCATCAGCTCCAGAATTTTCCTAGATTCTCTAATCTCTAATATTTTCAAGAAGTTAAATAATTCTAGTCACAGTAGGTACATCGAATCTAAATATAATATTAATATTACTTAGTAGTTACAGCCACTAAAGCAGTTAATGGATGATTTGGGCCTAAAGAGTTTCTGAGGTCATCAACATATTGTTTTGTGTGTTATTATGAAAGTATAGTTGTTTTATTTTACTCTGCAAATACTGCTTATTGTAATTTTGCAATCATTTCATTTAATCCATCAATTGATTTGATATTATTTGTAGTTCTTTGCTAATTATAGACAAATAGATTACTTTAAGACTTTCTATTTCACTTTTGTATTAATTTCTAATATCCTCTTCCTTAGAGTTTAATGTGCTTAATTATTTCTCTTAAGATTATTAAGTACCAATAAGTTTGCTAATATCTTCATTTAATTCTCCTATTTATTAGTTTAGTCTTTGTAATTCTGTTGCAAGCTTTTCAGTTTGTATTTCTAGGATTTCAATTTCTACATTCAATTATCCAATTTTCTTATTTATAATTACAATATGGTTTTACTTTTGCATATTCTTAATCTTCAACGCTTTAATCAGCAATTAATTAGTCTCTTATAACTTTTATTTCTTTGAGCACTTCTTCAACATAAGAACTTTATAACATTTTGAGCTCAATAAGACCTGCTAATTGCTTTGAAAAATCATTTTTTAATGCCATTTTATCCATTTATGCCATAACTGAATCTACTTTAGTTTACAATTATGTTTAGATGGTTAAAGTAATTAGGATGAATAAGAAGGTGACTTATTTCATTAAAAACGGTATAATAAAAATATTAATATTTTATAATCATGGACACTTTGGATGAACCATTGGATGTACTTAAATTTTCAATAGCATAATAAATTTATATCAAAATGAGAAATAATATTGAACTAAAAGGAACTCTAGTCAGTTATGACAATCATTTGAATATGATAATTAGTAAAGCTGAAGAAACATCAATTTAAGAAGGAATCAAAACTAAAAGAAAATTAGATGCACTCTATCTTAGAGGAGATGGAATCATTTTAATTAGTCCTTTAAAAAAAGGAATCACTTCATTATGATCAATCACATCTGTTCAATATATATATTGTCAAAAAAGTATTTCGATTACAAATTACTATTAAAATCTTTCTTTTTGTTTCAATATACTTGAAATTGAACAATTAAGATAGTAAGCCATAAAATTATTCAATATAATTTGCAATCTTCTGTATTAGCATAATTTAAAATTTTACGGTCTCTAAATTAAAAAGTACTAAAAAAAAGAATAACTTATTTGATTAATTACAATTCTATTCTAGTGCTATATTAATTATTTTGAAAACATGAATAATTTTCTATTTATAGATTAATTTTACAACTACATCATCTTCCTAATTCTAAATCTGTGTTTTAATAATAAATTAAATTCATTTCTATTCTGTTTTTGGTGATTTAAATATACTATTCATAAATTTTTATTGAGTGTCAAAATTTTAAATGATAACAAGTTTAAAATTCATAAGAAAAAATAGTAATTTAAATACCTAAAAAAGCAATTTTAAATATATAAGTATTTATAGGTTCATTAATATACTTTAAGAAATATATTTCTATTATAATAGTTTAATTGGAGATTTAATAATTAATTTTTATCAATCTACTTAAGTATATTTGACATTTGGCAAATATTTCTTTAAGTAATCGGTAAAAAATGAAATTGATTAATTTAGCTACAATTTATTATTCCTTAGATAAACTAGAAATCTATAAAGTGAAAGTATTAATTATTGGAATTAATGAATATAAGAAATTTTGCTAATCATTAGATTAAATAAATATCGAATAAAAAAAAATAGAATTTATAATTTATCTTTAATGAGTTTGCTATATTTTTAAATTGATTTTATTTATTGTTAGAAATTTTTGAGCTTTTATCAAAAAATTTTCAATTAAATTGCTGTAATATGTTGAAATTTAAATGATGGACAATAATATCAATAATATTTCAATACTTGATTAAAAGAAATGTGCATTTAAAAATCAATCTAAAGTTAATCAATATCCTTATAAGAATTTAAAAGCTTTAAAAAAGATAATTATATTCAATTTTAACTTTTATTACTGTTAAAAGCAATAATAATTCAAATTTAATATCTCTATTGAAATTAAATATATAAAATTTCTCTTAAAACTATTTTAAAATTATTCTTTAATAATTATTAATAAGAACAATCAAATTTGGATATGAGAAATACTAATCTAATTATCAAATAAATAAAGCTTCATCAAAATTGACAATAAATAATATAAAATTCATTTATTCATTTTAATCAATTAAATACACAGTTAAATAATTAAAAATGTATTTACAATAATGAAATTAAACATGTAAGTATCTATTTAATCAAATTTAAGTTAATTTAATGAATTTGATTTGATTTTGGATTATGTTTAATGGTAATCTTGCATATATATTCTAAAATATTTTAATATTAAAATAAAAGAAGAAAAATTTTATCAACAGTTTATAATAAGAATTTTAATAAATTCTTGAAAATTCTTTTTGAATAAAAAATAATTTAATGTTTATAATTAACTATATATCATATGAATTCCTTTATAATATCAAAATATAACAATCATTATTAAACTTCATACATATATCTAAAAAAATCTATGTAATATTAATCTTATTTTTAACATTTACTATTCATAGGATGAATATTTTTTAAATTCAAACAATAATTATAAGTATTTGCAATTTGTATATTAAAAAGAACGAATGAGTGAAGTAAATAAAAATGTTATTCTTATAAAAACATTGAATGAAATTTTATGTTAACAATAGCATTTGATTATTGATGATTAAAGGGCTTTTAGGTTAAAAATCTAAAAAAAGAAATAACGAAATTGATTGTATAATCATAGAAATTAGAAGGATTGATATATTATAAATTTATTTATTAAATGCAAATTTCTAAAGAGAAAAGAATGGGAGCAATGCTGACAATTTTGTCTGTTGTAGATTTTGGATATTGTTTTGATAATATTACATATATCACTCTAATACTTTCTTGCGTACTTATTTTATGTAGTATTGGTACTTATATTATTCAATATTAGTCAGTGTGTTATTCGCTAATAAAAAATTTTTATCACTAATAATAATCACTATGTATTATGGAAAGGAATTAACATTATATGGACCAACTCTGACATGGCCAGTATTATATCTTTTTAAACTTATTGGATCTCAAAAATGCATTTTTTTATTATTATTTTCTAACCAAATAGTATTCAATTATCTCGATTCGTTATGGGTTTATAATATCAAAAGGAAGGATCATTATTGCATATAATTAACATTCATATTATTATTTGAAGGTTATTCCCAATATGTTAAATAGAAAACTTATTACCAATGCATACGTCTATTGATAAAGTAATTTAAACAAGAATTCGTTCTTTAAATTTTTGATTTAAATTAAAGGAATATCACTGAAAATGCTCATTGTTTACCAATTACAAATAGGCTATAAACGGAAAACACTTTAATCGGAAGTCCTAGAGGGGATAAAATTAATTTAATTTAAGATGATAAGGACATTCATTATAAATTATTCTTAAATAATGACTTAGGTTTTTCAATAGAGTTAAACTAATAACCAATTTAATAATAAGTAACTTTTAGGTCAACTAAAGAATTATTATAATTCTTATAAAAAAATAACAATTATTTTATACTAGCAATTTAAAATGATCCACTTCTAAATGCCAAATTTTAATATTAAGTTAGATACTTTTAATTTAAAAATTAACAAATTTTGGCATTTTAAAAAATAGATAATTGTTTATTTGCCAGATAAAATTAAAAGATATTAAAATACAAACAAAACCTTATTAACATTTTTAATCATAAATTAAAAACTCCTCTTAATAGTGCTATAGGACATCTCATTACTGCACAAGAAGATAATTAAATTATTGACTAAATTAAAAAGTTATACTTGTAACCAGCCCTTTTGAATTGCAGATTACAACTATACTTAGTTTAAGATATTTTAGATTATTTATCTATTGAAATTGAATAATTACCTTTGATGAACAATAAAACTAATTTGAAAACTTTATTATTAGAAGTTTATGATCTAATAGAATTTTAGTGTAAATTGAAAAACATAAATATATTATTTAAGATAAATAATGAAAACTTTAAAAAAATAGAGACTAAATCATTATTTGTTTATACTGATTCGAATAAATTGATCAGAGTATTGTTGAATATTTTAAATAACTCTTATAGATTTACAGACGAAGGAGGTTGTATCGTTTTGGAAATTAGATTGGATTAGATGAATAAGATTACTTATTTTTCAATAACCGATAGTGGATAAGGTATGGATGAAGAATAAATAAAGAAATTAAATTGCTAATTGAAATCTTTTGACAGCACAACCTTTAACAAATTTTATAAATAATAAGACAATAATCGCACAATAAAATTAGGATTAAGTCTATTTCTAGCTAATAAACTTATAAAATTATTGAGTGGAGATAGCAGTTGCTTGTAATTAAGGGTATATAATAATTAATTACTCTTTACATTTTCAATTAGTGATATTCATGAAATCTAATCAGCAAGTTCCCTTGGAAAATCTAAACACAATAGTTTTGTAAAATAGAAATCCTTAAGAGGGTTAAACAATATTCAATTTAATAGTTAATCTAGCCCTAGAATTTCGAAGTTTAAGTAATGTTCATAAAGATAAATTGACCTTAAGAATTATAATTCTTTACGATTAATTTATTAGTCTGATATTCATAATGAACCATAACCTTAGATTCCTAATAGGATTGCAATTCATCAAAACAATCAAAAATTTCATCATTAAAGATAAAGAATGAAAACAAAAAAAAGATCTTTGGATTATTAATTTAGATCTAGGGCAACAAGTTTCAGAACTCATCAAATTGAATAAATTATTCGGCCAGAATAAATGTAGTAATAATAACATTTAATTTAAAATGAAGAATTTATTTTGATAGTTGATGATGAACCTTTTAATCATGAAACTTTATGTATGATGCTAAAAAATATGGGATTTAAAAAATTTTTAAAAGCCTTTAATGGTTAACAGTGTCTTGATATTGTACTAGAAAATCATAATAAAATATATATGATTATGATGGATATTGATATGCCAATAATGAATGGAATTGATGCAACAAAACAATTAGAAGGTTTAATAAGTAATAATACGATATGTTACATTCCAATAATAGGATGCACAGCTCATGAAGACTATGAATCTCATTTATAATGCTTTGACGCGGGAATGATACATGTAGTTGTTAAACCTGTATTTATAAAATCAATTTAAGAGGCTATTAATAAAATCTCTGAACTCAAATCAAATGAAACTATTAAAGAAGACACATCATCTGATGTTATCAATAGAATACAATCTTAATCTTTTTGCTCTCAATGAATATTATATATCTAATAATTTAAAGTAAAATAAAAGATTGCATAATTTATATCTTGTATAAAGGAAATAATTTTGATTTCCCAAATATGTTTAAAGTGATTATTATAAACTTTAAAATTAATTTAATGAGGAAATTAGCTTTTTATATTTAATTAATTTATATTTCTATTATAAACTCTATTCTAAATGATGAATTAATTGACTGTTAATGATTATTAAATCAATCTTGATAGTATTTTAGGAAGTGGAAGTTAGGGTTCAATATTTAACTGTTTGAAAAAAAGCACAAATGAATAAATTGTAGCTAAAATAACTAAGGTAAATTAGATAAATGCAAATACAATTGACAGAGAAATTGCTATTGTTAACTAAATTAAAAATAAATAAAATGTGTCGAACTTAGTGAAAATGTATGATATTGTAATTGTTGAATATAATGGTGGAAAAATTCTTGTGGAATTTATGGAGAAATGCGATTCTGATTTAGGGAAATTAATTAAAGAATATAAATCAAAGAAAGAATCCTTCACTTTTGATTAAGTTGTAGATTTTGCAGGCTAAATAATCAGAGGATATAGTCACCTAAATGCACTAAATATCATTCATAGAGATCTTAAACCAGAAAATATCCTAATTACTAAAAAGAATGATAAACTTGATTTAAAGGTAATTAAATTTTTTATTTAAGATTACTGATTTTGGAGTGGGAAAAGTATTAACAAATGATTATGCTATCACTAATACTGGAACACCTATTTATTCAGCACCAGAATTAAGTTGTAGTGATTAAGTCTATAATAGTAAATCAGATATTTTCTCATTAGGAGTAATATTATATTAACTTGTATATAACAATGAGATTCCATTTAAAATAGATGGAAGGAATATACAAAAAGTGAAATTATCTCTTAAAACTTAACCAATTAAATGCTAATATAAATAGGGATTTGAGGATTAATTTTTAGATTTAATTGATAAAATGCTACTCTATTCACCAGATGAGAGGATTAGTTGGGATCAATTAGAAAATGCACCTTATTTCAAAAATTATTTTCCAGAAAAATTTCAATTTCCTTCACAAAAGTAATAAAAACAATTACATTTATTTGAATACATTATCGCAGTTTACTATCAAACATCAAAGATTATATAAATTATAGAAAAACTACCAAAAAATTTTATATGGTAATTTTTGTCAATAATCTTGACTAAATACATTTTACTTAATTTTTAGAATGAACTTATTCAAATGATTTTATCGATTAAAAATAATAAACAATAATTGAATAAATCTATTGTAACAGTCAATCAACAATAAGTCGATTAGAATGAGATTAAATAAGTACTTGAAAAGTAGAATATTTTAACATACCAGTCTGAGAATGAAAACTAAATAATTGTAAATATCATTCTTAAAATTAGATATTGAAGCAGGAGATTAAATAATAGATAAATGATTAATAAGATCATTTTTTTCAAGATTTTTATTAATAACTTATTTAATTACCAGAAGATCAGAGTATGTTTGATTTTTGGCATTTGAAATTTTAAGTTGTCTATAAAACCTATATTCGATAGTGGATAAGTAAATATATGGTTGAAAAATCAATTTCTTTAACAGAAGCATATCTGTTAGAAAAGTTTTCATACTTTTTAGAGGAATATCCTAAAACTTCTTACAACAATTTTAATTATAATTAAATTCACTCAAAAATTATTTCATAAGATTAAGCCCTAGAGTATTTAAAGCAAAAACAATTAATCTGATATCTTATAAATTTCACCTTTTATTATAAAAAAACCAATTTTATTTATTTAATACATATATGAATGATATGAAAAAATTGAATTGGAAAAATAAGAAGAGCAGAAAGAAGTAAGAGCAAGGATTATAATGATAGAATTTGATACAAGCCCACTCTTGGTTATGATAATTAGTAAAGCTGAAGAAATACAATTTAAGAAGGAATCACATCTTTTCAATATATATATTGTAAAAAAAATTACTTCAATTTAAAGTCGAAACAAGTATTAATTTCAATTATAAAATAATTTCTTTATTTTTATTTATGTATGAAGAAACTCATGATAATATAAATAGACTATCCTATCTACTTTAATTTAGTAATTATTAAAAAGCATATATTAACTTCTTATTTTATATAAATTTTAAATAAGCAGTCATAGTTTAACAAATTATTTATGAATTAATATTGTGATTATTAAAATGCATACATTAACTTGTTATTTTGTTTAAATTTTATTTAAATAGTCTTATATAAAAAATACCATAGTAGCTTTTTCAAAAAACTATTTACATGAATATTTTATCTCTAATTAAATTTTTTTATATAAAGATAATTATATAAAAAAATTTTTATTTATTTA